AGTAGATAGATTTTCTCTTTTCTTTTCTCTCCTTAGCTTAAGAATCCTCGTTATACGGTAGTTAGACGAATTACTCTAAATTCCTAGCTAAACCCTTATAATGCTCGAGTGCTTGCTAAAAAGGGCGTAGTTATTTTCGCTAATAGGAAGTAGCTTACCGTCTCTACGCTCTCGCTCTCGCTATATGTACACTCTGAACTTTCTTCGATACCTAGCTTTACTAGAAAACCTCGCAGTCTAGAGTGTCCTGTCCGCAGCTGAGCTAGGACCTGGGCTTCTCGGCGAGTAAGGGGGTCGTAAAGCCTACGGACGTACTTACCTAGCAGGGCAGTATCGACCTCCCGAAGGTGTCTGCCGGTCTTCCATGGCCGGTTAAGTCCACTCTTTATCCCCTCTCCGGTTGCCGACGAGTAATGGCCGATTTGAACTCACCATCCAGCTATGGTACACAAGCAACTGCTGTCCCTGGCGCAGTCATCTCCGCCGCTAACTTGTGAACTAAGTATATAGAGACGCTCTATATAAACGATCCTCTAGATTGTTCTGGCGAAGTTGTCGAGCCAGACAAATTAGCAGACACCCTAGAGCGCCGTCTTACAGGTCCTACAGCGATGAGTAAAATGCAATACCGCAGAACATCTAGATCTAGGAGTCCTCAAGGGAGAGATAGAGGATGGGTGGCAGGTTGTCTATGGTGTTTGGCATGCTCTCCCGGCCGAGTATCCCTCGCTATCGGCCTATATAGATGACAGTCTCCTTACGTTGGCCTGTAGTGACAACGAATAGCAAAGCCCATTTACGATACGTGAAATCTACACTATCTTGGTCGATCAATCATGACGATGATGACGATTGACATGAAAAATCCATGCATCAAACTTTTCCTGGGGGTCAACGAGGCCCGAGGGACACACAAGAGCTTGTCCAGAATGGGGAAATTTCATTTGAGTACTCTATTCTACTCTGTGCTGTTGTAGCAAGAAATTCCAGGGTTATCATGATGGAGTTCGATGTTTGCCAGTTCCACTTGCCTCGATCTGAGCCATGTACTCGATTGGTAAGCCTGATAGTGACCTAGCCTGCCAAATCGACTTTTGTTTTCATACATGTCATGATGATCTGCTCATCAGATATCGAAACCATTCCATCTCGGGCATCAAGCCCTGGCACTTTAATAACAATGGTAAAAAATGGGGGAAAGGGAAAAGGGAAATGAACTACCACTTTGGTCAATTCGAACTAGATGCCCTCTACCAATAACAACGCCAACATTTCGTCAGCCCTTCTATCGGTCTGATAGCTCTTGTCCATTGTCACATTTATCGAGAATAGAGTTCCATTTTGATTTGATTGACCATCCAAAGCCTAAAACCGTGAGGTCATCCAATGTTCAAGGATGATGCTGCATTCAAGAATTGAAGATGAAAAAAGGGCATGATAACAAAAAAACGGGGGTATCTTCGTCGTGGTCTCGTAATTCCGTGTTCCGCAACTGTGGGAGTGCCTGCGCCGTGAAAACCGAACTGGCGTGAATGGAAGAAACGAAAAAGCGCTTAGAGTGGTGGTGGTTTCAACATGCGTTTGTAGGCCGGGGTTAGGTGGTGCTCATCTGAATATGAATTAGTATCTGGAAACCCCTCTGAAACCCGGGCGGGTGGAAGACATACCGAACGATTTCCAACTTCCAGCCGAGATCGATGCTGTAAACAAAAGAAAACAATACCACTCACTCATGTACAAGGGGGCAGCCTTTCAGGCGAATGATGTCTAGTCAAATTTCAATCGTAGAGAGATTCCTCTTCATTGACATTGTCAGAGTTGAACCCTTCTCGTCCAGTGAGAGCAGGATCAACTTTTTGTTGCTCTTGTTCGTCTTGCTCAACTTGGGTGATCTCTTCCGGGACGATGTAGCCACCTGGTCGGTGTGGGGTCGGCGACAACTGCTGAGGAAATCGAGAAGCAGCGCTGTCATAACGAGCCCAATCGCTATTGTCGTCACCGCGAACAGGAGTGCTAGGTGGATTCCAAGCAGGAGCAGTGAGCATAGCCGGTTCTCCAGGTGTCATAGAAAAACCGGAGGTCGTACCATTGCCGTTGTAGAATCCCGAGCCACCGTTTGCGTAGCGAGCAGGCACAAGGGGGTTCCAGGGCTCAGCGGCGTCGTGCATGGGTTGAAAGAGAGTGTGCTGAGACATGGCAGACTCGGGTCGCATGATTTGCTGGGCCGGATTCTGTGATGCGTACATCATACCACCATGAATAACTGGAGAAAACGGGGAGGACAATAGAGTTGGAGTCTGTGCTCGCTGCTGTTGGTAGTGCATGCCTCGAGGGTGATGGCCATTCAAGGAATTTGCTGCTAGCATGAATTGGTCATCGCCAGAACTAGTGAAGTCAATCATGCGATCCGTACCCGTGGAAGAGCCATAACTGGCTAGAGGGGATTGTTCGTACGGGGACAAAACGTTGCCCAGATTCATCCTTCCAGGAGTGTACATGTTGGGACGCATCTGTGGGGCACTCATGCTACCAGCTGGTGCAGTGGAATGAAATGCGGTGGCAGGAGCTCGAGATGAGGCTCTATTGCGCGTGGATCGAGTCTTTCGCGGGGTAGACTGCTTTTCTGGTGTCTCTCCATAATCTGAGTCCTCCAGGTCATCCATCTCTTCACCAGATTCCGCGTCAGCAGAGACGCTACGGAAAAGTCGAGGACGCTTCGCTTGCTTGTCTTTATCTTTGGCCTGTTCCTGTTTGCCTCTCTTCATGATCTCAGCCTTCTTGCCATTGAGGACTCGATTGGACTCAACACGAGCTCGATTGTGAGCAGGATCGTCGACGAATTTGAGCACGAATGAGACATCGAAGAGATGTTTGCAGATGGTTTTAGATACAGCCATCGTCTCCTTGATGATGTTGAATCGCTCCGCAAAGGTCATCTTGCCTGCCTTGAACTTGAACTTGTTGGGCTCGTGGGCCTCTACCAAGTTAGTACTTCTCATGGAGCGAGTGACGCATTCTTGCAAGATCTCCCAGCACTTGATTTCAACCAATTGATTATTGTGGCGCTGCTCGATAAACCACTTCTTCATATCATCGCGATCCTCACACTCTGCTGGAATACACTTGAAGGCCTTGAAGAGAGCCATGACATGTGCTCGTTGTTGAGCTTGGGTGCGAGGAATGGTCAGGTCGGTATGAGGTTCTCTGGCAAGTAACAACTTGCGGTATTCTTGTGCGGCTTCGAAGCTCGAGAACTGGGTGCCTGTATCCGCCCCAGAGCTCATACATTGAGCATTGGTCAGAATGTCGTCCAATCCCAGATGGAGATAGTCTGTATGACCACGCTCATCTTCAGGGATGGTAATTGTGTGATTGTAGACTTGCATGGCAGCAAAACGGGCGTTTCGCTTGGAAGTAATTAAGGGACAGGTATCTTGGTTATGCGCTGGTGGTGGCGCCGCAAAGGGAAGGGTAGGAGGAGGATTCGGAGCTCCAGAAGAGCCTTGGGAAGCCATCATGAGTGACTAGAACGTGGGCTATCTCAGATGATCCAGCAGACAATGATGGCGGCTGATGAGAATGAGGTTTGTGATGGATGAAGGTAACGACTTCAGAAAGTGTGAAGCTGAGTCAAAGTCCTGAAGGAAAGAATGATTCAAACAGCCAAGACTCTGGGGGTTCAGAGATATCGACCAGGAGGACGCCAGGGTGAGGCAGTCGAACACGCGTGACGCAAAGGCACCGTCACAGTAAACTGCTTCACGATTCCACCCTTCCCGCAAAGACGTCCACATAGCGGAAGATATTGTGATCGTGATGAGACAAGAGACTCTGACCTGGTCTTGAGTCTGCTTGATTTCCCTCATAACATGCTTCCTGGTAACATATATCTTATTTAGACCTTTTCTCACGAGAGGGGGAGAGTTGTGTATGAAAACCCTCTTCCCATAGTTTCCTACCCTCCTCAACCTCAATCAGCCATGTCACAGATGAGACATAGATTTGAAGACAGAAGCAGAATGACGAGGCGTTCATGAGTCTCCTTGTGCTGGGTTTGACTGCTCAAGGCCTTTGTGTCTCTTGTGCCAGTGCCATCACATGTGTCGACAGCAGGGCCACCTGTTGTTGACAATGCGACTGCTCAAGCCGTAGCTCAGTACTTATCGGGCTGTCAGATTGTGGTCAGGAAATAGGGTCCACTCGCCGTTCCGTGGCGTCACCGTCCGAGGAAATTCTTCCTTCGATGCAGTCCTTAGTACGTTATTGACGAGGTACTCAAAGGTTTTCTTACGACAGGCTTCAAGACTCCCATTGTGGGCTTTACCATTGGCTAGCGAACGCCGAGAGACCTCATACGCTGGAGTGTGAAGCAATGTTAGCATTTGATTTATATCAAAGAAAGACACTAGGAAGTGGTCACTTGATCACCAAAACAACTTGACAACCATCCGAAGAAACCCTGGAATCCCACCTGAGGCTTGGAAATATAAGAGACTGCCACCACGGTCCACAAGGTGCAAGGTCACTGATGGCTTGAAATCAGGACAAAGTCATGATTGGGCCGCACAGTGTTTGATGAATTGAGTTCCAGCGATACAAAACCGAGATATTGAGGAAGAAAGAATGAAAGTCAAAACGAGAACGTGTGGAGAGCCTTCAAAGCGCCTGTCAAAATCAGCTTGGCGCGTGAATTCTCGACGACTAAGCGATAAGTCGCACAACAGCATCGATAAAACACGCAAGAGGGCCAATGGTATGCAACTCGACCGCGGTGACAACACGAGATGAAACGAGGGACAAAGAGTTCCTCGAGCAGATGACCCCGATGCTAAGACCGTTCGAGATATGGTTGAGATCAGCACTCCTACCATGACAAAGCAAGGTGCCTCTCAAGGATTCTTGAAGGTATTTGCTGGATATCGCTGGTTGGCAAAGCCAGTCACCCACGAGAGAACCGAAAACACACGTTCCAAGAAAAGAACTATAGCAGAAGCTAGGAGTGTGAGACGGGGAGCTAACAAGAAGGCTTTTCCATACCAAAGGGGGCCAATCCGTGATTGCTGACACAAAGGGAAAGGGAAGGATAGAATACGTTGAGTCTCCAGGAACAGATACACACTGGGCTGTCTGTTATGTGCAGGATACCTTTAGAAGCAGCAAACGGCAACTAAGGATACCAATGGAGTGAATGGAATTGAAAGGCCTGAACAGTGCATTCATCTCGACCAGATTACTGTCGTTGGGAAATTTTCTCCTCGCTAACGATGAAGTCTAGGGACGCATAGCATGAGGTAGAACAGGACCAAAGGGTCGAAAAGTGATTGGGCCACTTGGAGACTGATGCTGCGCATCATATTGTTCTCCGTTGCTGAATATTTTGCTATGCTAGAGGAATCCTGAGAAGAATGTAGCTTCAATAAAGCTCGCGAGACTCGGACGTTGGATTGCAGCCAACCAGAGCACTTTACGCTAACTCAACAGAGTATGGCCAGCCTCGGGATTCCTTCCTTCTGAGATTACGGCACTCCACTCGAAAACACTCCAGGCCGCATCGACGACCACATTCCTTAAGTGTGATTTTCCAGCACCTAAGTTCAAGGTTACGATCACAATGCCCAAACTTTCAGGGACGAGGTTGCAGCAGCTGTTTTGTCGTCGGCAAAGGAATTTCGTTGTCCAGCTGTAGTGACAATGACCCCTCCGCCCTTATGTATCCTTGTAGCTGATACAACATCTGCGCTTGGAATTAGTCAAGGCGATGCAAAGTGAGGTCAAGTCCCCTACCTTCATGAGCCTTGAACTCAAAAGTCGGCAAAATCGATCCCTCCTGCTGATGAGCGTTCTTCCACATCCTAACATATCCATCTGAGCTGCCCCCCCATACTTCATTGTCATCTAAGACATCTGTGGTCACAATGTCCACCGACATCCGCTGGTTTGTATTTGCACACCTTCCTTGAAGCCACGAAAGAAGTTGTCCTGTCTTTCGGATGTCATAGATTATTACGCCATCACTCTTCCTTTCTGTAATGTACAGATATCTTCCACAAGCACTCCATGAGACTTGAGTAATCCCAGCACCACCAATTTGAGCATCCGCAGTGGTACCCTTCACGCAGAAGACTCCCACGCATTCACCTTGGCCAATTGAATCATATAGTCCGACGTGACGACTGAAGGTGCCCGCAGCCAGAACTTTGCTGGACGCATCAATGGCCAAGGCTGAGACAATTCCTCTCATGTTGATTGCCGGGTTATAATGGCTATCGTTTCTCTTCCGAGGCCCTGTTGGAAATGACGAGGTGGGTTGTTGTCCTGGCCTTGAAAGATCAAAAACGGAGAGCAGTGAGTCAGACCCAGCTACGAAGCGATCACCCTCGTAGTTGAATATGAGCGAGTTCGGACAAATGTATGCTTCAGTCATCGGGTTGACAAGCGAATATGAGGCGGTATGTTGTCCAGTCAAGGCCGAATCCAAACGAATGGGGAGGTCTTTTCGCGATGATAAGACCAAAGCTGTGGAAGGATTCCCAAGATCAAAGAATGGGTAACCCACAACAGCGTTAACAGCATCGCTAGACACAATCGTGCAGTACGACGCCAGCTCCCGCGGTCCCGTAGTTTCCTCCAAAATATCAGGAGGACTGCAAGGTTGATTAGTAATAGTATTAGTGTATCCACAAGACGGGTGATACATACACAATGAATGTTTCTATAGAATTTCTGGCTGTGGTGGCGATCAAGCTGGTTCCATCTGCACTCCTAAGAAATATTAAAGATTTAGGGCCCGAAGCTGAGTATTTAGGAGTGGTACTCACCACTGAACATTGCTGTAATAGTCAGCTGATTTCGGATGGAGACTAATGTCTACAGTAGCATTTGTAGCATTCGCCCTAGCAAGACATTTTGGGGTCATCATGTTTCCCCTGTCGGAAGAGTCAACCTATCGTCAGCAGATTGGGAATGTTTGAGCTCTGGCCGACCAAGAAAGAGCATTGAATCATCTTGGACGCAAATTCAAAGCCACAGCTCAAATTCCTGATGCTTCCTTTGCCCCGAATACTAGTGTTGCCAGTGATAACTGCTTGAATGAAACAATCTATATATTGGGGGTTGACGTGCTTCCGTGATGGCATTTGACCAATTAATGCGCCACAGTATTAATTTCCTGCGGTGGAGTATCCAAACATTCCACACTTCCAGTATTATGCGACCAAGGGAAATCGCGTCAATTTTCACGACACAAGCTCCACGTTGCAATCTTTACTTCTGTGCATTCGCTATTTATTGAAGCCCTGTTCCTACCGGATAGTCAAATATGGCCTTCAGCTTTGGAGCGTCTGCGGCCAGGCCTACCCTGAACTTGTCAGGTCTCGGCAACAATGCCAACACAACAAGCCAGGCACCTTCGCTTTTGTAAGTTGGCTCAAGAAGATCTTACAATTGAAAGGCCGAATTCTCAGTAACAACTACAGTAACCAATCGGTAGCCCAGCCAGCTGCCAATCCTACGACAAGTGCCACGCAAGGTGTCTCATCCCAAGCGCAGATCGATCTTACACACCTCCGGTCGACCACAAAATTCGATCAGTTGACCCCAGCTTTGCAGAAAGAGATTGAAGATGTTGATACCATGATACTGAATCAAATCAAATTGGCCTCAGAAGTCTCCGATCTTTTACCAACGGTGATCGCCGCGGGCAAGACAATTCCCAGTGGTGTAGAGTTTGTGACACAGAAGCTTGACGAGGTAGAAGCAGGACTAGGTAACGACGCGGAAGCCATCGTTTCCGCGCGTGATGGAAACCTGAAAAAGGGCGAATTGGAGGCCAAATGCGTCTTTCGAGCAATCGATCGGTTGAAAATGCCCAGACAATACCAGGTTAGCCATACTCTAATTGAGAACTTTAGCGGCAACGGTGTCTACGGTGGATCTGGCCTGAACGGTTGGTGGAACAATCCTCAGACGTTGAAAGGCAGTGTTCGTGGTGGAAGCCTGAGAGGAGACACGATCCAATTGCCGGGCGAAGATGCCGAAGAAGCCACCCAAGGACCAAAAGGCTTGATTGAGTTGTTTAATACACGCGCCGATGAGATGCAAGGCTCAATTCAGAGCAACCGTCAACTGCTAGGCGAAATCGAGGATTTCATTCAAGGCCTGGAAGGGAAGGTGATTGGGAAAGAACGAGAGCTGAACGAGCGACTTAACAATGGGGATGGAAACGGAGCCTCTTTCAGTGAGAGGGATCGGCAGATCCAGCTATTGAGGGTTGTGTTTGGAGAAGTCCAAAGAAGTCTGTACGATGCTGCGGACAAAGTTGGAGCTGCTAGGGAAGATGTGGCACAACTTGTATGGGGAAGATGAAGGATGCATTTTCCACAACCATTAATCACACTACTAATCATCAGCAGGTTGACATGCAACTGGCCTGACTTGACTTGGTGGTAGCTCGGCAGTTGTTCATTCTCCGTACAACGAACATGCGTTCCGCTCTACACCAAAGACCTGCCCACCCTGGGAGCTGGAACCTGAATCAGGGTTTGACATGAAGCATATCCAGAACCCCCGCGCTTAAGCAAGAGCACTCACCAAAACAATCTAGGCTCCGACTGTCCTCAAGGAAGACCAGAAGGGCTCAACAGCACGATATCGTCGCGTACTGAGCCCTCCATCTGTGTTGGACTTGTACAACCATCTCGCGCAAGCGATAGACGGCGTCCTGTATCTCAGATCAGGCTCAAAGAAACCTTTCGAGACAGAATGGCATGTGGGTTCCTGGGCCTGACAAGTGGTTGCCGGTTGGAAGGGTTTCGATCAGAAAGCTACGTTCCTGACTAGGCCTATGGCGCGAAGGCATGGGTCCCCATCTCTACAAAGAAGCCTCACTCAAGAACTTTCACTCAACCGTAAGTGGGAGAATCAGGGGTAATCAAGACTTTCGCTCAAGCTTTCTCAGTTGGTGTCATTGTGAATTTTTGGGGTTCTCCTGCTCACTTTTGGAATATCGGGATCCTCCATCGAGTGTCGAAGTCCTAGGACTTTTAGTCACATTTAGACATCGACTGAGTGGAAATACTGGAAAGACATAGAGCTGCTTCAGTTCCAGAGCAGACAGTCTCAACAATCTCAACAGTCTCAACAATCTCAACAGTCTCGCCTTTCCCATCAGCAACCTTTATCTTATTCACACATCAAATACATTCGTCATCAAGCTTGACATTTCAGCAGGCTCCAGGTGGCCAAAACAACCCCTGATCCTTCCCTTTCTGCTACTGGGGATTAAACCCGTTCACTTGAAGTATTTCATTTTTGAGCCTTCTTCTCATCCATCTTCCTGATGATCTCGGCCTCCTCGTCCGCGATATTCTTGTCAACCTTGGCACCGCGAGAGGGCTCATTTCCGTGCATCTTTGCAGGCAAGGTGGGGTCAATCTCGCCTGCTTTTGTCTCGTCCGACTTGTCCTTGCCGGAAGTGTCGTCGTTTTGTGGGCTTGCTTGAGCTAGTCGGTTTGCGATGCTGCGTTGGTCCTCTGTTTGGGTGGGGAGAAGAGATGCACTGGTTAGTCATTTATCTCCTTGTGGGAAGGGGAAATCAATGAAAACGGAAGAGAGAACACAAGCGTCAAACAGGAAATGGGTATTATCTGGACTCGGGTTCTTTGTGCAGGCAATGTGGAAACAGTAAAGATTCGAGAAAACATGAGAATGCCCCGGAATGAACGTACTGGAGTCATTGTCCTGGTGACTATTCGACTGTCCCTCCTCGTAGGGAGTGCGTTGATTCTCAGCCTGGTTGCGCTGGTCACCAGCCTCATAGACGCCGCTGTTGCCTACGTTGGATTGTCCTGACATTTTGTTTGGCAGTAATATGATCTGGTGGGAGTTGAAAACTGAATAGCTTGAGACCTCAAATTGCTGATCTGAGTGATGTCTTTCTCTGGAGTAGAATATCAAAGTATAAAAGCATGCGACTAACAACACGAGAAATGAAGACGGAAAATGGACTCCTCTTTTTAGCCTGGGCCTTTTTATCAATGCCTTTTCAAATTATTCCTCACAAGGGTGCCCATCGACAGGGGACATGACATCACGGCATCCTTGAGGTTGCAGGATGAGATCATTCACTATCCACATCAGAAGTCGGCTTTACGCCCCCTCAATGGAATGTTGTCTTTTTGAGTTTCGCGACCGATCAGTTACGCTTGGAGAAGCGGTTCCTGAACCACGAGTACCTTGGTACCCAGGTCAGTGGCTTGTCATAGCTAATGGGTGCTATGCCATTTAATAATTGGCATGGTGTTCTCTAACTAGGTGTGGAGCGAGTTTTGAGTATGGTGGTTATGAGTATATACTCCGCAGTACTCCGTACCCTAGTTATGATTCTCCGTAGCGCGTGTGTCAAGCTGGGCGCGAGCAATGCCGGCGTCACGTGAGGTCGCGGGCCTTGACGCGTCCGATTCCGTCGTACCTCCATTCCCACCCGCGACTTTCTCAACATGAGGATCGCGTGCCTGAGACTCGGATACGCACCAACCTGCAACACCAACTTGACTCAATTCTCACGGCAAGCTTGAAAACGTATTTTGTCTTCAAGTGTTACATTCCGACTTTCACTATCGAAGCCCGCCTCCCCAAGCAAAACACCCACATAATGTCCACATGCAAGCGGGCCCCCACCGAACTCGCCAATTCTGTGACCCCGGCAAAGACGACGACAACAGTGAGACCAAAGACCACCACGGCGGCAAGATACGCACCGTCAACACCACACGCAATCCGGGCGTTACAGGTGCGCAGTGGGCTCAAGACGCGGTCGGCCATGCGCAGCATGCGACATCGGACCTTTGGCGACGTCATGAGCACCAACAACAAAACCAACAGTAATAACACCCAGGTCACGACGGCGAGCAATGATAGTGTGGTGCGGCCTGACTCCGCGCGAGGGATTCTGCGGCGGCTCGCGAAACTGACGGCGCCAACGAGCAAGAGGGTGGTTGCGACGCCGTCAACGGGGAATATGGGTTCGCGAAAGGGAAGAGGGTGGGGCGATGATAAAGAGAATGCGAGGCCGGATTTCTACGATGACGATGGTGTTCGGACCAAGAAGCCACGCTTGACGCTGGACATTGAATATAGTCTGGGGGAAGAGGAGGACTTGCAGCCGCCTGATGTTGGTGACGACGAAGATGAGGATAGTGAACTCCCTGTTGCTCCGACGCCGTCGATTTTGCCAGATGATGACGATGAGGAGATGCAAAACAGATGGCGAGGAGATGGAAATGGTGATCCTACAATTACGTTCAGGTCGATCGACTTTTCAAAACACTCGAGGCCGTCGCTAGAGGGTGGAGGACGAAGAGTCTCTCGACTACCATTCCCATCCTCAGAACCTGTGGGTGGTCCTGACGATGCAGAGGATGGCCCCACCATCCTCAGCGAGTATGGTCGAAGGGCCATCAGTGAGGAGCCCACAGGACGACTGTCACGCTACAGTTTTGGAAGTATCAGAATGGATGATTTCGGGTCGGAACTGGAGATACGACAGGAATCCGATCAACAGCAGGACAAAGCTAAAGCAATGGGCGTCTTGAATGATTACGCTGGGGTTGGCGTAGATGATCAAGAGGATACGTCATTCGATTATGGTGAAGAAACAGAGGGTCTCCGGAATCTTCAACGCTCACCCACTCTTCCACCGCCAGATGAGAGTACTATGAACATCCCCGCTCTCGACGAGAGCTTCCAATTGGAGCTACCAGATCAGGAAGCAGTGGCACAGCATGCGAACCCGGATGCCCAGCCCCGAGTCTCATTATATGATCCACCCACAGAGGTGCGGGAAAACGTGGTCGAAGATGATGAGCCCGGTACAGTGGTGTCTCAACAACAAGACCAAGCTGTAGCAAATATCGCGCCCGTACGGACATCTGCCACTCGTCGAAAGAGACTCAAGGCGACCCGTCATGGTACAATCGTACCGTCCTTGCCTTCGAGTCTGATCAAGCGCGTTGCTGTTCAAGCACAAGCAAGGCTCGGCAATCGCAAACCCAAACTTGGAAGTGACCACATGAAGGCGCTTGAGCAGGCCACGGAATGGTTCTTTGAGCAAGTCGGGGAAGACCTGGAAGCATATTCAGACCATGCTCGCCGGAAGAAGCGGGTGGATGCAAGCGATATGCTAATGCTCATGCAGCGGCAGAGGCTTCTGAAGGGCGAAGGAAAACTTTCGAAAGCAGCCAAGGAGATTTTACCAAAGGACGCATTGGCGGAATTGGATATCCCTGACGAACTATGATTCCGAGATCACCAGTTGGTGCTGTGACGGACCCTTCTAGTGAGATCTGTTGGTTTTTTCCGGAGGACCATCCACATCATGAGAGTGGTGGCGGCGGATAGTGAATACCTAATGATTGATGAGACCATGTCTAGCTCGAAATAGAAGAAAGGGAAGGCAGGTTCCGTTGCCGTTGCCATGACTTACCAGGTAACAATATACTGTAGGTGATTGTTCCGGAGATTGACTTCCGGGGCTCTTCCAATGGGGATGCCCTTTATCTGTCGGTCATAGCTGACGAGTAGATCTGGCTTCATAGTCTCTTCGATCCAGACAGGCTCCGCGCCTGAAATATTTGCCATTTCATATACATCCGGAAAGTAGAATTTGCCGTCTGCGGGCTTGTTGTCGGGGGTGAAATAGTTCTTCTTCCAGGGCTCTCTGAGCAGCCCGTGCACTGTGATTTCCCCACGCGGCAGCGACGAAGGATCTCGATCTTGTTGGTATTTCTTGTCCTTGCTGATCCAGCCGCGATTGATCAGGATCGTGCTGGCGGCGTCATCCCGCTCCAAGGGTGTGACAACCAGATATCCATCGTTTCCGTCTTGCGTCCTGGGTCCAATAAGCATCTCCTTCTCGTGTATCAATTTGCCCGTGGCATAAACTCTTCTATAGTCGAACTCGCTGATGGCCTCGGGGTCAATCCGCGGGGGGAGAGGTAGTGGTGGACGGACCAGCCGATCCTCAAATTTGGCTAGCAGTCTGGTTTTCCATTCAAGGCGCTGAACCTGCCAGCTGCCGAGAACGAAGGCGGTCAACGGGATGACAGCTAGAATGGCAATACCCAGCTTGGAGTTCTTCTTCCGGGTTGATATAAGCTTGGGAGGAGCATCGACGATGGAGACAAAATCTGGGTCGTCCGCATTCTTCGGACCTGGTTTGGTCGAGTTATAGCGGAGAGCAGGGCGCCTGCGGACAGATTGACGCCATGGCGAGCGGATTGACCGCAAGAGCTTCAGCTCATGGCGGGCCATTGCTTGCCTTTCAACGCTGTCCTAGTGATGGCGGTCCCTGAAGTGAAGCGTGGGGTTTTGGAGGTCAAGTCGAGGTACGTCCGCAGTACAGATCACGAGTATTAGTTGTAAATTGCATGCGGAGTTGGACATGAGCGGACTCCCGGACTAATTTATTTCCCCGCCGGAGCGTCCAGGTGCGCTTTTCCTTAAAACCACTCACTCAGTGCCACCATCCATGTCATTCTAGGAATTCTGATATCACCCAAACAGCAGTCCCAAGATGTTTCACGAAGGCGATCTCCAGAGCGGGATCGGACTTGCTGTCCAGCAGGCAAAAGCTGTTCTCTGCTTTGTGCATGGTGAGGAACATCTCGGTAGACTTCTCACTAATCTAACCGCTAACCCGACCATGTCTAGATCGAAGCGACACCAGCAGTCAGTGGGAGAGCATCTTGCAGGACGATACTGTAAGTTCGCCTACGAAATGTCCCTCAGAGTCTAATTGGGCGCAGTTCTCATGCGCAATCTCAACTCAAGCCATCGCTCTGCGATTAGAGGCCGGATCGCAAGAGGCTTCCTTCCTCGAACCCATTGCTACCATCCACAATCCCCCTGCTATCATTATCATAAAGTAAGATTGCTTCGGATGGGCACCTGGTGAGACGTGGCCCCTGACGCGAATAGGAACGCCCAGCTGCAAGCCGATCTCCAGTCTTCACAAGTGTCAAGCGAGGAACTGAGAGCCCGCCTCACCTCTTTCTTTGATTTCGGCAAGGTCGCAGATGGCGAAGACGAGCCAGCAGAAGAAGAAACCTCTAGTAACACACCTGCCCTGGACTATATTGATCTACAGCCTGCGCCTGGTCAGATGAGACTCCCAAGTAATGCTTATGATGCTCTGCGGAACCATACACAGAAGCTCCTAGATGAAGGAACTTCCCATCCGAAGATATTCGACATTCAGTTGTCCCTGCTTGGCAACATACCGATCTTCAAAGATGAAGTCACCCGATTGCGAACGTCGTCTAACAAGGAACTTTCTGAATATGCCCGATCCCGACTGTTACGACTTCCGGCTGTTGGTCTAAAAATCAAAGACAAAGGTAAAGCAAAGGAAACTCCTGCTGCACCATCGTCTTCGTCTGCTTCTCATCCTGCTACGCAACAGCAGACTTCAGTTTCTTCCAGCTCAACTCAACCTCCTTCAAATTTACCCGCCACCAATAGCGTACCATCACAACCCCAATCCGACAAGCCAAAGGGCCAGCGAGATGACTATATCAAGATGCAACGCGAGCGTGAACAGAGGCAACGTGGCGAGAGGGAACGTATCAAAGCGCAGATAAAGGCTGATCGTGAAGAACGTCGACGATTGGACGATATGCGGAAAGGCATTGTTGATTCATCCACGGATTCTTCGACTAAAGCCTCTGCCAGTGCTCCCTCCAGTACCCAGAACCGGAGAAAAGAAGTCAGAGTCCAAGTCCGGACATTTGATGGAAGCACACTACGCTCTACCTTTCAACCTTCTTCAACCCTCTCGGCGGACATCAGACCTTGGATCGAAGACGAATCGGGAAATAACGCCCCTTACAACCTCAAACTCATTCTCACACCACTTCCCAATCGAAATATCGAGGCCGCCGAAGAAGAACAGGAACTATCAGAGCTGGGTATTATTGAATCCTGCACTCTGGTCATGGTGCCCGTCAAGGGATACGTGGAGTCATACACCGGTGCATCCCCTGGTGGCCTGCTCGGGTCTGCTGTAACCGGTGGCTTCGGTCTTGTCACAGGGACTGCTGGAGCCGTCATCGGCGGTGTCAAAAGTATTCTCGGCTTGGGGACAACTCAGACTGAGTCATCAACTTCATCTACCGATGCAGCCGGGCCTGCGGCTCCAGGAGACAATGGAGATAATAATCAACAGGAATCTTCAAAGGTACGTGTCAGGACACTTGCTGACCAAAGAGCGGAAAGCGCAGCGAAAAGAAGAGATCACCAGTTCTATAATGGCAATCAGCTGAATTTCGAACCGAAGAAGGATGGGGATGGCGGCGGTGGTGATGACGGACTCAAGAGAGATTAGACACCTAGAAAGGATATTTTGTTCGATAACCTCTATCAGACCTCCTTTCCAGACAATGCAAGCCCTTCACATCCCGTTTCACTAACGTTCGCCCGCCCTCAAACGAGCTGGGAAAACAAAATATCGTCATATTCGGTATCTGCCATCTCATGATGATCTGGGATATCTGCGTCAAGCTGGTGGAAGGCTAGCATGCAGCTATTTTAAGTGCTATGCAAGGACGGCATTCAGAGGTAAGTATAAGTCACCTTGGCATTTGGCCTTTGGAGCGACAGAGCATATTGCGCCCCTCGCCCAAAATCAACAGAGGCACAACTGGTTACGGTAGATTCTACACGCCTGAAGATCTGCTATAAAAAGGAATTTGTGCGTCTCTGACATCCTAAAATCCTGCGCCAAAACCTGCCCCCCATCCTCCACCCATGTGCTTCTCGAACCCCCATCCCGAGCTTACCCGCTCGTCACGCTCGTTGAGAGCGTCGTCGGAACACTGCTGGTCGCCGTGGAAGAAGATGTCGTCCCCATGGCACTGGTTTGGGTTGATGTCGGTGCTGAACTGGAGCTTGGTGGAGGCGGTGCCGCGGTGCCGCTGCCGCTGCTGGTCACAGACCCTGCTGCAGAGGTGGTTGTGGTGCCAGAAGGTGTGGTATCACCCGTCGTGCTTGTCCTTGGCGCATGAAAGGCTTCCGCAATATCTGTAACGCTGCTGGTGGTTACGGGTACTGACGCAGACTTGGTAGCTGGTGCAGAATTGGAGTTTGGCTGCGCGGCTGCTGCTGTACTGCCGCTGCTGGCTACGGGTGCTGATGTAGAGGTTGATGCAAGGCCAGAAGGTGGTGTAACGGCGGTCACACTTGTTTCTGTTGAGGCAATGGCGCTCGCGGTGCTGGGTAGCAGAGCACTTGTTGCGAGGCTGCTGCTCGTGAAGGTGCTGCTGGAGATGCTCACTCGGGATCCACCTGCAATCGGGGCGCTCGTGCCTGTGATTGCGGTGGATGCTGGGGAGGATGGAGACAATGTAGTTGTTACTGTCGATAATGTGCTCGCACCGTTCGACAACGTGCTCGACCCTGACTTCGTTGGGATCCCGCCAGTGCCTGAAAAAATACTGTCCGTAACTTGTGGACCGATCCCCGGACCGCATTGCCCAAAGACTCGTGTAATTGAGACCGAGTCGGCAGGCGCTGCGGTGACCGTAGTCGTCGGGATGCATGTGGTGGTCATCACACCCAGATTCGATTGATACGTCTTGCCGGCTGAAACATAGCTGGACATCGAGTACGGGATGCCATGCGCATCGGTCGAAATCCAAACGGCACCGCGCGAGGTTGATGCATATGATGTTGCATTATTTGGGTGAGATGTAGCTAAAAAAGTTGAACTACTGGATGGAGACGTAATAGCTTGAGTCGTGCTTTGACTCGTCCCTGTGCCACCCTGCGCCATGGCAGGATAGGTCGATGTCGAGCTAGTAAAGGTTTTCGCGAATGTTGTGTCACCGTTGGCTGAGAGACTCGTGGATGGTGATTGAGGAGCGGCTGCCGTGGATGACACGGATGGAAAGCTGGTGGCAATACTCGTGTATGTTGACGGAGACGAGGCCGAACTGACAAGGGCGGGATCTACATCGGTAGTGGCTGTCGTTGTCAGATCACTGGTGGTAGTCTCTGTGCTGACTGGCTCCAAGGATGTGGTATCAATGTTGACGGAAGAGGCCGTGGTTGGCATGTTGCTTGAAGAGCTCGTGGACGACATAGTGTTCGAAGCGCTCGTGGGAAAGAGAGAACCTGATACAGGATTTGAAACCGAAACTCCATCAGTACTTTTATCAAATGGTTCGGCCCTCGGCCTCGATTCAGTACTGGTAATGGAGGCGTCGCGCTCCGACGAACCAGAGGGCACGGTGACGGTAACTGTAGCATTTGCAGTGGTTTCCCATGACCACGTCAAAGTTGTGGTTACTGTCGATATAAACGTGGTGCCCGAGTCCGGTGTGAACACTGTAGGGCTGGTTGAAGAGACTCCTGCCGCAGAGGTGCTAGTCGATCTCGTCGTCGAGGCTTTCTCAGGGCTTGCTGAAGTATGCGAGACAGAATTAGACGATTTGATAGGAGGCGACTCGGAAGTCATCTGCCAAGAGGAGTTGTCATCTATAATTGTTGACGAGAGAAAAGCTGAAGAGGTCAATGATGAGCCCGTGGTGGTTGGTGATGAATGTATATAGGTCGATGAAGGCTCAGCTTGAGTGCTGCAATTGTTCGGCAATGAAGAAGATATATCAGTACTATCATAAGTATTAGATCCTGCAGAAAAAGACGTGGCCTTGGCTGGCTGGCTCATGGGAACAGGATCAGTCTGGGCTGGACTGGGTCCCGATATGGAAGAGACTGGAACCACAGTGACTCCGCCTTGAGTGGTTGTAGATGCGATCGTTGATCGGGAGAACATAACAAGAGCGCACACCGCCGCAGTCAATAAACGAGATTTCCCACAGCAAATCTCTCTGGCAGATACCCTCATAGTAATCTTCATTGCCTCTCAAATGGTTAATGTGCGATCTGGGCCTGATGAAGATCAAGGCCGGCCTCGTGCTTGTTCGAGGGAGGAGTAGAACTTAGTTTTTGTATATTGAAGAAGTCAGATACTGTCTGTATGTTCAGAATTCTCAAATGGAGGGTAGAAATGGAGAGTCAATATAGCACGAAAATTTATATGGTAGAGATATTGCGCCTCCGGATTTTGAGACATTGGGTGTAGCTCACAATGATACGGGGGCAGTCATTGCTGAAGAGTCTGGGGCCGGGGTGTGTCAACTTCCAACACCCCAAACAATAGGAGTGACATGAGCGTGTATCAATGATTCAAATGGATGACCTAGCCGTAGCCTGAGAAAAACGGTTTCCTTGGATATGCGCATGGTTGTTTAGTTCCGTTGGTACAGTTCTGTTTGTTCCAAAGATGTCACAAAATCCTCCCAATATTTCAACCTCTAAATGAAGAGGAGTAAGGTGAGGCACATGACCCCAAGGATTGCGGGCAGGTTCACCAGTCCCAGGTAGCCCTCATTGCTGTAAACCACAACGGTTCCTCCACCGCCCCCGTTCCCACCGGAGCCTCCACCACCTTCACCCGGGCCTCCTAAATAGGGATTACCAGGAGGACCCCAAGTGTAGTAGTACCCGGTCCACGTCGCGCAATCAACACTGAAGCCTTGATCATTGAAGCACCTCTGCCTTCGCTCGAGAGGGTTTGGCAAGAGTGGCGCAATAGTAACGAGTGCTGACAATGGCAATTGGTGTTGAGTGACAGTGATACTTGTTGTAGTTGTCGTATGAACTACAGCAGAGGGAGTAATTGGTGATGAAGTTGAGATTGTTGCAGTCAATATTTCCTCCCTCCCAACCAACACTGGCGTGATCGCAAAGCTTGAAGCTTGGTAGATGAACAAAAGCAACACTGGCCACCTCATATTGAATATTTGGGATGAGCTGGATGTACAACGAATGTTCGAATGCTCGAGTTCAAGCGATAAGAGGCTCCAGATCAGTGTTTTTATGAAGGAGCTCTTTGAATGGTTTTCGACCTGGACTGGTATGAATGCGACAGTTACGACAAGCGATTTGTGTGACTTAAGAGAGCTCGGGCATCAATTGAGATTTCAACCACCGAGAGTCTTTTGCTCGCATAGTGTCGGTGAAGGTGAGGCGGGCCAAGCGTGGCGAATTCTGATTGGTCATGGGGATGGCAGGCTTTCCACATTTTTGATAGCTCAGTTCTCGGCGTCGGTTTTAAAGCTCCCAACATTCCCCAGCTGGCTATGATCCTAGAAGCGGTGTCACTGGCAAAATGTGTGACTGTGACATGTTGTCTGACTTCTGCATGTCATTTTCCCACCATCTGAGCTCCGCGATGCCGGTATCAGAACAGCTCCTCCGTATAGCAATCGTCATCCCCAGTGTCTCGCAGTGCAGTGACGACAGTTAGGTCAGATGATGCTGAGGGGTGCATGCTTCTTTTAACGGTTCGCCAAGTGACCTTTGAGCATTCATGGACACTGGCTGCCTGAACTTTGGTTCCGCGGAAGTGACCCTCTAACAAGTGAATCACCAAGGATTTCCAAGGTTCGTTTATATACCCTCGACAGCTTAAGTGGGATAACCCAAGCATCAGATCGTTCTTCCTCGTCACTCTGAACAGGTGCGTCGTCGTCAAAGCGATCATCCTCGGTATCAATTTCAGACGAATCCTCAACGCTTGCAACATGACCACTCGCGGAGGCAGCATTCATAGCAGCAACGCGTGTCTCTTCAACAAGAGACTTGATGCGTACCTTGTCGGTCGTGGAAACATGGTAAGGTGGAGAGTCTCCTTGGTTTCCATTGCTCAGCGGCTGAAGCAGTGAAGCAAAGCCTTCATCAATCTTCCCCACGAGGGCAAAAAAAGTGTTGGAAAACGGGAAGGCCTGGAGATATGAACAAACTTGTCCGGCTAGAGTAAGGAGGTATGGAATTTGGAGTGTTGCTAGAATGAACAAAGTTAGGACACGACCCTCCGTGAAGACGAGAGAATTTCAAGCACAATGCCACCATATCCCTACCAAGGCCGTTACAAAGGTACAGAATGGGTGAGTTCAAGATGTCATTGCCATCGAGGGCGAAGAAACTTACGTGTCCCACTGATCCAAACAACATTCACAAGCGGTTCAACATCAGTAGCGAATTCATCGTACGTAGTATAACCTGGGGTGTTATCTTTATCTCGGCTTTCATTACTGAATTTCTTCGCGTATCTTCTGGTGATTCTCAGTATTTTGTCATCCAGATAGTTTATCAGGGCAATTTCTTTCTGTGAGCCGGGTCGCAGACGATGCATGCGAGGCGCTGGAAGGCTTGAGTTATGGTTTAGATTTGAGGCATTGCTTGGAGAAGGGGAGCCGACAGATACAGGAGGAGAGGCGAGACCGCATGCTCGCACACCTTCCATTCTTGCAGTCACAATGAGTGTAATTGAAACAAGTCCGGACGGTACGTATGGGTGATTGTGGACTGTCACCTTCGGGCCACGCTATCGAGCAGATGCATGCTTGAGAAGTCTGGACATCAGATCTCAGAGGAAAGATCTTCTCAAATCAGAAATCGCGATGTTGGTAAACTCTTAGAACGCGAGAGAACAGAGAATTGAAATGTTTGCCAATCGACAGATCCAGAGTTCAATGGCGATGAGTTTGTCGTCCTCCGCAGGCAGAGACCCCGCACCTCACGGTGTCCCTATGCTCCACCGTACTCTATGCTCCACCCTTCTATTATCCCATAACTGCTAGATCAACATCTGAATAGTCCAGCCTCTCTTATCATCAACCTCCTCCTAATGAGGATATCCACGTGCGATGGCATGGTGTTCACGACTATGATCAAGTTAGGACCGCCTCTTAATTAAACTGCGCCATGAGCGGGACAATTCTACTAGATACATTGCTACCCGTTTTCACATTACTCCGAAGTCCCGAAATCAATGATTTGGTTGGATCCGCTCTCAACTCATTTGCCCAACCCGACGCACCCTCGTGCCAAATTTAACCGACGGCTTTTATGAGTACACGACCAGGACACCAATTGATTAATTAACTAAAGTCCCTGAACAATGTACAACTGCTACCGTCTAGATGTTCGTCTGGTGCAAACTACTATTGTTTTACCAGCATGGCGTCCCAGACCTCCAACACCGCTGCATTCCCCATAATAGATTCTCACATCCACTTATATGCCAAAACTCACATTCCTACACTCGCTTGGACAGGAGATCTACCAGCAGATCATCCATTGAACAGACAGAGAAGTGTCGAAGACTACAAAGCTGTGTCTGCAAGACAGACTAACCTGCTGGGGTTCGTGTTTCTGGAAACCGACCGTAAGTCTGGGCTCGGTAACACTGACTGGGAAGATGCTTTGAAAGAAGTGGATTTTTTGGTAAGAATCGCTACCGGCTCACCAGTGGAGGGCGAGGGCCATGTACCGGAAGATAGTCGGCTTGTTCTGGGAGTGGTCCCATGGGCGCCGGTACCAGCAGGGACCTCTCTCTTAGCAGAGTATGTCGAGAATGTTCAGACGAGATTCTCGAATGCAGGTATAGCAGATCGATTGAAAGGTTTCCGTTACTTGGTCCAGTCCCGACCAGCTGGAACAATGCTGCAAGCCGAGTTCATCGAGGGTCTCCAGTGGCTTGGAGAACAAGATTTGGTTTTTGACCTCGGAGTGGACGCTCGGGAGGGAGGGCTGCACCAACTGGAGGAAGCATGCACCATGATGCAGCGGGTTTACACGTCAGGGAGCAGAGTCAAAATTATCATCAACCATTTCTGTAAACCGAATCTACACCTCACGGCATCTCACGCAAATGAAGGGCATCCAGACTTCCTCGGGTGGAAAGAAAACATCGAAAAAATGGCCAGCTACCCTTCGACATACATGAAATTGTCCGGCTGGTTCTCAGAATTACCTCCCCAAAACGAAGGGCATCCTGAAGATATAGCACGGTTGGTGGAGCGAACGAGGCCTTGGGCCGATGTTGTATTCAAAGCATTCACTCCATCGAGAATCCTATTCGGCTCTGACTGGCCGGTCTGTGGTGTTGGTGGCCCAGGCAATTATTCGTGGCAGCATTGGCATGATCTAGTAGAAGCAATTCTCGAGTCCCAGAATGCAAGCGCGCAGTCGAAAAAAGAGGTCTGGTCTGGCACGGCGGCACAAGCATATAACATTAAGATTTAAAATCCCCAAAATTCATGGGAAATGGGTATCTTCTCATTGAAAATTGACGAAAGCTCCTCCGTCCACCAATATTGCGGCACCCGTGACATAGGATGACAGCTCGCCGGCAGCGAGGAAAAGAGCTGGTCCTGCCAGGTCATCTGGTCTCCCTAGTCTTCCAAGAGGAATCCGGCCTTCCATATACGTCTTCTTCTCACTCCCATCCTTTAAATCCTCGTCGTTGAGCTGTGTTCGAATCGTGCCTGGGAGAAGGGCATTGCAACGAATGTTATATTTGCCAAGCGCCGTAGCGGTCGATTGCATGAGGGAAAGAATTCCGGCTTTAGTTGGCGTGTAATGACACTGTTGAGCGCCACCAACCAATGCTGAAATACTGGAAATACCAATGATCGATCCACCCTGGGGTTCCTGCCTGGTCATCTGTTGTGCAGCGGCCTGTACCGCATAAAAGGCACCAGACAAATTCGTGTTGACATGCCGCTGGTAGGATGCCGGGCTGATTTCGAGAAACTCCTCAAACTTGCAGATCCCGGCGTTCGACACAAATGTGTCCAGCCGGCCAAATCGAGCAACAGTTTGGGCCACAAGTTCCTGACCGCCCTCCGGCTGTGATATGTCTCCTGGAACTGTCAGGAACGGTACGTCGTCGAGGTTGTGTAGGGATGCGGATGGATTTCTAGATTTGATGGCGTCGAATGCTTCAGTGCGGAGTGACGACAGCAGCTTTTCCTCGTCCTTGTTGTGGGATGGCAGGTAGTTGATGGCGACGCTGGCTCCATGAGACAGGAACAATATAGCAATTCCTCTTCCGATCCCGGTGAGTCCTCCTGTAATGGCAGCCACCTGGCCTGCGATGAGTGGTGGTAACGCCATTTCTGCACTGTTCTGCGGGCTTCTTGTGCTTCGGGGTTTCCTTTGTGGTATTAAATGAGGTGGTGCAAAGTTACTTAGGTACAACCTTTGGGTGTTTTCCTTTTCGAGGAGGATAGAAGCTCACCAGGAAACTCATTTGAGCATTTCCCATGTGGACCCGATTATCATAGTAATGATGCATCAGCTCAATGCACTTGGCACTCAGGTGCAGAGGAGCCACCCGGAGAACCACCTGCCCCTCGGCCGGAAATCGTGAAGGGGGGGAAGGCCAGAGGCGTCTTGGCTCTCGGGTGATCATAGAGCGAGGCTGCCGGTTGCACGTGCTCGACCCAAATCTGGTTTTTGCTATCGGATGTACGGAGGACTGTTTATCCGTAGAGGCACGGGTTTAGCTAATCCTTTCAACATCTCCCTGTTTGAATTGTTGCCAGTGGATTGGTGGGTCATTGAGTTGATTTTCAGGTCGTCTAGCCTTGCGTGCTACACTGCATTGCTCAGGAGTCTTGTTACGTCCTTTTCATTTAAGTTTCCATAGTAATCATGTCTCGTCAAGCAAGCTCGAAACTGCGTGGCTTGGCCACGATATCAGGGATGTTGGCATTCATCGGGGCTGTGGTAGGTCAAGCACATATCTTGAAATATGCTCTCTGGCGCCAAAACGGACGTCATCGATCCATACATGGGCAGCCCGTCTCTAGGGGAAAGCTGCGTTTCCTCTTCGATGGAAAGGATCGTCTGCACTGAAAATTTATGCGCTGACAAAGCTAACGGGTTCAAGTCGATGGTGCCTCACATATCGATTATTCGAGAGGAAGACTCCACGATTATCAAGTACGACCACATCAAGGTAAACTATGCTTCCTAAACCACCTTCAAGCATTTTACTCCATCTAACCACCAATTGTATAGACCGAGCCCTCCGGCCCCGGGCCCCGAGACGAAGGAGTCGTTCTTTCACCAACCACAAAGCCCCTTGCCCCTAGGAAGGCGGCAACTTTCGGCGACAAAGATTGGATATTCGACACGGGGGCGACATCACACGTCTGCAGTAATCGAACACTATTGCACCGCTACAGCAGCCTGAATCCTTACACGAACAGGTCTCACGCGCAGGCGGTGGCTCATTTCGGCCCTAATCCGATACCCATCGTGGGCATTGGCGATGCCACGCTGTCTCTACCTGCAGGAGACGCTTCGTCTTCGGTGTGGTCAAAGCTGTATGGCCCCAGTGACCAGAACTTGTTGGGAAGGCAACCTCTCACGATCAGAAATGTCAGGTATATCCCTGATGGTGGGGTCAACCTCATTTCGTGGTCGCAACTGAAGCAGTCTAAAAACGTAAATCTATATCTGGCCGAGGAGAATGACGGGGTCCTCGTCGTTTGGGCTAGGGGCCACCCTCAGCCTCTTATGCGCTTTGCACTCAGAGACGGGTTGTATTTCTTGGAGCAAGCGCCAGCCGGAGTTGAGTTCCACGCCAGCCAAGCAGTTCGAACACCTGGCGACAACCGCAATGCTCCAAACCAGTAACAGAGTCAAATGCGAGCAAGGCCGGTTTATCCGGCAACTGAAAAGATTTATACCATTTGTTTCCAATTCTTGCGGGGATTTTGAAAATCCAACGCCCTCTATAATGCAGAAGTTAATGACAACTTAACAAGGTACACAAAGTCTAAGCAACATGGCCTTCAGAAAGTTCTCCGTTCAGAACAACGTGATCGCCATTGACTTTCGTCTCCTTCTGCTCTACAGGCGCTGTCAAAGACTTCTGAGGGGCAAATCCCAACAGATTGGTTGCATCAACCAATCGAGCGTTCGGGTTTAGTTCAAGACCGAATCCTGGCTTATCAAGAACACTGACATCTAGGTATCCATTGGTGGGAATGGGTTCGTTGAGGAATAAGTCTCCAAATACTGGCAGGACGCTCTTCCCATCAGGGCTGTTTGCGAGATATTCCTGGAATGGGGAATTGTGCTGGCTGACAACAAAGTGGTATGAGTAAGGACCCGAAGCGTGAGGAACGACGGGGATGTCGTATGCGGCGGCCATGGCTGTGACCTTCAGAAGCTCAGTCAGGCCTCCCAGCCACATAACATCAGGCTGGATAATATCGACGTTGCGGCCTTCTAACAATTTGCGAAATCCGTAGCGAGAATATTCATGCTCCTATAAGGCAGTCAGTATCAGAGGTGGTGGTCTGGACATTGGGTATGCTTACTCCCGTCGTGAATTTTGTATCCGGATGCGCTCTTTTTAATAAAGCAAATCCATCAAAGTCGTCAGGAGAGAGAACTTCTTCCCACCAATCTATCCTAATATTTTGTCGCTTTGCTTCAGATACAAGTTCGATCGTATATTGAACATTCAAAGACATCCAGCAGTCCACCCGAAGAGGGAAATCAGGCCCCACATCCTCACGATGCTTCTTGAGAAATTCTATGTTCTTCCTCAGACTGTAGGGCTCCTCTGCACTGTAAGGCAAGGGTACCTTGCCAGCCATAAAACCCATCTTTTGAGCAGCGGCTGGCTCGGGCCCTGTGCAGTAGAAGTGCAACCGATCTCTCGTTGCACCGCCGATCATTTTGTAGACTGGTTCGTTTCTAATTTTTCCAAGGAGATCCCATAGTGCCAAATCAAGAACTGAGACGACTGCAACCGGCAGCCCTTTGCGACCATAAAACATGGAACCTCGATACATGAGCTCATACAGATCATTGACATCCCGGGGATCTCTTCCAAGCAGAAAGCGCTGGAAGTGTTGCTGGACAAGCCAACAGCCCGGAGGCCCTCCAAATCCGGTCGCAAATCCTTTTGTGCCGTCGGTCGCTTCGATCTCGACACAGAAAGACCCCAAGACATTGATTCCAAATGTCGTTCTAGAGCTGCGGTACTTCTCCCATTTGGACATCGGAGTTGCAATTTTGGCGTCGATCAACCAATGGCCACCTTTGACATTATGATAATCACCACCAGAGCCTACGCCCTCGATGATGAAGGTCCGCACGGCTTTGATTGTTGGGAAGGACTTGACAGACGCCATTCTGGGGACTGTGTTGCCTAAGTTTGAGAGGTGGGAGAAAAGATATGTGTCCGGGTCGTGGGCGATGAAATGATTATTATATGATGCTTCCCATTGATCGGCGAAGCGTGGGGGACAGAACGGGAGCACAGAACGAGCTTTAGACTACGACAGTTTATGTAGGGAAACTAATCTCACGGCAATTCAGAGCTTGGGGGTCCGTCCATGATGCCCTGAGGGGTGGAACGCGATGAAATGGAATCATGGTTCGCTGATCGGGATAGTGTTGACCGGGAGAAGCAGAGCAGCTGCAACGCTTCGATGGATTTTGGCACGGCCACCATGGCTCCGTCGGCGGTGGCTACAACCTCTTCGGGACTCTTGCGGGGGTACCTTGACATACACATGTAGGTGGAACTCCGTAGAGTGTAGCTGACGGCCACCCAGGCAGGCGGTTGGAGAGGTGGTCGAACGACAATTGAACAGCACGTGATATGTGCCATCGTGCATGCCAAGCCTGGGAGGTTAGGGCTTGGAGGGAGGCGGGGAGGAAGGAGGCAGTTGAGAACAACAGGAAGGAGAGAGGGGCGCCCAGACACCCAGACACCCAGAGGGCCTGCCGCCCGTTTCCATTTCTTCCCCAGCTTTTTCCTCTGCTAGCCTTCTCCATCTTTCTTGTATTCAGTGCCTCTCTCGGTCGACCTGCTTAATCTCGGCCCGAGATACAGCATTGTTTCTTCTCGGTGCAATGTTGCCATTCCTCAGAATCACGACCACTGCAAGCAAAAATTATCCATCATGAATCCTACCAAGCCTGAGCTTTATGGAAATCATCATGGTGCCAGCAATGGCCTGACCAATCTGCCCAGCCATGACGCGCGCCCATTCCAGCACCGTCTTTCCGCGTCACCCACCACTTCGGTTTCTGGCTCTGATGACGAGCGAGATGGTTCAAGGAAGCGCAAGAGGCCCATGAATGTCACGTAAGTAGTCGCGCTATCCACACCTGTTCTCGCGTCTTTCAATCTGATCTTTCATGCTCGAGCCATGTGGATTTCTGCTAATGCCGGAGCTGGACAGCTGTGAGGCTTGCAAGCACAGAAAGGTCAAGTGTGGTATGTCATCATCATCCTTGTTCTCTAGACATTTCCATTCTCGAGCAACAAGTAATTGGCTCCACAGATCGAGTCCAGCCTTCTTGTGGATGGTGTTCTCGCAATGACCATCCTTGTGAATATAAGCAACGAAAGAAGCCTGGATTGAGAGCCGGTTATGGACGTGAGCTCGAATCCAGGCTTGATCGCCTGGAACAACTCCTCGACGAGCAAGGCCAACAGTTGGCTGCGCATCTTGCTGCGTCATGCACCGTTGATCCCTCTTCTAGTGTTGTTGCGCCTCATTCGCGCCCAAGCGTTCCGGTCGTCAGTCCGGAAGCCCAACCACGTGGCTCTTATGATGCTCAGACCGTGGCTTTCTCCGCTGATGTGAGCTATCAGCCACAGATGATCGACCCAAAGTTACGTGCTTCTGCATCGCGACATGGGTCACTCCCCTATCCTTCTGGGCCACAAAACATCACGGATCAACAGATGACACAGGCCCAAAGCTACTACACCCCTTCAGCGAACTCTCTGACCTCGCCCCATTCCACTGCAGGTTACCAAGGAACACAGGTCTTCAATGAGCATTCAGCCATGCTTCCCCCTTATGATCTACTCTATTCCCTGGTAGACCTTTACTTCAAGCACGTCAATATTTGGCTCCCTTTGCTGGACCGTAAAACGACCTTAGATACCCTGTTTGGGGCGTCCTCGTTGGACGAAGCTGAGAGAGTGCTGTTGCACGCAATCGTTGCAACCGCATTACGCTTCTCAACAGATCCTCGTTTGACTCCAGAGAGTCGTCGGCATTATCATGATACCTCTAAGCAGCGTGTGCAGCTATTCGGGTTGGAGAACTCTAATGTGAGGGCGTCGCAGGCTCTTGTCATTCTTGCATTAGATGTCACTGGAACGACCAATGGTCCTCCAGCTTGGAACCTGTTGGCCTTGATCAGTAGAAGTATGGTTCAACTTGGTCTCGCAGTCGAGTCCACATCATCATTAGCGACTCCGTTGTATCCCTCTATCGCGACTCTCAGGGTCTCTGTGCTACCAGAGCCTAGGAGTTGGATCGAAGACGAAGAACGTCGCCGACTTTTCTGGGCGATCTATTTGCTCGACCGATATGCCACCATTGCAACGGCTTTTGAATTTGCACTTGATGAAAAAGAGGTTGACAGACGCCTACCGTGCAGGGATGATTTGTTTGCAGCGAACAAGTTTGTGGAAACACGGTGGTTTCATCCTCCGGAGCGTCCACGATACGCCACTGGAATGACAGACAACCACGGACATTTCTCCTATCACTGTGAGCTCATGGCTATTCTTGGCCACATTCACCAGTTTCTAAAACGCCCCATCGACATTGGTTCATTGACGGATGTGGAGCAGTGGCAAGGCTCATACCGTGCTCTTGACAGCGATCTTAATGCTTGGCATTTCAGTCTGCCTGACGAGTTTGCAAACATCACCCGGCTGATGAAATCGAACGTGCCTGCTAAAAATACCAATTGTGGCTGGATCATGCTTCATGCGGCATATTGCCTGACAGTCATTCGCTTGAACTCATCTGCAGCGTACCCGGCGCAAAGCTCACCTATCTTCTCCTCCTCCTATAGCGCAATGCAGCGGTGCTTGTCTGCGGTTGAGAACTTGCGGCAACTATGTCGTTTCGTTAAGCTCAGTGGCCTACTGGACAAGATCGGGCCCCCGTTTGCTTTCGCCATATGGGTGGGTTCTCGTGTTATGCTGGTGCACGGCTCCACTATGGACCACGAGGTGGACCCTGACATTGACTTTTTTGTGACGACTCTATCCGAGATGGGTGAGCACTGGCTCGTTGCGAAACGATATAGCGAGATTCTTGGCCGCGTCCTTGGGGAATACAGACAGTCACACCGGACAAGCGGGATGACAGGGGAGAGAATCACTCCATCTACGGTGAAGATTCTCGCCGATATGCGCCGGTAAGGTCGTTCCCAAAATCTATTGGTTCAGTTGCTAAGCTTAAACGATAGTTGTGCCTACGACCTAGACTTTCTGATATCGCGTCAGCCACACGCATCCGCAGTCAAGTCGTACCATCCAACGCGAGCAAACACTCCCGCCCCCAATGAATTGGAATATTTGGATGTTTTTGATCTTTTCAACTTTCCACGGCTACCCATGGCGCAAGAAGGGGTCGATAACGGCAGTGCACAGAATATAGGTCAGGCGGCGGCCCCAGATCTCTCTGCAATGAGCACTGCTCTCATCCCAAATTTTGCAGTTCCCAATCCAGAAGCGGATTGGCTTTTCCATACAGGCTAGGACCTGGTGGAACGACAGGACCGCCCCTCAGTTTCCGATGTCGTTGCGACCGGATAAAGGGTTGCCAAAGGTCGAATAGAAATGGAATATGGCCATCAAACCTCGTCGAGCTGAGGAATGGTTTTCGAAATCCAACGAGGGTATGACGGGTCGAACAGATTAGCTGAGACGTCGGGCAGTCACTCCATTCAACATCCGACGACGAGCTAGATTCCGAAGAACGGGCCCGAAGTCGAGACTCGAACAAAAGACACAGTCCAAGCCACGGAGCCGCTGTCAGAGACCACTGGAATAATGTCACCATTCAGTATTTCAGGGAGTTTCACGTTTCTCGAGTCAGCCTTGCCCTAGACTCAATTTGATAGAAAGCCGAAAGAGGACAGTTTAAGTTTCCTGGTCCTGCCGAACGGATAGGGCGAGCAAGCAGGATAAAGCTAAGCCCTCCAAGAAATAGGGCTCACGATCCAGTAGGGGTGTGCAACACGGCTTGGCTTTTGAAGACTTTGGCAAGAAGCTATTTCGTACGAGCTGACCAACGAGGAATGTCGCAAAGCTTTCTCTGCCTCTCAGCCCAGCAGAAGGGGATGAGCAGGGGTTGGGCGACAGCTAAGGGCGAAAGGAGGGATTTGGGAAAGGACTTTAGTTAAGAAGCCACCTGGAAGGCCCCAAGCACGCTCCGTACGCCCAGCGGGAGCGTAAGATGACGTCGGGCCGAGCGGCTTCCTCACCCACTACTGGCACCAATCAACCCACTTTGGGGCTCCTCCACCAGCGACCTAGCAGCCCCCATGCCCATCAGCTTCAATTCATTCTGTCACAGTCGCACATACCTACATCCTAATATGTGCCTTGGCCGTTTTAGCTGTAGGAATAGCCTGCTTGGATGGCTACCTCGGGATTTGCACCATGCTAACTACGAGTGACTATTATTTCCTCTGATGTTGATATGTCGGCATAGCTGCCTCTGGACAGCACCACTCGTCACTAGTCAGATGCTAACGTCGCTAGTGCCTCACGGAAGGTGGCTTCTGATCTGGCACGCCAAATCACATGACAGCCGGTCGCGCCCACTCGCCAGGAAGGATCGCGGTGGACTTCACCCGCACGAACAAACTACTGCGGACCTCCCTCGTCTCGCAAATACCATTGACCTGACCGCGTCACTCGTGCCGTCGATTCCTCACTCTTCTTTGCTTCCTGAGTCATGTATGGAACCATGCCTTGCCCTGCCCACTTGTCTATCTGACATCTTGCGGATAACCATCTTGTATGATTTGTCTTTTTGGAGATACTCCCACAATCCCTGCCAACTGCTTGCTGACCTTCGCAAGTGGCAAAATGCAACTTGCCCTCGCTAACTCGAGAATTCCCATCCTCCGCCCCCCTTCCCATGGTTCCCACTTTCATCGTTCCCTGTCCCCCGTGACTCTTTCACCCAACGGTCTGGTCGTTCTGATCCGTTCCTAGTCATCTTTGCGGGATTTGTATCTCAAGCAAATCGTCTCTCCAGATTGGGTCGTGACTTTTCAGCACCGCCCGCCCTACTCCCGATATGTCCAAGCCTTTTCAGCCTCAGACCCTCCATCACACCAGGATCGCTGCTCGCTGCCACAAACATGACATGGAATTCCAGTGGCCGAGATATGTATACATCGGGACAAGGTTGGTGACGAACACCCGCCCCGCTCTCGGCTTGAATTACATCCTGGTCATTGAACGACATGAATCTCATGCGATGATCGCAGGCCACGTTTCGTTTCGGACCCAGCCCTCAGGAACATCTAGCCATTTCCTTACCTTTCGGTCATTTTTCTATTGCATTACTAGGCTACGCCATCTTGGTAAGGCCAACTTCTTATTTCGTTGTTGCCCTCTGCTTTCCATCTTGATTGGCGTTGGTTCAGATCCGCAAAACGTGTTCGGTCGGAGCTTCTGAGTGTCCGGTCAAACACGCAATTGTGTGAACTTCCTCCTTCCTACGATGCATGATGGATGCTTTTATTCACCTGGTTCTCCTGTATTCTTTTCATTGGATGATTATAGCCCGAGATATATGACCCTCCGTGGGCCACGAACTTCCGGTTTCTCTGCCTGACAGGCAATTTATCCTGATTGGCTACTTTACAAGGCTACACTCGACCCTCTTGGAATATAAGAGGTCTGGACTTTGATCCTTCAGATCCAAAGACGCCGTTGTGCATCTACGGAACGTACTTATATCTAACATCCTTTGACATTGAAAGAACGATCAATCTTCAAATTCAAAACTCAATCATTCTATCCAATCCAAATCATCCGAAAGCTTGCTCATTGCTAGTGTGGAAAATATGTGCTATCAAATTGTTGAACGATATTCAGTTTGTCGCTGTCTATATCACAAACACTCAGTCGATCCATGTCAACGATATGGCCAACGTGGCCATTCAACCACCGAGAAGACTGTTCTCGTCGGCTTCGCTTGTCCGGACCATGCTGCAAGACGCAGACCAGAGAACAAACCATCATCGGAGCAGAAACCTACTGGTAGCCGTCACTGGCATGACTCTGGCTATTCTAGCGGTGGCTACGGTTCCAATTCAGGTCGGCGTTGAGATCAATGATGCATGCGTCAACATTTATTGACCCTATCAACAATGCTGGAGGTGCAGCTCAGCTAGATGCTGATATTGCGACGGAAACTGGACCTCTCAACATGCCGGGATCATGTCGAAGCACAGACAATATAAAATCACTGGCTGCGTGGTTGGAAGTCAAAAAAGGCATGGCCGACTCAACTCTCCCTTCACTGCCGCTCCATGGATTACTAGAGGCGCAGCCCGTGGTCCAAGTCAACATGAGTACTCAGCCATCGTAGCCCAGGCTAGCTACAGCCTACGAAGTCTGTTTTGTAAGGGTCGTACAACCAAAGGGTGAGACTGGGACGAGCTACAATACCAAATGGCGTCATCGACGCTCATGGTGCTTCATTCATCAAAGCTGGCTTGAGATGTCGGATAAGCAATGGACGCTAGAAGAGTCACGGGCAGAGTATGTCGACCTCTCAGTTCGTCCCCCGGTCCCCGACACATTCATTCTCTGGCAGACTGTGTTTCATTTCAGTCATCTCACGAAGTCTTTTCCTTGGCAGAAATGTATTTTAGCTGGACGCAGGGACGTCCTAAGGGCTTAACACGGTTAACGTTGGTCATATTGGAATTGCACTGAAACGGGTAGCTTCTTTTGGGTTATTTTTACCACTGGTTGAGGTGGTTCGAGAATGTGAGCGTTGGCGAGTCCTGCTTAGATGGGCTGGATGGTCACGCGAGCTTTACTCTGCGTGTCCAAAAACGGTTCTGAAACATTTTACTATATGTATCTTATCGGATGCGAGTTTTCGTACGGCCCAGAAACAGAGATGGAATCCTGGGAAGCGGCATGTACCCAGTGCTCACGTGTGATGTCGTTGTCGACGGAGTGTAATGGCTTGGCAGCCTGAAATCACGATAGGCGTACCTTACAATTTCAGGCGACCATGGCGGCCGACCTTACTTAGAAATCTTTCTCAGCAGGCAGCGCAGTTTCTTTCTTTGGGCTTGCCCTCCTTTGAACACAGACAGCCTGGAACTTCTGTCCTGAGTGATGACTCTCCTTGAAGGCAGCACTTTCTCACTTGCATGCTTCTTGGTGTTCGAAATCGCCAGGAATTGGTATCTATTCGCATCTATTCGCTAATTACTACGGCTTACCCAACCAGGATGTTTGCGAAAGGTCAACCACTCAGAAGCCCTCCAGAGACTGCCCGGGACCTCGAGGCAATCGATCGGCTGATCATGATCCCTAAGCCTTGATCTATGACGAAAACACACTTGGCCGGGTCGGATCTCAGCCTGTGCACACTTGCCTCGACTGCGCATAACGTTTGTATGGCTACCGGGACGTACCTAGGTATCTGTCAGCGAGAAAGGTGAGACATCAATATCTGAGCAGCAGCAGTGGTAGCTAGTACTGTGACCAAAAGTTGCAACAAAGGACCCCAAAAGCCCGTACGGGCCTTGCCACATCCAGCCTGGGGCGCATCTATTGGGCTGAAAATAGTCCCTCGGTCGAGAAGCACTCACAAGGTAAGTAATAGGAGGTGGGGCCTTTTTGATCCTGTGTTCCTAGTCCCCTCTGAACTTATCCTCCATGCCACAATTCTGTGGGGATAAATGCAAGAGAGGGGGAGATCCAAAGAGAGAGAGAGGAGTGCACTAACTAATAATTACCGAGGTATCTTTCTGCGCCGTAGTGGGCAATGGAGTTCCAGCTGGAGCCCACTGGGACTGGTAGGAGTCTGAGTACTCGGCGGTGGCTACCAGGCCCTCCCGCTGCATTGCACTTCTTCAGCCGCAACAGGCATATCCGCACACAAGGCCAGGTACGGAGTAGCTCGTACTACTCGGTCTCCTAGAACACGAATCTCTCGAGTCACGAGTCACGAGGGTGAACTAGCATTGTGGAATTCTTTTTCTCCTGGAGATTCATTCTCGCCAAGAAAGAAAGATTTGAATTTTCGAAGAATCCATCGTGGCTCGAAAGCATAGTCCAAGAAGGATCCGAGACCTTTTGCCTGATTCTTCGAACGCCACAAGATTAACTGGTTAGTGTTGTGGCTGGTGGGCGGCTGTCATGAATCAAGGAGCGGGCCAAGGCTATCTACAGTACAGAGTAACTTTTGTTACAGCGCACATGGACACTTGCCGCCTCTTCCCAATGCAGACTAAACGATGACCGGGAGAAGACCGTGCGATACTCAGGTATAGACACAGAGAGGGAGAGACACTCTTGTGAATCCTCCTCCATCTTCCTGACTGGGAGTTCGAGACAATATTGATACGCCAAAACATGCTTTCTCCCAGTGGCGCGATAGGAGTCGAGGGATTCAAAGCAAGGTCAAGTCGCTCTTTTCGTCTGGCCGCTCGGTTTCGAGATTCAGAAAATTCCCGCATGACTCGCATACTCACCGGTACGCACCTTGCATGTACCACCCTGTTGAACGATGGTCTCGCTTTGTCACTACCTGCAGGGTATCAAGCGAGCAGGACAGAGATAGCGGCCTCGCATCGATGATACCACGGAGGCCAGAGCGAGTGCGGTGCGAGCTCGCTTGTGAGAGGGCGTGAGATGTCCATGTCCGCACAAGTCATGCGGACGGACGGCGAACTAGCTCCCACATTCTGACTACGAGATTGCTCTCTGCATGCGATTAATCGAGATCACTTCTAATGTCACGCTCAATAGCCGACTGACGTGGTGTGGTGATCCGATCGGCGTCCAGAGAGATGACAACCCCCCCCCCCCCGGCTGCCTATGTACCTACCTTGGGCAGACCCTACCCTGCTGGGGGAGGGGGCGAGGGGCTGGGGGGCATAAGACAAGACCACAAGACCATGAATAATCAACCAAAAGCCGCCCGCGCGGATCGGAGGAGCATGTTGTCCTTATCTGGCAACCGGCTTTCGTGCATTCTGTGGTTGTTGTTCCTTTGAGCCCTGCATGGTGGAGTGATTGTGTGGTGACTGCTTAGGACATCCTTTTCGGCCGCCCTCAATGCACCATCTACTTGTAAAGAAGGTCCTGACGAAAAGGTGGAAGGCAAGTGGGTAGACGGTGATTCCGCGCAAGTCTAGCAGCCATTAAGCGGAAGCGGCCGGGATCATCTTCAATTGTTCTCTCGCATTCGCTGCTGCTAGCAGCAGCGAATTAATACTTGAGAGCGTTGCCAACCCCAATGCGGCTATGGGTATACTTGGCGAAGGTGCCATCTCGAGTATTTTGGTCCGTTCATGGTGTTGTTGTTGTTGTTACTTTACGTGGATCGATTAGTTAGTTGGTCTTTTTTAAGGGATGCTTTTATGCGTCGCGCCATTCCCGTCATCGCATTGCTAGCCTCTTGTTTGCCATCGTTGCCGCACACGGCCGTCAGCTGCATAGCCGAGTATCTCTAAGTGGTAGTACTAGACCCGGCTCCTTCACTAGTAGTTGGGAACCATCCATTTCCGCAGCTAACTACAGACTGATGCAGTGGTGGTTACATGAATCACGCCCCCAGGAAATACGCCCAGCACATTGGCCACGGCGGATTCGCCTGGGTGCTACGTTGCTTTAAGGAGCGGATATCTCGATGCTAAATGATGCACGTTGGTTATTTGGCAACCGTTGCGCTAAATGGCCGCTCGCGCGATGTTCCCAAGCCTATCCAGACCCGGCAAGATTTAATCTACAGCACTTTCTGGGAAGGATTTGAAAATCTCGTTAATATCGACCGTGGAGAGTACGAGGTGCCACTTGATTGGCGAGGCCGGAGAGTGGGATTTGTATCCTGTTCTGACTGAAGTCTGGAAAGAGATGCATGAATGACAGGGATTTAGTCATAGTGGAAGCGATTGTCCGGTTGAGTTCCGTCTTGTGATCTCATATCCATGATGATAGGATCAGATGGAGCAATACCCAGACCATTCGTCTGGAAAGGAAATTCTTGCCTTCCAGAATAGGTGCATCCTTCAGGATGCAAAATGCCCTTTTGCGGTCAAACGAGGCGGATGATACTTGACTTCAGGGATGTCGTTACTTCCTGTCCAATCACCATTCATTTGTGATACTTGGCCCTCACCTTTGTTTTACACGTGCTGAAGGCCAATATCACAAACTGGTCACGAAACTGAAGACATCCTTATGCCACCACCACTGTGAAAGAAGAATCGGCATGGGGGGTTTCGCCCTCACATCGACAATGCCATCCAAACTTACATACCTTGAAACCATGGATGTGCGCCCCACGGAACCTCCACTTGTAGTCCTACTGTAGATGGGGGCTAATTTGCGTCTTGTACCTGCATCACAGTACCTGCTCATCGCCAAGCTGAACGAAGGCGTACTATACAATAACAAGTCGCCCGCCCCGTGGCCGCACTTACCTGCATCTGCCCCGATAGTTGGGCTATGCAGCTCAGTGTAACTTGCACTGAGAAGCGGGAGCGGATCAGGGCGTCGAGAATCAGAGCACATCTGCTGTGGCTGGTGGTGACCCCATGATCGGAACCATTTATGCCGACACGGGAGGTTGTGTACTTGTCTAACAGTCGTTTATGTAACAACCACGAACTGCAACGGGCCCGTTTCAAGCAAGCAAGCTCCACGTATCTCGAAGGGACGGGATCGCCCAGCCCTCCATGAGACCGACCGAGTCGGTTTCTAAAGCTTCGATTTTGGGTTTCGATGGACCAGCTTGCTGAGGCTGGAACCTTAGTTTAAACCCTTGCTCCGCAATGTGCACCGTTGTGCCGAGTACGACGCATTGAAGGATGAGGCTTCCCAACCAAGTCTCAAAAGCGGGTTTGAAAACAACGAGGTGAAGCCGTTGTGGCTTGGCGTTGGCGATGGGGCTTGCCAGGGTGCCAGGGTGCCAGGCCGCCTCAGCCACTGTTGTCAGCTATTCTTGGGGCGGAAAAGCCACTTTGTGGCTGCATAGCTCGTCCGTGATCAGTCTGTAGCCACAATTTGTGGCGCTCACCCCGTCCTCCATCCTGACGCACTTCACTAATACTCCGTGGAAGACTGTCCAAGGGGCCAATTTCGGTAATGCTTGAGCTCGTTCTCCTTCTGGAGCGGTCGGGTAATTGGAGACCTATTGCATGAACAGGGGCCGGCTGAGCATGTCGGGAAGGTGGTGTCGTTGCCAAATCCATCTCCACCGGCGCTTCAACGAGAGCGACTTCATGTCAAGGCCAAGTGGAATCACCAAGACATCCAGCATCGGAATGAGTCACCGTCGGTCATGCGACCCTGGACAGCTGATTGGATTTGAGCTTAGTCTGGACCAGCGACGGTATCAGCGTTAACCGGTGAAGACGTTCCACAGCAATTGACTCGAGGATCTATGGATCAACGGAGCAAAAATAGCAGTAAAGGTCCACTGGGCCGTTGTCAAGCCCTTGGCTGAACTGGAAACCAGCTCACTACCGCATCCAACAAGCCTGATCTTGTGCCCAGGGGCAGCCGTATTGTCTCGTGCAGGAATGAACAGTTCCCAACCACTCAGCTCCTGTTGAGAAAGCGCAGAGAGAGGACATTTCGATCTTGGGCTGATGAACAGCCTGTGATCAATCCATCTGGCCTTCAGGAGCTGGCCATTTCTGTCTTCACGGTATTGGGCGCCTTCAGTCTGGTGCTGTGCGGTCGTCGTGCTAGAGGACTGTCAGCAATCCCACCGTCCGTCGAGATCCGCCTTGTGCTCGACATCTCCAAGTGCGGCCTCTAGTTTTATGCTGATGGAGCGGTGACGAGGGAACAGATTATTGTTCAGGTATGAACTACCAATGGATCTTGCAACAGCTGATGGTTGAAGAAACTGAACGTTGGTGGACGGAATTGCGAATATCGACCCCGCATATTAATAATGTTACTTGCTCAAGCATCCTTCCCCCCATTTCCCACATCGTCGAACACGCGGGAGTTCCTCATGTTCTCCACATGCTTTTGCCCGGTGTTCCTAAGAATGCACCTCAGCTATCGTACAATGTACGGTACTTGGAGAGTGCAAGATTAAGCTCCTGCTATTTTTGGGATGAGAATGACACGGCACTTGTTTGCAGGGCTGGCTGTCGCCACATTTTCACTCTACTCGGGATTCAACATTTCTTGCCGTTCTCTCGGTGATATGCCTACCCAGAGTTGTCCAGTTCGGAGAATGCTTTCCAGCACTCGAACCGCTCCCGGTGGGCTTTGAATCTCATTGAGGGTTTCCATCCTTACAACGACCGTAGCAAGATTTGCGAGGCATTGACTGAGCTACTGATCCAGAGCCCATCGATCCATTCGCGGTTAGAGGCAACTGAGACGCGCATCGAATCGTGATGGATGTTGAAATTGCCCCTTATGCACCCAGAAGCATTCTAGAAACGCTGCCGTGCAGCCTCCCAATATCATGGTTCGATATTTCCCTAGACTTCGATGCAATAGCCGCTCCACTTGTTGAATCACTACGGCATCTCGATCCAGCTGATCTCTCTGACGAGTCCATCTGGCGAGATACATTTGCTCTCACGGGGACCTTGAGAACGTTTTACTCTGCACCTTCGATTGCCAATGCTTGGGCCCAGACTTGTGCGATCCGACAAGCAGGAGGCTTTTCTTTGATCTCGGGCTCAGCTAAACCTACACGTCTGGACAAGGACATTGGATGGGTCAACGTGGCCTTCGCATTCCGAAATGGTGGAAGTCCTGCATCAACATGTTCGGGGTTTCTGTCCCTGGTCCAAGATGAGAATTCAAGGTGGAGAATATGGATGATCAGGACTATTCTAGAACAGCTGGAAGGCTGCGCCGATGTCGACAAACTGACGCCTGTTGACGAGCTCTCACAACCGGCACGCAAGGGCACTAATGGAATCAACCCACTCCCTTCATCACAACCTGTTGACTGCGTGATCGTTGGAGCCGGTCAGGCCGGCCTCGGTACGGCAGGACGGCTCCAAGCTCTCGGCATTTCCTATATTGTTCTCGAGAAGCACGCTCAGATCGGTGATAACTGGATGACTCGGTATGATTCAGCGAGACTGCACACCGCCCGTGAGTATAATCATTTACCATTCGATCGTACATTTCCACTCCCTTACCAAGAATTCCTCACAAAGTATGATCTGGCGAAGGGATATAGGGATTGGATCTATAAGTTTGGTATCGACCAAAATATCTGGTTCAGAACTGTCTTGCAGTCTGGAACCTGGAACGAGACTGAGAAGCTGTGGACTCTTCGCATCAACCATCCCGGCGGTGAGGAGACCATCCAGACTCGACATGTGATCATGGCAGTGGGTGGCGGAGGTCAGGACCCTATCATGCCCACCTACCCCGGCCGAGAGGATTTCCAAGGAACAGTGCTCCATTCAGCAGACTATCAATCAGCAGATGCCTTGAAAGGCAAAGCCGGCATCATCATAGGCACAGCCAACACAGCACACGATGTCGCGGAAGACATGGTCGAAGCAGGCCTCTTGAACATCACGATGGTCCAGCGGACTCGCACATATGTCCTCCCGTGCGAATACTTCAAGGCCATCAGTGATCGTTCATACAATGCCGACGTGCCGACCGTGGACGCCGACCGCGAAGGTTATTCGATGCCGTACGCCGTGACGAGACTCCTCAGCCACAAGGCCCTGCATGCGATGGCGAGAAACCAGCCCGAAAGATTTGATGCCCTGGAGCGTGCGGGCTTTCGCTGCGAGCGCTACGGGGACATCATGTGGCATATCCTCGAAAAACTCGGCGGCCATTACATGGACGTCGGGTGTTCGGAGAAGATCGCCAATGGCCTTGTAAGTCTTACTCCTCAAGACAACCAACTTCTTGTGAATAAGTACGTGAAGCTCCAGCTTTCTAATTTTTTGGCCGTCCGCAAACCAAAATAGATCAAGATGAAATCCGGCGCACTCGCCACGCATTACACGCGCACGGGGCTGGGATTCAGTGACGGCACCGAAATTCCTGCAGATGTCATTGTGTTCTGCACGGGATTCGTGGGAAATATGCGCACCAACGTTGCTAAACTCTTTGGTCAGGGTGTCGCTGACTCGGTCGATGATTTTTGGGGTTTGGATGACGAGGCTGAGCTGAAAGGGGCGTTCAAGGCAACAGGCCGTGAGTGTTCTCCTCCCCACCCTCACTCAGCAAACGTTTCTTATGGTGGTACCATCTACCAGGATCTCTCTTTCAATATATAACTATCTTGTTTCGAGTTAGTCAGTTACTGACCTAGCGCTGCTCTCCTCAAATAGATCCTGGCTTATGGTATATGGGTGGTACGATCGGCCACGCCCGGTATTATTCGCGGCACGTTGCTTTACAGATTAAAGCGCAGCTCGTGGGGACGCCCTTGCCTGTGTACGACGAGGAAAGGAGACGTTGATCCAAGGGAGTGAAGAGTTGGAGACATTGGCTAGGAGGGAACGAGAGATTTCCGGCACGACGGGTGGTGGAAGGTGGAGAGTTGTATTCAGATGCGAGATTGAAGGATGTTATTATTTCAACGTAGTATAGTATCTCGCTCGTTTGCTCAAAACAGTGTAAAGATCAGACAGTACCAGGATATCTCCTCCGTGCTGTTCCCATGGTCGTTGGCGAAGCATCCTACCCACAATCTAGCCTTTCTGCCTCTAATCATCCCAATTCCGAAGCCACCTCCATATATCCCTTTATTTCGTCGTTGTATGTCGCCTCAAAAGGATGACGGGGCGCGTCGCTCCTGCATGGTTTTCATCTGATGATCTCCGGTGCGATTTTGAAGCCATATCCCTCCTTTTCCCAAGTCCACTCTCGATGCCCAAACCTTTACCAGCTCGTCACCATCACCATCATCATCATCATCACATGCTCATTCCAGAAACCCCCACAAATTGTTCAGACTCTCACTCAGACAAGGGTGCGCAAAGATCCCGCCTTCCAGCTCATCATAGGTCAAGCCACCCATCATCGCGAGCTGGACCATACTCATGATCTCACCGCCCTCAATTCCCAGGCACGCAAAACCCAATATCTCCTTGGTATCCGCATCCACCACAGCTTTCATGAAACCTTTTGTCTCATCTGTCTCGAGTGCGCGCGCGACATACGCCATTGGCATCTTCGCGACCTTGATGTTCTTCTCTGGAAACTGTTTGCGCGCGTCGGTTTCCGTCAGCCCGACGCGGCCGAGCTGTGGGTCCATGAAGACAGTGTAGGGGACGAGGCGGTTCTGTATCGATGCCTTTTCGCCGCTGTTGGCGTGCGTCAGTTGGTTGTGCCGCACTACCCGCATGTCGTCGTACGAGATGTGGGTGAATTGCGGGCCTCCTTTGACGTCGCCGAGCGCGTAGACCTGCGGGTTGGTCGTTTGTAGGTGCTCGTCGATTTTCACGAAGCCGTGCTTGTCGACTTCGATGCCGGCGGCTTCGAGGCCTAGGTCTGGTGTGTTCGGTACGCGGCCTGCGGCGCTGAGAACGTGCGAGAGGAGAAGGGATTTAATGCTCCCGTCGCCAAGTTTCAGCGACATGACGATCTGGCCAAGGGTCACGTTTCCGATGTCCGTGGTCTGCGTGCTCGTGTACACGTCAATGCCGCCGTCGACGAGGATCTGCTTCACGGCTTCCGACACGTCAGGGTCTTCGCGCGGCAGGAGTCGGTCGGCTCGTTGTATGATGCTGACTTTCGCTCCGAACCGCTTCAGCATCTGTCCGAATTCGATCCCCACGTATCCTCCTCCGACCACAGCGATGTGTCGTGGGACTTCGCCGAGCTCCATGACTGTCGTGGAATTCAAGATCGCGGGGACAGTTTCTGCATTCTTGGTGTCCAGCTGAGCAGGCGAGCAGCCAGTGTTGATGAAGATTTCATCTGCCGTGAGGACTATCTTATCATTCGACCCATTGATGGCGACTTCGATGGTCGTGGGTCCCGTGAATTTCGCCTTGCCCATGATTAGGTCTAAGCCCTCGGTGGCCTTGATGCGATTCTCGCCGCCGCCACGGAAGGAATCGACAATGTCGCGTTTGCGTTTTCGAACCGTCTCGATGTTCATGATAAGAGAGCTTTTCTTGAATTGTACGCCGTATGACTGTGCCCGGCACGCGAGGTGGGCGATTCTCGCCGATGCTACCATTGTTTTCTGTTAAGCATTGCATTAGTTACCTAGTCCAAGCTCAAAGTCCGGCTCGGAACAGCAATAGCAAGCAGAATCGGCAAACTTACAGTAGGCGTGCATCCTTCGTTGACGCATGTTCCTGTGCGATATCACATATTAGCACCTTGATCCATACACGTGAACTCCCCCCCACTCTAAGCCTTGAGTTCAAGATCCAAGATTTCGAACTAACCTCCAACATGCGTACTCTCAATCAACGCCGTCTTCCGACCTGCTTTCGCATATGCTTGAGCCAGAGGCCCACCAGCTTGGCCCGAGCCAATGACGATGGCGTCGTAGTGGTTTGTAGTTGGTGAAGACATTGTAATATTGCCGCTACCCTTAGGAGTAGACGACGGGAGCGAGGAAGTAGAAATCTTCCGCAACACTGGGGTCGGTAACGTTGTTGAAATACGTGCCTGCAGGCGGCCGTTGTCAAAAACCAAGACTCGTCGTGGGATCACGAGTCTCGCGAGCATTAAACAAAGTTGCTCAGATAGATATTCGGGGTGGTGATCATTCCACTATTAACCAGTGGCCACGTCGAGGAAGGGATTGACCTCTTTTTTTCTTGGTTCCGTATCTTTTCTCTTGTGATACTATCCACGGCAGCCTGGATCAAAGGAATTTTAATAACTAAGACAATCGCGGGCCGGTCTGAGCAAGCAACGCTTTTTAAATGTTCTTTTCCCCCTTCCTTCCTCTGGGGCACACACACCCTGAGACAACGCGACGCATGCTTAGTCACGCCCCCTCCCGGTCCCCACGGGTGCATCTTCGTCAGACAGGCTGCCTTGATTTGGAAAGATTTGTGGGGAAGGAATGAATGAAAGCATGAATGGGCTTCAAGCCGCAGACCAGGGCTTCAAAGGATGTATCATGTATGTATGTTAGGTGATCTGCATGGTTGTTTCGGAGCCAAAGGCATGCGATCGCGAGCGTGAAAGGGGGACGATTAGGTTATTCCAAGCTGACGTGGTTTCCTATATATATGCGCGATTTCTCAGAGCCATGCCGGGTCATAAGGCGAAGACTATGAGGGAGTGCCCGTGTGCGAGGACGTAGAAGTATTGTAACAGGGTTAAGTTGTAAGGATGAGGCTAACTACTACATACCAATACAGATACGTTCAAGAGACTGCAAGAGTCCTTTGTTACACAGACTTTGACCAATCCAATTCCTGCCCCTGATTTCACAATTTCGCCACACGGTCTGATGTCTTTTGCATCTTTGCCCTGTCAGCCTACGATTGCTCGCTCGCTCATCATCATGCGGTTTGGATCTCCTCGTTGTAGCCAGTGCTGTGTACACCGTTGCTCTGCGCCATATCGCTGTCCTGGATATCGTCTTGAATGCCGGGCACACCGGTTTCAGCAGCCAGTTGGTCCGGCTGGTCCTGTAGTAGGCCGTCGTGGTGTACTTTCAGCGCTGCACAATGATGGTTAGCCTTCCGAGAAATGAGTCCAGGGCATGGGTTTACTTACTTGTCGGGAAAGGATACCAGGAGGAGTAATTTTCGAGCATGAAGACCTCGATGCTGCCCGGATTGGGTTTAGGGTCGCTACTTGTCGGATTTGGTTGAGGAATCGTTTTCTTGAGCTGACCTTGGGAGCCTGGCGCGCGGCGAAGGTTCTTCAGTTTGGCGAATACCTTCAACTGAGCTGCCATGGCGACTTCGACGATGGGTCGACCGAGGCACGAGTGAGGACCGTAGCCGTGGTGGATGTACAGCGAGCGATCACGATTTGGATCAATTTCGCGCGCGTTGGGGAAGACTTTCTCGTCGAGCCCGACGGTGATGAAATCCGTGTAGATTTGATCTCCGGTCTTGATCTCCACTGGTGTTCCATCGTCATCGATGACAGTGTCGACGTTGGATTTGCGGAGCAGGCCGAAGGCGGCGGGGGCCAGACGATTTGCTTCGAGAGCATAGCCCTTGAGCTTCTCAAAGTCCTCTGGTGCATTCGACCATGCGCACCTTTGAATCTCGGACCAGTGCTTCGTATAATACTCCTCTTTCAGGTAAACGTCCAACATTTGGGTGAAGTGCTGCGCTTGCGTGGCAACAGCCGCGGCAGCAGTGGGAATGATAGTCCACACAACCTCGTCCACCGATTTCCCGCCTTCAAACAAACGTTTCAGGAGTTGGGCACCGTAATCTTCTAGCATCTTCCCAGCGGTTCCCATTGGAAGCAGATCGCCAAGATGGAGCCAGCCGCCGACCTTGACAGCTTCGCAGACAACCTTGACGAGTTTCCCGATCTGTTCGGTTGCCGTCTTTGCTCCGCCCCTTAATTTGAATGACCGTGCGGTATCAAGATCCAGGAACACATATGCAAACAGGACGGAAAGAGCCAGATAGAGTTGATCAACCTCGACGGCAGCCAGGTTCATGTCTCCACGCTTCTTGAGTGGCAAGTGAAACAATTTGGCAACGAAAATAGCGTGTGATGGATTGCCAACATCACGGCACGCGTCAAGTTGGTACCACTCGCCTCTCAAGCGTTCTGACCTTGCGACAACTAATTGAGTTGTTAGATCTTCGTAGAACGTTTGCACTTGTTTTAAACCATTGACAGGACAGTAGAGGGCGTTCTGCACATCTTTGCGTTGCGTTGCGTTGGATGGCTTGTCGCCACTCAGCATATAATCGTGTTTGGTCAAGGAATAGGTATGAGGGCCCCACGGAACCGCAAATGAGGCTTGGTCCTTCAAGATGTCGGTCACTGCCTTCCATGAGCGGATCGATGTTGGAGGTCCAATATATGACGGCCTCTGATAGTCGAATTGCTCTTCCTTGCCGAGTTTGGCCATGATCTTGCGGTTCTCTTCTGGTACTGTAAATGGGTACATGGCGTATATCGAGTTACCTCGATAGTAGAATGGCAGGGCTCTCATGACCAAGTTGTAGAAACAGCCACCTTGCGCAACATCGGGATCAGAGTTGACCTGTGCCCAGCCAAACGAAGTCAAGTTGGCTGGCGTGTAATCGATAGTGTAGAAGCGGTCGCCTCGAGTGAGCGCAACCGCATCTGCAAGGATAGCCCTGGAAATGGTGTACCCGGGACATAGGCCGGAGCCCGGTTCCAACGGATCCTTGGCATCTTCAGCAACTAGACCAGGGTAAAGTTCGACATAATCGGGGTGCTGGTAGAGAGCCTTTAATGAACGAGCTACTTCTTCGTTCCTGGTGATGTCGGAGAATGTTCGATGAGGCTCCAGCTTGAAGAACTTCCGGAGTTCATTCAACGTCGCCACATTCCATGCTCTTGCCTGCTGCATTCCCAATGTCTCGATCAACTTCATCACAAGGGGGACGTTTCTGGGTCCGAAGGCGCATGCTACGTCCTCAGTGGCATCACTCAAGATCTTGATAAGATCTTCGTCGCGGAAGGTGCCACGCTCGGTTCTCTTAATTTTCCCGCCATCGAGCTCCCACTTCGTCGGGTCGCTGCCAATCTTCTCGAGCCAGCGTCTCAGGGCTTTCAGGAGATCGGCCTGGGTGACTGTGGAGATGTCCTGGTCCGGGAACAAGGAGTTGTACAATTCATTGGTCCATTTCTCATCTTTCACACTGATAGCAGAGTGCCATCGGTAAACCAGGTTGAATTCCACACTGACTTGATTGCCCACACCGGAGGGCACACCCTGAGCGTCAAAAACCTCGCTGAAGTCTTTGCGAGGATCTAAGGTCCAGGTCGAGCTGGATCTGTTGAGATTAAGGATGGTCTTCACGTAGTCATTAAGAATGATGTTGACATAAAGCCCACATGTGACCAGTCGAGCAGTTTGGAAGAGGTCATTGTCCAACTTCTTGACAGCCCTCTCATCGCTCTCGTCCTTAGGAATCTTGAATCGACCCCCTTCGTTGATCTCTTTGAGTTGTATTGCTACATAGTTGTGGAACCGATTGAAACACACAATGATGGCACAGACACCTGGTGGAAAGCCAAGGATTCTGTTCTCACAGAAGGCGTCAGGTTTCAGGAGGCCATCCTTGAATGTTCTGATTTTGTTTTGCTCTTCCTGGCTACTGCCATATAAAGGAGCAAGATCTAGATAGGACGATGTCTTGACTCTGCCGTAGTCGGTCGGGTCTGTATGGAAGCAATCGTGAATGATGATGGTTGCAAGGTAGAACAGCATGCTAGATATTTTGTTAGGATGTTCTCTCGGTGTTTCCTCACGTGCGAAGATAGCATCGAAAATAACACCTGGGTCCGGGAGTACACCAGGCTTTAGAGTCTGAGGAGTAACAGTCCTAGCGTAGTATGAGCCAGCTTTCCCGAGGTGAGGATACATGATGTTGTTGTTGCAGCCATCCGCGGTACGATACTTATACGCATCCCCTTGATAGGAGAGTGGAGGATGCTCCAGGTTCTCCCACAGCAGCTTTATGAATTGACCACTCAGATCACCCAAAGCCTTGGACTCCGCGGGTAATGATGCAGCCAACTGGATGATTCTCTCCATCTAGGACCCGAGGATTAATGAACGGCAATAACAAAGATAAAGAGTGACCACGAACCTGATAGATCCGATCATCCACCATGCCGCCATCGAACAGTTTGGTATCAACCAAAGAAGAGATCAAGCCGATGTTTTCGCCCAGCCTGGGAGCTTGACTGGCAATATCGGCCAAAACTCGAGCTAGGAATGGACGGGATTGCACGGAGGCGCCATTGATGACTGGATTGGTAGGATCAGGGGCAGAACCAGCAATGCTCTCAAAAAGGCCCTTTATGGTAGCCGTCAGTTTGGAACCGGCAGATTCGCCGTCCCGGTCGTTGGAAAAGTCCTGAGCTGATGGCATTGCGTCGATGGAAGTAGAGGAGAGCTTCCGCTTGCGCGACATGTTGTCCGTGAGGGAATCGTTTAGTTTATAGGTAAGCGGCTGAGGGCAGGGCGCTCAGACGAGGATTGAAAAGAATGTGTGGAGAGCTCCAGGCGAACGCTGCAAGGCAAAGGGGGATTACGCAAAACGGTCGAGCAATGATACTGATTAGCGAGTGAATAGGCAACAAACAGGTGGAAGAATGAATGAAAGTGTTGCATAGGACATTCTGATGACCGGGCCCCTCAGGGCTGAGCAACAGAGCTGAGGCCAGGAAGCTCAGTGGCCTTGCGAAGGGACCAGGATTAGCAGGGGCCTGAGAGGAGAGTTGGCAATATGGATGGTGTGATTGGAGAGAGAAGGTCTTGGTTGAAGGGTTTGGCACAATTCAGCCCCCCGGGGCATGGATCGATATTGTTAGTGTCGACTTCGATCCATTAGTCTCGGCATGGCTTTTGGCAGCTTTAATGGATGGATGTGTGGAGACCGAATGAAGGAAGCTTGTAGATATGGAGAACGGAGTCCATCTGACGGTGATACCTCACGAGTAGATAGTACGGAGTACTCGTAAGCAGTAATGATGGCAGGGAGAAAGGACTGCTGCCCATGTGGAGCCACTAGAAGTGCTGTTCCTCATGTCCTCAATAATGGATGGATAGCCATGAGCTGCCCTGTAGGGGGCTGAAGAGGGTTTCATCGATGATGTCGATGATACCAAGGACTGTTCATGCAGAGCAGCATGAGAGTACTCCGTAGATTGATAGACTCGGCGGTTTGGGAGTGAGGTCCCTTGTATGGCCCGATAGGTATCCGCCATGGGAATACCCGCACAAACGGTGGAGCTGCTGTTCGGCGGACCATCCAGTTAAAGATTGGGCATGCGCCTCGGGCGGAAGCTAACCAATTCGTCACAAGATTGGCTTCAACGGGTCGCCCGGACAGACACCCTTTAACCAAACCTCAGCCAGAGCACAGGCTTCCTCAGGTCCCTCGTGCGTTAGGTAAACGGTTCTTTTGTGCCCTGGGCTTGGTACTACGTATACTGGACGCGTGGGCCCGCCAGTGTCATGCCAGTGTCATGCCAGTGTCATGAATCAATCAGCAAGCTTTCATTCGGAGTACATACCCAGGTATTCCTGCAAGCCTTTCTTCGTTTGTGATGCTCGAGATGTCGGATTACACTTAATTTCGCACGCTCTCTCCTCCGTGTGTAACCTAAGCTATCCAGCTCACCGGGTTTCCCTATTGTTTCGTAGCCGATGCGTCTCGTGTGGGATCGTGGACCATCAATGCTGGTCTCAGGAGGCCTTTGCACTGTTTCGGCTTCGTGTAACAACAATCCTAGGCCCTGACACCTTACGAGTACGAATCTGGACGCCTTGCAAATTGGCCACGTGCACCTCTCTATAAAAGACTCAGACCCAAATCACATTGTATTGTACAACGGAGGGGGTCACGCGGCGAGTCAAGGCTCCTGAATCCCTGCTCCGTTGGCTTGGGAGCCATTGAGGACAGAATATCTATGTTCAGGCTGGAGACGGACACATGACTCGTGTTACTTCAGCTGCGAGGAATAATACTATCAAAGCATTACTTGAAATCTCATCTGGGAACACTCAAAGACTAACTCAACCAACCTTGCTCCGAAGCACGGCTCTTTACAAGTCTTCAATAACGAGTCATTGTACGTCTCATGCAAGGTGGCCAGATCGATCCTTCCCACTTCCTTGAGATAGTTCGGAAGGCTGGCAAAGTCGGGGACTAGACGCTCAAACCAGGCTTCGTCACCCTCGACTCGGGCCTATAGTGCCATTCTATACGATTGTAGGCCTTGTCGTTGGCTTCACTCCGATGAATCGATCCTTCAAAGCTCCCATCCAGATTTTATTCTATCGACTTTCGATATTCAAGGTAGGCACTTACATCGCTCTCAAGAGTTAAACCCCTCCTTCTCTTGCACAGTAAACACATGCGTTCCAGAACATCAAAGGTTGCCTGGACGAAGTCCGGTGAGAAAGCAAAGGCGATCCATTGCCGCGACCTCACATAGTGATCAACATGCGCAACCTTGTCCGATGTGTTGACAAGGAATTGCTGGCCACTGGTGGCGTTGCCTATGATAGCATACGCTTCCCCCCGAAGCGTCGAGTGAGGTACTCACTCTACTGAGAGGTGTGAACGAGAACTCCCTTGTACTCCCACTCAAACCCTGGGATGTCCGGGAAAGTTGGGGACGTTCAGTCTTCCGGCCGCCTCGACGAAAAAGTGGGACGTATCGGTGAAAATATCTCCTGTGGCGAGATCTCTGATCATAACCTCCCATTGGTGTATAATGTCAGACCATTTGCCTGGAGGATAGAAATTGGTGCTTGGGACGAAGATTCTCATCGACTCCATACTCCTTGACAAGTGTATTCTCGGATTTCTCATCCAGGGGAGTAGTACTCCGGCCAGCGAGGGTGCAGACCAAATGTCAATTCTGAATACTTGCCTTGAGTAGAGCTTGTATTGGACAGCAACAGGATATATATCAATACATACTGTAGCTATCTGATAGGATATCACACCTGACTCCAAGATAGCGATTCTGCGCCCATGTATCGCCCTGTTTCTTTCCGCAAGCCCACCCAGCCTTGCACGTGTGAGAGCAGGTATGCTCACTACAGTGCCTCGTTGTTCGTACACAGTATAAGACAAGTTCTTGACTTTCCTATATATCAATATGAAAGCAGTAATATCAGCTATGCCCGCGCCAACGACGATAAGCTAACACTCGGGTTAGTGGAACCCAGAACAGCCTGCTGCCACTCACTTTCGCTGGAGAGGACGGGTTGTAAGGTCGATCTTGTGGTTTCCACGGCGTGGTCGAGTCTGGCTCAAAAAAGCCGGACGTCTCATTCGCAATGGGACGTGAAAGCGCTTCTTTCAAATGATCTAACCTTTCAACTGCTCTTACCACGCTTGGTCGGTCGGTGTAACCTCTTAGAAAACTTGCTATTTGGGCCACAGCAGAATATTACCTTGGACTTATTTCACAGTCAGCAAGCGATGAGGACTTATCAGCTCTCGAGGGATGAAGGAAAAGCGTCGATGAATGGTGCATAGTGGTGGTATGCTTGGACTGCACAATATGGATGATTATTACGAATCGACGCTGTTTTCCGAGATTGGTTGGGAGCCCATATCATATATGGTAAGTCGCGCCCAGCCTGCCGACTTGGCCTCATGTCAGACTCCCCTTGGTGTCTCTTGAGTTCAGGCTCTGTGGTTCTTAGCTAGGGAAATTGGGAGGACATGCAGGAAAGAGATAATGGATTGGCGGATAGAGGGGGGCAGGGATTGGATTGACTTGTATTCATCGGATCCATCGCCTTTACGTCCTTTCCAGTCATGCATGTATAGGCGAGAATTCAGCTATTAAGGGCACGTGGCAGAACTTATTGAGGGTCTGAGAGTATAGTGGATCTCCGGTGCGTCTCGATATGTTTTCGAAGGCCGCTCCGAAAGCTTGATCGGGATCCCGTCACAACGGGGAGAGTGCTGTTCATCGATGTACAACAAGTCAAGGAAACAGTTATTGGTGGGGCTGGAATTAGGTCAATTAGATACCAACAAGTACCTACGATGACTTGGATATGACAGCTGAAGTGTATAGGAAGTATGTAAGAATCCTTGGTTGCTGTCTGTCAGGCGAAGATGAACATGCATAGTATCAAGCATAAGGAAAGCGTTTTGAGCGGGAAGAGCATCATGGAAATTCAGCCTTGACGCTCCCAATTAGCCATGATTCAACTTGTGTTTTGCCCGGACTCAATTTGCGAAGATATCAAGGATGAAGCAGGAGATAAGCAACACAGTTTGCTCCAGTCGTTCAGGAGTGTCGCATTTTTGTGTTTCGACACGCTGCGAAGCACGTGACTCGCACGTGAGGGTTCATGACTGAGGGGACATATGCTTAGGTAATATTAGTCTCCAATTGCTGCTCCGCACCCACTACGCCAAGACCGCACATGAAATTTCACTGGCACAAAGGGCTGTCTGCGAGACTGCGACTTCGATTTCTATCGTAAAGAAACCCTCACACCAAACACAGCACAGATCTCACTACCGTCAAGATGTCGAAGCGAGGGTAAGTTGATTTCCAAGCGAGGATTACGACGAGTCAAACCATAATCGCGGTCCTGGGCGAACGGTTGGCTTATATGAGTGACGCTCAGCTAATAAAATTGTCTTCGGCAGTCGCGGTGGTGCCTCTGGCAACAAACTCAAGATGACTCTCGGTCTTCCTGTGTACGTACTCTCCGATTTCCACGATGCCGATGCCTGAAGGATCTCCAAAGAAACCAAAGCTGGGACCTTCTCCACCGTGATGGCAGGTTTTGGACTTTATTGCCTTGTGCAAGGACGATCCGCAAGAAACATGTCGCTTGTTGGACTTGGACTAATACCCTTGCTTACAGCGGAGCCGTAATGTCATGCGCCGATAACTCGGGTGCTCGAAATCTATACATCATCTCAGTCAAGGGAATTGGTGCAAGATTGAACAGACTTCCCGCCGCGGGCGTTGGTGACATGGTCATGGCCACGGTCAAGAAGGGAAAGCCTGAGCTGAGGAAGAAGGGTATGTTACTCTCGAACGAATCACCACGAAGTTCCCACTTGGACAAGAGAACGCAGCTCACCTTTGTTGTCTTTTCCTAGTCATGCCTGCGGTTGTAGTCCGACAATCGAAACCTTGGCGACGATCGGATGGAATCTACCTCTACTTCGAAGATAACGCTGGCGTCATTGTCAACCCCAAAGGCGAAATGAAGGGCAGTGCCATTACTGGACCCGTTGGAAAGGAAGCAGCTGAGCTATGGCCCAGAATAGCGAGTAACAGCGGTGTTGTGATGTAAGAAGGGCGGTGCATCGGAGTTTTTCACCAGGCAATAAAAGAGATGATCTGATCCAAGAAGCGATCAAGCATCAAGATTTCAGGGTGGCATTGACAAATGCTGCACACCTCGTCTACAAAAATGATACCATCAACGCCAACTCTGTTGTGCAATCCGACAATGCTTTCGGAGAGTCTCCTTGTTGGAAATGCAGGAAAGTCTGCCCCGTAAGACCTTTCCAAATATGACTACATTGACCAGGCAGTATGAGGCCTGACGGCGCCTAACTGTCACCCATTCCACGGGTGCCGGCGGTGCAGAGCCACTTCTTCTACTGGGGCCCCGAACAGCTTGTTCCTTATCGCTATGTTTATTGACATGAAACTCTCTTTCTCTATGTACCGTGACACGAGGGACTTCCAGGAAAACGGCCTTAACCTCTCTATAATTGTAGCCCGTAATCAGTAGCCCCACTGATTTCTGAATTGGTCGACAATTGACCCATTTGGGTCAAATCGTACTCGGTAAGGCAGACTCGTAGAGCTGAGGAGCCTAAAAAGGCCAGGAAGAAGCTCTTTCGACGGTACGAGGCAGGTCAAACCCAAGGTCTCGGTAGCGGCACGTGGTTGGGAAATTCAGCCTTCCGAAGCAGACACCTTTGTCCAGGCTCCCAGTCGGAGATCGTCCCAGTTTTTGAGTTTAGCCGACATACAGTACTCGTAACTGTGTATTGTTACAGGGGATGTGGCCTGATGATGTGTTCCGGGTCTATGTGACTGTTTCCTTCTTCCACCTTGATTGGGACGACACTACTACCTGCAATCACACGACGGACATGCAAAGGAAGTCCTGTTCTCGGGAAGGCGTTGCCGGAGTCAATGCCCCTACCTGAGCTGAATCGGATTCACTCCCACCGGTGACAGATCTTACTTGGCATGTTTTGAGTCAAGATACACATTCTGGCCAGGGAGGCCTCTGCAGATTTAAGCCACATCTTGCCCGGTCACTGCCACTACGGAGGACTGTGCTCCATATTGAGTGACGGTGAGAGCCTGAGAGGCGAATCTTGGAGCTTTCCGGCTCTAAGTCGGAACTCGGTAAGGGCGCCCAGTGCACCCACCGCATCTACGGCCACCAGCAGGAAGATCCAGAGACTAAAGTCCTCTGGTGGTGGAGGTCCAGGGTGCCGGGCCAAAGCCAGTTCATTTCTGGTAAGTGCAAAAGTGCATTTCGGCAAAGGTTAAATAACAAGACTGGGTTGATGGTTTGGAGAGGTTGGGTTTCTGTGCGCTTGGTGCCTCATTCTAAGCGTGGCATGTCTGTCTCTGAGCAGCTGGAAAATCCCACCGAAGAGAAAACTAACATTCTGTGCAACACTGCGGGTATTGGATTTGGAACAATGCCAGGTCTACAGTGTCCGCCACGCACATCTTATGGCAAATAAAATCCGAGACTTCTTGAGACGAATATACGACCATGCACCAGGTACTCCATCCCCTGGCTTCGTGGAAACACCACCGACCGGGTGCGGAGGACCTCTCAGCCTTGAGCACTTTGCAACACGATGAATATGATTTACGTAGGATTGGCTTGAGAGTGGATTCTTGAGCCTCTTCGAGATCGGCAGGGCAAATCTAGTTCCGATGTGTCAATATGAGCTTAATCTCTATTGCGATCGAGGACCACTAAGCGAGGGGCAGAGGGTCCCTCTCTGGTCAAAGGCAACTCCTTGAGCAAAATGTGACTGTCCAGACTCCAGACTCGTCCAGATTGCCATTCTTTAGCGAGAGCCCAGGATGCTGTCATGGTGCGCATTGGCTCCCCAGCGAGAATTGCAGCTAGTAGAAAGAGAATCCTGGACCGGTTTCCCTTTGGGTAGACCCATTCAACACAACCCCGCGTGTGCTCGTTGGCTGCATCCCATCCCAGACCCATGCTAGCCGGTGAGGTCGAGCTGATGATCGAGCTGATGATCGAGATTTGCTGGGCTTTCCTTGGTCATTCAACATCCTGAAAGAGGACAGACCAAGTCAGTATCAAAGGTATTCCACGGTAACGGGTGTCCTTGATGTTTCAAGCCCCCAGAGGTCAAGGCATGATTGAACACCTACACCGCGCCGGTTGTTCAAGGCCATGCCCTGGTTCGTGGGATGTTTACGACCTAGCCAGTCTTGGAGAGGCTTTTCATGCTGCACTTGGAGTGGAGAGACTACAAAGAGCTGTTGCTGATCCAAGCCTGCATGCAATCTGGCGGTCCCCAATTTGCAAAAAACCTGAAGCTGCATCCTGTCACATTGAAGCTACCGGCTTTCCCCTAGCTAATCATATGCTTGAGATGCCTCATCCGAGATGGGCGAGAGGATGTCTCTTCTGGTTGGAGGGGTTCCTTCTGTCACGTGAAGCTGTCGACAGCCTGTTCGGGACCAAAGGGTTCACACTGAGTGCAAGGACTGATGGACTGTGGCCTGGTTCAGCGCCAGTAGTATTCTGATACCTCAAGCCGGCCGTTGGCATGTCCCGTCTTGCCTCCACCTGGGTGAGTGGGTGAGTGTTACGAGGGGGAATCGCGGGGCCCGCCTGCCATACCTTTCTCATAGTGGTGGGTGTGCAATCGGCCGCTGCAGAGGCCTTCCAGCTACTGGCGGCCTCCTCGGTACATAATACTACAAGTACCATAGACCCAGGCGCTTCCTAAGCCAGCTCCATGGGAAAAACGCTGCAGAGGCGTCGGACCACGTTTGGCAGCGCTTGCCCTTTGCAGCACTCGTAGGCCACTGCACCTGCCAGTAGTACTGAGTGGCATTGGCACCCACTCCTTTCCACTTCCACTGGCTCTCCTGCCCGCCGTGACTGCCTCTGGAATTGTGGACCGTGAGTCCGTGAGTCCGTGAGTCCCTCCTTCAGCTGGACTTGGCATCCCGGCTGCAGCTCAAGCGGCCTTTTCACACGTTTTTCTCACCACCCCTCCTCCAAGTCTTATGCCACCGTCCACCATCCTTTACCCTACCTAGGTAGACGTCTGGTCACGCTTGACAGGGCTGCAGGAGGGTCCATGCGCTTGCCAAAATCAAACTGGACTAGCTGAATGCTAACTTTACCTGGCATCTCATGCTCCATAACCAGTCAGGCTTCAACGGCAAGCCTGCGAGTTCTGCGACGTTGTTTTCGCTCATCTCATCACCCCCGTCCAAATTGGCTCCATTTTGGCCCACCAGAATGGTTACCAGACACGAGAAAACAGCCCGGGGCAGTGTGCCTCTTGCTTCATCTGAAAATACAATACCGAGTACGGAGTCGGGAAGACGGAGCATTTGACTGACATGTACATCTGGGGATCAGGACAAACCCCGTCCCCAGCCTGAGGATCGCTGGTCCAGCAACAACAATCGCCGGACCCTTTGTCTTGCTTGGTGTCCATCCATCCGCTGTCCGCTACCGATTTCTTAGAATTTTGGCGCGCTGCCTTCTCACAATCCCTGACTTTGTCGACCTCTCAAATTCAACCATCGGCGACGGTGGCCGCTCGCAGCTATGGTTGCCAGGACTGATTCGATCTTTCCGCCTCCCCTGTCCCTAGCCTCTTCCTCTGCCTGTCTGAACTCCATGGAGGTGTGCAAAAAACTTTCCCAAACTTCTGCTAGTCACTTTGGTCCCAAGTCAATGCATCCCAGCTGCACGCGGCCCTTAGGAATGCATCAGAGCTTCTCTCCACCAAGCGCATCGCACCACAGCCTTTGCACGCCTTGAATTCTTGACCTGTCCGTTCAGCATGCCTGATCCCTCATATCCATGTTGGAATAAACTCAATAATTCTTGACATGGAGGCCCCGGTTTCCAATTGCGTCACAAATTTGCCTTCCCCAAATGGTGGCTCCTGAACTCAAAGTTGATCGAGCAGACAATTCATGGAAGATCCCGCCCTAATGGAATCGAGGCTGAGTCTTCCGCTTCTCATTGCTCAGTCCCTCTTAGAAGCCCCTCTGGCCGGTGCAGTCGCCTAGACTGTCTTGCTTCCAGCCGCATCCGTATTCTGCTCTCCAAACAGTCTATTTCAAGGGTCGGTATTCGTACATCTGCGATGAAACCCTCGTGGCAACCAAGTTCCCGACCTCTTCCCCTCGAGACACCTTCGACACCGCCTCTGAGCCTATGATGACATAGACAACCACTTGCTTCTGCTGACATTTTGTCCGGGGATGACGAACTCGCCTAGACGCCCTTTGGTCATACGAGTGACTCTTTCCCAAGTCCAGTAGCATTTCTTCGCCGAGAGTGCTCCGCCCAGTGCGCGTGTATTTTCATCCCAACGTATACGGAGGTTCTTGTGGGGGCCTCAGGTGTGGTTCAGCCTTACAATTAATCCGAACCATCCTACCGCGTAAGATATATTACCCTTTCGCGACAACACCACTCACTTTTACGAAATTGTTTCTCCCGAGTTCATTGATAGTGGACTGCGCTGCCGGTGATCGAAATATTTTCACTTGCAAGACATATTTCCCTCAACTACACCACCATCAGTCTTCATTGACTGTTGAACATTCGCATCCCATATGTGATTAGGCTCGGTTTATATTGTTGGATACCTCACTTTTATTCGGGGCCTTCAGCAAACCTGGCGCGAAGGATGGCAGGGCCCGGAGGAGGCCCACCAAGGAAGAGCCACACCAAATCCCGCAAGGGCTGTCGGACGTGTAAGAAACGCCATATACGCTGCGACGAGAACTTCCCACAATGTCGCAATTGCACGAAACACAATTGCAGATGTGACTACATGGACATGCCAGCCGCTGGAGAAGAGCCTCTCAAAGGCTCGAAACCTCCAGACCTCCTCATGTCTCCTGAGCTTCAGCATCGTCTGGACAACTGGCGCATTACTGGAGAGCCCCCGTTGCCAGAACTCCGCATGCATGACACGGTATACTGGACTCGTTTCTCGACCATCGATTTGAGATTGATCCACCACATGGTGACCCTGTCTTCAGATATGAATAACAGAGGGTACAGCTCTTGTACGGCATGGGGCTTGAAGATGACTTCGTGAGGGCAACGACCCCCTCCTCTACAACCACGTACTAACCCAGCATTAGACTCATCAATGCTGCATTGTCTCATGATTTTGTGATGAGTGCATTACTCGCCCTCTCCGCTTCGCACTTGGCTTGGCAAACAAAAAATGTCGATACGGAGAACCTTGCCTATCACCATCGAGGGGTAGCCTTGAAAGGTTTACATGAGGCTATTGGAGCCTTCTCGAGGGATAACTCCGAGGCGATACTGGCAGCCTCGATGCTCCTGTCCTGGCAGGCCACGGAATGGTGAGCATGACACTCTGACATCTAATTATGTCTAACCCGGCATGTAGGCGCAGTTGGGCTTCCCTTCAGCAAGGCGTCTCGACAGTAAGAGAGACCTGGCCTGGCCCCATGCATTAGATATTGATTGTGCTATAGGTGATGAACGCAATGCGACCGTGGGTGCATGAGTCTGAATTGGCTCGGTTTTTGGACCATCAACGTTCGATCGCACGAGCTAGAACTCCTGCGACACCAACCCTACCACATGCGCAATTATCAATTCCTCATGATGACCTTCGAAGGGTGGAGCAAATCACTACAGCCCTTCACAACCTCCAATTACGACTTCCCCCTAGTGAGGAACTTGCTGAGCACGCGAGACGCCTACTTGATTATCTCCAGGAGCTGCAAAGAGATGTCCAAATGCAAGCACCCGAACAAAATTTCCCTCGGCTGCAGCCTCTGAGAGATTTGATCTTTTGGCTACCCTCGTCGATACTAAGAACGGGAGAGTCTGACCTGGCAGCCTTGACCCTGCTAGCACACCTCTATGCAAGTGCTCTAGCCGTGGAACCGCTATTCCCAGAAATTGGTGGAGCTTACCTTGGAAGCATGTCTGTGCTACCTCTTGAACGTGTGCACGAGATATTGATGGCGAGGAGATCCACTCAGCCACAAGATGCAAGTGTTCAGGTAGCTCTATCACTGATAGATGTGCCGGTCCAGATTATGACGGCTTATCGGTTGCGGCAGCGACAGAACAGTCAAAGTTCTCAAAGCCTGGACGCGTATCGACAGTCACCTCAAGGAAGTCCGTATGTGTCTCCACATATGCCGATCTCCTCTTCAGGAACGGATATCTCATCGCAGTCCATGTATTCCAATTCTTCAATGCATGGATCCAACAGCCTTCCGCTTCCGGGTTCGTACTTTCCCAACATATCGAGTCCCGGGGACGCGCGGAGAGAGTCTGCAATGTCATCGATTGGCTCCCTGGGACGAGCGCACTCTATGGGCGAGCGACCAAGTGCAGGGGCTATGGGGCTGGTGTATGGTTCACCGCCACAGCACCAGCACAATTCAAGAAGTAGCCACGAAATCACCGGTTCCAGAATGGACTACTTTGGTCAAATTCAACCACCGTACCCTTACGGAGGCATGAATATGAATACTCGGTTCGTCACTCCTTCACAACTCTGGGCATGACGAGGCATCGTAATGCTGGAATCCTGACGAGCTGAGTATTCATTTGTTTCTTCCTACAGGACAACCGTACAGTCACCAAGCACCTTGTCTTCAAGTTTGCACCAACATCATCATCAGCAACAACACCAACACCAACTACAACAGCATACGCACTACCAGCAACTCCATGATTTTAAGGGTAAAGAGCGACAAATGTGACGACAGAATGAATTACAACGGGGATTAAAGATAGGTGATAATGACGTGAGATTTGGTCGACAACCAGAGGGCAAAATGATCACAACTGGGAATTAGCGCGGCGTTGGAGGAAGAGTCGGACACGCTGGGAAGGGTCAGAAATACATAAGCGAAACCCAAAAAGGTGCTTGGGAGTCATACAAGATTGTTAATTGGATGTAGGTGGGTTGAAAGTTGCTTGAATCCATATGTGTATGAGAGGGTCCAGGGAAAAAAGACATTCTCCGGGGCAAGTCAAATGTTCGACCACGACGATGCAGGATGATGTGAGTGCTGTCTTTTCTTGGAAACGGCAATGGAGATGGAGATGGAGATGGCCAAGGGCTCGTTGTTGGGATACTCCTACCGCGCTCTGTTCTTCATATGTGTGTCTAGTCTATGACTTCCACACGTCGTTTTTGCTGCTGCTGGTTTTTACCGTTTCCCCCTTTTTCTTCGAATCACGAATCTAATGGTCTGGGCCTACTTCAAGTTCCATCGAGCGTCATGTGGAGGTCCATCGGGTGTGAGTTATCCACGTGTCGCCTCTCTTCTGCTTCTAGGATCATAAACGAGTAAGTAAGGTTCGACATCGATGCGCGACAGAAACTTTAGGAGTGCTTAGCCGGCGAGCAAGAGCGAGCCACTGAACGGCCGCACCAAGCAAAGGACGATAGCAATGGGGAATAGAGTCTCGCGCTACTGCTGTCACTACTGCCAGGGTTTCTGCTGCTGCTGTGGCTGCTGCGCAGCTTGCGGCCAAAGGCTTCCGGTTGCTCTGTCAGTATGTACTGCTAATTACTGAAGTACCTAGGCATGTACATATCTAGGCCTCTCAAAACCTCTGTAGCGGGCGGGAGATAAGCACAGATCACCAATACAGCAGTCGACGCTGGGTACATAGATTTGCAATGTTAGCAACGTCGACAAAAGAACGCTGTGTTTCTGTCTTATGTTCTGGCGGCGACGGACCGCCGTATCGTCCCGTATCGAAAACATCCGAAAAGGCGGTTGATTGTTGACCACTTTGGCAAGCTGTTTCGACTCAGAAGGCAGAGATGCACCGCCTCTACCGAGTGAGACTCAGACTGTACTGTACGGGTTCCAAGTATCAGCCCTCTGTGCCAATGAGCGCATAGGCTTGCCTTGTTCGGAAGTGAGTCTACCCTCGACGATATTAGCCGGGGGTCCATGTTTTAGTGTTCGCTTGGCTTCAACAGTTCGTACCCCCTATGCATCTGATCGCATGCATGAGTACTCCGTCCTCGTAGGTTCCGTGCGTTTTTGGACCCCGGAGTGCGCCCGAGGGACGACCGAAGTGATTGATTATTATATCCTCTAACCAGTTGAGGGCGATGCAGATGCAGATGCAAATATCTTTTGGGTCTGGGACTACCTGCTTGTTGGTTAGTAGGGAGGGTTTTGCAGGTTGGCTGGTCAGCTACGGGAAGAAAAGTAGCTGGTTTTCTTGAATTTCAGCCCTTGAGCGTTTCTGACGGTACTCTAGATTCGGTTAGTTTTGCCTGGAGGGTTTCTTTTCTTCTTCCGTTGGCTGCTTCCGTTGCAGACGTGCAGGCGCGCACACCCTGCCTTCAATTTTTGTAGCAATGTGTTTCTGAAGGTCTGCGGCTGGAAAGCTACGTCGCATCGTGTGGGAAATCGGTCGCAAAACGAGCTTGTACTAAAGCAGGACTTAGCGTACATATCGTAAGGTTAGCGAGAGGTCGGTGATTTTTCACAGTCGATATTCCGATGCCGCAGTCGCATGGACGCCTCGAAGCCTTCCCCGTTCGTCCTTTCTTTTCTGTTACATTGCTGAGCAGCAGCAGGGACCTTGGCAGCTGTGGTTGCTTACCTCATTCCAGCAGACAGAAGGAGAGTCGGGAAGACTGAACGGTTTAATGAAAACGAAGAGATACGTGGGTGACTCACCTTGTATGAGGACGGAATAGTCGATCTCGTGTTCCGAAAATAAATTACTGTCGTCTTGGGGGAAAAGCGAGGCCTCCCACGTGGAGAGAGAGTTTTTGGCTGCTCCCTTGTGCGTGGCAAATGGACGCTAGGATATCGAGCACCTCGTATATACCTCGTATGTATTCCGTACACCCTACGGGAGCGCGGCGACAGTTCGAAGCTTAAGAAGCCGTTAATGGGCAGATCATCCAAACGGTTACCGAACGCAGTGGAGACGAGCGATGATCCCTTGACCACTTGGCACTTAGTGGCCTCGTTAATTTGGCGCCTTGCTCGACAGGGATCACTATCATATGAGGTAGATGCCGCTTCGGTCACATCGGATACCTTTTTCCACCGGTAAGATTAGAAGCCTTGTCAGGGAGACGCCGTGCTTGGCCTTGGCCTTGGCTGCGCTACCACTCTACGACTTCAAGACCGTACAGTACTCGTATGCCGTCTTCACTTAGTTTCTAATGGCGAGATCCCCGTCAGACTTGGGGCCATAAAGATGGCATCCGTTTCTACGGTATATCAGTGCCTCATTGGATGTTGGCGGTCTAAGCCACCCACCGATTAAATTATGCAAGCAAACAAAAACTGACTAGGCCTTTTCGAATAGGGGACAGGAGGGTCAGTAAAGATTCCCAGCTTGGATAGTGCGGTCGCGGCGAGATGGTGCACAAATAAGTTCCATGTCAGACAGACTGCCGTGTGGCATCATCCTGTCCGTAGAGTTACATAAGCGATTCCGAGTTGATTCGTAAGTTCCTAGGATTGGTTACGGTAAGTCAATCGCTATAATGGGATGAAACATTGGGGCCGTCGCGCCCATACCTAACATCGAATATGATGGTCTCGGCTTGATGTTTTGCTGTGGTAGTAGGGGTCCCTGTTCTTACCTTGAGAGCATATACCATGAACGAAACGAAACGCTGTTCAACCGAGCACAGCAGGCTGGTGCAAGGTTCCTCCTCCTTTATCTAAGCGCACCGAAGCCGCCCCATCCGTCGTCGAACGTAGATTATATTGAAGGTGGATGAGTCGTGCAAATCCAGTAAGAATAGCGCTGTGTTTAGATCACCCCATATGTGCTATATGGGTAGCAAAAGGCCTAGAATGCTAAAAATGGTTGATTGAGCATCGGCCTCATGTGCTGTCGAGTCAGCCTCGGCGTACACAGGGCCTCCTGCTTGGCTGGGACGGGCGGAAAGAGCACAGTCTTCCAGACCGTCGAACCCGTGAAGACATACTTAAAACCAAGTATGTGGTGAACAGACTGCCGTGATGCATGGGCCTCCAGCATTTGCATCATCAGCAGACATGTTGATTGGGATCATGTTCGTCCGGCTGCACGACTCCAATATCAATACACTCATGACATAATGGTGATGAGACACCTCGAGAAAGAAGTCCAGTCATATTACCCGTCGATCACTTCCTGAGAGTGAGGCTTGCGCAATCACGTAGCCAGGGCCTCACCTAAAGGCCACAGCGCATCATACCATCACTCAAGTTTTTAAGATCAGATGTAGACTGACGCTCCCTGAGCAGTTAGAGAGACAGATGTGTTTTGGATGTCGATGCTATTCATACCAAAGAATAAGTGATACTATGCTACATATATTCGAAGGTAGGTCGAAACAGCGGGTGCCCATGGACAGTCTCCAGGAGTCAAGGTACCTACTGCCCAGTGCCCATTAGTTAGTACGCGCTAGTTAGGCGGTCATACCCAACTAAGTTAGGGCTACTAAGGACCGACCCTACAGAGGACCTGAGTTGGATCTGGCAGCCACTACGGGTAGTACTTACTAGCCACAACTGGCTAGGCACACGCGCCCACGTCATTCTCCATGATCTGCGACTGCACCTGCAACTGGTAAGCTTCGACAAAATGGTAACTTCCTAACGCAGGAACCAACAGCCTGCACTGTTGCTACCACGCCAGACTGCAAAGCTGCGTCACTTAAAGATCATCGAGTACTTGCTCTTTGATATCTTCTATTGCGCTCACTACCTTTATTCCACAGTTAGTGATCCAATTCACGAAACAGCCTCAACTGTGACTGTATTGGATCGCAGTCCCGGCCTACCAGAGCCTTCCATACAAACCATGGCCGAGGACACTTCAAGTGGTGGTTGGAGCACTATTGAGTCAGATGAAGTGAGTGCAATTAATGGTAGAAGGCCTCGAGATTGTTGTCTTGAAGTTGTGTGAATGCACCCTGACTGACAAATTCGCTTCATTGTAGGGCGTCTTCACATCTCTTATTGAGCAATTGGGAGTAAAAGGTGTGCAGTTTGAAGAGTTGATATCACTGGATGCAGACTCCATACGTGCTTTAAGGTAATGTGACTGTCGTGCGTAGCCCTTCTCCCTTACATTTATCAGTCATTTTCAATTTGTACCACAAAGCTGACACTTTGTCTCCCTTGCAGTCCAGTCTTTGGTGTTATTTTCCTCTTCAAGTGGATCGGCTCCTCTTCGGAATCTAAAGGAACCCCACAGGATGGCTCGTACGACCCTGAGGTAGTTGAAGATGATGGTCTCTTCTTTGCGGCCCAGACCATACAAAATGCATGTGGGACGCAAGCAATCCTCTCTGTGGTGCTCAACAACGACAGCTCCACCGATCCAACCTCGTCAGGAGCGGATGCTAGTCGTGCGATAATAGACATTGGACCATCATTAAAAGAATTCAAGGATTTCACAACTGGCTTCGACGCGGGGCTGCGCGGTGAATCTCTGTCAAACTCAGACCTGATTCGGGAAACACACAATAGCTTTGCCCGATCAAGCCCTTTTGCTGATGAAACGCAACGAGATCCCAATGCGGGCACCGAGGATGTATTTCATTTCATTGGATACACCACATATCACGGGAAGTTGTACGAATTGGACGGATTACAACCATTTCCCATTTCTCATGGCGACTGTTCCCCAGAAGAATTTCCAGAAAAGATCATTCCAGTGCTGCAGCGACGGATTGAAAGATATCCACCAGGAGAAGTTCGCTTTAATCTGATGGCTGTCTGTCAGGACCTTAGGATCAAGGCGCAAGACTTTCAGGACTATGAGAGTCTTGCTCGACAGAAGAGGAAACGTGCTCAATGGGACTGGGAGAATGCCCTAAGGCGTCATAATTTCGTTGGATTCACAGGTGAAGTGCTGAAGGGGGTGGTTGCGGCAAAGATCAAGGATGGTAGCTATGATAGCTGGGTTGAAGATGCGAAGAAGACGACCGAGACAAGATTGAGAGAACGAGCAGCAAGAGGTCAAGAAATGGCTGGATGATAAGACTTGGCCAGCTCGCTGTCGTCAAGAGAATTGCTCTAGAAAGCAAGTGAGGTGGTTTCTGCCGCCCCCATAGCATGGATGGAGTCCATGTTCCATACTCGAGTTCATACTGTATACCCGGGTACCCTAGACATGTTCTTGAGCAATCGAGAGATGGTATTGAGCGATTGGAATGGAAGATCGTAGAGAGATGAAGGCATACATGGTCAACACCTGCGTCTTGCCCAAGGCGCAGTGAAAACTCCATTCTTAGTGTGCAGCATTGCAAAACCCATCCATCTAAACACCACATCTTTCACATCGAGCTCTTACTAGACCGGATACCAGAATGACCATGTCGTCGGCTCGCCAGGACAGATTGTGCGCTTCGAAGGCGTGTGCAGCCCACCGTACAAAAATCTATATGATGGAAAATTTCCTGGAGCCAAGAGACTGTTTCCCAAATAGGCTAGCGTGAGATCCCATTCACGCCACTGCTTTGATTGGGCAACAATGGCCTAAAACGCTCCGGAATAGTAGAGTTGGAAGCGTCGCTGATGCCAGACCCAGCTTGCCTTTCAGGACTACCATTCCCATTCCCATTCATTCTCTCTGCCAGCCCTTTTGTATGCCATCACAATCACAATAATCACGCTCTCGCCATTGTTGAATAGGCATTCTTTGCCGCACCGAGTTTGGTCTTCACCTGCCACCAGTTGCTGGCAAAGTGCACCCCTTGGCTTATTCATTCCTCCTTTTACCCTTGACTCTTCCACCACCCACCTTTCCAACCACTCGGTTTTGAACTTCAAACGAGTCATCTAGATTACTCGTTTCATTCGATGCATCGACTGATTTCGCAGTCCAAGCATTTGTATGAAAGTTGATTATCACCATGGCTGCCGAAATCGATAGTCTTTGGCAGGCCGCCTTTGGTTCTACTTCCCGCCCAGCCCTGTACACCTCAGAAGAGCTCAACGAAGATGGTTTTCTCCCACTCAGCGAGCCATCAAGCTTTCTCATGAACATTTCAAATCTCAACAGACAGCAGCTATACGCTGCTAGCTCTAATAATCAGATTGCAATGAAATCCGCTCAAGATGAATACCTCGACCTTGAGCGGCAGATCAACCGCATCAAGGGTAAATCCAAGTTCAAAAACCCTCAACAGCTTCCACCTCCTGATGTTTTCGAGGAACAAAAGGAAGCGGTGCTGTATAACTATAAGTACGAACCCAATAAGCCCGCCCTGCTTCAGTCAGGGATTCCAGGGTTAAGGGCTGCTGATGAGGTCACCGATCGTGAGAAGCACGATGTTCGCCTCGCCCAGGAGCCCTTTGAGCAAGGAGGGTTTGTGCCCAAGGAAAAGGAATACAAAGCAATGCACGCAAAGGCACGAAATCCTAAGAATGCTGATGGGTGGACTCCAATCTCCAAGGATGGCAAAGGCCTCATCCCAATGCAGCAGACTCACAAAGACGAGTACAACATCAAATACAATACCAACAACAACAAAGCAAATGGCGACGTGAATTTTGATGGCGCCCGGCCACAATCGGCTGGAACTGATGCTTCTGCCAACACTCCTTCTAAGGCGGTGGACAAACGCCTGACACGAACTAGATACGATGGCAAGAAGGTTCCAGCTACACGGGACGTATCCGAAGCTCCATCTGTAGCATCTACACCGGGTCGTAAACGGGAAAGTACGCCTTTGATTGATGGCAGAGAGGATACACCAAACAGCAAACGTCGGAAGCTGAATGGTCCGGATAAACCCAAGCATCCAAATCAGTACACCAAGGCGAGAGAAGCAAGAGAGGCCAAAGAGGCGCGGGAGTCAGCCGTTGTCAATACAACCGCGGCTCAGGCTACTCCGAAACCCGCTCCGGCTAATGTTGATTGGACACAATTATCCCCAACTGAACTGCAAAATCGGAAATGGACAGATGAAGAGCTGGTGGAGGCAGTCAAGCAGACTCATTCATGGTTGCATGATGACGCCAAGAAGGCTGAAGAATGGAAGCACAAGATTATCAATGGTGTCAATCCAGTGCGGAGCTTCAGCATGTTTCGAAAGTGGGCATATTGGAAGGTCAATGACCAAGACAAGAGACCTCGTAACAAAAAGAACCTAGCCGATGGTGACCTGAAGGATAGTCAAGGTCAGAAGGCCTCTCCAAAGCCCAGGCGGTCAGCAAAAGCCAAACTCACAGCACAAGCAGATAGTGCTCGAACTACACCTTCTGCATCACCTGTGCCTGAAATGGGCAATGGTCTTGGTCTAGGCCTTGGTCCAGGGTCGCAGGAACTGAAGCGAGCGCCAGGGCCAAGAGGAGGACTCAACAGGAAGGCGGCCTTGGGGAACAAATCATACAAAAGTTACGAGGAAAGCATTACGGATGACGAAATTCAGTCTGCCTCTGAGAAAGATGAAGGATCTCGTGGCGCAATTCGAGGATCTCGGAAAGCTGAGAACGATGCTAGTCCGGGCCCAATACGACGACCAACCCTGGATCGAGAGGAAAGCGATTCAATAATCGTGGTGAATGGCGCAACTCCAACGAGAAGGTCGCTGAGAAACTCAAGACGAGCTAGTGGATAGTCGGGAGTCAAATCATTAATGATGAGCAGAATCTGTACATCAGTAGTAGGATTGCAAGTACGGATGCGGTCTTGAAGGTCACGATGATATGATGTTTTAGCGACATGGCGTCAATTGGCCGATGTGAGGGACAATTGGCATAATGTCTTGGGATAATCATGAAATTCGCCGTGTACATGAGCAAGGTGTTCTGGAAAAAGCACAGGACAAAGGCCAGATGACAACTGCATGAGTTCTGTCATGGTATCAACTAGGACAAGTAACGGGTCAACGTGCGTGATTTCCTTACTGGTATTGGTAGCATCGAATACTCGAGGCATTCTCCCTGGGGCGAAACCGAGTACATGTAGCCAGATACTCGGTGTTGAAAATGAGATGACTGGATCTGTACAATGTATGGGCAGAGTGATACGAATGAGCATACGTGGACGGTGTATGATGGATACAGGATACCTGTGTATTGTTCCAGACCTCTGTACATATTAACTAGTACCCTATCAGTACGGAGTAGGAATTAGCTCTGTCGTTGGTCGCCGCGTAGGAAGCTGCAAAGTGCTAGTTGCCAGTCGGAGTGGATCATCCTGTTCGGAACCTCGCTCCTGCCTGTGCATCAGCCCGGACGCCTTGGCAAATTAAAAGTTGCAGCAACAGCCTCCAGCCCCTTCAGCACCTCAACATCACTTCGTCGTTTGTTCATCACACTCATCAAAGCCAGTCTCACTATCAGTCTTCTTCTAGTCTCATAAACTTCTTCAGCGCGTCTCACTAACGAAAGCCCCCCTTCCTCCTTCTGGTCGTCCCCTCGTGCGGAATTGTATATCTACCACTTGCCGTTGCCTCGAGACTTCTGCTACCCCTTCCATCGCCAACATGACCAAGAAGAAGCGTCATCATCCCGATGTCGAAGAAATTCTTGCGCGTCCCTGGTGTTACTACTGCGAACGGGATTTTGATGATCTCAAAATCCTCATCAATCATCAGAAAGCAAAGCATTTCAAGTGCGAAAGATGTGGTCGTCGGTTGAATACTGCAGGAGGTCTGAGTGTCCACATGAGTCAGGTCCACAAAGAGAATCTTACTGCTGTTGACAATGCCCTTCCTAATCGTGCAGGGCTTGACATTGAAATCTTCGGCATGGAAGGCATCCCTGAGGACATTGTTCAACAACACTCCCAACGAGTTCTCACAACGTACCACCAAGCCCAAGCTGAACGTTCCGCCGCCACCGGTAACAATCAAGCCAGCAGTGTTACTGCTAATGTCAATAAAAAACCAAAACTCGAGCAATTGTCAGACCTGAAGAAGCGACTTGCTGAACACAAGGCTGCGAAACTTGCTGCTGAGCAGGGAAGCGCAGGGAACAGTGGCAATTCCACCCCTGTGCCACCAACACTGGGCCAGACACAATCTCAGAGCAATACGGTACGTCATCCCCAAAGTCTTCAGTATCGCTTAGACTCATCTCTTACCCAGGCTGCCTCTCCCTCATACCCTGGATATCAGCAACCATATACGGCAACTCCATCAAGTGGTACCTATAGTCAGCCTCCCTCTTTTGCCCAGACACAAACTGCTGGTCCGCCTTACCAAGCACCCTCCCCGTTCCCGCATGCTGCAACTCCACCAATGCAGGGAGCCTATGGGCAAGGTGCTGTTCCTCCCCCTGGGCATCCAGGCTTCACTCCAGGAACACCCGTTGGCTATCCACAGCCGTACGCTCAACCGCCTCAGGCATCGTTCCAACAGCAGCATCCCGCAGCATATCCTCCTCAACCAAGCTTTTCTCCTCCCCCATACCAAAATCAACCCCCTTACCCTGTGACGGGGCAAACGTTCGTCCCTACAGGCGGCCTACCACAGCCACCCTATGTGCCTGCAACTTCCCCTCCTGGTTTTCCACATCAACCACAACCACAAAACCATTTACCGCCACGTACTCACTCTCCCGCCACCAATGGGAATTTCCCAGCACCTGTTCGTACAGGCAGTGTAAGTCTACCGAATGCCCCAGGGCTGCCGCAAAGACCAGCTTTCGGGGCACCTGCAGTAAATGCTTTCCAATTTCAGCAAATGCATCAAGGTCAGATCCCTGCTCCTTCAAATCATAATTCTGTGCCACAGCATCGCCCACAAGACGCTCATTCAAGCACTGCACAAAATCCCCCAGACGTCCAATCCGGACGTCAGTCAATTGATGAAGCTAATGCATCTTCAATCGATGATTTGATTTCGTCTGCCTCCAAGCAGGCTGATGTGGATGCAGCCACCAGCACCGCACCATCAGCTCAATCTGTTGTCCCATTGCCCAGCAAAGACGATGTTATCGAAGAGAAGGGTGCAAAGAAGGACAAGGAGAAACCAAAATCAACCAGGTTGGTCTATTCTGACAATGAAATAAGCCCCGAAGAAAAAATGGCATTGTTGCCCAGGTACGCATTCACGCCTGGGCAGGAGACGGTGGTGGTGTAAGCACCGGAGATTTCATGCCGCCGCCGCCGCGGTCGACTCATTTCTTCCTTGTACTTTTGGGCCTTCATCAGAAAACGGCCATGAGCAACATTTTGTTCTCAACCCATCGATTAGTACACGACAGAATCAGACTCAGCTAAGTCTTCTCATTTGTGGGGGAAACAGCTGACATATGCATTCACACATGTTGCTGCTCTTTAAGTTTTGTCTCATCTGAATAGCATGGCCATTGGTATTCTCGGTGAGTCAAGGGGATGGGCATTGGTTTTCCCCTGTGGAGGGGAACTGACAACAATACATCGAATCGGTTGGGAATCTAGATGATTCATCCTGGAAATGGGAGGGATATGTCATTAGGGGGCAAGGCTGCCACTGCGAAATCGGGGTCCGGGGTCCATCGCTTGTAAGTTGTCTGTCAGGACAGATGGTTGGTGTCACTTTTCCTTCTCAACACCTAAGTAATGTTCTCAATTGCAATATTGTTTTTGACCGTACAACATGGGGTGAAGAAAAAGTGATTTCACTGTTCCTCTGCCCATGGCCTTTCTGCGAAACATTGCCTCGGTGCTTCATGCCAATGCCAATCAATCGTGCTTGCTGCCCACGTATGAACTTGGGTCCGCGCTCAGTCTGCAATGTTATAGTCCTTTCCGTCCCTCCCGGATCATGGAAAGGGGAGTAATGCACCTGCCGAACTGTACACGATATAGAACCTGTTGTTGTGACTCCCAGGTGATTGAATCAATCAAGAAGGAAGGGGGGAGCAGGTAAGAGAGCGCAAAGGGAAATGAGATGGTAGTCTGTCTTCTGTCTCCAGTCACACGGCATAGTAGAATTCTCCCTCCAGGGAACACGGAAGGAGGGGGGGTTTGCGCGTGTATATTATATCCGTATGCGTCTTATCTACATTTATATACCGCGTCCTTGATCTAGATCTAAGGGATTATAGGTTATGGATCATGGACCATGGATCATATATCATGTGAGTGCAAGTGCGAGTGTGTGTGACATTGATTCCCCCTTGGTCTTGTGGCGGGGCGGGGGAGGAGATGATCGTCTCCAGGACAGAGCAAGAGACCCAGCCGTCTAGCGTTTAGCCCTCTGTCCGGAACAGTTCGATTTGAAATCATGGCCTGCGTATGGATGAGGTGTGGTTATACCTATCTATGGGTATGTACTCGGACATTCATTCGATTCACTCAGTTGGATCGGTGATTTTTCTGGGGTTGGGGGGGGGATTGAATCGTCATCGTGGGACTGCTTTCTCTCCTTGTCCTTGTACTCTTGGTGATGGTTTCTCAAAAGTTTTCCTGCCCTATATTATATAATATATATATATATAGTTTTGTCTTTTCTCGTCCTCCATCATAGCTTATGCATCATCTCGCATTGCTCTTCTTCCTCTCACATTGATCAATTGGATCGAATCATTTCATCTGATCTGACCTGGTCTGACCTGATGTGTCTGTCGTATGTCTTTCTTGTTTTCGCGTCATCGTGGCACTTTTGGGCCTGGTATGCTATGATATTATCGCATGGCAAACTTCCCTTCACTGTTCATCCGTCTATCTATGTGATCCCTTCAGCAGCCGATTCTTGCCGTCCAACGCCCTCACTCTGTCGTTCATTCCTTTGTCATGGTCATCATATGTTCCAATAACACCCCTCTCCTGTTTGTTACTCGTTTCGCCTAAGAAGCTATGTAGGAATGTGTCGGGCAAGGTGTTGCGCATTGTTCCTAGATAGGACGAGAGCCATCCCGAATTTGAGCCAGACCCTGTCTGGCTGAGTGCCCGGATGATTCGAATCCTCTTAGGGACAAAGCACGTTGGGCTGAAAAGGGAGCCATCCATATGCTGCGATCCGGTAGACCACATATATAACCATCCCTCCATTCGTTGATCCATCCACGTCTCCTCTGGCAGATCACGTTTTGTTATCATTGATGTAGTTCCGTCTCTCAAGCACCAACACCGAACCCATCCCTCAACTTAGCCCTGACCGGCGGACTCAAGCCAGCGAGGAAGGTATTGAATCCGTCAGCCCCGATCAAGCTCTGATAACCCTGGATGACACGAGCAAAGCTAGCACGGACCTCACTGTATTCCTGGCCCACCTTACCCTTCTGGGGAAACTGAGCGATGGCGGCGAAGTAAGCAGGAAGACTGCGCTCCATGGCCTGAGGGTTTCGCTCAATGACATTGTTCATTCCTAGGAAAGCTGAAGCTTTCTCGTGCGAGTGGCCGATCTTAGACATCGAGCCCAGGAACGACTCGGCGAATTCTGGCAGGAATGGAGCCAAATTGGCCGGACACGCGAGTCCGAGGCGACCCAATGCTGTTGCTGCATTCTCTGATGCCGGGTCTGGCACTTCTTCATTATTGATGATGGTCAAGAGGGCCTTGACAAGTGTTTCTGCAAAGCTGTCGAGTCGGGACGTGGGAGCTCGTGCCGCAATCTCTCCTAAACTCCAACATACGTTGGCGAGAACATTAAAGTGATTGTCAGAATCATCATCTGGCATGGTGTCTAAATCGAGCTGGCGAATTAAAATGGGCAGAAGTTTGGGGAGGTATGGATCTAGACTCGGGAAAAGGGCGATCGCACAATCACCCAGTACAGCATAGGCGGACTGGCGGACATCGGTAGTGTTGTCTTCCATGCAGAAGGACAGGAGGTCGAAAAATTGTGGCTGAGAGTCCTGAACGAGCTGGGCGGATTTGGCTGGGTTGATGGCCTGAATGATGGCCGAGACGAGATCGAGGCCGGTGACGATGAAATCCTTGTCTGGTGCGTCAACGCTCACACCACTCACAAATGCCATATGCTGTTGCAGGTTTGCGTAGACGACCTTAATACAGCGGTCGAAGATGGGAGGGGCGAATTGCGCGAAGACTTCTCCATAAGCCATGGCGATATAACCCAGACAGCCAAGCAGAGGGAACATCTCCCTCGAATCGTCTTGAATCTTATTCCAACGCTGAATCAGTACTGGCATTAAGAGATCCACAAGGTCTGGTGTGGCCATTTCTGCACCAACATTATCAGCAAGCGTCTGCAGACAGTCGTATAGAATGTACATATTCTTGTCCTTGTAACGCTTGAAGCACTCAGTAAACTGGCGCAGAATTGGCGTGATGTAAGGCTTAAGCTTGTCACGAGACTTCTCCTCAAGGCTGGCGAAAGAGGAAGCACCTGCTTCTTGGACTTTCTTATTCTGATCGAGCATGCGTTGAAGGAGGCCCTCCATCATGGGCTCGAAATATCGTTGCTTGTCGGACGGGGACTCAAGATTTGCCGCCCATTCAGAATAGCGCGCGAGACACCAGCAAGTGATCTGACGCACGACAGGTTCTTCATCTGACAATCTGGAGATCAGGAATGGTACGAGTTCTGGGAGATGTGGGGAGACCACTTCCATGCAGCCGTCTGCGACTGCACCTAGGGCAAGGACTGCAGCCTCACGCTTGGGCCATAGGGTATGACTAAGGTTGTTCTTGAGATATGGGAGGATAATGTCGAAGACGGCAGCGTGATAGTTAACGGCAAAGACATCGAGTGCAGCTGCTGAGCATTTTCGTAGACTCCAGGCATTTTCTGGATCTTCCTCGTCCCATTCGTCATCTTCGTCCGCATCTGACCCTTCGACTTCACCATCACTCAGATCGGCTTTCTTAGTTGGAGTTCCATTGGGGTGAGGGCTTTCGGTACCCTCGTCTTTCTCGGAGGTCACGCCTCTTCCGGCTTTTGTTTGGGCGAATTGAGGTTTGATGTCTTCGACACGATCTTCCACATCGGCATCATTTTCATCTCCACCAAGTCTGAAGACCTCATCCTCTCCATAGACCATTCCGGCCAAGAGAACAGGAATGATCTGTTGGAGATAAGGACCCATTAGATCTCTCAGCTGGTCTTGTTCACCCACACTGAGCCAAAACTCGGCTGCATCCAAGGCAAGATCGGGAGCGTCAACAGTCTGTTGCTGCGTCAAGATGTAGTTCACCAGCCCATTAATATGGGGGACAAGCATATCGGGTCTCGAATCCACCAGTTGAACAAGTGACTGGCAGACAATCCTCCGAACTTGGGTATCATCATCAGCGGCGAGTTGAAAGATCGTTTGAAGGTAGACATCCAAAGCACCAAACAAGACCTGGGATTTCTGAGGGATGAAGCTCTTCAGGGTGCTGAGAGCCAGAACTCTGATTTTGGGGTTCTGGTTGCCTGCGTATTCCAGTAACTTAGGAACAATCACAGCCATGGGTCTCTGGCCCTGGAACTCCTTGTCCAAAAGCTTCTTGTTGTCTTCGCAGACTTTGGCCAGAGCAGACATGGCACCCTCTTGGGTCTCGGGGGGCACATTCCCGGGAGTGTTGCTGACGAGGGACAGTAAATCCTGCAGAACCTCGGGCCATTGTAACAAACCACCTTGCTGGACGATCTCAGTGATGACCGTGCCAGAGAAACTGCGCAGTTGGGGATTCGGGTCTTGGAGAACGCTCAATGTGGCGGCTTTGAGGTATGCAAGCTGATCCTTGGGGATGGATTTGTGGAAGAGTTTGATGTGATTCTTGAGGTTAATGGCGGCGGCATAACGGACGAGAAAGAGGCTCGGGGCATTGAGTTCAAGTCGCTGAGCGACCTGCGGTGTGCTGAAGATGTAGGTGAGGTAATTGACAAAATCGGCATTGTTGCGAGCGTTCATGAGCATCTGGAGGAAGGCATCGAGGTCAGTGATCGATCGAGAAGGACATCTCAGGGACGAGCGAGGGCGCGCAAAAGGCGGGCCCAATTTCGATTCTCAGATCTTTTTTAATTCCCACCCCCGGGAACGAAGTATGATAAACTCACCTGCTCGGCTTCTTTCTGTTTATTTCTGTCATGGCCACTCAATGAATTCTTCAAAAATTCCGAGAGTTGTCGCAGACCGTCCTCCTCCGGTTGCCACGCCATGACGGGCACCGTCGCCCAGGAGGCTCAAGCGAAGGAAACGTTGCGGTCGTGCAACGGTGCGGTGCGGCTGCCGCAGGGCAATGGTGGTTTTGGGGGTGGGAGGGGAAGGTCAAGGAGAAAGAGTGGTAGGGCAGTGTAGTGTCGTGCCCGTTGAGGGTTCCGGTTGGTGTCCTATCGAAGTCTGGGATAAAATAGAGAATGGTGAGTAGAACGGTGTCGTCGACGACGGGTGAAGAAGCGTCGCGAAGTGGGAGGTTGCGCAATGAAATGGAATGGATATGGACTGGATACGGGCTGCCGTTCAAAGTTGGGCCTCAAGTGGGAATTTTTCTGAGCAGGTGGGGAGGACACGGAGGGCAGGCAGGGCAGGGAGGGAAGGTGTGGACAGGCAGTCCTACTGGCAGGAGCCGGTGTACGGTGTGGCAGCAGCAGCAGCAGCAGGAGCGACCATGGTGTGTGATTGTGGTACTAATGACACTGAACTACGCGTACCTAGTTAACTACTTACTACCAACTACCAACTACTAGCGAGGAGTGGGGAGGACTGAGGCGAGGGCAGGTAATGAACGGCAACAACTGCTCTGTACGGTCCTATAGGTCATTCACGTTGATGTGAAGTCATGTAGAGACACATGTCCGGGTACCAGGAATCAAGTGCATACTCCTACTCGTACGTCCATTTGTCGTCAAACAGAACAGGGTGTGAAAAATAATTAATTAAAACGTACGGTAGCTTTCGTACCCGGCGCTGGAATTAAGGTTGGCGCCCGAGGGGCCTCTCGGCCCTGCTGAGGGCTGCGTCAACCACTTCCTAATTAGCACCCGGGTTAGTCCATCCATCGTGGATACCTTCCGCTATCCACCGTCCACCATCCACTATCCACCGTCCACGAAACAACCTTTCATATTATATGAGCACCTTTTTTGCATCATTGTCCGTAGGTAAGCTGCATCAGTGATGTTATTGTCTTGTCTCTTCATCCATTGTCCTCATTCACCCATTCACCCCAATCTTCAGCACCCACAGTACTTCCCACCAGGGGTATTCACGGTGCTCAGCTCCCCTCGAGCCCGCTGCCTTCACGCCCACACCAGTTTCTTGAGGGAATGCCCCAATTGTTCAAAATATCCCGTTCGCTTCTTCGCCTCTGCCAATGAAATGATAGGTTCATGCTCGACAAGGCTATCCTTGCCTGCCCCAACACCTCCTCCTGCTGCTGCTGCTGACATGGATGGTGTCCCTGTGATCGCTCGTTGCACTTCCTCGGCCACAGTCTGAGCCATATCCACGGCCGACTCCTGAGATCGGCCTGTTTCTGACGTCTCGTCATCTGTCATGGCCGGAATGACTTTGATCGCAATTGTTCTCGACGTCGGTGGTGACGAAGGTGCCAGCCACGACAGGATCCCTGTTCCCCCATCGATGCGGTTTTCCGAGCCCCCTTCAGACTTCTGAGCAACGTAGTTCTGCAGCGACCTTGTATTGGTGCGGATGATGCTTTCCTTGCCAGGTTGATACACGATCACCACCCCGGCGTTCAGGTCTTCCTTCATTTGTCGCTCTGAGAACGTCGATGTGATGTACGTCCCATATCGGATCTTGGAGATCGATCTCAGATCGGCCTTCTCGAAAGACGCAAGCTTCTCCGTCGTCCAGTCAAACCTGCAGCAATACAGGGCTGCATCGGTCAACAGAACAACCGCTTCCTCGAATGGGAGGGTACGCAAAGTGTTCTCATGCGAAGGTGTCAGCATCGTCCATCCATGAATCAAGTCCTCACTTTCATCTTGAATGACTTGTTTGGCACAGTTTTCAATCGCCGTTTCTCGGATTTTCTCAATCGAGATGCCAGGGTCAGCCCTCATCAGTGTGCTCTCGAAATCTTCAAACACCTTCCAAGACGTGTTGCCGAGGAGAACATCGATCACTGCCTGCGAAAAATAATCATTGACCATATTATTGTAGTACCGAGTCAGCGTCAGGCTGAAATCGTTCAGCGCACCTCGATAATCGCGCCGTCGAGTGCGGGTAAAATCTCCCTTCAAAGCCGCCGTCGAGGCATACTGTCGCGAAATCGCATCTCCATTGTCTGCCCATAACGTATTGAACCATGTTGTGCTCTCATCGTGAAGCAAGTCGATCGTATAACCCTCTCTCTCCAGATCTCTCTGCAACATATACTGCCCAAACCCACTTTGTGCAACATTGGTTCTATCCAAGCAATCCATACAATTGGTCCGGATGATTCCTGATTGTACTTTCCTCAATTCGTTATTTGAGATGACGGTCTCACCGTATGCCTCGAGTGTCGCCTCTAGCTTCTGTATCAATCTTGACACGTTTTCAAACTTCATGCCGCGACATTCGGCGTGGAAATCAAACCACTCGAACTGAATGTCTTCTAATCCGTGACCTTCGATCAAAGAATGAATGGTTTTGTCATATGCTTCGCCGATCGCCGCCTCAGTCCCATGCTTGTCGACGAGAGCGGCGATCTGAACCCCTCCAAATCTTCTCTTGAGATCTTGAAAATGTTTCTTCTGTGCTGCCTCATTCTTGGACGCGGGGTGATGCAAGATCGGGATAGGTTTGAACGAGTAAGGTGATTGCGAGAAGTACAACGGAATAGAGCCTCTGATCTGCACAAATGAGATTATGTTTCTTGTAGGCGACCAATCCGGTGAGGAGAGAATCTGTTCTGTTTCCGCCGTGTTCGCGCAATTACCTTCGTCGTCAATCCCTCGGCGTAAATACCGAAGCCCAGACCGCTTGACAGACCGTCGAGATACCAGAGTAAGAAGGTAAGATCGGGTGTCATCGCTCAGATTTGCCAATCCTACCTTGGCTTGGCCAATTGTTTGTGCAAGTTCGCCAGATTGCTCGCCAACCTCAGCTGCAACCACTTGAGCCGACTGGGAATCATCGGCCTGAGATTTCTTGACAAGGAAAGCCCTCTGGCCCACAAAGCCTTGAATTACGGGCGTAACAAATGCTTCCTGCCGGGAGTCCAAAAATGGTGTAGCAAGTCGTCTATTCCAGAGATACTGTATTCAATCAGTCAGTCTACAGCAGAGTCCCTTGTAAAACTCATCCCAAACCTACCAAAGGATCCAGCGACTCCCGGGACGGAGCCTTCGGCGTGCCATTCAAGAGCGCCAGTCTCCGGGTCAAGTCGAATTCATAAGAAAAGAAGTAACTCCTTGACGTCAATATCATCTTGGTGCTTCGTAGAATCTTTGGCAGAGCGTCCGCGATTGAATTTTCGGCAAGGACTTGCTCCTTTTCGCGAGCTTCGTCCTTCTGAGCGGCTTCCTTTGGAGGTTCAGCGTTTACAACAGCCGCATCCACCTTCTCATACTTCTTAGAACCTGTAGCAGGGGTAGCTGCGCTGTTGACATTCCGGTCGACGCCCCACCCTTGCCTGGAGAACCACTGAGAAGCGAACCTACCATACTGGCCACGATTGGCAATCACATCTCTGGCGATGCTGGTATTAGATGAGGTCCGGAGCTGCTCGGGGCGACCATCGTCAAGGGGCGTCTCGGGTTCTGCATCATGCAGTTCTGCTTCAGATCGAGCATCGTCGTCGTGCTCGCCAGGATCATCGCTAAAATCCGAATCCGAATCCATCGTTACCTCCCGGCTTCTAGAGGTGATGCTCGCTGAGATGGCCTGGTTGGCATCACTCTGCGAAGACAAAGGCACGAGCGTCACGTCCGTGACCACATAGACCGGCCTGCCAAAGATCTGAGCCACCTGTTCGCGCTGTGTGATGGCAATCAAGAACGTCGACGATGCCAAGGAGAGCAAGCCTACCGAGCCCCTGAAAGTAAGCTACCCATCCATATGTACATCCGCTAAGGAATCGACAACGCGGGACAGGGAGTGACGATGTTGATCGCTAATCAACTAGTTAGTTGACCTACCTATGATCCCATGCGCCTCAAGCACATTGCCTTTTCTGGTCTCAGCACCAGCGCCAGCACCCGGGCCCGTGGCAGGGAGCTCCTTGATCTGGCGATTGGCATAGTCGATGTGAATCGACTTATGGTGTTCAGAAGGCCCATGAGCTTGAAGGACAAGGCCGTCTGCCACTGCCCAGATCAGTAGTCGTCGTACCAGAGCCGGCATCGTGGGTCGCGTCAGATCGGGCAAGGTGAAGGCAAGGCAGGGGAGAGCAGATCATCGGTCCATTTGATGCATAGAGGGATCCTTTACAGCTCATTCATGTTTCCAGTTGTGTCTCGTTCCTGGTTCGTCTTCGGTCCTTGGTAGCTAGCGGGGACATCTAACCAGGCAGATGTCAGGTGCGGTGATGTCGTTCAACGCTGGCCATTGAGCAAAACGAGTGAGGTACACTTAAGTCTTCGTTAGTGAAAAGTGGAATTGAAATCTCGGAACTGTTGAAAGGTTGTTCCACGCAATTGTGACATCATTGACATCATGCACTTCCAATTGGGCGCCCGGATCTCGCAGCCTGTGGTCCTGGGTGCCCAATTTACTTCTTCATGTGCACACGGTTCGACATTCAAGTTTCCGACAGAGCACACAAAAGCCAAAACAAACTGAACGATGAAAGCCGGATAGGATCGAAAATCGTCAAGAACTCGGGTCGTGCCGACCTTTGCACCCATCATTGCATAGCTGGGTCTCATTCATTCTCAGCCTCTATATGATCGCTACTAAAACCAAGCCAACTACCTTCCTAGGCATCCAGGCAGGCAAAGAAGTCAGGGTCGTGTCGTTCCTCGTTCCTCGTTATCGTTACACTATCTGTCTGTTCTCTTTTCTGTTCTCGTGTCGTAGCTGCCGCACCAAAAGAGGGCCTCAAGGTCCAAACAAAATCTTGATCTCTTTCATCCAAACATACTCAGTAGTCCCTTTGTTTTATCTTGCTGCTGCAAAATCTAAGCTGTGCACCTTGGCCGCCATCAAATCAGGAGACTCTACCCGTATGCCAGGGTTGGCCTTCAGCTCGGAAACTACCGGATCTTCCACTGCTGGATGCATACCGGCCGTCGTAAGGAGTGGGCTGCCGGGAACCGCATCTAGTGGCGCTTCGTGTAAGGCTGGCTTCTTGCTGACCGCCATTTTGCCGGCCTTCTTCCTCTCGAGTGCATTGTTAACCCACTCTGCAACCTCCTTGTCGGCCGTGTCTGGAGCTGCTCCATTCGTGAAGACGGACTCAATGCCCGCCTCATCAGCCTGTTGCGCTTCGTCGTCTTCAGAGATTGTCGGTGGTTTCATGAGCGGCGCTAACCAACCGTGCCGAAGAAGCATTGCGTACGTTGGTCGAAGGCGAGGAATCTTGTTCAGGCAGCCTCGCACGAAATCGATCGCTGCCTCGGAGAACTTGTCGGCGGGCAGATCAGGGGGATCTCCATCAACAATGGCCTGTTCGCTGGAATTAGCTTTCGTCATTCCTCCCACAAAAGGGGTACAAAACTTACACTGAGTTGGCTGAAGATGTTGTCATAGGTCTCGGGAGGGTAAGGGTATCTGCCGAGAGCGCATTCGATGATGGTGAGGCCCAGAGACCAAATGTCAGATTGGACACTGTAAGAACCACCGGCCGAGCCCGCTTGGGCCATTCCACCACCAGAGATGCGCTCGGGTGCCATATAGCTCTGACATCCAATGTTGGTCTTTGCTATTGATGCCACCAAGTTCCCACTGACCCCGAAATCGCAGATCTTGACTTGGCCTCGCGAATTGACCAATATATTTGTTGGTTTGACGTCTCGGTGAATGATGTTGTGGTCGTCCTTCAAAGATTTCAGACCCATCACTGTAGACAGAGTGATCTTTCTGAGAACGCCTTCCGAGACCCCATCACCGTAGAGCTTGTCGATAGACCCGCCGTCCATGTATTCAATGCAGATGTAGACCGAACCTTCTTGGAAAAAAGCACCATAGAAATCAATGATAAATGGTGAGACACAGCGATGTAAAATGTCCAACTCCATGATAATTTGAGCAAATTTTGAGTCATCCAATTCCAGTCGGATTTCCTTCATAGCCATCACAAGACCGCTAGTCCCTGAGGCCAGTGGTTGCGCTTCACCCTCCTCATCGTCCTTGGGAATTGACGCCGAGGACTGGCGTACCATATTCCCTCGAAGTCCCAACCCAGGTCTTCTCATTTTGGGTCGGGCGTGTTTCACTTGGAAGACGGTGCCATAATTTCCTTTGCCGAGTTCGGCCATGGTATCAACCTCGTCCAAGGATATCGAGAATGTGCTGCCACCCTCGAAGTCAATACCACTTCCGTGAATGACAGCCTTGTTTGCGAAATTCAATGACCCCTTCTGAGTATCTATGATGCTGGAGAACTTGCTGAACTGGGATCCGGTATCCTGTCTTGCAGCCTCTTCACCAGCGGGCAATGGCTTCTGGGCGTCAGAAAGCTTCATACCACCTGGTTTGAGGCCACGCTTTGCCGCTAGCCCAGCCATAGGGCCCCGTGGGCTCATTGTCTGGGGGCTACCTGCCTTTGGTGAAGCAAAACTAGCAGTATTCGGTCGGTTTATGCCAGGTGGCAGGCGAAGATTGGAAGCGGGGGGCACGGGTGAAGCTGGAGATGGTGCTGCGATTGGGCTGGGAGTAAATGCTCCAGAGGGTGGATTTTGTGGCCCGGGAAACCCGGATCGCGCACCTTGTGCGCTGGGAGCGCCTTGCCTCGAGAGAGAAAAGGCCTTCATTTTTGCTTGGATATCCGAATTTAAACCGCTGGCACGAGAAGGCAGTGGGCCAGGTCTTCTCGCAGCATTCGTAGGACCAAGAGGGGCAGAGGAGGGGTTGATGGTAGAGGTCATGCTGCCTTGCGTGCTCAGCGATGGAGGCCGGGGACGGGGTTGTGGAGGAGATGACTGTGAAGGGGAAGTTGCAGAGAGTTCGGGAGATATTTCGTCAGGGCTTCGAGAGAGCTCTGGGGAGGATGGTTGCTGTGGTTCAGTCATGGTGTAGGAAGTGGTGACTAACCTAAGGATGTGGGTGTTTGAAATGCGGGACGGAGGTGTTGGTGTAGCTGCGCCAGTGCGCGTGGATAGAATGGTCCAAATTTACACATGCAATTTCAAGCAGTGCGTACGAAGGCAAAGGAGGATTGTCGCTCAAGGCAGGAATCGGTCGAAGAGGAGCTTCCAACCTGTGGCCGAGAGATAGCAGAGTGAGGGATGGCGGCGACAAAGAATAGTGAAGAACGTGGTCCCATGGACAGGATGGAGAAGGGATGGACGCAAGGCAAAAGTTGCTGAGCAAGCACCCACAACTCTGGTTGGGCCGGAACAAGCTGGGCGCGGAAAGATTGGTGATGGAAGTGGTAAGGGTGACGAGCGAAGCACCAGGAGGATGCTGGAACTTCAGGCGTTGAATATCAAGACAACTGACCAAATATTTGCTGGCAGTATATTGTTGAGACGGGGCGATGTGGTATGGACTTAGCCCAGGATCTGATATTTAATGATTTTGGCTGTGGAGGGGAAAGGCAGGAAATGCAAGATTACGAGCAGCAAGACCATGGTCGACTTGCCAGAAAAGGTGGTGCAGATGTCGATCAATATCTAGGCCTGGAGAGGGTATAGACGAAGGAGCGACAGAACGGGCTGCGGGCTCCTTGGGCCCCCGAAGGGCTCCTGTCTTACCTAGGTAGATAGTGCCAGCTGCCAGTCCCAGTTACTGAGTAACTCACACCCTCTGGAGGCCTCCTTCCCAGCGCCAACAACGCCATCACCATCGCCAGCTGTGGCTTACTCGTCATGATGAGTGAGGCGTAGCAAACGGCGGGCTTGCAGTAGAGCCCACCCACGATCTGCGGGCTGCAGCTAACCACCAACTTTCAACATCACCGCCTGCCACGTTTGGCTGTGCAGGCATGGATGGTCTAGGATAGAGATCGACAAGAGACAATAATATCAAAACCTAGAATCAAGTGAACGCTTGGTCTAGCTATGTCTTTATGTGTCCATCGCCCATAATTCCTGTCTAGCCACGGCGCGCGGCTGCCAGTGTCAACTTGTCAGAACGCACACACCAGCGTTCGCAACACCCACGAAAAATATATTCTGCCCCCTTCCCCTCCCTTGCCATTGAACATGGAATTGCGAGATTCCCATCGGGCACCCACGGCACCCACACGGACTTGGGTTTTAGTGGTTGATTGACGAGTGGACCCCTTTGCCCTAAGTACTAAGTAGAACGGAACTTGGGAAGGAAGTGCATGAGTAGTAATTACTCGGTGGCGCCCTACTCGTAGTCTCTCGGGTTGGAGACCCAGCGACCCATTGGGCAGCATGTTGCGGCTTCCCCCCCCCCGGATCAGGACCCGAAACACCCAGGGACGCCCAAAATTAGGTGTGGTTCCTTGGTGGTCAGGTCCCAGGCCCCAACTTTCAGGCACTCCCAAGGGTTGGCAGCGAGTCAGTGTGCAGTGTGCGAGGTCCGAGTAAGTGAGGAGCCACCGTCATAGCCCACGAGTCACATCGTCGAGCGTCACTGAAAATGCACCCAACACGTCATTGACGCCCATGGCTCCCTATGACGCGGTATCCGGACCTTTACGTATGAGGCTTCATTCCACCTTCCTGCGCCTTCACTGCCCTGCTTTTGTTGGATGGATGTGCACCAACCACGAGTAAAATCCTCTCGTTTCCCCTTGGGAGTTGGTTGGATTAGGCACTTTGCCCTGCACCTATATCATTGGGCCTCCTTCAGGAAATGCGTAACGGCCTCGTGTCCTTAAGTTTCAACCGAGAGACATTGAACCAAACCAAACATAGCAGCGGGCATAGTGTCGCAATAGGTTACGCCAACTTTTTGGGCTTGCCTTCCCACAGCGTCGCTTACCAAATTAAGTATCATCGATGATTGAAGTGCTTGCATACAAGTCTTGGGTAGGAATGATGTCTCTCTTCAGCTTTGCTTCGTCTAGAACGGCTTATGCTCGTTCGCGAGCAAGGAAACGAGTCTTTGCTATCGGTTGGGCACAGCGAGGTGCCACAGTGACACCGAGCGATTCTTGGGCTACCGCTTTGCTGGAAAGGTTTCATATCAGCATACGGAGTACGGAGTACTAGCTTGAAGACAAGCTAGCACGCTTGCTTCGCTCCTGCCCTCGCACTCTGCCACCCACTGTTCTGTGATTGCGCCTCCCCCATACCTGGCACAGCACCAGCCTATCCCACCACTCGCTATCTTCAGGCTTATGCGAGATCGTCAGACCACGTGCATCGCCTCGAATAGGTCCTCAGTTCAGTACCTAGATGGGCAACTTGGCCACAATCTTGCTTTGAAGATTCTTGGGACGCTTGGCCGGAACATCAAGTCAGCAGCCACTGGGTTGTTGCCATCACCGATATCCCCAGCCTTGTCAGTTGTGATTGGTGGGAAGTAGTATTCGACGGGTGATATGAAGACTCCCAGAGTTTCCATCCCTATCGTACTAGGATCATCTCGAATGTCACCAGTCCTTCGAGGAAACATTTGCATCTACTGCGCTTTTAATGTTAGAAGCGTAATAATGGTGAGGATAGAGCATCGCCGTTTATACATTGCCTTTCTAGGCCGTTTGCTTTTCAACGCTAATAATATCTGTACAACAATCGATCATGTTCAATCCACCCCTGATATTTGAGGAAGGTTGCCCACTCCGTAAATACGCGATCCCAACGCCTGTGCTGTTTTTCCCACGGAGACATCTCCAAAATCAACGCCCTCGAATCGTTCTTGCACAGCAATCATGTACTCACAAGTCGAACCCGATGATCAGGGAGCTTCTTTTGCTTCATCCCCAAGATCGTTGGATATCTAGAGGCACGACAAAGAGCTTCGTCTTACAGTTTTGTCCACTCCACAGTCTCCAGAGCCAGCATAACTAGCAGTAGGGTTGAGGGAAGAATCCAGACAACATAGCTCTGGAAAAGGATTCGACTCATCAATCCAGGGAAAACATTGTTCTGCGCAGATATCTGCGTCAACTGCAATGCACTTGGTGCCCCTGACAGCAAGAAGCACACAATGATGAAGATTTTGTCCTCGAGTATGGAGATTGAAAGGTACTTGGCGAGCAGAGCGATGAATGGAGCCATGACGAGAGTTGGTAGGAGCATTCGAGATACAAGAGAGGCAATGAGGAGTTTCTTCTCTTCCTTCGGGTCCGTCGTAGCAGCTGCAGGATCGCGAGGAATGGTGTTCCTTGCAAGGTTTCCACCAAGCACGACCAGGATCAGAGGAACTGCAACACCACCACTTTGTTCCACTGCACGGGTGACTGAATTGCGAAGGAAGGTTCCCTCGTCGAAGAACAGTTGCTGAAGTTTGGGAATGCTGGCAACTGTGACGGCCACTAGCATTGCCCACAATGGCGGATTCATGAATTCGGCGAGTCCATGTAGAAAAGATCGCACTTTTGCGTTGATCGTCGACAGAGCTTTCTGGACGGTAGCTGGAAGGGCCTGGAAAGCCTTGGTGGACGTGGAGGTGAAGAACTGGCCGATTCTCAAGAAGAATGCTCTGATATTATTTCTGGCTTTGTTGACATAACCTTTCACACCGCCGCAGTCCTCATCATACCTTCGGTTTTCAGGGTCTCTCAGCCACTTTGGAATGTCGATGTGGTGATGAGGAGCGACCATACCATTTGTCGGAGTTGCCAGCAGATCAGGTGTCTCCGCGCAATCATTGAGATTTCGGTGTGAGGAGTTTCTTGAGGTTCCAGCGGACGGATTTACTGGGGTTCGGGGTGTTTTGAACCCATCGGACTTTGACATTGTGGGTGATTCTGTGCCTACTCTAGTGGCGTCTTCCCCGAACTCATCACTGCTATACTGGCCCTCATAACTTGGACTGAGCAAACGTCTCTCTTCATGGTCAGAGTCGACGCTGTCACGATACTCTCCGCGTCCTCGCTCTGCGGCATCGGGTTGTTTAGTGCCGCCCTCCTCGATGGTATATGTCTCAGGCGGCGCCAAAAGAATGTTATAGCCCCAACTCCATCGGAGCAATTGTCCTAATTGTTGGAAGACGAGTAGGTACAGGATACCTCGAGCAGCAACATCGTTGTCGTTGTCGTGGGGGATTTTATCCCAATGCAGGCCCTTCAGTGTCTTGGAGAGGGCGAGAACGAGTGAGATGGGCAACGAGTTAGAGTTTCCGAAGACACCCATAGCAATGACGAAGTTTGTCTGTCTCTTTCTGAATCCCATTACTCTCGAGATGATCCAGGCGCAGAGATAGGACATGATGGTTTGGACGACAAAGATGACCGGGATGATGGCAAGATCGGCCAGTTTCTCGGCTGTCAATTGAGAAGCCAGTTTAGTGAAGATGAGGCATGGCGTGAAAAGAACAACATTGAGATTCGCAAGAAACTTCTGCGAATCTGCGTCGAAGGAGCCCTGCCTGGCTACAATATAACCTGGTAAGCTGACACAGACGACCTCCAACACGGCTTCGAATACGAGTAAGGTTAAGTGGGCGAAATCAGGGTGCGAAGAGTGTCGACCACCGGCAGCCCAGGTGTGGATGGCGGCTTCAACATTGCCAGATAGCGGATATTGGTCTCGACTGGTCAGACTCCCTAGAAGCTGGCGGGTAGAGAAGGATGTTGGATGTGCAAAGTAATCAGCGAGAGGCATTATGAGGCCGTTCAGAACACGGCCGCGGGAGGTGTAGGTATCGAGGTGGAAGAAAGGGAATTAATTTTCTTTTGCCTTCGGAGTTCAAGTTGTTGTAAACGCAAAGGAGGCGCAGTCGTGGTGGTGTGTGACGTCGGTATCGTCACCGTCCGAAGGCTGCCGGCAACAGGGAAAGTAGGACTCAGGGCAACTGGATTTTTCGAGTACAAAGGGAATAATTGATAGGATGGATCGACTTGGAATATAATGGAAGAGGAAGTGGTGATGAGCATCCCACGAATTCGAGGGAAGTTCAGACTGACCACCACCGACGCGACACGATAGCAGAAGGAAGGACGGGCAGTAAAAACTGGATGGGGAAATCTCACGGCCCCCAAAACAGGTTACTACTGGCTGGTTAGTTGGATCCGTACCTTGCGAGGTCAGCCGTGGATGGGTGACGAGCTGGATAACATGTGGAGGATACTTTCAGAGAGATAACGAATGTAGAAGCACGCAGGCAAGCGATTGGGCAAGAAGCTCCCCTGCTCTGCTTTGCACCCCTGCACCTGTTGGCCAAGGCGGAAGTGCAGACTTCTCTCTCAGCACGGGCAGCTTAAATTGATCACTCTCCACCTCCAAAGCGCTTCTCTCGGGCATCGTTAGGCATGCTTAGGCTCACTCTCCTGGCCCTTGGGCCCCGCCGGGAGCGCCTAAGGCTTTCCCTTGGAGCTGTTTGAGCTGTGGCTATCCGTACGATCACGACATTCAGCTTGGTTGTCGAGATTGTTTTCAATTTTCTTGCTTCTGCTCGGATTGTGTGTTGATACAATTGGTCACCAGAGATAAGCTCAAGATTCTGTCCCCCACCAACTTCAGGCCCTGAAGAAGGTTTATTGCAAACTTGGCCAAACCATTGAATGACAGCTGCGAGCCATCTAAATGGAGAACACAAGTTCTATTCCACCTCGCGCGGAGGACATGTTTTTCCTTTTCCGACATCCTAGTTTGCACTCGTACTAGCTTACACGGCTAACATCAGTATCACATACTCGTAGGACTTCAAGTTGTCGGTTTCTCGATGCAGGCTTCTTGGTTCCACTGGCAAGGAATTCTCATCCCATTCACTCACCACATCGAGGACGCGATGTCGCAAAGCACGCCACGACAGACACGAGCAATTCGCCTAACGGCTCAGGTAGGAATACAAGGGACTGGAATCCGTACTCTCATATATAAGAATCTCCGACTATGACTTTTTGGGGAGCGGGGCGGACATTTGCTGCCTCAGCCTTTATACTTACAAGGCCAGAACGAGGCAAGAACCGACTCAATACTAACAATTGGTTCGTGATGCACACATCTCATAAGAGAACCGAATCTCTACGACCCAACTCCAAAATGTGGGCCCTCTACCTCCCAGGCGTACCCGCGGGTAGCGCCCCTCCATTTCGCTTTCCTGACAAGCCACCTAGTCCGTCTCATCTGGAATATACAGGATCAGATTTCCCAGACCCTCGAGCACCGCCCGCAGCGAGCTGACCTGGGCGGAAATCCTCGATCCATCCCGCTTCCATCCACATGGTTCAGCAATCCCAGGCCACGATGTGATTGACCTTGTCGAGAAGGTAGTTCCACTGAGCCCAGCGACGAACAACAACTCTCCAAAATTTTCATCCGGGGACAAGATTTGGGGTCTCTTGGACTTCGATCGTGACGGAGCAGCGGCCACCTACACCATCGCGCTGGAGGACGAGCTCAGCCTCGTGTCTGCTCCTCCTCCCCATCAGTGCAGGCAGACTGCAACCACACGTAGACGAGGTATTCGCTCTCGAAAACGGTCGCGCAGCCATAGATCTGGTTGAAAGCCTCAGCCGGAAAGGCGTGGGGAAAATCGTCCTAAGACTGTCATAAGTACTTCACAGTAGTCAGTAGCATTGGAATTGGATGTGCACATGAAATGAAGGGGTGGCCAATGTGTAGTCGAGCCAAGCCGATATTTCGTATTTTAGGAGTACTAAATGACATGCTATCAATTGATCTCATTCCTTGAAGACACTATGCTTTCCGTAAGATACATGCCATGCAGAAAGCGGACCAACCGACCGACCGATCGCCAAGAGACTGTCCCCCGTTGTTATCGGCTTCAATTCATTAGTCGAGAACACCGCTTAGCACCCTTCAGTGGCTTGTACGCACCGAATCCCATTGCCACATCCCCAAGCACCGCAGAAGACACAACGCCACCATTATACATCGCGGCGTCAATGGGTATTGAGAAAGCACACGAGGGCCCTCGATATGTCCGGCCTGTAAAGCTGGTCTCTTACGCATCCCAAGAAGGTTCTCGGATGAAAAACCAGTCTCCGTCAGACTCAGTTGAAGACGCCTAATCCCTGGGTTCGTTCACAAGGACGGGAGTTTCGGACTTATCTGATTCCTCGGCTTTGGAGACTTCCTCTGTCCTTGCCTCAGCTTCCGCGTTGGCAGTCTCGCGCTCTATGAGGCCTTCTTCTGCAGCCTGTGCTTTGGCAATATCATCCATTGCCTCCTCTGGCTCAGGTTTGATGACTGCTTCAGGCTCGGCTGGTGGTGCGACTTCTTCGATCGCTTCGACAGCAGCTGCAAGTGGAGAAGGCGCTGACGGGGCTTCCGTTGCGGGCTCGGTCGGCTCTGTTGTTAGCGGTGGTGCGGTGGGCGAGATGGTGGTTTGTGGCTCAGGTCCCGACACAGGCTGCTCGCCCTGTTCTACCTCTTGCTCCTGGGGTTGAGCAGGGGAATCTGGTGGCGTCCTTTGCTGTTGGACGGTAATTGTGGATTCTTCTTCAGGCAGGGTAGTATGATTGGTGGCAGGAGCAGTATCTCCATTAACTTCCACTTCAACTTCTTCTGCATCTTCCATCTCGACGTCACCATCATCGGCAGCTGGGGCCTGAGCTGGTGATTGTGGATTTGAAACGGCAGCAGAGCCGTTGGTAGGTCCATTAACGGGACTTGGGGTTGCCACAGGTTGCTCAACAGAGTCTATATTCATTTCATCTGCATCATCAGGTACGCTCGAGCCTTGCATGGGTGTGCCAACTCCACTACCAGTTTCAACACCCGAATCAGTCGCCCCAACGTCCATAATGTGCCTGAAGTTGGCCTGAACACGTTGTCTCCGCCCTTGACGTTCGTCTGGATCCTCGTCTTCACTGTCAGACAATTCGCCGTTCTTTTGGACATACTTGTCTGACCTCCGCTGCGTGTGGCGTTTATCTGGGTTTTCATCTTCGTCGAGATCGTCTATTGCAGCTTCGTCGTCGTCGTTCATACCTAGTGAATCTCTAGGGACATCTGTCATTTGGACTGAAGGAGCATGCGCAGTTCTCTTCATATTTTCAAGTACTTGTGACAGAATCTTTTCAAGATACTCCCTTGAGTTGGCATTGTCCATGTTAGAAGGACGGACATCCAGTTCGTAATCAGGAGCATAGTACTGGGACAGTTAGTGATGTAGTTTAGAGGGTGAAGTGAGCCTCATACCTCGTAATAGTCGTTGTACGGTAAGTTAGCTTGCATATTCTCCCCCAGCAAGCATCCAGTCTCGAAAGCCCAAGTCCTTGCAACATTTCTCATGGTATAGCCTCCGCCACCAAGGATGAGGGTTGGTAAGTTGAATGACTTGACGAACCGAACACAGTTTGCGTGGCCTTTCATGCTGAGATTGAAGCAACCCAGACGATCACCAGATAAACTGTCACCTCCGCATTGGAGCACAACAGCCGAGGGTTGATAGTACTCCATGGTTGCTTTGATAACAGGTTCAAAGATTCCCTTGTATGAAGCATCGTCGATTCCATCACGGAGGGGGAAATTGACGGCATAGTATTTACCAATGCCGACACCGATATCCCTGAGCTCTCCGGTGCCTGGGAAGTACTCTCCATACTTGTGGAAGGAAGCTGTCATAACTCGGTCGGTAGTATAGAAGGCTTCTTCAACACCGTCACCGTGATGGACATCAATGTCGATGTAAAGGACTCTCTTGTGAAATCTCAAAAGTTCGATAATACCTAGGACGATGTCGTTGACGTAGCAGAAGCCTGATGCTTCGCTCTTTTTAGCATGATGCAGACCACCAGCCCAGTTTATGGCAATGTCAGCCTTTTGGCGATTCAGTCTGGCGGCGCCTTCCATGGAGCCTCCAGCACTGATACCACAGAATTCGAAAAGACCATCAAAGACCGGACAGTCGTCCCCGACGTTGTACTTTTGCTGCTCTTTCTGATATGACTCCATATTATCGGGAGTAACCTTTGCAAGAAAGTCTATATACTCGTCTGTGTGAAACTGGGTCATTTCATACTTCGAAGCAGGCTTCGCACGATAAATCTCCATCTTTTTGTACAGGCCATAGTTCATGACAAGTGAGTGAGCCAGCCGTATCCTGTGAGGTTTCATTGGATGGCCAGAGACATAGGCGTAGTTTCCGACATCTGAGTCGTAGAAGTAGGCAACGCGTTTCTTGGAATCCTCACCGTTGACACGGATCGAATCAACAGGCGCGAAGGAAGACATTATGAAGAGAACCAGGGCCCGAGAGTGTAGAGATAGAGACGACGCTTTCGATATTCAATCACCGCTTCAATATCTTGCTTAGTGAGCTGAAGGTCTGGCGGAGGCAGAGAGCTTGAACGATGGCGAAACTTGAAAGAATCCGAAAGTCGTGGGTGAGGGGGACTTTGAGAGAACGGAGCGCTGTTCTCGCGCGAAATGATCTTATTTAGTCATAGACATGCACGATATGTCGCATATGTATCGAAGAAAGCTGCTCACAAACTGGAGTTGGAACTGATTGCGCGGTGCCGTATGCAGATGAAGGTCATGGTCGTTGAGTGAAATTAGTAGACAGACATGGAAAAGGAAGCACGGAATCTCCAACTCATGCAAAAGAGAAATGTCGCAGGGAGGTTCAGTAGTGGGACGTGGAGAAGAGAGCAGCTAACTGCTAATGGCCATCGTGTCGACTTAAACACGGCTAATTCCACTAGCAAGGACTATGGACTACGGCCACGCACAAGGTTGCAACATGCATCGTCTCTGCCTCAACGTAGACTCTCACACTGTCCTAGGCGCAAGCTGCCGCCCGCAGGCCGCCAGGACACGCACTCCAACAAAACTGCAGATGAAGATGTAGATGCACCCTTCACGCTCCAACTCCATCTTGCGGTGCCGGGCATTTTGATCCTCCAAGGCCAAACCATACAACAATTGGACCTTTTGTCAGCCATCACACGATCAGCCTCAATCAGCTCTCCACTACCTTTTTCTTGAATTCTTCAAACCTTCTTCACCTCCACCTTACTGCCTCGTTGGAACCTTCCATCACTGCGAAAGTCGGTGCACCCACGCCGCCATCTACCTCCTTCAACCTCTCTTCCCTCCACCTTTTTTCAGAGCTGTCATCATGGAACGATTCAATAGAATGCTCGCTGCCGCCCAAGGCATGGGCATGGGTCAAGGTGCTTCTGGTGGCGATACGAATCTAGTTGACAACTCCGAGACCGTTTACATATCATCCCTCGCCTTACTAAAAATGCTCCGTCACGGTCGCGCTGGTGTACCCATGGAAGTCATGGGCTTGATGCTGGGAGAATTCGTGGATGACTTCACCGTCCGCGTTGTAGATGTCTTTGCGATGCCCCAATCAGGAACCTCCGTCAGTGTCGAGTCCGTCGATCCTGTCTTCCAAACGAAAATGATGGACATGCTTCGACAAACCGGTCGCCCCGAAACTGTTGTCGGTTGGTACCATTCTCATCCAGGCTTTGGCTGCTGGCTCTCCAGCGTCGATATCAACACCCAACAATCTTTCGAGCAGCTGACTCCCCGCGCTGTGGCCGTCGTCGTCGATCCTATCCAGTCCGTCAAAGGCAAAGTCGTCATTGATGCTTTCCGCTTAATCAACCCGCAGACAATGATGATGGGACAAGAGCCCCGCCAGACAACCTCGAATCTTGGCCACCTGAACAAGCCGTCCATACAGGCTCTCATCCACGGATTGAATCGTCACTACTACAGTATCGGGATCCAATACCGCAAGACCGGCCTCGAAGAGAATATGCTGATGAACTTGCACAAAGAAGTCTGGACCGAAGGCCTGGAGCTGCCTCACAGCTTCGGCGATGAACGCAAACGTAACGAAGAAGGCCTACAACAACTCGTCTCCCTGGCCGAGGGCTACGAGCGGAGAGTACGAGAGGAGAACGAACTATCGCCCGAGCAGCTAAAGACGCGGTATGTGGGTAAAGTCGATCCGAAGAAACATATCGAGGATGTCGGCCAGCGGCTGATTGAGGACAACATTGTTGCGGTCTCGCGGCAGATGATCGACAAGGAAGCCAGCGTTGCGAAGAAGGCTCAGCAAACGAATGGAAACGGTACACACGCTTTATACAATGGCGACATGGACGTAGACGAGGAGAGGTAATACGCCATGTTTGCGGGAGCTGGAGCGGAAAGGAACCACCCCAAATGGTCTCCCCCGGTGTAATTTTCTGTATTCACAAAATGTTTCGTGCTCGAATCTCCTTTTTCTCCGTGGGAATCATCGACCTGAGAGCTGGTCGGGCTCATCTCCTGGAGGAGACCGCTTGCATGTATGGCGTTGGGACTGACCGACTGACTATCAATCGTACAAAACGGGTAGAGAAGTGAGAAGACGTCTTACTGGAATTAAGACCCATATCAGATGAAACTACTTCGTAGTAGACCAACATGACCTCAAACCTAACTATTGTCAAGATCATTTACCTTCTGGGGAGTACCAGGTCGCTGTGTAGAAGCATAGATCCCTGTTTGGACTAAGCTGGGATTCGCGATGAGTTGTCTGAATGTTCAAAATTGAGTACTGATGAGCTACGTAGATAGATGACGGAACTGGCACTCAATCATTCCTTGGAAGCGCCGAGTTTCAATATTTCACTACAATTGGTGTTCCACATATCGTTGTTTCATATTTCCTTGTGACTACTCAAAGACCATTTGCAAGCCGTCCGGTGTGACGAGTGGCCTGGTCTTACCCATCGAAATTGACTTGCCCTTAGCCTCTGCTTCCGCCTTGAGGCGGGTTACCAGAGGACCCAAGGAGTCGATGCTTGGATTTCCACCCATTGTGACGAATTTTATGTGTGGCACCACGACCAAGACATCGCGAAGTAGATTGCCGCAAAAGTTAGTATAGAAGTCTGGCGATATGCTATACTTCTCAAACATCGGCCCACTTGGATCAAGTGTCACGAAGACGTTGAGTGTCTGCACTTCGGTCAACCTTCCAAGACGTTTTGCTAGGAGTTTGCTGACCCGCCACGTCTTGGGCGGACTGGTCCAGCTAGATCCTACCGTCATCTCTAGTTGGGTCACCATGGGCCGATAAATTGGCCGGAGTTCCGACACCAATGGAAAAGGCACGAAGTCCTGGATTGGGAAGATTCTGAAGCTCTGTGAGCTGTACAGCACATAAGCTGCCTCCAGATGCATCTTCTTGTCCACAGCTAGGATAGACGTGCGAGACTTCTTCCTTCCATCCATTCCTCGATAGCCTGCGGTAGTGAAGAGTACTAACGTGTAGATGTGATTGCGAATTTCTGCCGGGAGGTCGACGAAAGGGAAGTATTTCTCAGAACCAGTCGAAATCATTTCGTTGGTGGCATTGACAGTAACAGGTGATACGGCAATGATATGTTTTGGGCCCTTTTTGTTTTTCCTCCGATCCTGTGGGATCGGAAATGCGTTGACGAGGCCATCTCGCCATGACGGCGGCATTGGATCGCCAATATTGGAGTGGAGACCGACGCGCGTGAACACGATCGAGGCTCTGCTGTTACACACTCATCGTGGAATCATGAGTTGGAAGCGGTTGTCTCGTTCTTACGGGGCGACTTGTAGATCATGGGCTTGCCTCTCTTGCGCTCTTGAGGAGAACGATAATGTTCAGTCTGCCCAGCTAATACAACTCTTCGAACATATAGGTCTGTGGACGGCGAGTCAAATTATTCTGGGGGATTCAACTTTCTTTGTTGAGAAAAGAAGAGAAGAAGGAAGAAGAGGGAAGCGAACGGCGGCGAGAGAGGTCATGTGTGGTTTCTTCGCTTTGGCAGTTGCTATGCCAAGGCGGCAAAGATTTTTGGGGCAGGGGCGACCACTGAAGGCACCCAGGAGGGCTGCCGCACGTGACTTAGTAAGCAACTCACCTCGCAAAGAGACCGAGTAGACTTAACTACTACTAGTTCTCGGCTAGCTGGCTAGTGCACCAAGGCCGGCTAAGTTGGCCGTACTGGTAAGAAGCGTGATCTCCAATTCCGTTCATACACCTTTTTTTTCCCGTGACCACTACATGTTACGACCTTGCGAGCAGCACCAAATAGCATCTCGAAATCTTAGGATATCTCCCATCGCTTTTCCGTGATAGGGCATGCTGATTTCAATATGCTAAGACGGGCTGCTCTACCTCTCCTGAAGCCTCGACTGTTCCAACCTGCAATCGTCAGGCAAGCATTTCCCCACGCTCAATTGCGATATTACAAACGCTACCCCGACCCAGCAAAACCCTATCGGGTGCCTGGCTCCTCTGACGCATCATCCTCTCGAGAGAAAAATCCTTTGCGCAAAGTCCCAGAGCCGGGCTTCAATTCTACACCCAGGAAGGAGCAGGAACGACCTACAGATGAAGCCCAGTTCGGCGAAGATCCGGCACGCGATCTCGATGATGTCTCCGAGTCTGTGAGCCAAGCCAGCAGAAGGTCTATCAAAAGAAACGGTGGACAGGCTGCAGATAGCTTGAACGAACAGACGGGATCTGAAGAAATGCTGGACGAACCGCAGCAACCACTACCAGACCTTACTCGAGGTATTCCTTCTACCTTGGATGCCGAGCTGAGCCAGGCGAGAGCAAAACAGAGTGCGTCTTCCTCATCTGCCAGCCTCAACATTACCGAAGATCCTTCCGAAGAGACGAATGCCCCTGGAGGCCGGCGTCCCGGCGATGACATCCCCCGAACCGAATACATCTCCTCGAGCGACAGAAAGAAGAATGCTGTTTTCAGATACATGTATCTTGTGCTGGGCTTGGGCGCCGTAGGCTATGCGGTCTATCTTGGCCGCAATTGGGATACCGAGGAAGAAGCAAAGGCTCATGCCGAGGCACCTTCTGGCTGGGGTTTTGGGCTATTTTTCAACAGAGTCAAAGCACGTCTTGGGTCGACAATGAGCTATTACCGAGACCCCGTGACAACAAAACTCTTGCCGGATGAAGATCCAGATCCAAATTTGCGTTATCCGTTCACGCTCGTGGTTAGTCTTGAAGATATGCTCATTCATTCGGAATGGACAAGAGAAAAAGGTTGGCGAGTGGCTAAGAGACCGGGAGTCGACTACTTCTTGCGGTACTTGGGGAGCTACTATGAAATTGTGCTTTTCACCAGTCAACCGATGGCAATGACAGACCAGATCCTCCGCAAACTCGACCCGTATTCCACCATTCGATGGCCCTTGTTCCGTGAGGCTACACTGTACAAGGACGGAGGTTACGTCAAGGTAAGGAAGTCTACACTTTCAAGGACTGGCGATACTGATAATACATAGGACCTTTCATATCTCAATCGAGACCTCAAGAAAGTCCTCATCATCGACACTGACCCGCACCATGTCAAGCACCAGCCAGAAAATGCCATCGTTCTTCCCAAATGGAATGGTGATCCGAACGATCAGACGCTCATCCAGCTTATACCCTTCCTTGAGTACCTGGCTACGATGGGATTCGATGACGTACGAGAAGTATTGAAATCATTCGAGGGAACATACATACCTGCCGAATTCGCCAAACGGGAAAAGCTTCTGAGAGAGAAATTTGAAGCACAGTTAGCAGAGAAGAAAAAGAAACCAAAGAAGAGTATAGGCGGCCTCGGCTCCTTGTTTGGTGTCTCGAAATCGCCATCAGATAGCGCAGGAAGCTCTGATGATGGTTCGTTAGAGGGCAAGATGGTTTGGGATCGTATTCGAGAGCAGGGTCAGAAAAACTATATGGAGTTTGAGAGAAAGATCAAGGAGGAAGGGGAGAAGTGGCTGGCTGAGCGAGATGCCGAGGAGAAGAGGATGCAAGAAGAAGCCATGAAGAGCGCGATGGGTGGATGGCTCGGGGGATGGGTCGGAGGTGGCAAGAAGCCTGCTGAAAGTGGTGTCGAAGAGAAGAAATCGTGAAGTTAACGTTGATATCATTTGTGTCGATAGTTGAGTTGTGCATCCTAAAAGGCTGGCGGGATTGGCACCGTGTACCATATTGATTGGCCAGCCACAAGCTGTATAGCCTGGTTGCAGGCGGCACTGGCGGGATGATTGATAAATAATCTCCCTTCATGTAACAATGGACGAGGAAGGCCTTGGTTTCGATCTGGATGTATCCGGCGAGTAGTATCAGAAATATTAGCATGACTCGAACTACCTCGAAATGTAATCTGCATTATAGTGGGCGCCATGCATCATGGCCCACTGCTCAATGCTCACAGCGTCGGCGAGCTACAAGTTCACAATCAGGCTGGTTGGTCCGGAGATGAAACGTGATAGTCGAAAGCGGCAGTGACTTGTTGCATCTGCTCCAGATTGTGAGGTGCATTGTGTTTGATGTTGGGGGTCTGGATAGATCGTGCGCAAATCTCGCGCAGGCTATTGTCTGACGAGGGATTTAGAGGGATCACAGCGGCTGAGTGCGTGTCAGACTATGCGAAATACTTGGAATTTTATAGGCTCGAAGACTGAGTAGTCTCTTTAAAGGGCTTGTGAAGGGAATCTTAGGCTGCAGCCTGTAAGGCGACTGAGGCACCCCCACAGTTACTGTGCTCGTGGGCTACCCGTAGTTAAGAGTTCCCTCAGAGTTAGCCTGTTCTAAGAAAAGAATGCACCCCCATGCACGGCCGAAAGTGGCTAACCCACGACCCCAGGCTAAATTGCTTAGCTTGCGGCCACGGCCCTGTTCAAGTGGTTGCACCTGCTTACAACCCGCACTGGTTTCTCTGGGGGTGCCTCTCAGGCAAACTTTAGGCACTTGTGAGGCCTGAGAGGCCCCCTTGGCCTCCCCGGTTTAATGGTTAGACATACCTGGGCTTACCCAAGGGCATGCTGCCTGCCCGTCTTAACACTTGACATGACTGGCACATCATCTCGCTTAGCCACTGTAACCTTTGCCCAAAAGGTCGCTAACTAGAATGTCCCCTGTGGCTATCGTCCCAAACACCCTGAATTGAGTTTAATGCCTTTCAGCTTCTCTGTTCTGTGTGAGACTGAGAGTGCCTGCTATTCTTGCTGGTCTCGTCTCTTGCTGACCCTAACTTGTTGATCACTAACTGGCCGCACACATCTTTCAACAACGATTACAGCACGATTATCTCCATCCGCCATCCTATCTACGCTCATTTTCCATCAATAGTCTACGTCGGCATGGTCAGCAGTTGAGTCAATAATCACATCTATCCTCGACTGCACCGATAGGGAGCCGTGCGCTGTGCTGTGTTGTACAGCTGTCGCCCTGTCCTCGCGACGCGTTCATGGAGAGTCATGGATTTTTAGAACACCCATCAACAATGTCAATTTGCTCCAACAGTTCGATCCTTCTCCATGCTTTATGAGGATCCTGGTAATTCGATCCCATCATGACACCGAAAGTGTTGGTGCGTCCAGCCTCCAAAGGCAGTTCAACCGTATCTCACGATGGCATTCCACCTCAGCCACTTGACTTGACTACGGATGAGGCTCCCTCCTCTCCATCCCAGTCACATGACCATCCGCCATCACTTGGATATCCACCAGAATCCCCAGCTACCATCCGTTCAAACCGCCACGGAAGCAAAAAGGTAGCAGTCAATTTCCATAGGTTGCCTGCCAAAGCAATTTCTAGGTCGGTTATTATCTCAGATCATAAACGCTTAACCCTGAAAACCCCCCGCGTATTTGCTAATCAAGGCGACATATACACTGACACCACTGTAGGATTCTCTGGTCTGTCGATGCCAGCGATTTTGCCTCTCTAGCTATTCTCAATCGCGCTTGGTATGAAGTCGCCCAAGATAGGGAGCTCTACGCCCACCATCTCTCTCGATGTCCGTCTTATGCTCTTGCCAACACTGTCATTACCGGTCCCTTTCGAAAGAACGACCTGTACCGACTGAAGTCAAAGTTTGCCGCGGAAGTCCGCCGGAATCTTTTTCAGGCTTACCTTCGTCCTCGACAGACTCTAATCAATCTGATATCGGTCAATGCGAGCTCTTCTGCTGCATTACCTGGTGCAGAAGCATTCCGCTTCGCCTTCTCTCCCAATGGTCAGACGATTCTTGCTTTGAGCTCCTCCAGAATCTACGTCATTGACGCAACCACCGATCCTATTGTTGTACGAAAGGAGTTAAAGACGCAAAGAAGGCCTCTCTCAGCTTCAGTCACCGATGATGGTACGATCTTGGCTGTACTCTCTTCCCGACACCAGGCCAACATTTACAACATTGGTCCTGATGGGGTCAAGCATGTTCAAGTTCTTGTAATGGACAACCCCCCCAGGACCATCGCACTAGCTCCTGAGGGTACCGTTTTAGCAGCTGCCTACGAGGGTGGTGTGGAAGTTTTCTCGCTAGCCCCGAGCGCGCTCTCTACGGATCGGAGGGCCGTACGAAGTGAAGGCGTCGATGCCCTAGGCTTTTCTGGAGATGGTTCAATGTTAGTTGGGAGTACACAAAGTCTCGAAGAGCCTTCATCCGTCGTCATCACTGCGCCATTCTACACAGAGAATGACCTGCCTCCAAAAGAGGTCCACAGCCGCATGTGGACTACACAGATTCTCTTTCCGCAGATTAGTAGTATATGCAGTCATGCAGAACTACTTCAAGGCCATACGGAGGGAGACGCCAGCTGGCTGTTTGCTTACGATCATACTCTTATGTCCTATCGCGCCGTGCGTACAGATGACACCAGAACAGGTGTCGCTTACTTCTTGAACCCTTCAAGTACACGACGCTTCAGTCTGCCAGCACCATCAACTCCGCCAACCGCAACTGTGTGTGGTACATTGGTCGTTGCAGGCTTCAGCGGAAGTGGGCTCTGGATCTACGGGGTGCCAGAGAAGCTCGACGTCAGTCCTGATATGGGGTCCGTTGTTGAGAGACATGAGCAGCGTCTTCATGGCCGAGGCGTGTCTTTAACTTCGGCAACAGGGCATATGGAGCCATTGATGGCATACTCCCCGTCTATATCAGGGAGCAGTGAAGATTTCGAGGATGACTCAATAGCTGCGAAAGTTGACTGGCGGGAGAGCTTGTTCGTAAAATGCCAACAAATTCGAAGCATCGAAGGGTGTACCGCAGTCAAATGGGTGGAGAAAAGCGAAGACAGACCTTGTGCTTTTAGCGGCAAGCGCTTAGTCGTGGTTGCACCAGGAGGCGTCGATCAATTTGTGGAAGAATTGGGAGATGAAACTATGCCGGTTGATGGGTCCCGTGTCTCGATTCTCGATTTTGACTATGCGCCATCAATGGGAGCCGATCGCGAGATAACCATCGAAGTCGGTGAGGAAGAGCCCGAGTTACTGACTGAGCAGATTGGCGATATGGCCATCGAAGTGGCGATGGAAAGACGTCGAACCGTCAGGCAACGAGGCGGCCGAGGTATGCCTCTCGGTCGCTCAATCACAACAGTGTCTCCATCTCAAGGCCTGTGGTCTCAGCGACGGACAAGTAACTCTCAACCTACATCCCCTCTTGATGTGGATGCACAGATCGAAAAGGCGCAGGCTGAGGCAGCTCGTTCTCCACGAACACCAACGTCGGCTAGTCTACACCGGTCGGCAACCGCAGCAGGCTTCACTACCGCGAGATATCCACCGCGGCCACCCCTCGCCGCTCCTGGGGATGACAGTGGACATATGTATCAACGAACTCCGGGTCAAGTGTATTCGCCAGGAGACGGTTGGGAATCTCCGCCTCCACCATACTCCAACAGTGCCCATGCACACGCACACGCACACGCACAGGCGCAGGCGCAGGCACAGCTTCATCCTGGTTTTATGCTTGGCTCCCCACTAATCCATCCTCGCCAAATCGCAGTTCCAGGTCCGACACCCATGCCATTGCTGGGCATACCTGAAAACGGCAACACGCAGGCTCGGGGACAAACGCTACCCATATCTCCGGCATTCCACGCGAACCATGTCCTGCCTATAACCCAAATACAGGGACAACGTCCGATTCAAACCAGCCCTTTCGCCCCTCAAAATGTCTCTCCCATCACTCCAATGACTGGAGGTGGAGCCAATGGGTTACCTCAATCTGGGCAGTATGGCTCTGTTCCTCCAAGAAGTGTGTCCGGGCCTAGCAATCTTCCCAATGGCTCAAACATACCAGTACCTCCTATTAGTCCAGCGTTCGTTGTTCCCGCGCCTCCTGTTTCCAGAGAGTCTTCATCTCGGCCGGTCTCTCATGATGGCAGGCCTTCTCCCTTTCAAACACCAGTTTCTCAGCGTCACCAACCATTCGATCGTGCACATCCTTCGCCACCGAATCTCGATCGACCGAGCCCAACCGCTCTCGAAGGCCCAGGGGCATCACAACAGCTGCAGGCACAGAATAGATTATCAAACTCCTCCATTACCCTGTCCGGAGCCAACTTGCAAGCTCGACTAAATCATCCAGTCCCACCAACTCCCACAACTTTGGAGCAAATGCGCTCCTCGCCCGATGGTCAACACAGACATCAAGGGTCACAATCGAGCGGCCGAATTCCACCCCCAAGCCAACTCCCCGGCGGAGCCCCTTACGGGTTAGGACCTGGACCGGCCGACCAAATGAACAACGTGGCCCATCACCCCTCTCAGGCGCAACGAAAACCACTACCATATACCTTGACTAACGGTGGTGTTTATGCAGATCATAACATTCCAACTCTAGACTTCAGCGGAGGTTCTGTGGGGCAGAATGCATCGAGGGACAACGGATTAATTCCACCAGGTGGCCTCGCACCACACCCGTTCAAGCCACCAAATTTATCCAATGGAGACATTAGGCATGGTTCTCGAGGAAGTGGAGGCACTGGCCCCATCCCAATGTCGTCGTCAACCCCCGACCTGCTAGCAGGCATGAACCATCAACGATCACCAATTGAGAACATGCAAAACCCTTCTGGGCGGTTAGACCACCGAGTATACGCCAACTCTCCGGGCTACGGCCCACCAGCTGCTCCAGGCATCTATGCCTACTCACAACATATAAGGCCTAATGCCCAGCTACAGTCTCAGCCATCTCTACCGGCGCCCTACGACCAGCACCCGAGCCAAATGCCTGGCGCATGGATGGCACCAGACGAAAGACCCAGCGACATACGGGGACGGCGCGTATCATCCGATCCAACCATGCTAGAAACCTCTTCAAAGAAGAAGAAGGGAAAGCGAAAGAAAGGGGAGCTGATCGCCGAGCCAGGCCGCTCGCAAACTCCAATGCCAGGAGGATTACTATCGAATTCAGGCGGTTCTCCTTCTCAAGGAAAGAAATCAAGTCGATGTGTGGTAATGTGAAGGCAGGAAGTTAAGAAAGAAAAATAGAAGGGAAAACCACAGCTCTGTTTTCTTTTCTTTTTCAATGAAATGTGCTTCCCTTTTGATGTGATTAGGGATATTTAGCTAATTATATATGTGTGTACTGTACGTGTGCTTGTACGTGTACGTCTCTCGAGACCCATGGACTCAGTCGTGTTCTTCAAAGCGTGAAATGATACAGAAAATCAATCCCTAGTAATATAGAACTTGTCCGTCCAGTCTAACTAGCGTATAATTAGTGAAAACTATATCAACGTTCTATCGGTGTTTTGGGTCGGGCTTAAAACGCCGCGGGTTAGATTCGTCATGAGGGTGCAGTGGGATGGATGCAAATTCATGGTCTAAGCATCTGATCAGGACACGAGCCTGAATAGCAGATCCCAGCAAAGCATCTGGGTCCGGATGCGAGATATATTCTTTCTACAAACTACTATGTATGCCAATCGAAGCCTCCATCCTGCTCCGATCCGGTCTTGCTGATCTTTCCAACCAAAATCGTGTCTGCACAATAAACCTGACTGCTTAGTTCCGAGCCGACTCCCTCTGGTGGAGAGGAAGGTCTGCGGTCGCTAGCTCGCTCTGCTGCTGCGTCTCATCCTCAACCGCTGGGGCGTCTTCCATCTCCTCGTCATCCATCTCCCAAAGCCCCACCTCTTCGTGCTCGAGATCTGACCAGGCTTCGGCATCGTAAATCAACTGGTCTTCAGCCCACCACATAGCCTGCGCAAACGGATGCTCGTTGCCATCATCCGACATGTCTAGCCTGTAGTACCAAACCCTTGCGTCCAGTTCCTGCTTCATCTCAGGTGTCAGGGAAGGTCGTATGTCCCTGCTGGGACCTGCTGTGGCGTTTTCCTTACGATCACCGATGGCTTTGGCTGGGGTTCGACGAGGTTGAGATGGATCATGCTCCTCGTCCTCATAATTGTTGGCTCCCTCTTGATCAGATCCATTTTCACCAGTATCGACTCTCGGTTTCAGGGGCTGGTGCCCCATCCGTACCTCGATTACCAGGTACGCCTTCTTTGACCAATAAGTCCCCATGGGATCCTTTTCAGCCCATTGGCTGGTCCGTTGCCCTCTGATGCGAACATAGTCCTTGTCTTCGAAAGCTGATTCGTACTCGTATTCAGAGATGCTTTCGGTTGTGGAGTCTGTTCGCTGGTCGTCCGAGCGGAACGACTCGGACAAGAAATGTGTGGCGATCGCTTTCAGGATGTCGTCCTCCGAGACGTTCCAGCGCCCATTGACAACAAAGTCACCCTCGACCGATGGATCTTCCCAATCTGACATTTGACTCGAAGCGCTCAAATCTGGTGGTGCGCTCTGTGGTCGCGATATGCTGGGCTGCCCGAGTGACATCTCAGCTGACAGCTCAGCAGCACCGGGCAAGTTTTCCATAACAGTAGGCAGAAACGGGAGTCCGTCTGTGGTTGGGCGGCTTTAGCACTTCAACTGAGCTGCCAACGCCGACCTTTGATATTTCAAGGTTGAGGATTTCACGCAAGGCTCAGAATGATTCAAAGCAGTGTACCCGTATGGGTTTGTGGCTGAAGATCAATCCAGGCAGAAATTTGAGGCTGTCTACTTGTAGGCAGATGTACGAGCTAGCTATCTGTTGTCTTGTTGCCGTGTTCAAGGAGGCGGAGCTTCTGCAACGGCGGGTGATGGCTCCCTTGACCTGCGGTGATCTGTAGCCTCATATATCCCTACTTAACCAGGGCTGGCGTTTAATGAGACCACGAGTCAAGAGTCGCGTCCTCATTTATTGTTTCGGGCAAGGTTGAATCGTGTTTCGAATTTCATAGCCAAAGGAGGCAGTCTATGTACCCCGCTCAAGGGACTGGCCCTGTAACACCCTTGAGGCCGTTGGTGCAACACTGCAATTGCACCGCAGATTTGGGAGAGAGCCCACTCTCGATGACCAAGGAACATCTTGAACAGCGATGCCACTTTGCTAGTTGTTGTCTACTTACCCAAGTTCCCAAGATACAAGATGAAGCTCTGAAGAGCTTAGCACGGTAACGTGTCGCCCGACATTTTTTGGTAGGGACCGTGGTCTTCAGGGTCCTGCAGGTCGAAAGAAGGTAGTGTTGAGGTGAAATAGTGCACAAGTAGGCAGGATGAGCGTGCACGGGACGAGAGAAAGGAAAGGCCAGGTGAAGAGTAGCAAATCTCTGTTTGAGCACATACTGTATCTGATCAGTCCTCGGGGCATCAGCCCACAGGATAATCTACCTAGTAAGGCAGCTACCCTATAATTCAATAAATAAGACACCGTCGTGCGTACGCAGTGCGCTGTTCCAGTTGATAAATGCTCCTGCTGCTCAAGCCCATGCATTGCCAACAGCAACAGAAACCGGAGTGTTGTGGGTCCACAAAACACACTCGAAATCATTCAAACCACAACTAATTCTCATATCAGCTGCACCGTTGAATTAAAACATTCATCTCACCAGAGCCAAAAGCGTCCTTCAGTCTTAATCTCCTCCGTCTTGGCGTCTTGGTTGTAGCCCTCGACATCCTCGCCGTCGGGACAGAGAAGTGATTCGTTGTCTCAATCTTATCTTCGTTGTCGTCATCATCGATGATGATAATGGTGGAAGCCTGAGAGGAAGGAGTATTGTCAAGGAAAGTGGAAGAGCCAGTCTCAGTGATAACATCTTCCGTCACCATAACAACATCGATTTCGACTTCAAAGTCACTGTCATCGCCGGCTGGAGCATCTGCCATGATGGCGTCATCATCTTCTGAGGCGGACAAATTATCCATAGCAAGACATGCGAATGACAACTGGTCTTCACGCCACTATGCCACAGAGGGCACAGGGTTTTGGCTGTGCTCACTCATATAAAGGCGGTAGAGCCAGCCGTGAAACGGGTTGGATTCTTCCTCGTCTTCGTCCTCGTCATCATCACCATCTTCTCGGTCTTCGTCATCGTCATCCTCGTCATCCTCTTCTCCGCCGTCATGGTCACAAAGGAATGAAATCCCACAGCCTTTCCTCCTACGAACATGAAACGTAGCCAGCTTCCACAGGCCACGGCGGCCTAGCTTCGATCAAACTCGCAACCCTTGCCTCAGTTGTAAATGGTATGCGAGTGAGGTGGGCTGAAGTCCCGGAACACCAATCAACGAAACAAGAAAGTCTGTGTTAAGGAATCAGCTTTAATTATGGTGAACCCGAAAGTCAGGATCATTCTCTGGAGATGAAGCCTTCTGGATTGGCGGTAAACGAGTGAACAAGTTAATTCGCTGCTGGAGCTCAAGCGAAAGCCAAGGTGATTCACAATGCACGGTTTCTTGGTTAATGTCTCTGAGAAAATGTTTGCGGTGACTTCGGTATTCCCAGATATTCTTCGAAGGCGAGCGTGACAGCTAAGCCCGCCATCGCCGTGCGAGAAGTAGAAGCGTATCTACTCTTCACAGAGTTCAAGATGTGGAGGTTGGCAACTGGGAAGGATCTTTAGGAGGACTCCCATTCAAATGACGCTGTCAAGAAGGTCCAAGACAAGGAGATCTGGAGACCATGGCACTGTCAGACAACAGTCAAGTCATTCCGGGTACTTCGTTTTCGGTGGACTTGGCAAGTCCCACCTCCTTTTCCCGATACTTAAAGGATCAGACGCTAAACGTTCTTTCCTGCCTTCTCACACCAAAACAGTCAATACACCTTGAGATATACATAGAAGTGGTAAGGTATCAATCCACCAAAATCACCATGGCATACACCAATTGCCGAGATCCAGCTGCAAGCATTTGAGCGACTCTAAACTTTTGACGGAAAACATCTTATTCGATCCTCAAGATGGCAGGTCAGTACATATGCCCGTGAATTCTTCTACAAGAAGGCATTTTTTGTCTCATTCCTCTATACACATCTGAAATCCTCGGGCCGAGGCAATGATAATGATGCTGGTGGTGGTGGTGGTGGTGAAAGAGTGGCTCGGCAGCCATTCGTCTTTTTCAACAATCACATCCGACCGTGGTTCCGCGACCCATCTTTCATCCATTTACACTATCTATATTTCATTGCCACATGCATAACCACAAGCCAGATATTTTGGGGATCGTCAATCCGGGAAAGAAGAGTTTCTGGGCAGACCACTTCAGCATAACCCTGACCAACGGTGAGCATTTCAAAACATTCATACCTGCATAGTCGATCTGACATATGCAGAGCTTGACCCTATCTCGACTGGTGCTTTCTTCGCGGTGAGCGCCTTCAACAACTTAGGGATGGCACTCTTGGATGCCAACACAACTGCCCTCCAAGCCAGCTATTATGCCCTTTTCACATTGTCTCTGTTGATCCTGGCAGGGAACACTTGCTTCCCGCCATTCCTCAGACTAATCCTGTGGACGATGAACCGATTGATTCCAGAAAATTCAGTCTCACTGAAATGGCAACGCCGAAGGCGAACATTACAATTCTGTCTTGACTATCCTAGAAGAGTTTACATCAACCTTTTCAATAGCAAACAGACCTGATCGTTGGTCTTCTCACTCATCACTCTCAACGGCATTGACTGCTTAGCATTTGAATTGCTCAACCTGGGCAATCCCGCCACTGAAGCGATACCTACTCATTTTCGAGTGCTCGATGGCCTTTTCCAAGCGTTTGCTGTGGGAAGTGGATATCAATTTCCAGCCTCAGGCAAGGCCTCCTTGGCTTATACATGCTCATGATGTACCTGAGCGCATTTCCCGTCGCCATGACGATAAGAAACTCAAACGTCTACGAAGACCACTCCCTCGGCCTTTATACAGAGGATCTATCTTGGACTGCGCAGCACGATGAGGCACAACCAATCGAAAAGAAGCAAATCGAAAACCTCACCACAACCACCACGGACAATCGCATTATCTCCGGCTTCAGACGAACCGTCGCACTTTCCCGCGGCCGCCATCCGAGTCATCAGCTAAGTCCACATGGACACGTCAAGTCTTCATCCGGCAGTAGCTGCGCAGTCAACTTGGACACGACCTGTGGCTCATTGGAATAGCGGTATTCATGATCTAAGCAATCGAACAAAGCCAGTTCGCGCGCGGCCCTGTCATGTTCTCGACCTTCAACATCATTTTCCAGGTGATATCCGCATACGGCACGGTTGACATTAGCATGGGGGAGCCGTGGAACGCGTACAGTTTCTCCGGCGTGGCAGACGTCGAGCAAACTCGTGCTCTGTGACATGATGCTCAGGGGCAGGCACTGCGGACTGCCCGTGGCGACCGATCGCGCCGTGCTCATGCCAGATGAGACCCTGGCCTTGGCCGAGGAAGAGGACTCCCATATACGCACTGGTAGCTTCGTGTCCTCTGCGCTGGGCGGTGGCCAGCCGTTGCGCAGACGTCGGACTTCGAGTCCGGGTGGGCCGGGTCTGAGTACTGCTGGCACCGTCAGAGATGGAGGTTCAATGGTCTGGTCGACGGCAACGTCGTCTCATGCGTACAAGCACCCTACCATGAACACACGCGCTCTTACTTGATCCATCAAACCCTCAGCAACAGAGAAAGACAAGCAGAAAAAGCGTCGAATTGTTCACCGGAGGATTTCATTTTGTCATATAGATTTATTTCCTTTCAAGTCTCCTCCCCTCTTCGCCACTCATCTTGTCTATCTTTCCCGCGCTATTTTCCCCGGTCACACCACATACATTTACCCTCCGCCAAAGCGAGCGATCCCCAACCATTTTCTTTCGCAAAGCAGGCCGCTCTAAAAAGGTCCTTCAGCAAAGCAGCGGCGTCACGGTCGGTTACTTCCTTCTTCAGCTTTGACTTCACAGCTGGCGGTTATTTGATCATTTCCTCTTCTTGTTGTATCTTTTTTTAGGAAAAGAAAAGCCGTCGAAGATAGAATAGAGAAAGAAGGAAAACACCCGGAGTTTTTTCCCTTTTCTTTCCTCTCTTAATTTTTGTTTTGTGGGTCAGCAGCGTCTGCAACGCATGCATAGCGAAGCGGGCATCGCGAGGAATGCGCTTGTTTCTCTCCTTCCTAGCACCGCTACCATACCCCATCTCTCATGTCTGCACGGGTATCGCCTTGTTTCTTCTTGCATATTACGTGCGATTGCATTTGTTGGAGTGCTGCTTGGTGTTGTCTTCCTCCTTTCACATGACTTTTCTCGCTGGTCAAGGTCTTTGACCATATATATCATCTCGAAAATTCCATAGCCCTTAGATGAAGCAAATGGAGCACGAATGAGATTTGAGGGTTTTTGTCACGACATCAGCGATCAGAAGAAATTGGTTAAGTAGATTCGTGAAACACACTTCTGACTTCGTGTCTTCGTCCTATGAATTCATTTATTCCAACCGCTAGGTAATGTTACAACATCCCAAATAGTGATTCCGCAGGGTCACCGATCTGACCTCTAAACCAGGCAATGTCCCTGATCGCATGTCAATATCCAAGCAGAGTCTCGTAGTCATCAATTGGCATCAAGTCGTGAAGAAGGGCCCCTCCCAGAGAGATACCGCCGTCGGATTAGCTTGAGCCCAATCCTTTGATGTGCTCTTCAACCCCATCCACGACTCTCCTAACGTGTTTCTCCTCAAGCTCTCTGGCGCGTGTCCTGCCTTCCTCCAGCCTCTCAACACCAAGCCGAATACTCTCGATGTGGACACTCAGTGGAATTTCTTTCTGCTCCCGCAATAATTCTGCACTCCCTACACGTGTCCTCAGCTCCTCCAACTCAGTTCCCATGCGCTGCAAGGTCAGTATAGTTGCTGTGATATGTGCCCATGCGACCTTTCTATACTGCCCGACCTGGCGCAGCAGTGTTAGTTGATTGTTATATTTGCCTAATTTGGCACGATTACCACCCAGAAGTGTCCAGAGGTGGGTTAAAATCTCGTCCTTTGAAGCCTGGGCCGCAATATTGTCGTGCATAGCCACAGAATGGATCACCTCGAGCCGATCTTCCAAATTTTGAAGTATAAGAAGCAGTGCTTGGGCTTCATCTATCAATCGGTCGATCTCATCAGACACAATGCGGGTATGTTTGATGTACTGATCTAGTAAACGGTGTTCCGTGAATTGAACAGGTTTGAACGGCGCAAGAAGAGTATCCTGGAAGAAACTCGGGACCACTCCACGGGAGACCTGCTTCAAATCCATGTCATCAAGCACACGTTGCGTCCAGCGCGCGGTGCTAAGGACGATGTCTACCCCCCGACCGACATGCGAATTGAATTTCTGGAGGTCGTAAGAAGCCATCCTGGCAGTTTCGATAAACCCATCAAACTCTAGAACCAGCTCATTGCGGGAAGCCAATTGAGAATAGCGGACTATTTGTCGAAGGTCACGTATGGAGGTTTCTGAGCGTTTCATATCCATGGGTAAAGATACACCCGCCGCTGACTCGGACATGATCTCCTCGAAGTGAGATTGGGTGTTCATCAAGGCGTCGAACTCGACTGGCGCAGAAGTCGATGAGATAGTAGGTGTATCAAAACCAGGGGAAGTATATTCGCACATTGGCAGATGGAGGAGAGACATCCCTGGAACGCGACATATTGGTGAGAGTGCAGCGTAGATTGAAGACGTGAGGAGATTCCGTAACACAATTCCAAGGCCAGCCAGGAGGTAGGCGGCAAGAACCCATGAGATTGGTTTCTTGATTGTCGTGAGGGCATTGCCCAGTATATCCAGGAACCATCCCACCACCTGGGGGAAAACATCCATGGTCTGATCGCCCGTTGTTGACGCTCGGGATGCATTTTGAACAGGTCGCGATGAATGTTTTGGATTTCTAGCCCCTGGGTATGCCTTTGAAGGAGTCATCTTGCGGCTAGGAGTAGTAGGCTTGCGTTGGCGAACTTGTCGTTGGGACGGAGAAGCTTCATGATCAATTGCTGGCATGATGAATTCTGGTTCTGGAACCGATACGTGAGGGCGCGGGTGGGATTTGTGACTAATCTGATCTGTTTCCTCGGGCAGTTGTTTCATCTCCCTGAACGTTCGGTCCTGCTCAGGCTGGGACGCTGGAGCACTTGAGGGCGAATCTTCAGCCCAACTCACATCAGATCTTGCATCATCGACAATCCAAGAGTCACCAAGCTGAGAATGCGAGGCAGTGGACATGGCGAGACTAAGATTGGATGTGATAAGTTGAAATATTAACGGAGAAGTGAAGTTCGCCGCTTGTAGAATATTGGATTCAACCAACTGGCGCAACCAGCCTGGCACAGATGCCAAACAGTGATGAAAGGCTGTGGGCAACCGAAGGATTCCAAACTTGTGAAAAAGAAAAACTTCAAAATCACCAAACTAATAACAATATCACCGTTTGCAGAAATGGATGCACAACGGCTGTGGTGGGCTGCATCCTTGTGACAAAGGCATCCATTTGAAGGTGACGCCACCCTGAAAAGCGCGTATACAAAGTAGGCACGAATGGATCGCGTCAAGGGTTGAATCCGCATCACGTGATATGATGTCACGGATTTCTTTGATTCAGGCAACTGATGAACTAGGGTGCCTCACGAGTCAGACAATCCATCTCAATATGAATGATAGCATTCGATCAAGAAGTCCACAGAGGATATCGGATTGTCTCATCCTTTGGGTAATAATAGTAGTGCTCTCAGGCTCAGGGAACTGGCATTGGTGCATGGGGTACCAAGCACTGGACTCGGTGAGTACGTGGCGTATTTTATTGTCATTTTATTGCATGGTTGTCGGTCTAATAAGCCGGACGACTTTGTCCTGCAAACGCGGCTCTATCGCACGCATACATAAAGAGGTACGCTTTGCATCTATCGTTTTCCGACGAGCCGAAAGGGGATTGTGTGTGAGGCTGATGATGAGGTATGCCGCATGCGATAAGCATAATCTGCCCTTTTTGCAGAAAGGCGATTGCAATGGTTGTCTGTCCATCTATCTCAAGGTAACCAATTCCTCTGCGCTTGTCTGATGCAAAGAAAGGAAAGCAGTCAGAAAATGCTCCAATGCAAAAAGCAAGGGGTTATGTTTATTCTGGCCATGTCAAGACTTACCGGATGAATGGCGACTGTACTATCAAAGTCTTTCTTTGTCGCGCCCATCTTGACGGCGACGCCGAAGCCTTGAGTCATTTCACCACAGCCCTCGCCCAGGATGTGGAGGCCGACGATTTTCTCGTCGGGGAGGACGGTCACGAGCTTGAACTCTGTTGGATGTTTGGCCTTTTCCTCCTTGGGGAATCTGATGATGGATGGGTCAGTACAAGTATGGGTATAGTATATTGAGAGCTGAACTAAGAAGGATTGAAGTGTGAGGGGGAGGTGTCGGTGTTGGCTTACACATCATAATACATAGCCGAGAACTTGGTGTGGTAGACTTTGATGTTCTCCTTGCCGTACCTCTCGATGGCTTGGGGCTCGGTCAAGCCAGTCGTTCCAACTTCGGGATGGGAGAAGACCACCGAAGGGATCAACTCATAGTCGAGATGTGATTCTTTGAGTTCGGGAGGTCCGAAAAGACGGTTGCCGAGTTGACGTCCGGCGGCGATGGCGACGGGTGTGAGTTCAGCCTGTTTTTGGGGGAACTGTTAGAAATGCAAGGTATAGCGACCAAAAACAGAATTCTTTTTTCTTCTCGCCGCCATGGTTCAGATGACATACCTGGCCAGTGACGTCGCCCAAGGCGTAGATACCGTCCAACGATGAGTTCTGATACTTATCAACCACAATGTGACCTTTGGGCCCAAGCTTGATATCGAGGTTTTCCAGTCCGAGGCCTCTTGTCTCTGGGCTCCGTCCAATTGCCCACAGAAGCTCGTTGGTGATGAGTTCCGAACCATCATTGGAGATGATTTTGAGTTGTTTCTCTCTCGGATCGGTCTCATCGGCGGCGGCTTGCAGCTGGACCACCTCTTTGATTCCCGGGTGGTTTCTGTGCACGATCACACCGGCCTCCTCGTAATGCTTGGTCATGGTCTCTTGAATCATGGGGTCGAATTTTCTCAAGAAGGTATTGCCGCGGATGAACAGATGTGTCTCGACACCGATCGCGTTCATCACTCCAGCAAGTTCGACCGCAATATAGCCTGCTCCGACGAAGACCATCTTCTTGGGTAGATGCTCGATCAGGAAGTACTCATCTGAGGTGATGCCATATTCGGAGCCCTTGATGTTCTCTGGCTTAATCGGGAAACTCCCAGTGGTAATGGCGATGTGTGGAGCGGTGACCCTGTAAGCTTCGCTACCATCTTTAGGCTTGACTTCCAGCTCGTTCTTAGAGATGAAGGTGGCAGTTCCGTGGATCAACTCTATTCCCTCTTTTGCCCAATTGCTCTCATATGCGCCATTGAGGACCTTTATTCTGGCGTGTCTCTTCTTCACAAAGGATTGAAAGTCGTGCGATACCTCTCCGTACTTATAGCCGTAATGTTTCCCCGCCTCGAGAGTTTCGTTGATGGAGGCATAGTTCCAGGTCATTTTCTTGGGCACACATCTGCACAGGCATCAGAATAGGGGAGACTTTGAGCCTTATTCGGGCAAGGACTGAGTCTTACCCGACGTTCACACATGTTCCTCCGGATATTCCTGCGTCAATGATGGCTGTCTTTGCACCGTACCATCCACTAGCTCTTCTGGCTGCGCCGGAGCCACCAGAGCCGCCACCAATTACTATATAGTCATATTGTTTTGTAACAGGAGCCATGTTCAAGGAAGAGGACGAAAAGTGCCTCGATATGCCAGCAAGGCGAGACGCGGACGCAGACGCGGGGTTTGCGGAGGGGCTTGGGCGGAGAGTCGTGCTCGGAATGGACTTCTGGGATGCCAGGTTCAAAGTCGCAGACCGGAGAGAAACAGCAGATAATTGCTTGGGAAGGCTTCTGGAGCAAGCGGACATATCACGAAGAAGGGACACCAGTTCAAAGAGAAGAAGAGACGGTGTATTATAGAGACACGACCGCACGGTCACCAATGATGCAAAATTGTAATGTTTTTTTTGGAGAGCGTGGGCACCCATGGGCTAGAACACGGTTGATGATGTGATCTGCCTGAGGCAGGACGCTGCGACGGATTGATTTCGGGGACTGAAAAGCTCCCTCGACCAATATCATCACTCCCTGAAGCTCAGACCCCTGCCCAGGCAGCTCAAGCCATCTCGGTTGCTGACAAAAAGGCTAAAGCTTGCAGCCGATCTGACCCTAGCTTTAGATTGCCCATTATGCCTACTTGAAGGAGATCGTGTAGACTGCATGGCCGATGCGGATGACTGAGCACCCTGCATCGACAAGGCAGAGAATTACGAGAATTATATAGAACTTGTCCACTCTAGGAAGGGAGATAGATTCGAACAGATTCTCGCAAACCATACCTGGGCAGGTACCAGTAAGAGGGTTGGTCGTGCGCCGATGGTGTTGATAAAGGAATGATGTCATCACGCGCAGTACTCTGCTTCATCCGTTGTATTCTGTGCAAGGGGACAAGTGCTACTGTGCCAACTTTGTCCCAGCAGCCATATAACTTAGCCAGCACAGTCTACTCAGATAGCCCAAGAACTCCTGTCGGCCCGTTGTGACGATGACAGCAACCACCTAGAGCTTCGCCTGCCGCGTCTCGGTCTCTTTATGACCGATATCAACCTGAGTCCACCAAGGATATGCATCCGGCGCATCTTTGGGCACCTGTCCACTGAAGCTGGCTGGTCTCTTCTCCATGAAACTTCGCACTCCCTCGTTGTTGTCTTTGCTGCCGAAGAGCCCATGGATAACTCTAGAATCGAGAAGGTGAGCACCTTCGGCACTGTCCGGACCTCTGTACATCAGGTCTCTCATCATCTTGGTCGAGACCGTGGACGTGTTCTTTGCAACCTCGTCAGCGAGCTCTAATGCACGAGCCAAGGTTGCCTCTGGGCTTGGGAGCAGCTCCGAGAAAAGTGTGCCGAACAGAGGATTGTCTGCGGTGTGTACCGAGCCAGTGGTGGTTAGGTGCAGAGCCCTCGAATGTCCGATCAATCGCGGAAGGAAGTAGGAGGAGCAGGCCTCCATGATAATTCCACGTCTCGAAAAGACAAATCCGATCTTGGCCTTGGAATATGCAACTCGAATACACGCAGGTAAGCACATCGTGATGCCAACCCCGACTGCGGCGCCTTGGATCGCTGCAATGGTGGGCTTGGTGCACCGATGGATGGCCAGTGATACCCTACCGCCTCTATTCGGGTTGTCAGCATATTTTCACTTATCAGGTCAAGGGTTTGTCATTACCCATCTCTGTGATCTACATCACGTTCAGTCTTTGCATGTTGAACACTACCGTCTTCATTCTTCCCACCAAGAAAACCAATCTCGAGATCGGCACCAGCGCAGAAGCCCTTTCCATCGCCGGTCAGAACCGCGACCTTGACGCGTTCGTCAATGTCTATCAACTCGTAAACTCTTTCCAGGTCCTCTCTCATGATATCCGTGAAGGCATTGTATTTATTCGGACGGGATAACGTAATCAGAATGACCGGAGTAGGAGCAGGAGACGACGCGGGAACGTGGGAGACTTTGATGTGACGGAAACGGAGGGAGTTGTAGGAATCAGGAGCCTTGAGAGATTGAGAGGCGGAAGACATCGTGGGTCAGGTCACGGCGGAACAAAGAACGAGTATGGCCTGGGGGAAAGGATGGATGGACCTCTGTGACACGGAAAGGAGTAAATGGGACATTTAACCCAAGGCACAGCTGCATTTTTGAAGTTCCCTTGCCAATCGACATATTGATGTTGAACTTATCCTCGGCTCGTCAGATTGAGGAAAAGTATCTTTGGAGCCGCGGGTTGGAGCAGTCTCGCCGCGGTGCCGGTTGTGCGGGGATCCCTAACCACCGTCCAGGCACGACTCACGAGTACTTAGGCCTTGCTACCACTGCTAAGCTCTGCGTCCCCCCACAGAGCGCAGATACCTGTAGCATCAATCAAAACAACAACTGCACCAACTGGGGTCATCTGCTCAGTCGCACGCGCCCAATCGTTTCGAAAAGAGGTAATTCCAGTGTCAGTGTCAGTGTCAGCTTATATGATATAATTTACGTATGACTGTTGTCTATTGCAGACCCCAAAGTCTTCTTGGTGTCAGTTTGACAGTGCCCAGAAATCTAGCTATCCAAAACACCAGACATTCTCTATCAAGGGACGACGGGTTAAGAGCCTCAAGTTGGGTTCTCTCCTGCTGTTCGCCTCGGGGGGGGGGGGTGGTCTCACCAATAATCGGACAGGGAAAGTCAAAGTCAGGTCCATTCTCGAGGCCCATTCTCATCGCACCAGATGATAAAACATACCTCTTCTCCAAAACTCTGCACCAGGCAAAGTAGATGATGAAAAAGTGTTTTTGATTAGGGCCAAAAAATGCGCGGATAAGAGCCCCGAAGGACACTTAATCACGACCTCCACCGCGATGTGCAATGCAGGGACACCGTAATAGCAAGCCTAATTCTTGAGCTAGGCCGCTCCCACAAGGTAAGTATGAAGAAAAAAGAAGAAAAAAAGACCAAAGAGCGGATGGGGGATCGAGGTTTATATACCTGGAATAGACGCACGTAACGCCAAGACAAATAGAAAGCGCTAGGCTGGATGTGGATCGTGGGCTTCACATGGCGGCTAGGCACCAGTTTCGCCTTCGCCTTCACTCTAACTCCCCTGACTACTCCGCAGATGAGAACACAGCAAGGTCTATCTAGCCATGCCACAAGGATATAGCTGAGAAGATCGACACAAAATCAGTATGAGCAGCACTGGCTTTGGAAAATCATTATGTAAGGTATTCGTGGCACGTCATAGTCCAACTCTCATCGCTCCTGGGATATCACAGCATGAGACATAGCCTTCGTCTCTGACCCTGGCCATACCGACGTACTCCGCTGGCATCGTACAATAAAATTTCCCGAGCTGTACATCTGGCTCCACAGAAATCACCCGTATAAATCTGAGTCTTCTTGTTCTACCTCTCGAGCCGAATCGTCCTCCATTTGAGCATAATCGACAATGCCATCGTCGTACTTCTCCTCTTTCCGATGAGGTACAATACATCTCTCAATACCGAAGCTCCTAGTAATATCTTCCCATGTATCAAAGTCAATGGCGAACACCGCCTGATTTCGTTGTGTTTCTTGTCTCTCGGCAACCGACCGTGTTGCTGCAATCCCAAGTGTAGGCAGACCGTTCCCATCAAAGTCCAGCCCGACCTTTCCTTCCTTGATCAAAAAGCTCACGTAAAACATGTTTTCGACGGTTTGCCCAAACGATCTAGGGTTCACGCAGAAGTTGAACAGTGGGACACACCCATTGTCCGCCATGTTATTGCGACGCAGAATCTCCGCAGCCTCTTCATCAGAAGGATCGCCTGTAAACTCCGAGAATTCTTTCTCTGCATTCTCCATGCCCTTTTCCTGTGCATTCGAAAGAAGCCGAGCAATTTCCGTGCAGACAACTGTGAGACTAGCAGATTCTTGTTTCTCTAAATCTTCATCAACAAGTTGCATCGGTCGTGTTGCTTGTGTATTCTGACTACGTGCCTCTCGAGCTTTTCGTTGTGTTTGCTGCCGCACCTTCTTTTGAACCGAGAGAGGGCCAAGGAGAAATCCGCTCAAGCACGGGCGAGCATTGTACAGAAAGCACGCATTCCGCCCAAGGTACTCCCAATTCATGGTATCGCCTTCATTTTCATCTTCATCCCCTCGAGCCCTGTGCCGTAGATATTGGGACTGCGTATAGGTAGGAACATTCTCATTGTCTCTGTGACCTGCCTCATCACCTCTTTTCATGAAAGCGATGCATTTGGTAATAAAGTCATCGACATCTATCCCACTTGTCACATTTCCAAGCGTCAGATTGTTGATTTTTTTGTATGAAAAGTCGGCCACCTCTACCAGTAACCGAGAATCAATGGTAGCATCTGAGGTTTGTTTGACATCCTGGTAGAGCTTGTCCGCCTCGCGAAGGGTTTCTTCCAGGCCCTTGTTGTCCGGCTTAAGATAATCGGTCTTGGAATCGTTGTACTTGGAGTAAAGTTTGCGAAAGTTTTTGCGAACCTCTCTGCGGGCTTCAGGATCTTGATCTGGGTCGTAGTATCTTCTGTCCAGCCGTTCCAGCTGTTTTTGCCGTGCAGCCTGACTTTGGAGATTCGCGCCACTCTCCTTCCTCCGCTTGTTGGCACTGGTTGGATTCAAATCCTCATTATCGTCCATCGCTGCAACGTCACTTTTGCGCTTTCCTTTATTCGCACCTGATCGATGACGGTTCTCCTTATCAGAGTCAAGAGATCGTATTGGAGAGGAGGGGGTGGTTGTAGGAGGTGATTCGCGAGGAGGAGAAGAGGAGCATCCTTCACTTTCGCCGTCAGACGAAGGCTGACGGACATTCAGCCTTGCCATAGTCAAAGCATGGCCACTTGGAGATTCGCAAGCGATATGAATTATTCAATGAGTGCCTGTAACCCTAGATGCTTTGGAAAGGCACGTCAGTTGAGAGGAATTGAAAGGATCTGAAAAACTTGGTTGGTAGTCCTATCGCAGCACATTGGCAGGCAAGTAGAAGCGCACTCAAGGACGCAAGACGCGCCTGCCACTTCATCGCGTCCCTAGTCGCGACTTGCCTTGGCACACGGACCGCGCCGCTTTAACACGACCTGCTCATGAGCCGCGACCCATCGCCTCATCTGCCTCATAGGCTACGCCAAACCAGTAATCCTCCACTAGCACACTGCCCTTGCGTGGATGGTGGTATTCTACGGAGTACTAACTACAGTAACAGTGATGTCCCACCGTGATCCTCCTATCGCCAAATTGAGACATGAAGATTAGTCAATACAGTAGATGCGGCCATGTCTCTTTTGGAAGGATGCTACCTCTGGCACTTCTGAATAACACGCGAAGGGAGCTAGTTCGGCTTCCAGGACAAGACTGAGAGTGCAGATGACGAGATCCGAAGTATTCAGTCTCATGTGGTATCTGAGAATGTGTGAACTCGTACCTGGCTACAGGAGGTGGGGACGTTGCTCTGATCGACCAACACCTTCGTAACGCAAGCTACGATTAACCTGCTATTTCTCTTCGCTGACCCAAAAGACGAGCGACGAAGGTGCCTAGCGCATCAGTAAAAGGGAACAGACTTGACCTTGAAGTTGGCGACCAGAAGACATTGACTGGCGATTCCCCAAGACTTGTCCGTCTACTATTACTGGGGGGACGAGTTTCGCGGTGTAGGGGATCATGATCACCCCGCCAAGCCAAACTTAAAACTGTTGTACTTTGATCGGAGGAGCAGTGATTCTTTTGCAACTTTCTGGATTGCTCTATCAGCTTTCATGTTGGCGTTGGTAATTGCCAATTCATTATTTTAATTAACCAACTTGTAGCATTTTTGGACTAGCTCTCACTAGTGCCTTGGCGTGCGTGCTTTGATGAAGCTAGATCTAGTTGGGCGACGATGGGTTTGACCAAGACAAGGCCACTGTTTAACCTCTGACAACGACTTGACATTGAGTACTTCATGATTTAGGCATATCCGGCGTTGAATCCGGTTCTGCATGGTGAATCTAAGTGCCGTGTCATGATGGACACTTATACATTTGCAACATCCCGCCAGATAGACTTCCCAGTGTGCGTTAAGTTGTATGTCATACTCCTCACCGGACCGAGACCCTATTTTGGTCGGGTATCTTCATGTCTAGAACTAGCTGACGCAGACCTAGAAATGACTTGGAAGGGAGACAGACTCCAATACCCTATTCGATTCTACTCAAACATCCTGAAATCCGGCATATTGGGTCTGTACAAAGCCCAACATCGGAGCTTCACGTGACGGCACAATTATGGGCAGAATCCAAGCCGTTAGGGGTGTCTATGCAAACACCACATATGTTCTTCAAGAACAATCGCTCATGGAATAAATGGTTGGAGTTGCCAGTCTTAGTCAAAGATTGCCCTCTCTCTGCCCAGGTCGCCATCACTATTTGGGATTTATCCCCCTGCCCAGAAAACTGTAGCATCAACCACAATGTTCCATTTGGTGGAACAACAATACCACTATTCGATAAAGATGGTGCATTGAGGAAAGGCCGCCAAAAGTGCAAAGTCTACCGGAGACGGGCTGCGGATGGTCAGCTTCCCTCGTTGACCCCACACATTCCTCGACCAAAACGAAGAAAACGCGATCAAGAGCCTCCTCCTCCCATCCCAGAGGAAGAAGAATTGGAGAGGCTGGAACAGCTCTTCAAAAAGCATGAAATGAATGAAATTCCTCAAAATGACTGGCTCGATCAGTTGGTGTTTCAAAACGTGGGCAAAAAGGCTCGAGAAGTAGATGAACTCGCAAGGAAACGTGCTGCTATAGCGAAAGCGGCAAAGCATCAGGCTGTAGGACCGAAATCCAATGGTCTTAGGAACGGAAATGCCATTTCTGATGATGACAGTGATTCCGACGCCGAGCAAGACGATGAAGAACACTTTACATTATACGTTGACTTTCCCAGGTGGGATTTCCCAGTGGTTTTTGAGGATTACGAATACGAGCCATCCAAGATGATGAAAGAATTCCAGCGCACGCCTTCAGCTTCTATTATTGGTGCAAAACCTGTTCCGGAGGTCCGGTATGGCCCTGGAATTGCGGCAGGTGCTACTGTTGTTGATGATGAGGAGTACCCTGTCATCCAACTGTTTGATCCTGATCAATTTTACCAGGAGAATCCTTGCGAGATTAAACACCACCGACTTGTGCGTAGCGATCGAAACGCTTACTCTGATAGCGACCAGAAGCCAAATGCGAAAATGCGGGATATCCTTAATGATATTTTATCATATGGTCCTACCCAAGAGCTGACCCCTCAAGAAAAGGATGTTCTCTGGACTTTCCGCCGTCATCTCAGTCGCGATAAGCGCGCTCTGACTAAAGTCGTCAAAGCCACAGACTGGAACCATCCAAACGAGGCCAGACAGCTAGGAGAACTTATTCCAAGATGGGCAAAGATTGATATCGACTCGGCACTGGAACTACTTGGGCCGACTTATAATAGTCCAGTTGTCCGAGCGTACGCAGTTGATCGACTACGACAGGCAGACGATACTGAGTTGCTGCTATACCTCCTTCAGCTGGTACAAGCTCTCAAATTCGAGAAGTACAAAGTCGAAGAGGACGGCTTACCCGCTTCATCATTGGCCAAATTCCTAATCGATCGTGCTGCCAACAACTTCACATTAGGGAACTACCTGCACTGGTTTCTGATGGTTGAAGTGGATGATCAAGGACCAGATAGCAATCCATCGGATCGAAAACTTTTTGCCAAAGTTGAGTATCATTTCATGGCTGAATTGGAGCAAAGGGACCCAGAACAGAGAAAGATCTTATTGAGACAAGGCGAAATGATAGCGGTACTTTCAAGAATCAGCAAGGAGATTCGTTTCGGACGAGACAGCCGTCCTAATAAGATTGAGCGGCTCAAGAAGTATCTCGCTGATCCCAAGAACGAGCTCATTAAAATTGACCCACCAATTCCTCTACCGTTGGATCCAAGCATTGAGGTTAGTGGCATTGTTCCAGAAGGGGCAAATGTATTCAAGTCCTCCCTGTCACCATTGCTGCTAAAGTTCAAAATTGCGAGCTCGCCAGACTCGTCTGCAACTTCGGCACAATCTCGATCACTTTCGCAGACTCAGTACCCGATCATTTTCAAGACGGGAGACGATCTCCGACAAGATCAGCTCGTGATTCAGATAATCACGCTCATGAACAATCTGCTGTTGAAAGAAAACCTTGATCTAAAGCTCACCCCTTACCGCATTCTTGCAACTTCTCCATCGGCTGGCGCAGTCCAATTTGTCCCATCAACGGCGATATCAGTAGTATCATCAAAGTACAAGGGATCGGTTTTGGCATATCTACGGGCAAACAATCCAGATACCTCAGGTCCCTTGGGAATTCGGAAAGAGACTATGGACACGTACATCAGATCATGCGCTGGATATTGTGTGATTACCTATATACTTGGAGTTGGAGATCGTCACCTAGACAATCTTCTGCTACAACCTTCTGGTCAATTCTTCCATATTGATTTTGGATTCATCCTTGGACGTGATCCAAAGCCATTCGCACCGCTCATCAAGCTTTGCAAAGAAATGGTGGAAGGTCTCGGTGGAACTACATCACCTCAGTACGCGCAATTCAAACAATATTGTTTCACAGCGTATGCAGCTTTACGAAAGTCAAGCTCATTGGTGTTGAACCTCTTCAGCCTTATGGTACAAAGCTCGGTACAAGATGTTAGGTTGGTTGAGGAACAGATGGGGTTGACCGGTGGTGCGGTCGGCAAAGTTCGGGAGAGGTTTCACCTTGAGGTCAGCGAAGAAGAGGCTGTCAAAGTGCTTGATCAAGTATTGGCTGACAGTGTCAATGCAGTCTTTGGAGTAGTGATTGATCGCCTGCATGAGTTTGTGCAAGGGTGGCGGGCGTAAGGCGTGGAGTCCACGGTCATTCCAGGGATGACACCAAAACATGAATGGAAATGGAAAAGCTCAGAGCATAATGTGTCCCACGAATATACACCGTCCCAATGGCGTTTCACAAACATCTCTACCTAATTATTACTTCCTTTACCCACTGAAGCAAGTTGCAAGCGCTCAAGGCTTGGATTTGGGCCAAAGCACCCGCAGCCTCGTCAACTCAGGTTTCCCCGCATACGTCAGCCTCTCCCCGCTTGAGAAGGCCGACTTGCCCGCGCCCTCGCGGTGACTGTCAAACATTAGGTTGATCTTTCTTGTTGTATCATTCAAGTCCATGCCTGTACCATCTCTATACCCAGCAACAATAAATTCAGAATCCCAATCTGGTGGAAATGTCTGGCGAGGCACGACCCATCGACGCCGAGCAATTCGCACTGGCAATCCAAGACCTACCAGTGGAGAACCTCTATTCCAAGGCGAACGAAATCAACAACTCCATTACCCACCTCGAGGGCTCGAACAGACAGCTTCAAGAATACAGTGACAGTATTCGAACCGACACTAGCCTGCCAGAGAGCACAAGACAAGAGGGAGACAAGGACTGCCTGGAAGCGATTCAAGAGAATTTGATCGTCATCCGTCGGCAAAAAGATCGGATCGGCCTGCTGAAGCAGGAAGTCGAGCGAAGAGGTGGGAGATGGCATGGGGGAGGAAGTGAATCCAATGGAGAAGGAGACGGGGATGATGCAGAGAGACCGCAACAGACGGCCACAAATGGCGCTGCTACCACTGGGGGCAGATTGACGGATGAGCAGCTACAACAGCAATTGCGGGATAGGATGGGGGATGATGATGCCGATGATGCCGATGGAATGCATCTGTGAGAACACAGAACAATACTATTGGGAGACACAGTTCTCCTGTCTGGTATCATCTCGGTATCTCCACGTCTCTTCCTGATTCCTAGGCATTCTATTCGATACGCCTGCTTGGCCGCTGGTTCCATACGCACGCTGTGGAAGGGGATTGTCCTGGGGGAAAGAGTCCATCTCGCCGCTTCACATCTGATTTTGCGGCAACCCCAGAGTCGCACGATTTAGACCAGAAGGGACTAGAAGTCACATTACATCAAACAAGTCCCTCTTGATATCTCCTTCCCGACAGAGTCCAAGAACAGTCTAGAACAAGACCATGCCAAAGAGAGAGAAGAAATGAACAAGAAAGGAATCGAGCCCTTCAGCAAACCTCTACTGTCAGAATTCATAAAGACCCTATCTACCTTACAGCCGAGCCACCAGCGGCAACGGAAGACACCGACTTGGTATTTCCGCCCCCAACCTCCCCAATCACGTGCAAGGCTGCAAAACCGGAAGATCGCCCAATGATCGTATCGCTAAACACACATACCCGGACTAAACATAGGGGCTCGGCGAATCTTGGTGGTCACTTGTCGCAGCGGCTTGTCCTTGTGGTCATAAATAAAGCCGTCTTTCATGGTGCCAGGAGAGTGGTCGATATTCCAAAGCAAGCTGACCTCTTGGCTACAAAATCCTCAGCGTTGAATGATCCTGCATTTGAGTTTGATTTGCTCTCTTTAAGAATTAGGAATATTTGGGCTTCCCTCCGTGGGATCATATGGTCAGAGCTGACCAGATGTCAGTCACTTCGACCTTTGCCGGGCACAGAGGCGAGAGGACCGACCCGAGTGCCCGTTCCTGCATCACGCGCTTTTCAGAAGTACACAGTCCTTATTACCCCACCCCCGATTTTCATATTATTCCTAAAAGCGAAGGCCTTCCGAGATCCATTCTATACTGTAGATTCCGGGGTATTATTGGTCTCCAAATACTTGAATAAGTTCAATATCATTATGCATCTACCCGGCACCAATGACGCTTATTATACTTCAATACATAATAGCAAGTCGAAGAATTATATACCATATACGGAATGAAGGCTTCCGTGTCCCAAGGTTTAGTTTCAAACAAGAAGCTTGCACCCCATCGGTACGGGTATGACGATGCCGAGGTGTCGGCGTCTTGGTGGACTCTCTGTACCCTAGACTGTCGATTGATAATATTTGCGGATCCAATGGGCCGGAAACAACATTAACTGGGATCACCTCCTTCTGTACTTTTCGTAAAACTTGGGAAGAAATGTGACTAGGATCGACATCTCCTCAGTCTCATGCTCGAGAACGTGTTTTGGTCGAGGGTTGGCGCACTAGCCCGTCTTTGCTCCGGGTCTATCACGCTGTCACGGGGGCTGATTCTCCACTATCAAAAGGAAGAGGGTGCGAAGTAAGGATGTAGCCAATCACGATGTGCCTTTCGCTTTTGTCCCCAGTCCAATAGACTGAAAGTATTATAACACCTGGAGGGCATCATTGCGCCTGGCGCTTTTTCATGACCGCTGTGTAAGAGGCAGGTGGAGATATAGAGTATACCAGGTTCTCGAGATAGCAATACAGAATAATGACGTCGTATATAAAAGGTGACGCAGAGGACTTCAAGGCATGCTTCCAATATTTCAAAACTGTGAGCATAATTTTCGTTGGACTTATATAGTTTACCAAAGGGTTCAAGCCACATGTCTTATAACATGAGACCGACCTCGTAGGTCGGTCTCGGACCAAAAAGTTCATTGAATCTCAAAATTGGACAACGTCAACCTTCTTAGACGACCATTCTGTATCCTAGAGGAATCATGGAGGCGTTTCCCCTCCCCGGAAGACATAAGGTGGCTAAGCCATGCCGAGCAGCCGTCCTCATTTCATGGTAGGGTCTGCTTAATCGAGAGCGATATTGCCTAGAGGAAGGGGTTTGTAGTCCTCTTCGCCAGCCCACTGCGCTTCGTATAGGCTCTCGTCCATCTGTGACGCATCCATGCCCATGGTCACCTCCCTAGACGATAATTAGCAAGATTACAAGCTAGAAGAGAAGGGTCACTCACTTGTCGGTTGCCAACACTTCAAGTCCTGGAACGCAATCAATCAGAGCAATGATGGCATAGGATCCGAAGAAGGACCAGCTGAAACCAATCAAAGCCTCCACAATCTGGATTCCCAGCTGTCGAATATTCCCATCAAAGAAGACACCACCATCGACCTCAACACCGCCATAAGCCGCAACAGCTTTCTGCGCGAAGAGTCCAGTGCAAATGGTCCCAAGGAACCCTCCAACACAATGCGTGGCGAATGTGTCTCCATTGTCAACCCATCTCCACCGCCTAGCAAAGTCTGTGAACTTGATGCGCAGAGCTTGACGGCAGATCAGCGCACCGAAAATTCCAAAGAACAACGAGGTGGGCATGTCAATGAACCCAGCAGAGGGTGTGATCATGACGAGCCCAGCGATCGCGCCCATGAACGTCGAGTCTAGCGACCACAGCCCCGTTTCGAGGTAGGTGGTGGAGGCCCAAGTCAAGGCACCGGCCGCAGCGCAAAGATTCGTGACGCACAGGGCGTTCACCGATTGGAAAGTCAAACTGAGGGTGGTTCCGGCATCAAATGCCAACCAGGAGCCCCAGATGATGATCATGGCTATCAACTGACACATGGAGTTGTGCGGACGGTGCAGCTTCAAATGCGAGGGCGTGCGTTCCAGCGACTTCCGGGATCTCGCGATTGGATATGACAAGTAAATGCTGAGGGCGCTGGCAGTTGCGCCGCTGCAGATGTGCACAGGGGTACCACCGGCGAAGTCGAGCACACCGAGCTCAGACAAGAACCCTCCGCCCCAAACCATGTGCGCCAGCGGGCAGTAAATCAGTGTCGACCAAAGCTGGTGAACGAGGGTCAACTGTAAGCCCCGAGGAGGATGTTTCCTGTTGGACTTACGAATATGAAAGGAACCAGCGGCAAGATTCGACCTCGCTCGCATGCACCTCCGACGGCAATGGCACAGACCGTTGCCTCGAAGACCTGAATATCAAACTCTGTCAGCCATGGAACATCCGGCTATGTCTCTCAAAAATAAAGGCGCGAACCAACAAACTTACCAGCTGGAACTCGCTAAACAAGATCGCCGGAATCGTGCCAACTGGTTCAGCAAGCACCCCCCGATGCAGAACGTAGCTAAAGTCTCCAATAACACCGGCGCCTCCGCCATAGGCAAGAGTATATCCCACGACAAACCATTGTATGGAGCATACACAGACGGTGAGCACCGCGGGAATGAACGAAGCGAGGCCACTCCTGCGGGTGGAATAGCCAGAATATCCGAGGCCGACAGCTGGGATGATAGGCCAGCAGAACACCGTGCAGACGAGGATGAACAGCGTGTCGGTGCGGTCACATGCTTCCCAGGCTTCCTGGACGCTCGAATACATGGTGAGAAGTACCGTAGGTCCCCAGGTGCCGCAACAGCGCTGCGCTCTCAGGTGAAGAGACGAGCTCGGTCAGCAGCCACAGCGTTGGAACTGGGCGTCATGTTGAGACTGCCAGTAGTGCTGCTCTTATTGCTTCCTTATCTCCCACCCAGACCAATCGGTCAAATGAGCGTCGGCCTCGGCAGGGGTTGGCGCGATAAAGGCTTTGAGCGGCATCATTGGTGGTATCAGTTTTCAAGCCCCTTAGTAGTTTGCTTGTTGATGCTTCATCAACCCAAATGACTCGTCGAGGCCGTGTAAAACGACGCTGACGGTCTTGAAGCATCTGTTTCTGGAAGGTTGATAGTCCATTTGGACTCTTGGTCGCCCCCTGGCGGGCAGGTCGTCGGCACCCATCGGGAAATGACACATGAGATTTGGTCATCAGCCGATGGCCGGAGTACGAGCAAGACCAAGCTCCCGTCGGGCCCTAATCTACTCGGCGCTGGGGTAATAGCTTCATATAAGCCCAAGAGTCCAAAGTCATCAGATGTCAGATGTTCTCTTTGTCTCGAGCTCCCCTTCTGATAACTTGAGACCGCTCGTCACACCCGGGCCACCGAGGTCGACAGTTGGACAATACGCGTTGGATCATTGGACACTGCTATCTTTCTCCCTTTCAACGATCGCGAACTAATGATAGGCGGGCAGAGCCACAGGGAGACCGCCTAGGCTCGAATAGGATAAAATATTGACCACAATTCGAAAAGGGCTTCTCACCACGAGCTCCTATCCAGCCCAACCAGGCACAAATAGCCATGTCGTACACGGGTCCCTCCAATCAAACCGTTATCTATGGCCTGCGAGTCTGCGGGCCCCATTCAGGGCCATCAGATTGCCCTCACAAGCTTCATCTCCACATGGGTGGCTCCGATTAGGGTCACCCCGGATTCTTGGAACCGAAGCCTTGACGGTATTTCACTGCGTGCACTCGGTACATATCTGAGTTCACCTTAAGAGACCATGGATGGTACATTTCAAACAGGCACCCCTCTCCCCCTCTGGTCCTCACTCCTCTCTACTTACCAGGTATTGTCCGCATAGACCTCTTCCACCAAAATCATGACGATGGACGCAGAAAAGCAATTCCCGAAGGACGATGTGCCTTCCTCAGACGAGGGCCGCAAAGGCTCTCTTGTCACGGGCACCATCGATGATATCCAGGTGCTTGACAAGCTGGGCTACAAGCCCGAACTACAGAGGAATCGATCCATGTTCACCTTGTTGTTCCAATCGCTCGCGATCGCAGCCATCCCTTACGGGGAGGGAGCACCCATCCTCAGCGCCATTTACGGAGGTGGCCCTCTTTCAATCTTCGTTGGCTGGCTTATGGTGTTGGTCCTCGACGAGTGTATCGCGCTGTCCCTCGGCGAACTCGCCTCCAAATACCCCACAAGCGCCGGTATGTCCAGGACACTCTGGAGGTTGACCTGTTCCCACTAACACAATCCCTTGCAGGTCCATACTACTGGTCATTCCAACTCGCCACCAGGGGAAAGACCGTCCTTTCCTTCATTACTGGATGGACGTGGCTGATCGGAAACTGGACCATCACACTCTCAGTCAACTTCGGGTGAGTCATTGTCGAGGCAGTGCACTTTTCTATCACTGTGCGGAAACAACTGACCGTCGACAGCTTCGCATCGCTCATTCTGGGCTGTGTGGCCATGTACCACCCGGACTGGGTTGCCGAAAGTTGGCAATTGCTCTTGATCTTCTATGCCATCTGCCTCATCACATTTGTGATCGTGGCCTTCGGCAACAAGTTTCTGCCCATCGTGGATACCATCTGCGCCGGCTGGACGGCCATTAGCATTATCATCATTCTCATTGCGCTTTCGGTCAAGGCCGATGCAGGAAGACACAGCGCAGGGTACGCGCTTGGCCATTATGACCAGTCCTTTTCAGGCTGGGGGGGTTTCACCTTCTTCATCGGTCTTCTTCCGGCCGCATACACCTTTTCCGCCATCGGAATGATTTCGGCCATGGCGGAAGAATGTTCCACCCCTTCGATCAAGGTCCCGAGAGCCATTGCTCTTTGCGTCCCAGTGGGAGGTTTCGCAGGCTTGTTCTTCATTCTGCCGATTTGCTTTACATTGCCTCCTATGGAAGACATTCTCCTGGCACCTTATGGTCAGGCTTTGCCCTATATCTTCTATCGCGTGATGGGCACCCCAGGAGGTGGCATGGGTCTCATGTTCCTGGTCTTGGGCATCACTCTATTTTGCAGTGTGAGCATCACGGTGGCGGCCTCGCGATGTACGTGGGCATTTGCCCGCGATGACGCTATTCCCGGGGCCCGGCTGTTCTCCAAAGTCAACCAAACCCTCGGAGTTCCTGTCTGGGCTCTGACACTCACAACAGTGGTTCAGATGCTCCTCGGCTTGATCTACTTAGGTTCAACTAGTGCGTTCACCGCCTTTATTTCCGTCGGTGTCATGTCTCTAGCGATCAGCTACGCCATCCCAATTGGAATCAGCCTTTGGCATCGGCGAAAGGAAGTCAATACCGCGCCATGGAACTGGGGCAATTCGATCGGCTACACCGTCAACCTCGTCGCAGTATTCTGGATCATGTTCGAGATGGTTATATTTAGCATGCCCGTGGCGCTTCCCGTCACGGAAGTCACCATGAACTACGCCAGCGTCGTCTTCGTTGGTTTCATGGTCATTTCGGCCGTGTGGTATATTATCTATGCGAGAAAGGCGTACAAGGGTCCTCCTGAGTCAGATGGTATCGCTGCTTAAAGACTGGGGTTCAGATATCAATATTTCTTCAACTGGTGATAGAGCGAGGGCGGAGTGGCTGCCGGGACATCATCATGAACTCGATGCATACCTACCCACACCATCTCCTGGGTCTTGACAATGACCTGAGCCGATTCAAGAGAGTTTGGTCTCTTTGTACCTTACTTCACATAGAATTCAGACTTTACTTTGAACCCCAGTTCGCGGACAAGCCTTTCTAGCTGTTGAGACACGAGCTATCTATCAGCCTCAATCGTTGAATCTGAGTCCGTCCACTGTGCGATTTCCACCTCAAAAAGATTGACTCATCTAGGTGGATTTTGTGAACACTCGTTGCATATTCGTCGGCACGACTTCTTGTCCCATGGGCAGTCTGCCAACCGTGTGCTTCCTTGCACGTCATATGCAGCCCCCTCCACCCCCTTGGTAAACCGTAGATCAACGGATCACGGCTCATGTAGGTTATCATGTGATCTCTTAAACCTGATCCATAGCAGGGTACGCCCCCGCGCCTAGTCTTCGGGTTCGCAGCGAATAGGTATGCGCGATACTGCAAGTTGGGTCCCACACGATCGAGGAGTAAACGACAGTGCGGGCTTTGCGGGTCCTGGCTCCTGCTCGGACGGAGGGTCGCAGACATGCAGATTGCAAGGCAGGTGGTGAAGGAGGTACAGTTTCTCTCATGATATGGTTGATTATGCGAGCATGAGCTAAAATTCAGCCTTGGCCCCCCCCCCCTTCTTGAGAGAAAGGAGTATGATGCCCACTCTTTCTCGTACCCTTCTACTTGTGAAATTACCCCAGCTATGATAGGGTTTAGTCGTATCCTCCTCAAAGTCTTCTTTTCAATGAACCGAGCTATATTGACTCTGCTCAGGTACTATACTGCAGATGCTACCAGAGGACTGTGTTCCCCCTCTCAATCACCAACACCTACTCGTTATCCTTAACGTCAATAACGGTTGCCTTGAACTTCCTGGCAGGAATCCTGCGATTGAATAGGACATCAGATTTACGATAAGAGCGGCGCTTAAGTTTAGGAAGGAAGAGGAAGGCCATGATCTAGCAAACAAGGTCACTACCTCCCCAAGCGGAACCACACTTGCCTGCGAGATTCAATCCTTTGGGGTCAAGCAGTCGCGACGCGAGATAGATCATCGGACTCTCCGCGACGTAGTAAGTAGCCTGGCCGACACCAGTGCTCGAGGCGCGAGGGCGGACTGAAGATGTCTCGGCAATGATGGTGTATGAGATTGGCCCCATGGCACCTGCGAAACGAAGGAGATGACTATCCCAAGTACAGCCTGGGCAGAGCTCGTCGCTTTGTTCTGTGAAATAGAAACACTCACCAAAAACGACACGAAGATGGTGGCATTCATGAGAATCAGGGCCCAAATAGTGGTCCAGTGGTAGCCAAAGCGAGTCGTGATAGGTCGAGCTAAGAAGACACCGACAAAAGCACCACATTGACCTGACTGAAGAGGACGGACTGCCATCGGGCTGGGATGGAGAACCCGTCTCCAGACGGGACACCTTGTTTCTTTTGAAGTGAAGGTAGGGCGACAAAGTTACCATTCAAGAACATGTTGAACGACTCCATGACCTGGTGGAGCAGTCGCGGCACAGGATGCAGGACGTCTGCTCACCTGCCACAGAGCATTCGCGATCTGGCTATACAGCGGTGTTTTCCTGTATTTGAGCAGTGTCTGGGGCTTTTAATGCCGCCGTGCTCCAATGAGAAGTGGGTTGAGGTGGCTGGAGTGATTCGGGCCAGGATGGAGGATCTACCTACACAGAGGCCAAGTTCCAGTTACCGGTAACCAGTAATCTACTGTGTGCTGTGTCCCGTCCAACGTAATGCCACCCCGCGAAGAGCAGGGTGGCATTGACTCAGCTCCACTTTGCGATGATGTGCGCATGATACGTGGAGATCAAGTCTTCAGCCATTTAGCGATGTGTATGTTTACATCGATGCACCACTTGAGAAGGGAAGGTTAGGTAGCATCCTGTGAGCTTTCGCTGGCAGGGATCTGCCTGATGCAGCTTGGTCCAACAGCACAGGGGGTACGTACCTAGTGGAAAATATATTATTGAATGGGGCCCCTCGACAAGTGCTCGTGATAGCTCTTGATCAGAGAAGATGTTTGAAGCAATCGTGAAGGGCGGCCAGGCTTGGAGCGGCACCCAGGCGGGGCGATCCCGAGGCTGAGCCAGCCGCTGCACCGTCTTGGATGGATTGTTCGTTGGTTTCCACTGCCAGCCTTGCATGCCCCAATGACTAACTACCTATGTACTCGTAGATAGACTATTCGAGTACTCAGAGCCACAACTTCCCAGATGCGGGCTTCGGGCTTTGGCTTCTAACAATCCCACGCCTCCATCGCTTTACCTTTTGCCTCATGCCATTTCGGGCTAACCATCTTAGCTGCACACATCCAACTTTCTAGAATGCCGATCCCGTTTCTAGAAGCTCCGGAGGGCCGAAACCACGCGTGAATACAGGAGAGTTGAACTTTGAGCTCTAACGTTGTGCACGGGGAGGGCAGCACTATCATCCGACTACGGTCTGTTATAAGGAAGTTGACAACACCCTCGCTTGAGGAGGAGGAGGAGGGGGAGAAGAAGAAGAAGAAGAAGAAGAAGGCTAAACCCGAGAAGGCAGTGGTCTGGCGACTGTTTTCTGAAGAAGAGGAGAAGAGAGAAGACAAAAAGGATGGCAATCTCGCAAATTGTGGTTGGGTGAATAAATATCATTCTCGTTAATATTGGGCTTGCCGGAGCAAGCAAGCAGGTTGAGCAGAGTCAACTATAAGCCTACAACATAAAGCGCCGGCTATCTAACATCAGGGCAAATCGTTGTTGCAAAAAAAGTGAGTGTTGCCATCACTGGGTATCTCGATGATTATTGCATAGGAGGAAAAAGGCACTTCCGCATCCTGACCTGACCTGACCTGACCCCTGGACAATAAGATTTGAACTCTCTCCCCTCATATCCATAACACCCCGAAATCTTGCATGGCAATTCACCTTCAGTCGAGCAGCGCCGTGAAATATGAAAGACTAGGTGTGAGAGTGTACCCAGTATCATCATCGTAGATTAAAATTAAACTCTGGTCGTCTTGACGACTCGAGTGTCTATCCCGTGGCCCCAGCCATAAAACCGACAGTCCTCGCCGTACCAGCAGCCTGGTTCATCAGGCTTGTTCTGCGGACACCTATGGCCATAGATGCATTCAGGATCGGAACAATCCATCCGGTAATAGCAAGGAGTCATTCGGGCAACCTCTCGGAGAATGCTTCGCTCCCCTTTGGAGAGAGGGTAGGTGTGTGAATGTGAACAATTGTTACTTGTGCAGTATGACACGCCCTGGAGATAGTAAATGTTGCAAAGCTTGAGCTTCTTGATACGTTGGATTTCGTGATTAGGAATGGAGGAATCGACTCTATCAATGCGCTGGTCGAATCGATTTCGCTCGATGCCTTTGCTTGCCGGTTTGACGTCCACCACGTCTGGAGATTTCATAGATGTTGGTGTCGATGTCCGAGTAGTGCTGGCCTTGGAAGGTGGGCCTGATGGAAGGAAAGGCTGTGCAGAGATTGATGCCCACGTCATGGCAGGTGTGCTCGAGCTCGAAGTGGTACCCGTCGTCCCATTGGATTCGACTCGAGAAAGAGCTGGGAGTGTGGCGGTGACGGCTTGAAGAGGGCCCTTCGGCACGATAGGAGTGGGAGCTAATTTGGTTGTCCTAAACAGACCATCGAATTTTGCGCACTTGAATTGTTCTTTGAGTGTGGCAATCTCCTTCTCGAAGGGGATAGACTCAAGTAGCGTGATGTGGTTTAGTACAGTAGGATCTCTCGCGGTATCCTCGAGCAAAGGGGCATATTGGTTATCGCAGCCCAAAATAATCTGATGACAGTGGCAGTCGTAGAGGCTGGCTCGGAACTGTTCATTGATTTTTTCTTTTGTTGCATTTGGTCGTGATCCGGAGTCGACAAAGTCAAGCAGAAGTTGGGAGCTATTGGCGCCTCGAACAAAGTCATCCAATAGTGATGGTCGATCGATGATCTTCGATTTTGTAAGGTTGTCGGCGAGAGCTTTAACATTGGCATAGACGCGAACAATAATTCTGATCGACGCGAGGTGATGTAGGGTTTGTGTGCAGAACGTTCGGGCAGCACTGGCGAGAGCGTTGGCAGCCTCAATACCACCCTTTTCACCTTTGGATAAGAAGTCTTTGGTGAATAGTATACTCTCCGCGTCGATCAGGACTAAGACAAAGGCATTTCGATCCTGGTAGACGAGTTAGCATGAACTATGGTATGGCTCACCGCAGATTCTGGGAAGTGAACACACCATAATCGTTTTAACCTGGCTTATTTGGTCTCGCAGCGAGGACTCTTCCAAACGGCTTGTACGATTGAACTCGACCTCTCTGTTGTAATCCATTTGCAGACGCTCGACGTGATTTTGAGTAGTTTCGAGTTGGTATAACAGGTCCTAGAGAATATTGATTTAGAATGCAACGAGGATGGTGTAACGCGGAGGGCAAAGGGCAGAGAATACCTCCATGAGCTGGGTTCTCTCATCTTCAAGACTTCGGAGACGTTTGTTGCGTTCTCGAAAGGAAGATTGGACAGGATTGATGGAGCCTATATCACCAACGACGCGATTTCTGAAGGAGGTGGTTCGCGACCCATAGTCAGGGCTGGAATTTAGCAGCGGGTGATCGAACGTGGGTGAAAATGGATCAAAACGAGCCATGTCGGGCATTGGGACAAAACAGAGATCAGTGGTGTTACAATGCACAGAGATGAGTAAGGGCCTGATGAGATAGAAAGGTGAGAGAGAAAGTTGGCGGTGTGAATGGATATGTCAAGTCAATGAAGGGAAAAAAGTCGCCTTGGAGGATTACAAAAAAAGATGCAGGCGCAGGCGCAGGACAAGATGCAGGAACAAAATTCTTTGGATCGTCAAGATGGAGATGGGGCCTGCCGCCTGTACGCAGGTCGTCAGTGGTCCTTCCCGGAGGGGATCACGCTTAAGGTGCACTTTACGACTGATTAGCGCGCCAAAGCTGCCCTCGTCGGCGCCAACTTGACTTTTGATTTTAAGCTCAGCAAATGACGATAGCTGCCCCATTCCCTCACTGGCCAAGACACCCTCTACTGGGAGGACCGTCACTGGGCTCGACCGACGCTACGGATGAGCATGTAAGCGTCCACCCGCTCGCCTAGCCTGCCTATTGCAGCACCCCCAGTAGGTGTCAGTTGCCCGCCCAGCCATTTCCCTGGGAGTCTGGGAATGGCAAATGGTTGCACCTACGGAGTGCTCGAGTTGCACGCTTGACGCCGCCGCGCTTCTCCAATTCCTGGTGAACTTGCGATACGCTGTCCTCTCCTCTCGAGTCTCCAGGTTTCGAGCTCACAAATGTGAATGTTGTCCCTTCCTTGTCCTCCACCCGCTACCCACCTTCTAAACATCGCACAAATCATTCTCCATTTCTCACTTTCATTCACCCGTCATCAACACCATGGGTCGCTTCCTAGATCTCGCTCTTCTCCTCTTTGGCTTCCAGGCTGCTGGCGTCTTTGCCCAGATTGACCCTGTATGGCCCACCAAGACCTCGACATGCATGCGGTTCCCCTGCTAACAATTCTATTCATAGGAGGTCGCTGAAGAGGTCGAAGACCCCTCAAATTCTCCTGCAATTGCTGTCACCGTTGAAGCCAGCTTCCCCAATGCTGAAATTTTCGGCATCAAGCTGGTTAATGGCAAGCAGACCGAGTCCATTCTCTCCTTCACCAATGAAGAGCCCGACCCGATCACCATTCAATTTGTTGGTGGCAGTCTGTGGACTGCGGACCCTGCTTCTCCTCCTCGCATCGTTCGCAACCTGACCACTCACCAATATGCAATTGAGATCCCTCCTGGCGAGAAGCAGAGCTTGCCTTTCCGCTTCTCCACCAACATGCACCCCCAAGACTTGAGATTGAACCTGGCCGCCGTCATCAGCTCCCAGAATGCTTTCTTCACCCTCCCAGCCTTCAACGGCACTGTCTCCATCGTCGAACCAGATGCCAGTATCTTCGACCCGCAACTGTAAGCATTCCATCTAAACCCCGCCTTTGGTGTTGGCGTCTAACAACCAACAATAGCCTCTTCCTCTACTTCTTCCTCCTCGCATGCGCCGTTGCTGTTGGCTATTTCTTCTACACCATCTGGATTGTCCCATACTTCCCGCAGCAGAAGCGTAAGACCGCTGGTGGCAAGAAGACTCCCCGCAAGGTCGAACCCCCTGCAGTCCTCTCCGACAACGAATCCCCTGCCGTGTCAACTGGCGCCAAGCCCTACAACGAGGACTGGATCCCTACCCACCATATCCAGCGTCCTGAGGCGCGTAGAGTCAAGAGCAGCGGCCGTCCAAAGAGCCGCACTGGCAAGCCCGAGTAAGAGCTGGACGTGGGTTAACCCCTCCAATCATTTTCTTCCTTTCTCGTGGACAATAAGGCTGGGAGACCACATATGGCTTGCCACGACGGATCTATCTTCAACTACGGGTATAGACTTGGACTGGAGATGGGGTCTATTACCGATATTTAGATCTCTGCGGAGCTTGGAAAATATTGGGACGACCCACGCGGCTAAGTATTGGGACGGAGAGGGAACCGACTCCCAGTCAAACAGGATGTTGAAAATAGCCTGGGGTTGCCGGCGAACGATGCATATATACAGATTATCCAAGAAAGAGGTTGCAATTTCAAATATGTAGCAATATTCAACCGCCTCCATTATAGGAGAACCAAAAACGTGGAAAGTGGAAAGGGGAGGAGGATGGCAGGGCAGGTGACCAGGGGGAATACTTCGAGTTACTATTGCTCATATATAGTATAGGAAACGAGAGAAGAGAAAATTACACCACACAACACCGATGAATGACCAACCCCAGATTTGCACTCACAGAATTAGGCAACTTGTTATTTATGTCGCTCAGCTGGGCTCAGCCATGCGCGAGATGTGAAAGAACAACAAGCAAGATACCGTGTTAGCTAACTAATAAAAAACCCCTTTCGTGATTTACATGCAGGTGTGTACGGTACAGCAACGATCACGATACAATTAAATCAATTAAATCAATTCGATCCATCAATCCACCAATCCACCAATCCATCAATCCATCAATTCAGGCTGGTGCTGGTGGTAGATGGATGGAGCGATCGGTGCGTCAATCAGTCGCCCATGATCTCATCATCATTCGCATCCTCACGAGGTTCGACATCGTCAGAAGCGGCAGCACCGCCATCCTCGATCTCGTCCTCCTCGAGATCACGCCGATGCTGTTCTTCCTCTTCATTGACCTCGTCGTCCTCGTCGTCCTCGATATCGTCCTCATCCAACACCCTCGTTTCCGACAGCCCCTTTTTCTTTTCTTTCTCTGCAGACGCAGCAGCCTCTTTCGACTTCTTCACTCCTGCACCAGCCCCTTTAGCGGCCGCCGTCGGACCACCTGCCTTCTTCTTCTCCTTCTTGTCGTCGAGATACGCCAGTAGTGCCGTGTAGTTCTTCCCGAGCTTTGTACGGTTCAGCAGGAGCCTGGTCTTGACTTGGCGGTCCTTGATGGCACCACCTACCACCGCGAAGATTATTTTACTCGTGATCTCGCAGAGATTCTGCTCCGCGAGGAGCGCTGCTTGCTTCTTTGCACTGCGTCCTTCAGGAACGGTGTCGGCGTCTCCTTCGTCAGAGTCATCAGCTTCCGCGCCAGAGCCTGCGCCTTCGTCATCTGAGTCTTCGGGTGGTTTCTCAATGTCCTCTTCCTCCACGTGCTCCTTGTCCTTGCCTTTACCTTTCTTGTCCGCGAGCTCGATTTTTCGGCGGGTTTTCTTCGCGAATGATTTCTCCAACTTTTCGTGCGTGATCATTACTTCCTTGATCAGATCTTCGGGGACGGCCGTGATCAGACTCTTGAGGTTCTGCTCCACATCTTCGTCCAGGTCGCCTTTTTCAGGCCGAAAATTCCTGACCGTGGTGAACAGTGCAAAGAGCTCGAGCACATTGATGATGGCGTTGTAGCGGACAGGATCCAACGGAGTTCTCATCGCGATGATTGGAGTCAACGTAGAAGAAAATGTGGTACGCATCATTGCAAAGTTCGTGAGCGTACTCGCTGTCAGCGAGGATCTGTCGTTGGCTTCAATCGCCTTCTTCAGACCAAAAACCTTCCAACGAAAGTAGCGAGAGAAAAGCTCGAGGAGTGCGGTGCATAGCTGATCCTCCAAGTCAGCAAATGCGTCTGTCGTATCTTCATCTGGCTCGCCGCGTTTCAGAAGGTGCAAGAGAAAGTCGAGCAGAACTTGCTGGTTGGCTGATTTGCCTTTCTGTTTCTTCGATGCTGCGGAGTCTATTCTGCCCTCGATGACCTGTGTGCAATCATAGACGCCCGCCAGCTCAGCCATACGCAACACGGTATTAACGACCTCACCCAACAGAGGTAGCTCGAGCGTTCCTCTTGTTTCTATGTCTTTTCCTCGGAGTAGACGGGCTAGGCTGGCGATCGAATCATGCCAGATCTCTTGGACTTTTGCATCGGCGGCCTCCTTGCTCTGTTCAAAACTTCTGGCATTCCGGAACGCAGCGCTTGCGGCCGCAAGGACTTTCTTGTCCGAGTGTGATGTGAACTGCTTTGAAATATCGTCGAGGATGCCTGCAAAAGTGGCCTCCCCACTTTGAAGGTCATTGATCAATCCAATGTCCAGTAATTGCTCGATGCGAAGGATGGACGAGGCTGCTTGCGGCGTGCTGCCAAACTTGCTTAAAAGTTGAGGAAGAATGATTGTGAGATTTTGTGCGGCAGACTCTTGTTTCTCTCGGATCTGGTCTTTGGATGCATTTGTTCGGCGGCTTGGTGCCGATTCGAGGATCGATGGAAGATATAGCTTGATCGAGGAGTATAGGATATCAAGGAGGATAATGTCTTCACCAGCGCTCAGTTTGTAGGCCTGTTGGACTTGATAGTTGATGTCATCTTCATCCCCATGGTCTGGAATCATTGAGTGATCATAGAGAAGATACCCTGCAAGGCCTTCCCAGTTCTGCAAGTCTTCCATATAAGGAAAGATCGCCTGTGTTGCAAGTGCATATCTCGAGTCGGACAAATCCAACGGTAGTGATTGCACATCGCGACCGTCGAGAGACTCATCATCGCTGTCCAGCGCGGCCAAAATGCTTCCCATGCACTTGAACTTGATCCATTGTCGTGTCGGGACGGTAAAATCATCGACATCAGCGGCATCAGACAACGTTGCGTGATACTGGGCTTCATCAAACTCCTCAACGGTCGCAATGTAAAAATCCTCAATATTTGAGACGAAGAATCGAGCTACCGCTTTTCGGACACGTGGCTCGTTGTCGAGAATCAATCGCCCGACGGTGTCGACCTCGTCAGGCTCAAGCAATTCCGCATCTCGTAAGCTATCTAACAATTCGATTGCTTCAACTCTAACATTCACATCGGCGTCTCTGGCACCCATCTCGACAAGTCGAGGTCGAAATCGGTCTGCGAATGCTCTCAATGCGCCAACAATCTTCTTGGTCCTGAAAAGATTCTTCAGTTGCTTGACGTCCTCGAGTCGTGTTGCGGCGGCGGTGTCATTGAGCACCCATCCAAGGTATCGAAGATATTGACCTTCCAGAAACATCTTACGATAAAGAAGGATCCAATTCCCGAGAGCCGCGATACATGGTGCTCGGATTCGTTCTTCCACGTCTCGATATCGGTGAACGAATACGGTGTCAACAGCGTCTCTCAGCTGATTGTCAACAGCTTCGAGCATTTCCTCGGCAGCCTTTTGACTTTCCCCGATGGTCTTTACTCGTCCTTTGTTGACACTTCTCTTCTTATTTTCTGCATCCAATTGCGTCTTCAGCGTGACCATTGTGCCCTGTATCTCTTCTGCGACCTCGCAGAGAGCAGTGCTCATCGCCAGTGAGACAATAGTTGCGGTGTGCCTGAAAGACTTGTAGTTCAAGCCGGACATGGTGGCTATCCAGACATGGATGTTGTCGTACAATTCTGGGTGCTTATAGAAGTAAGAGGAGCTATGCAATGCTTTGATAACGGCATTGAAGAATTCTTCCAGTACGCTCTGGAATCCGACATACAGCTTGTGCTTCGATATCAGTGGGTAATCCGGCGATTTTTGTTGCTCATATTCCTGGAGGACATCTCCAAGCTTGCTAGGCACAGAGTCGAGATCTTCAATGTCTTGGTTTTCGATCCTAGAGTCACATCCAATGCACTGTAGAACGAAGTTGACGAGATCCCGAATTGCACCGACATTATCGGCTTGCGCCGACTTAAACCATACGGAAGCAGCATCGTCGGGGGTCCGTCCTTTTCCAAATACCTCTGCGTACAGTCCTAGCTGATGCGCCTGGCTAGGCCTGGCACGCGCCTTTTGTGTCTTGGAACCTTTTCCTGCGGCAGTGCCTTTCTTGTCTGCTGGTCGAATAGCCAGAGTTGTACTTGAACCATTGGTTGTCTTCGTTCTCTTGGTGGCGGGTTTTCCACTCGGGCGTTTTAGTTTTTGTACTCTGCGATTTGCCCTCAGCTCCTCCTCATCAGGCTCGGCTTCACTTTGCTCCTCGTCGTCGTCATCATCAGAGTCGTCATCGTCATCGTCGTCATCATGTTGTTCAGGGGCACTCCCTCTCGAAATTCGTTTCCGTTTGGTAGATCCATTGGCGAGGATACTACCCTCATGGAGCTCTTGGGAGAATAGGTTTGGCTTGTGCACGACTCTTCCAGATTTGCGACGCGATTCAGGGGCACCATTTGGCGAGTTGGAGTCGACCTCCATACTGTGCTGCGCTTGGGTGGTTTTGGCTGTGGCTCGATAGGCGGGCGCGAGATTGAGGAAATAGCCGCGAACAGGAAGGGGTGGTGAGTAGTCAGGGGACGTAAAGTGGCTGGCGAAGTATGGATTTGAAAGGCGCTACCTCCAGCGACTCTATGAAGGATCGCGATGCAGCAACAGGGTGCTGTTTTGTGACACAGGAATTCTGAGTCCGATGCAAGATGCTGCCAGGTTGTGGTTATTGAGAAAGACGCGACGCGGCGAGATTATTGTTAAAGTGGAGGCGCCTGGAGGGGAAACTACGAGCCCGAGGGTCTTCCGGGACAACTAATTAGGTACTGCGTACTCCGTACTCCTGGGTGCTCGTCCACTGGCATGGCACTTGTTAAAGGTATTCTTAGCGCGCCTCCCATCCACTTATCATGCTAAGAACAACACTGCTAGCCACCAGTTTGTAGCATCTCCAATTATTTGCATACTGAGTACCCAGGTAAGTAGTTATATATGGCTGAAGCCAACATGCACCCCAGACGCAGCTGAGAGCTTGGGATCTTCCTTCAAGCCGCGTCAGCTAGTCTCTACTAAGTGGATTTGAAACTTCTCTACTGCTTCTGAGGGTCTTTTTTTGCTCCGAACAGCATTATGTCTCTCCCCAGATCTGTGTTTGCGGCTTCAAAATCCAGACCGGGCAATGGGGAGATAGTCCTTGCACTCTTCCCACCTGGAAGGCAGATCCTGCAGACCTGTACATACCAATATCCACTTAAGCTCATTGCACCTGATCCACACAAGGTTGGAGATGACAGGCAGGTGACAGTTGCATTTCTCCTAACTTATGGCGGAGGACTAGTTGGTGGCGACCAGATCAATCTAAAAGTTGACTTACTGGAGGCAACACGGCTGGTACTGTTGACTCAAGGGAGCACCAAGATTTTCAAATCTCCATCTCGCACCGTGGTGAGCGGGCAGAACCTCGATGTCAAGATTGGGCCTCAGGCCGCCCTCTGCTACTTGCCCGATCCAACACAACCCTTTGCAGAAAGTGTCTACGGGCAGAAACAGACCTTTTACGTCGATCCGAGTGGAATGAGCAGCCTGCTCATGCTGGACTGGGTCAGTGAAGGGCGGCGGGCTAGAGGTGAAAGCTGGACCTTGTGGAGTTGGAAAGGCAGGAACGAGGTTCGAGAATTTGACGAGAGATCTCGGGGGAGATTGTTGCTTCGAGATGCAGTCATGCTGCATGACGACGGGCTGGGTACAACAGGTCTCGTGGACAAATCAAACAATCTAGGCATATTTGGGACACTCATCGTTTATGGCCCTCTCTTTGAGAAGCTGGGAGGCTTTCTTATCCAACAATTTGCCAAACACCCGCGGATTGGGGCAAAGAATTGGACGCAAAATGATCATGTCAAGGCTGAACAGGTTGACTTAGCGAGCAAGGAGGCAGAATTGAGCAAGCAACGCGAACGAGAAGATGGATTGCTGTGGACCGCGGCCCAAGTGCGTGGTTTTGTACTGGTTAAATTTGGAGCGAAGGAGCTTGATGGAGCTCGACGGTGGCTTGGTGGCATGCTCAAGCAGGAGGGCACCGTGGAAAGAGAGTTTGGCCATCAAGCACTCCTTTGTCTCCGGTGACCGCTGCTCTACCCAAAAGCCCGATCTCTTCCCTGAGCTGGGAGTATCGGCTGTTCTTCCATTACTTGCCAATGGTCAAGAACAGACGATCCCCGATATCCCCGAGACCAGGCTGGATCATGCCCTGGTCGGTCAACTTCTCATCCAGACCTCCAACCCAGATCTGTGTTCCTTGAGGCCATTCTTCGGCAGCCTTGATGAGACCAGGATGCGCAGCAAGGACGCTCAGGACGATGATCTTCTCCACGCCCCACTCCCTCAAGGTCTGAATGGCTGCCACTGCGGTACCTCCGGTCGCGATTACAGGATCGGTGATAATAGCCAATTTAGCAACAGAGGACTGCGATTGTGGCAAATTGTTGTAATACTCGACAGGCTGCAAGGTCATCTTTTCACGGAAGAGACCAAGGTGATGGACGGAGGCAGGCTCGGGGAGAATGGTTTGGATGGCTAGGCGGTTGTTAGCTTGCGGCGTGCTCTCCTTGGAACGCCAAAGACACAGACCGTCGATCATTCCTAGCCCAGATCTCAATATTGGGACAAGGGTGATTTTGGCGACGTTGATGGCCTCCACGGCATACTCAAAACCAATTGGGGACTCATCCTACAGCAAATGCATGGTTAGCCTGGCTAGTGATCAGCACCGAGATTTGAAATTGAGAGCAAGAGAAGACAGACTCACAGTTCCGAGATTGTCCAGTTGCAAGTCAGCGAGAGCCTCAGCACCCAGCAAAAGAGAAATATCATGAACCAGGGCTTTTGTTTCACGGGCTTTGGTGGACTTGGAGCGCAGTTGAGACAGTTTGGCGCGTAGGCAAGGATGCTTGGAGATGTGAACATTCGAAGGCACAGAAGTGGCCATGATGATGAGAGATGCAAATGCTAGTGGAAGCACAGACAGTGCAGAGAGAGAAGGAGAAGCCAGGAATAATGCAGTCTCTGGATAAGGGCAACGATGTAGTACTAGGGATACATTCTTTCTTACGCAGGCACGATTCACAATTATTGTTTGTTCTCAAGCTCAGCAGCAGTAGGACGGCCCCCCTTCCCCTCCCCGCATGGGTTGGTTGCGTCAACCCTTGGTTCCATCTGCGATAAGGGAATCACCAGTGCACCAGCGAGGTTAATGCAGGCCGCAGGGCACATGGCATGGCAGGGCATGGCAGGGAGGGACACGGCCAATTCCGATTGCAGAGAGGACCAACATCCACTCGGGCACTTGGGTCCTTAATTATCAGTCCTTGGGCATCTGATTCTCACCCGAATGCCCGGAGATCTTAGCGGGATCTGTTCCGTCGTCCTCCTCCGTCCATACGAGGCACATCAATAACTCCGTACTGCGATTGAACGTTACTTCTCCTCGGCTTTTCGTAGCGGCTGTAGCTTGCACGTATCAATGATGACCAGGAACTTCTAAAAGGGTAAATCGTCAAAACGGCAGACTCATGAGGCGACACTATGCAAAATCAACTCAATGTCAGTGCGTCTGTTGGAGTCTCTGTCATATTTACTGAGTGTATTCTGACTAAGCCCGGACTCCTTCACAACCTCTTTCTGTATGTCATCTGTCTACTTGATCGCGGTGAATAGCACGTTTCTGGTCTATCATCTAGTCGATTGATCGCTCAATCCCGATGACAATCTTATAACACCGGACAAATTCTCCTAGTGCCATGGCGGCAATTCATGGTCGCAGAGATAATGCAGGAAGCTGTGATCACGCACAACAGACGCGTGGCCACAATCCAGATGGAAGTGATCCTGGCCTCGAAGAAAACGATGCGGACGAGGCAGGGATTGATATGGGCTTGACAGAGATGGCATTGCCACCACCAGCCAGAGAGCAAGATCCGCATCGGCCTTCACTGGAGGCCAATGAACGAATGACCAGCAAAGAAGACCAGCAACAAGGTCAACTCAGCGAACTCGCTGTGCCCGAACCTTTGAGCTCTTGCGACAGGGTTTCCGACGAAGGAAGTGCACACAGTTCTGCACGACGGCAGCAAAGTCTGGAGGAGGTGCGGAAGGCAGAAGGCGAAGCTCCCTCACGGTTGAGACACTCTCGGGTGGTAGCAGAGCTCTACACCGTGTCGTGGTTGATATTTTTCTCACTTTTGGGCACTCTCGCCCGTCTGGGAGTTGTGGCCATCACCCTCTACCCGAATTCACCATTTCCTTCTCGAGTCCTATGGGCAAACCTGGGAGGTTCATTTACGATAGGTTTCCTGGTCGAAGATCGACAGCTGTTCCGAGGAGAATGGGGTTCACCAGATCCCAAAGCACCATCTGCCAACCATGGGAAGGTCAAGAAGACACTGCCGCTCTACATTGGACTGGCCACGGGGTTCTGCGGGAGTTTCACGTCCTTCTCCTCCTTTATGCGTGACGCATTTCTCGCTTTGACCAATGCTCTTGCCTCTCCTTCTTCGACCAGTCCGTACCATACAGATCCTGTCATCTCCCCAAGGAATGGCGGTTTTTCTTTCCTCGCACTCCTGGCTATCTTGATTGTTCACCCGGCGATATCCTTGGCAGCCTTGCAAGTCGGGGCGCAAGTGGCACTGGTGAGCCAGCCGCTGCTACCCACCATTCCCTTCAAACTTGGTCGCAAGATCTTAGACCCATTGGCGGTTCTCCTTGGGTTTGGCTGCTGGCTGGCCGCAGTGCTTTTGGCTGTATGGCCGGCTGGAAATGCCGTTCATTGGCGTTCCCGAGCAGTGCTCCCTCTGGTGTTTTCTCCGCCAGGCTGCTTGTTGCGCTTCTACGTCTCGAAGCACATGAATGCAAGGATACCAGGATTTCCGTTAGGGACTTTTGTGGTGAACATGCTAGGCACGGCCGTGCTGGGGATGGCCTTTGACCTGCAACACGCAGGCAGCATCGGTGGAAGGAGTTCTACTTCGTGTGCAGTGTTACAAGGCATCATGGAAGGATTTTGTGGATGCCTCACCACAGTCAGCACGTGGGTGGCCGAGCTTCAAGGTTTGCAAAGGAGCCATGCGTGGGTCTACGGTCTGGTGAGTGTAGGCGTCGGACTAGCGTTGATGGTCATGATCATGGGCAGTATGGGATGGACAGTTGGATTCACAAGACCTGTCTGTGGATGAGATACTATATACTTCGTAGAGTGTTATACTTTTTCTACCTCGATCTGCGTACTCCGTACATAACACGTATATCACAATCAAGAAGGGAATACTCCGTACTCGATCATTAGAACCAAATCTTGTTTTCTGCTTGGTTGAAACCGTGGTCGGGCAAGATAAGCAACAGGGTGGTTGTTGATCCCACGCAATCCTCGCCTTACCCGGAGCCAACTGACTTGGAGAGGCCGGGGGTGGCCTTGGTGGATGCCAGTGAGGCAAATGGGACAAAGACAGCCTCTCAAAGCCCTGGGGCGCCCCATGCAAAGAATCCACCCGCCCACAGCCATTTTCCGGCCCCTGGAAGCCACTGCGTTTGTTTCCTTTGGTTGGGCCACTCATTCAACCATTTGGATTGGAAGCTGCCCCACCTGGTGTCCACCCTACCCATCGCTCCTGCCCTTTGGCCTTTGGCAGCAGGTTGCCTTGACCTGCAGACTTGGCAGTTCCGAATCCATCTCCCCTGTTGATTTCCATTGCTGCTATTTCCTCCTCCCCTTCTTTTATCCTCCGGCCTCCTACAACGCGTCAGCCAGCATCTGCACTGCCCACTACGGTACAATACTATACGAACTACACGCCTTTTTCTCACCACCAGCCTACGGAGTACACAGAGCTTTACTGCTTCCCACGAAATCACAGGGTCCCTCACCTCCACGACTCATCGTCTCTTTCCTATCTCACCTGCCAGGCTGGATTTGTTGGCCCCGATCAGCAAACCAGTAATACAATACTCGGAGCTCGCATTTGAGTATACCCCTTCCAGTCGTGGCCGTGTTGATCGACTGCTTTCGACTCACGCACCTCGAACTTCTTTGTTCACAAGCAGTCACGTTGTGTTTATCAACCTCCAACGGCTAATTGAATCCACCGGACACACTAATGATCCACCAACGAGTCTGAGCGTGTCAAACATTCCCCCTTGTGAGCAGCGATTCTCGACAACCAGAATTCATCCCGAGGTCAACGAGATTCTTGAGAACCGCCAAAATGCATAGCTCAACCACCTCAGCCCTCCTCGTTACATCTCTCATATCCGTCGCGTCTGCATTCGTCCCCATGCAGATCGCGCCTCTCCCTACAGCTCTAGACAGCAGCATTTGGAAACCCTTTACGACCATCCCAGCCGAGCCTGCTCCTACAGCAGGCTCGCCATCTTCCGCACCCACACCCGCACCAACACAAGGCCCGGAAGAGATTATGCACATTCTCCCCGTCCTAGATCCGAACATGGTCCCCGACCTAAAGAAGCGACAAGGCGTGAGTCAGGCCATTGCCCCAACTGCCATCACGCAGGTCTCTCCTATCACCACGTATCAAATAAACCTTATCAGAAGCGGTGTCAATTCACAGCTCAATATCGTTTACACGCAGACTTTCAATCCTATCCCAGATCAGTGGCCCAGTCCTACCGAGGCTGGAACGATTGGCTTGGGCACAATTCAGGGTGAAATCGGCGTGGTCAAGACCAAGCGAAGTTTGCCAACACAAGCCCTATTAGGTAATTCGGCCGACTCGACCCCTACGGAGAATGCACCCGTGAGCTCGAGCATTCCTTTGTTAGACAAGCTGCGAAAGGCTGGCCAAGAGATTGAAGAAGAGATCGAAGAACTACTCAATAAAATGAAGATACCCGGAACTCACAAGGAGGAAGACCTGAGTGTGCCCTTAGGAAAGGAAGTCAGGCTTCCCAACACAGGCTCTTCCGATGTCAAGGAGCCATTCAACTTTGCAGAATCGGAGGAGGATGATGATGATGCGACGCCTTTGCTCCCTGAATTACGCGTCCACGAGAGTGACGCCCGCATTCTCAAAGCCGGGTCTCTCGCTGTCCTTGCTATCACAATTGGCACTCTATGTGCAAACTGCCTATGATAGACCAATACCGGAACGGAAAAATCTGGGCACACATAAAGAGTCTGCACAACACGAGCAGGAGTTGGTGGATGGTGCTGATAATTCGAGTTTCTCCGAGTCTGGCGTTGAATGGGTTCAAAGGGATTAGGTTGCAGCTTGGGGCGTTCTGGGAGCAACTGGTGTCTCAACCATACATTATGAACGATTTTCCTTTCTTCCACCGAAGTCAGCAGCAGCAGTAAGTTATCTTGAGCGATTCTGCCCCTTTTTTTTTTTGGCACTCCTTTTCTGTTGCTGGTTGTTGGAACACCCATTGTACAGGATACGAGGCAGGATTGATTTGAACGGCATCGAAACAACTTCAGCACTGGACGCGCGCCGTATAGAGAGCATGCTCTTGCGCTGGATTAGACAGATATCCAATAATGAAATGATAACTAGAATATGCATATGAATCTTCGACTTGTGGTTCTGAAAAGTGAAAAAGTTGTTTTCCCCCTCTTTTATAAACTCTCACTCTCTAGCAGGTTCTTGTTTGAGATCATGAGTGGATGGAGACAAGGACACCATCTCATCGAGACGAACGTAGCCTGATGCTACTACCATACATACATTGGTAGTCAGTGCATCCAGCAGGCCGTGAGATCTCATGTTCAGCTTTCCTCAACCTAGAGGATTCTCCTCCTATATCGACCAAGTCACTTCTACTCACTCCCTGCACGCCCTCGACTATTCAATCGTACAACCTGGCCCAATCCGGAATCAGAACCATCTTGCGGCGCACCTGGCCTAGGGCATACGTCTTCCCGCTGGTCCTGAGATCAAGATGCTCGTCGTCCTCGGCCTTCTCCACCGCCGCCGCCGCCGCCTCACCATCGCGATTGCCCTGCTGATCTCCCTTCTGCTTCTTGGTCTGGATCAACACTGCGTCCTGCAGGAAGTCGACCTCGGTGCCGTACCGCACCTCCATGTCCGTGCCGCCCCAGTCGAGGCTGACTTTGCCGGACGCGTGCACGCGCAGTTTCCCCACCAGCCCGGCGGGGAGGCGGGTTGGTTCGGACGCCGTCAGCAGGCCGTCGAGCTGGAGTGGGTGTCTGGAGGCTGAGGCTGAGGCTGAGGCTGAAACTGAGGCGGCGGGGTCAGCGTCGCCTTCTTTTTTGATTCCGGGTTTGTTGCCCGGCGCGCCTGTATCTGAGTATTTGCCGTGTGAGGAGGAGGTGGCGGTGGTGGCCGTCGGCAGCTTGGAGATCGTCTCTCCCCCCATGCCCGGTTCCTGTTTGACGTCCGGTTCGGCGGGAGGGTCGGTGGCAGGGTCGTAGAGGAATGGCGTCAGCGGCGGCAGCTGGAAGAGGAACAGCTTTCCCTTTTTCAGAGTCGTTTCTTCCTCGTCTTGTTCTGTTCCTACGTCGTTGCCATCGTGCATCTCGTCTCCGTTGGCAATCGCAGGGTGCGACACGTGATGATGAGACGGAGAATTTCCATGACTAAGGAAGATATCTCGTAGTTTGTGCGTGTCCTCCGCGATTCTCAGGCGCTCGGCCCTCTCCTCGATTGTCTCCGTCGCGCCTCGCGCGCCGTCTCTTGATCTAGCGCTCGAACTCTTCTTCAGGTTCCGTCTTCGCATCTCAGGGCTCGACAGGCGGTTGTGGGGTTCCTTACCCAGTGCCGAGGGCTGCTCGTCAACGTCCATGGCGTGCTCATCCTCGTCTTCCACTTCATGGATCATATTGTCTGATTCGCTTTTCTTGACCACCGCTGGTCCTCGGGTGTTGAGCCTCCTGCGCCCAGCAGATGTGGACTCTTCCTCTTCCCGAGGGGCCCGGGGTGCTCTCACAGGCCGCAGGCTGTTCGCGCTGCGAGGAGGACGTTGTACCGCTTTCTGCTTGCGTTTCCCTGCGACTATTGCGTCCTCGTCTTCGTCGGTGGAGATCCAGATCCGCTCGATGTCTCGTTCGGTTTCGTCGGGCTCATCGTCCGTCGCGATGTCGACCCCTTCTGCCTGTCGAGTCGCTGCTGTCAATCGGCTGTTCCCACTGCTGCTGCCGCCACCACCACCACCACCACCACCACCACCACCACCACCACCACCGCCGCCGCCGGCGCCTCCAGCGGATAGCTTTGCTTCTTCACCTTCCAGCGTGTTCAAAAGCGCCGCATCCGCTCTCTTACTCGACTGGCTCCCAACTATCATCTCACTATAGCCTTCCGGAACGGTCCTCGATCTCATAGAAGATCTCAAGCCGCCGCCACCGGCGCCGAAAACGCCTCCTCCCAGTCCCGGTGTGTTACTTGCTCGTGAGTCGCCCACGCCGCCAACACCCACAGCGCCAGCTCGACCAGCTCGACCGCCTCTTCCTCCTCTAGCTCCGCCGCGTGTAGACGTGTTCTTCGAAGCCTCGGCATTTCGCGCCTGTTGTCGCTCGGCTTCTTGCCTTGCGAACTGCTCTCGTTCTTCTCTGGTCTTGCGCTGAATGCCCGCTCGAGGCTTTGCTGCTCGAGTCCGAGCCGCGGGCGCTTTCGGGGGCTCTTCTGGCATTGTAGAGAGGGTCTAGAGCGATGACGAAGAGGTTTGAGAGGAGAGATTGAGGGTTGAGGGTTGAGGGTTGAGGGTTGAGGATAGTCTTGTCATAAATCCTCTGGACTCTGCCAAAGTGTCGCTGTCTGACGAATTTTCCGCAGGATGATTCTCGCGAGGGTGGGGATCGAGGGTTGGGGCTCAAGCTTGCCAGACTGCGTGAGCAGAATATTGCGAGTGACTACGAGGTAGAACTGTCCTTTGAAGCACGCGCCAATAAAGCATCACAGCCGAACTAAGTCCATTGACTCAAGCAGTTAAGGGTGTTGATGGTGGGCAACGGAGAACTACTTCACTCTGCTAGTGCTCAATCCATGTTTCCGTTCACTCAACCTTTTTTTGGAGACGACCGAATTTCTTGCCCCTCATTTTGGAATCCCAGTGGAAACCCCCACAGACGCAGCCTCGTCATGTGATATGGCAACACACAGCCTTGTTGGTTTGCACAACCAAATGATTGGTGGATTAAGCTGTCAGCAAAGACCACGAACACCTTCGTAAAGGGTTCGTCCTGTGATGTGATTGCAATTATATCAAAACTTAAATTCCGACTATTTCATACACTCATGACTGACTGCTACCAATGTCAAAGAAGGATTTGTCTTGGTTTCAATGTTGTTTCACAAAACATTTGCTCGCAAGCCCCTTTTCATCCCAACCCATATCACAAGTTCACAACACCGTAAGGAAATCAACCATCCACTCGCTCGACAACTTCCAACTCCGTAGTCATCTTCTTTGTAAAACAGTCCACGAACTCAAAGTCAACACAAGTACTCAAGTCGTTTGTCTCAGTCAATTTCGTTGCAATCGCCGGGGTCTTGCGACCCTATCCATCCAAGTTTGACCCTGCCCTTTTCGCAGTCTATCCATACCGATCCCAGTCAGGGCGAGAGGTCTCCGCCTGATTCCACAAAGCCACCCCACCAGATTTTGTTTGCACTTGTCATCATCTCTTTCTCTTCTTGTTTTTCTCGGGACTACCCCCAAAAGCAATAGCCGCGGCGTCACCACCCATTGTGGCTGGGATCATTGGGGTTTCATCATCAGAGATAGCAGCATCATCAGCCTTCTTTGCGACGGGTACACCCATGTGGCGACCGTATCGTCCCTTTCGTCCATTACCTTCATCTTCACTAACGCAGCCTTCAATGCCAATGCCTGCGTCTTTGCATCGCTGACAGGGACGTTGACGGTCGCAACCTTTCTTGCTCTTGCGGCAGCGTTGGCAGCGAGGTTTCGAGGACAAATCCTCCTCATCCGCACCAAGTTGGTGCTGGAAGTTGAGACTCGAGCCAGATGATTTGCGCGCCTGGCCGTTGGAAGCTGGGGCCGAGGGTGCCTTCATCAGGCCTGACTGCGGTGCTGACTTGCTTACTTTCGGCACATTGGCAGGGCGAACCTTGGAAGGCTTGCTGTTCTTGAAGGCTGAGGCGGCCTTTGGTCGGTATCCATTGGTGGGCCCATCGTGCATCTTTGTCCTGATCTTCTTTGTTTTTGGCTCTCCTTCAAACTCGTTCGGCTCACGATGGGGCTCTTCCAGATCATACTCTTCGTCCTCTTCAAGATATTTCCTATGTTTGGGTTGGCCTCCTTCAGCATCGCTATACTCGTCGCTGTCACTTGTAGCCCCAGTGGAGGAAGCAGCATCTGCAACGCCACTGAAGGTTTCATCCATGGTGGAATTGGAGGTCCGCCCATGGGAATAATTGGAGGCATCACCGAGAGCAATCAGTGTGCGAGCGACGTCTTCATCCGATATACAACTGGCTACAGTAGGATCAGGAGTGGGCAGGACTCCATGAGACGAATAGCCCGCCCGTCCAATGTACCCTGGTTGGCGATCTCGCAAGCGATGGCCGTGCTGAGGGACGGGTGTTGCCATTTCAGGATTTGCGCCCAGGTCCGCCTGTCCAGCACTGTGCATTTGGCTATAGCTTTGAGGGGAGAGAACAGGCGGCAGTTGATTTGCCCAAAGCTTTTGAGCAGGAGGGTGGAAAGGAGAGGCACCCTCTTGAGGGATGGAGCGTCGTTGGGGGGAGACAGAGGACTGGGACGCTGTGACTGGGACTTGAGGGGGCAGAAACAAAGGCAAGGTCTATTCGCAGGTTAGTAGGCAGCAACAGCGCTGCTTGAGTGTCGGCACTTACTGAACTATCAAAAATGGGCCCACCTCGTCGACCATCTTGCAAAACATTAGCAGTACTGATGTCTGAGCTTGCAAACTGTTCACTCCTTGCTCTTTTCGATCCCGAGATGGAACTGCGTCCGGCTTCGCTATCGCTGTAGCCGTTGTCTTCATGATAGCTGCCATTGGCACTGGAGCCCCGGCTGATAGTGGTATGAGAGCCTCCCTTTTGTTGCGACGCACTTCTGCGCCCTCTTCCCTGAGTGGGGGAAATGCTTCGCTTACAGGCCAGCCTGGAGGATGGACGAGAGGGCGAATGTGACTGTTCTCGCATATGAGGTGGTAACATTTGGAAGGGCTCACCAAGGCTAGGTCGACGTCGAGGCTCAGTGATATTGTCCAGGGGATAAGCACCATTCATATGGGCTGCAGGGGGCAAGTGGACACCAGCGACGATGCGCACGTAGACAGTTGAATTGGCCTTCAGATTATCGTATGAGGCAATGAGGGTGTTGCCCCATCCGTCTTCGAAGCTCACACCGTGATTGTCATAAATACCATAGAAGTTCTTGACAGTGGTAATTATAGACTCAATATTGTCGTGGGTGTTCAAAACCACCCTAAGGGGGATCCGAGCCCTAGTCTTTGAGCCCTCGTCGAGGAGAAGTTCAAAGGCAATGGACTTTGGAGGGGACATTTTGCTCGCCTTCTGCTCCTCATCAGAGAGCAGACTGGAGATTTGCATAGCAGAGTTCTTCGGCTGGATAAGGTATGTGTCCGTCTCCTTGGCCTTGGTGAGGCGGTGTTGATACCACCAGGGTCAGCACGGCGCCGATGACAATGAAAGGGTGGACAGGTGGAGAAGGGAAATATCGGTCCAAGGAGGATTCAGTACTGCGAAAAACATCATTAGCTTCACTATCAATCAAATCTATGGTGATGGCTGAGGTTGGCGTTGCAAAGCTTGGGGTTGTCCAGGGCGGACTGCTGGCCGAGGGAGGCAATCCGGGTGACGGGGAATGAGAGTTGATTTTTGGGAACAAGACAACTTACAGCAGGAATGAGTGCTCTATTGCGATCGCAACCGCTCAGAAGGAATTTCCAGAGGGTGTTGAATGGAAGGAAGACAGCGCAAATGGTATTGCAATGGCATCCGGGTCTACCGTTCAGGCATGATTCGAGGAAGATGGCACTGGAGTAGTGGCAATATCACCAGGGAAGAGAGGGTGGCCGGTTGGACCCAAGGGCCCTTCTGATACAAAGATGGATGGATCAAGCACCCGACCAGCCGACAGTGAAGTGAAAAAAGAACTGTGATCAGGTGTAGAATGAGTGTGAGAGAGGGAAGAGGTGCAGTAGGAATGAGTAGGTGAGGTGCAGGCGCTGAGAGACACACACAGCGATCCTGGCTTGGGTTGGGTTGCTGAAACCAGGCCCACTTGGAGGACGGCGGTCCACTGGCCACCACCTCTGAAATACCCGTACGGAAAGGCCTCGTACCACAAGAACGTGGCTTCGAACTGTGTCGAAGACTTGATCGTTCCGGGTGGCTGAGTTTGGCAACAGCAGCGGTTAGAGATTAGAGATTAGAGATTGGAGACTGGAGATGGAGATGGAGATGGCGAGGAATGAAGTCTACAAGAACTTGAAGTTGCAGAAGAAGAGTATCTACAGAACTGACTGCTACTCGTAAATTATCGCGATGACCGGGAGGTCTGCCAGAGAGAAGCAGGACTCGTGCGAGGTACTAGGCCCTGAAGGTTGGCAGTATACCTTGTGACGGAGTGGTTCGACCAGCCGGGGCCAATGGGTACCAGGTGACAACCCGAAGCGGTGTCATGCTGGCCATTTAGAGATGGGGAGCTTGATCGATTGGCATGCTCACGCTCACGGGGGTTGGGCCTGAGGGCTGAGGCGACTTCAAGCTTGCACCCGAATGGCGCAGGGAACTGGGTTAAAAGGTAAAAGAAAGTCCAAGATCCCACATTTAAAGTAAGAGCAAGTCAGCGGGCGTCAGTGGGAGAAGGGAAGTGGAGGGACCCAGAGGGAGGGAGAGTCTCGGGAAAGTGAGGACCAGGAGTCCAGGACACGAATTGAATTGAAATGGAAGTGAAATGCGAGGCAGACTAAGGCTAGGCCAGGCGATGCGCTGTGCTAAAAAGGATTGCCAACGAGTCAACGACTCACAATCTCAAGGAGACCGACCGGACATTTGCAAGTTGGCAGCGGCTTAGACAAAGAACAAGAGAAAAGCAAACCCGCAAGCCCGCACACCCGCAGACCCCTCACCAAGCACGGAGTAGGGAGCAGAGTCACAGACTCACAACGTACAATTTCCAACTTGCGGGATGTTGGGATCTGGCCGAACAGTGCGTTGTGAATGGAGAAGATTAGCAAGCCGTCAGCGCATCGAGAGTCAAGACACGCAGCGATACCCCCATCCGCTTCGGCCAATAATCCTCGGTGGTGCGTGTCTGCTGGCACACATTTCAATCACCACCAGCCAGGCCCATGCGCTCATCGGCCCGCCTTGAGAAAATGGGATTTGGATGCCCAGAAACACCAGGCCGGACTCCCCCTCCCGACTTGGTCAAGGAGGAGCTGCGCAATGACTTCTGCGACTGGGCATTAGTAGGATCACATCTTCACGGGAGGAACTCGGAATCTCCACAGAGAGACACCCTCACATTCTTGTTCGTTGCTTGCCATGTTACCAGCGAGTGCGACTGCGTGTTTTCCAGCAGCCCGTGAAAGGCAACCACAACCACAACCACAGCCACGGGAAGTTCGCGGAAAGCCGTACGAGGACCTTGCCTAATGGGTGCGTGGCGGCTGTCGCAGCCTCTGGAACCACTGCGATGCCACTTATCTCCCACCTCCGGCGAGCTCAGCTATGAGGTCCGTACAGACCAATACGACAACAGTTGTGCACGTGCAGTAATCTTGATACGAGATGGCTGCTATCGTTCCTATTCATGGCTTGACATCTCTGGAAGCCGCACAGATCATCCAAACCATCATTGCCATACCCAGCTCTCCTCTGAATGACTGGCTGGTTGCATCTCCACATTCCATCCCAGGCGGTGATACCATGGCGACCAAGTTTGACGGGACTAAACTATTTATCCATCCTCCATTCCCGGCCGTGATGTTCATAATTGACATGCATATCTGGATGTCTCTCTCTCTCGCGCGACATGGGTCCACCCCCGAAAAGGGCGCTGAAATTCGTAATCCAAAGCCCCCGTGCCGAATCGCAATCAAATAAACTTCCCCTGCCGTTTTGTGAATTGCCACACAACTTTCCTCGTATGCAGTAATCGCACCAACGCCGAGGCCGAGGCCACAATCTCGCATCTCGACAAATATTGACCATGTATCGCATCAATGGACCATGCACATGTTACGACCTTATGACCTTACGACATGACTTCAAACGTGGTATTGAATATAGATGACGGGCAAGTGTCTCAGCTCCATCGACCCAAATTACGGTCGACCTCAATGGCCACCCAATCGACTGGCCTCCAAATAACAGTCCGAGGAGACCGTAGCCAGGGGCTCTTTGCTAGCAGACCTCTTGGATAACAGACCATCTATGTTCGAAGCTTCACTATTGGAGCCAGCACCCAGCTATGACGCGGGAAGATTGAGTAAGCGCCCGCCGGTCTCCTTTCCAGCTGATGCCGGCCTCCGATGATGATTTGCCGACAACACTTATTTCTGATCGAGGAGACACCTTATAGCCTTACATGAGGAAGATTTGACCTGAGCTCACTACTCAACTCAGCTGCGCTATTCACGACGTTGAAACCACATGTTCCACATTCGCGCAGACAACGACTTTTCGCGATAAAGTTCTTCCATCACGTGAACGTAACGTGACTTCGCGATTCTCGTGCAACTTTCACGACGCGTCTACGTCATATCGCTGTTTTGGAGGTTGGCCACCCGGTCAGCGATATCTCTCTTCCAGATACTAAGCTATGAGTCCATATGATAACCCCATACCTACAGAGCGTTTTCCCAAAGAAGACAATTCTTGGTGTTGAGCTGACGCGAGCAAAACTTATTTCGCTCGGTTCTTGAGGATCGCGTTCAATGTTGACGTTGTAATAAAGCAGGGACAGCGGCTCTTGGCAAATGCTGGATGCGGAAACGCGTCCGAATTAGATTGATTTGGTCTGACCGCGTCTATGTGGAAAGGCTGAGCTCGCCAGAGTCATGGTGGACGCTTGTAGACCTATAAGATGGGAATGCAGGTACTCAGCAACTAACATCTGGTTATGTTGCCTCGGGGTGGGGCATGATACTGTAATTTGCCAGGCGCTCGAGGTTGACGATTCGAGAATTGGGACACGAAACTCAGAGGCACACCAATTGTCAGGCAGTCATGTCATTTTAATTCCCGATTCGGCTTGGCGGCAAGCGTAGCCGCGTCCGGGCTCATGCTGCCTCGTCCTGCTGTTTTTGTTTACATGGCCTCGTCCTTCAATGTTGTGGTTTCCCGTTACCATGGCCCACAATATGCCGTGAACACTACCACAGGCCTAGCTTTTGCATTGATACACATCCTGGCGCTGGCCTCCTTCCTTTCCTGCCTCCGCCTTTGTATTCTCTAAGCGAATGCTTCAGCTCCTCCCTGACTTCTACACAAAAGGGGCGCGACTCCTTTGACCTACCACGCCGTGGGCTAGGACTGCCAGATTCAAACTTGTGTCATTGAAAGACTTGCCGACTCAGCCTTGACAGGTCGATTCACCATGATGGAGATCAAGGTAAGCCAGCTCCTCTTTGTGAAAGCTTCACTTCGTTTTGGCTCCATCCTTCGGTCAACATCGTGCCTCAGAACATACCAGACCACATTATGCCTTCGAGACTGACATTCCACTTTTGATAGCCCTCACGCCCCATGCGTATCTCACGCGTCAAAAACGATGAGAATGTACCTCCTCATGGCACTCTTGCAAAAGCCTTTCACCAGCGCAATAAATCCAGCCCAGCCCTGACCTCTTTTCCTGGCGGTCATTCTCTCAAGACTGCGGCGAAACGTAACGTCTTTGCAGACGTAAGCAACACTGCCTCCGTCATCAGAGATGATTCTATTCTCCATACAAAGCCTGCCCTCCAGCCCACCGTGAAGCACGCTCCCACCTTGAACGAAAGAAGATCTGTCGCTCTCCTCAAACCTGCACAGAGACCCTTCTCCCTGACGGGTCTCAAGCCCGTAACAGCAGCCGGCAACGGCCATGCCGCTTCAGACTATGTCCCAAAGGCAGAACTTGGAGAGAATAATGCAACGCAACAACAGAACCAAAGAAAGGCCTTGAGCAAGCGGCCAACGATGATCTTCAAGGACAATCCTACGGCTGCAGTTCCAGATAATACTCTGAACACTCTCATCCCTGTCACGTCTTGCATACCATCGATCAATGCTCAGGTTGAGAATTTGGCCGGACCCAATCTTGATGATCTTCCTATCCTCCCACCGCCGTCTTCAATTACTCAACGTCCTGCTGAACCCACCAAGGCAGTACACGAAGCCAGATCCGACACCAGTCTCCCAGAAATCCACGGAGTCAGTTTAGAACCTGCGCCTCTGTACAGTGAAACACATGAAGCATGCATTCATGAGGTTGCACCAGTGATGGAACCATCAAAGCCCCAGGTCATATTACCACAAGTGGTAGATAGCGAACCACCCAAAACACATGCACCGCTGCACGATATCAGCGCGGTCGCTCCCAAGGCAGCTGAAACGAAACAAGTCTCCGTCGCAAGCCTAATCAATCCTGTGAACCATATCCCTGCTTTGAATCCTCATCATACTGAGTATGAACAGGCTATGGAGCCTGAAGAGTACTGGGATGATGATGACGACGAGAATTATGAAGAGGAAGGTTACGTGACTGCAAGATCATTTCGGTCCAAAGGTGACAACACCACCGGAGGTACTACCCTAGTCCTTTTCCCCCAGGTCAACAACCGCGTCCGCAAGGAAATATCTGCCGCCAAACAGCTGGTGGAGGCCACCAGGTCTCCTGAAGAGATTGAAGACGAAAGTTACGATACCAGCATGGTTGCCGAATACGGAGATGAGATCTTTGACTATATGAGACATCTTGAAGTGAAGATGCTTCCTAATGCCCACTACATGGACAACCAGCATGAGATCCAGTGGTCCATGCGCTCCGTTTTGATGGACTGGCTAGTTCAAGTTCACCATCGCTTCAACCTCCTACCCGAAACGTTATTTCTTTGTGTCAACTACATTGATCGCTTCCTGTCTTGCAAAGTCGTTTCTCTTGCAAAGTTGCAGCTTGTGGGAGCAACAGCTATCTTCATCGCTGCCAAGTATGAAGAGATCAACTGCCCGTCGGTGCAAGAGATTGTTTACATGGTTGATGGGGGCTATACAATCGATGAGATCCTCAAGGCAGAACGTTTTATGTTAACCATGCTGCAATTCGAGCTGGGCTGGCCGGGTCCAATGAGCTTCTTGCGGAGAATTAGCAAGGCAGACGATTACGACTTGGAGACACGGACTCTGGCAAAGTATTTTCTGGAAGTGACATTGATGGATGAGCGTTTTATTGGAAGCCCTCCGAGCTTCACCGCCGCGGCATCACATTGTCTCTCTCGCATGATGCTTCGCAAGGGCACATGGGTAAGTTAAAACAATCCTACTCCAAGTCCACGATCTAATGCTTCTAGTCTCCCCACCATGTCTACTATTCCGGGTACACCTTCTCTCAACTCAAGGCACTTCTAAATCTGCTTCTGGAGTGTTGCGAAGACCCTCGAAAGCACCATGCTGCCGTCTACAACAAGTATTGCGACAAACGCTACAAGAGAGCATCAGCATTCGTCGAGACAGAGATGCAGCGAGGCTTCCAACTGCCAGACCCGGTCGCAATCGCTGCTTTATCACAGCCACCTACCATTGAATACTATGATAGCGTTTCATTCTTCCGAGTCTGAAGAGCTAGAATTCAAGCCAGAATTCAAACAGAATCTCTTGCGGCTACATGCCGCACACAACTAGCCAACGGCTAGCACCGGTGATCAGTCTGCCATCTCGGCGCGACTTCCGAGCGCTCTACTTGCAGCCGCTACACAAACGGCACTCTGGATGCATCCTTTTCACCAATAGTCCGGTCTTTTCTCATCCAATCCTTAATAATAGAAGAACTCATTACTCGAGCGAACATTTACGAGGCCACACGAAGTCACGACAACCATAATTAGCAATTCTTCCACACTTCCGCCAACGTATTCTCGGAAATGGTATACTTCGGTCCCAAACGGTTATCGGCGTACGAGACGGCGCAACGGAGCATGCCACTACATACGAGATGTGACCTACTTGTGAGACGTCGTGGGTGTAGTAGGCTTGGGGCTGTTTGGGACCCTCGAGGTATTTGATCGCATAGAATTGGTCTCATCGAACACGAGCATTAAAATGGTGCTGAAGGACAGGTAACGCAAATGCAACGCTTGGAGAAAGCAGACATTGTGTCTGCTCCGACTTAATGATAAAACAAAAAGACTACTTTCTAAACCCAAACCCACTGTCTCTTAAATCTGTTGCCTCGGCGTATTTCTTGACCCTCAAGGCTGCCGTCAGTGGCTAGGCATTGATGGGCTGGTGAGACAAGAGGCTAAATGGGCCAGCCTTGTCCCGGCCCCGTGGTGGACCCGTTGCTGACGTTAATGGCAAGTAAGCCGACCGCATAATAAATTTCCTTCTCTTGATATTGGCCGATCCCTTGCCTTCGCTGATGACACAGAGATTCATGAACTCGAGATCTTTCGATCAGGTGCAGTGGTCTATAGTCAATACACGGTCGACGCCTTTACATGTTCACTCATGAAATTGATAACAAAGCTATTTTCCCCATTTACAAAGCCCCACCTGGCAAACTGTGAAGTATCACGCCTTCCTACTGTGGGTTCAACACTGGGTCATTTGCAATTCGCTATGCGCAAACACCGTTGACGAATTTTTGTGGAAACAAGGGGTGATTTCTGATGGCACCGAAGAAAGGTTCGGGTTCGGGCAAAAACACGCCGAAGAGACCGAATCCTACGGTTCCTGATAGTGACCACATCGTCTTTAGCAATCGTCAAGACGACAGGAAGAAGAAAGATCACAAGGACGCAGAGGCGCCGGCTCCACGCATCGACACCAAGAAAGTGATTGGCGGTGCGTCTTGGACCGGAAAAGTACCTGTTCAACTGCTCTCAGAGCACTGTCAACGTCAGAAATGGAACAAGCCTGAGTATCAGCAACGACAAATGCCCTCTCCCAACGAGGAAGGGCCCAGATACCGATCCTGGGTGATCCTTTCTAAGACTGACCCAAAGACGAGGGAAGCCACTAGGCTGCCCCCTTTCCAGCTCCCATCTCAAGATGCCCATCTCGCCGATCAACCAACCGCGCTAGAAGCAAGGCATTTCGCCGCTGCTTACGCTCTTTTCAGGATCTCCAGCATGAAGAACATATCGATGATACTCCCACCGAATTATCGGGACTTATGGAAGGGGGATTTCCAAAGATTGAAAGATGAGGATTTGAAGGAGGACCGAGCCTGGAAGTACGATGCTGACCCTTTCGTGGCTGAACTTAAACGGCAAGAGATTAAGGCCAGGATCGAGAAGAGAAAAGAGCAAGCAGCTGTGCAGGCCTCGAAGCCGGAGTCCATCAGCTTGGTGCATCATGGATCCTCCAAGCCATCCACAAAAGCCTGGGACTATGCTCCGAAACTCGAGTTGGGTGATGCTATTCGGACACGCATTGAGAGCATTATTAGATCGAAAAGTATATGGAATCCAAATGATTTGCAGATACCTGCTGCTGAGAGGGCATCTATTATCTCCGACCTTTCAAAATCAGGATTCAAGCACAGCCATATCGACGAGGCCGTTGAATACTGTGGCAACAGACAAGAAGTGTTGGAGTGGCTTCTCATTCATGTACCAGAAGACTCTCTGCCTGGCTGGAGTTTTCCAGCGGGATATAACGCAGGAGTAAGCCTTGTGACAAGTGACCTTTCCACTGAAGCTAAGATCAAGAGGATGATGCAAGCTGGCTATTCAAGCCAAATCTGCATTCAAGCTCTGAGGGACAATGATCGAGACGAAAATCTTGCGTTAGAAGCGCTTCAGTCCAGGCTCGTGCCCCCAATGACAGACGTGTTTCAGCATCTAGCCGGAGATGTTCGAGTTTGGTCCGAAGAAATGATGGCCTTGGAAGCAATACTCGGAGAGAAGTTCACTTCTCACAGTCCAAGCCACTGCGCGATCACATCTGACCCTTCTTCGGCATTGGCGGCGACATACCACTTTCGAGAACCCAAATCAGGCTATCCATTCTCTTCTGCCCCTGTCTTCTCGGTCGAGGCCCCAAGCATACCTTCTCACATTCGGCTCAGTATTCTCAAGCGAGGAGTGGAATATGCTCAAAGCCATCTACTCGGGGATCAAATGGTATTTGGTCTGCTGGAGTGGCTCGAGACATCAGTTCCCGGAATCGTGCAAAATCCGAATTCGCTGACCGAACTTGAGATCGTCTCTACAGACCTGAACTTGCAGTCTCAACCCACGACTGATGACCTGGCTGGGCATCATACTCGACAAATGAGAAGAGGAGAGAGACGTCAGCTAAAGGATCTACGATCAAGTGCTGCAATTTACGAGTCTTGGAAAATGCGACAGCAGAGTGGCGCTCATATTAAAATGAAAGCAATCAGACAGAGCTTACCCGCTTGGTCTAAGCAAGACAGGATTATAGAGGTGGTCTCCAAACACCAAGTAACCCTGATCACTGGTGAAACTGGCTCTGGAAAGAGCACACAAGCAATACAATTCATCCTCGACAGCGCGATTCAAGATTTGAAGGGGTCGTCAGTCAATCTGCTCTGCACCCAACCCCGACGAGTGGCGGCCCTGTCGCTTTCCGAAAGAGTCAGTGCCGAGAGGTGCGGTATCGAGGGTGATGAGGTTGGTTATAACATCCGTGGTGACTCGAAATTGTCTTCCACAACCAAGATCACGTTCATGACCACAGGTGTCCTCCTGCGTCGTTTACAGGGCGCAAAAGATGTCAAATCTGCGTTATCTGCGGTCAGCCACATATTTGTAGACGAGGTTCACGAGCGCTCACTAGACACGGACTTTTTGCTAGCCCTGTTGAAAGATGCTCTGTCAACATTGCCTAAACTCAAAGTCGTTCTGATGAGCGCCACTCTTGATGCCGATGTTTTTGCCGGTTATTTTGGTGGTGATAAAGTTGGCAGAGTCCACATTGAAGGGCGCACATTTCCAGTCCAGGATCTTTACCTCGACGATATCGTCCTCCTTATGAATGGTGCTAAATCAACTATGCCAGATGGTCCTCCGGATGAATCAGAGCTTCATGTTGGGAAAGCAATCCGGGACCTGGGTGCCGGAGTCAATTACCAGCTGGTCGCCTCGCTTGTCAGAAAGATTGATGCGGAACTGGGAACTCTTGACGGTGGGATCCTCATTTTCCTTCCTGGTGTCTTAGAGATTGAACGATGTCTGAGAGCGTTGGGTGACATATCTTGTGTGCATGGCCTCCCTCTTCATGCATCCTTGACGCCTGCCGAGCAGCGGCTGGTGTTCAGAAAGCCCCCGGCGGGCAAGCGAAAGGTTGTTGTGGCGACCAATGTTGCAGAAACGTCAATCACCATCGAGGACATAGTAGCTGTCATCGATACAGGGAAAGTTAAAGAAACCACCTATGATCCTGCTTCCAATATGGTTCGTTTACAAGAAGTGTGGGCATCGCAAGCTGCTTGTAAACAACGAAGGGGTCGCGCCGGGAGAGTTCGAGCAGGAACCTGTTACAAGCTTTTCACCAAAAATATAGAGGCAAAGATGGCCCCAGCGCCAGCGCCCGAAATGCACAGAACGCCATTGGAGCAGCTGTGTCTCTCTGTGAAAGCCACTGGGGTGGATCGAAATGTGGCCGATTTCCTTTCCAGGACAATATCACCTCCGGATAGCCGTGCTGTTGCCACCGCGATGGTGACACTTCAACGTATTGGCGCGTTGGAGAATGATCGCCTAACTGGACTTGGAACGTATCTCTCGACGATTCCTGCGGACCTTCGATGCGGAAAATTGCTCGTCTACGGGGTTCTTTTTGACTGTGTCGAGACCTGCTTGACCATTGCGGCTACTTTGACTACCAGGAGTCCGTTTGTATCACCACGAGACAAACGCGAAGAAGCGAAAGAAGCGCGAACATCATTCCCCACCTCTGACGGTGACTTAATTCTCGACTGCCACGCATTCAGTCAGTGGAAAGAGCGATCCTCGGGAATGAGGTACAGAGAGCTTCAGGAGTGGTGTTCATCCAGGTTCCTCAACCAACAGATACTTCGAGATATAGATTCGACCAGACGACAGCTCCTTGATTCTCTGATTGAATCTGGCCTCCTTCCGGTGGAGTACTCCTCAACTGTGGCTATGCACAATAAAAATAGTGGTAATTCGATGCTGTTGAGAGCTGTGATTTCAGGTGCATTGAACCCACAGATTTCAAGGATTCAACTGCCAGACAAGAAATACATTGCCTCAATGTCTGGTGCCAAAGAACTTGACCCCGACGCGAAGACTATCAAGTACTTCAACCAGGAGAATGGAAGGGTGTTTGTACACCCCAGTAGCATCCTCTTCGACGCACATAGCTTCTCCGGTGCGGCGGCGTTTGTTGCCTACTTTGCTAAGATGGAGACCTCCAAGACATTCATTCGTGACCTCACACCCCTGAACGCATATGGCCTCTTGCTTTTCGGTGGGCCTATCGAAGTCGAAACTTCTGGTGCCGGGCTCGTCGTCGATGGGTGGCTGAAGCTACGCGGCTGGGCTAGAATTGGTGTGCTGGCATCGAGACTTCGTGTCCTGGTGGATGACGAATTGAAACGACGAATAGATTCTTCGAGCTTGCAGGTCCAGGATGGATCACTCTTTGATATCGTGCGGCACCTGGTGGAACTCAACGGCCAGGACAAGTAGACAGAGAGACCCGTTTCCACACCGCTAATCGGAGCTCAACCTTGGCCTTGAGGAAGGTCATCTCTATTCTGGGCATTGAGGACAGTCGGTATCGCCCGGCGCGGGGGATTTTTGAGTGGACAGGGCACATGGAAACATTGTGGAGATGGCCACGATGATGAGCAGTTTGATATGACAGGGGTAGAACCCCATGCTCCTGAGCCTACCCAGCAACAAGTCCAGGACTTGAAATAACTGAGCGCACTTACATTGTGACAGCCTGTCTGTCCCGAGATCCATAGATGACTGTTTCAAGAGAAAGTTGAGAGAATGCCTTGAGCTAGCTCAACTCAACCCCGGCTCAATTCTCCCGAATCCTGGGGCAACAATTTACTTCCTCGTTCGCCTGGTCACCATGCCCTTCTAATGCTATGCATCCTCCAACGAGAGTTGTTTTCTGTAGCCATGAAGATTGTTCGTACAATCCCGTCTAGATAATGCCCCTCGTGTGTCTCTTCCGCCCGGAACCGTCCGAGTTCTTCCCCACAACATGGCTTCGCGAGTGGAGAGACTGGGGCCTCGGGCTGTGGAGGGGCAGTGCGGTTATGTGCGGCACGTGGTTTTGCTAGTTTCCAAGAAGGCAAACTCTCCAGTCTCAACACTTACACTTCGAGCGCGATATCGTAAGAGGTTAAACATCCAGTTTAGGAAGAGCCTTGCGCCCTTTGACATGCCCGGACACAGGTAAATATATCAATTATGGCTTTTCCGTCTCCATCGTTCACTCCGCCGACGCCAGTCCGCAAGCGACGGGCTGCAGCGTGCGAGAGATGCAATAAGCGAAGAGTTCGATGCGATGCCTCCATCAATGGCCTACCTTGCTCTGAATGCCGGCGATCAAACACCCGAGATTGTAGACTGGTTCAGTCAAAGCGCACGAGGTAAATGGGGCTGAAATAGGTCGTCCGAGTCGCGATTTACTGATCTTTGCAATCAGAGGTCCTGACGGACGTTACGTTCTGCCCGAACAAATTGACGCACAATCTTCCACAAGCCCAAGTACAACAGATGGCGATGGATTGAGGTCTAAGCCCGAAAACGCTCCAGAGCCCACGAAAAGCGCCCAAGAGGCCGATGTTCCAATTGATCTTGCGAAATTGGTAGGAGCCGACCAAGATCAAGACAGCATCTCGGGAGAAGAATCGGTAGGCAAGACAGCAAATAGCCATGACAACTCCGACGACACTGCTGTCAGGCCACGCAGCGAATCAAAGGCCAATTTCGTCGGTGAAAGCTGGTATGCATCATATGTGCTGAGTGCTTCTGGCACTGGCCACGCAGAGCTCCATCGCCCGATAGAAAGGCGCCAAAAAACTCTCTCCGATACTTCTCTTGGACATGTTCAGGTTGACGGTAAGCTGCCAAAGCCTACAAGTGCGTCTCCCGCGGACTTGCCACCACAACACCTAATGGAGCGCTTGCTCGAAGCATATTTTAAGCGATTTCATTGCTTGGTTCCCATCCTCGAAAGGGCCGAGTTTTTGACGTCGGTTCGCGATGGAACTGTTTCAATCACTTTGTTGCGCAGCGTCCTCTTCGTCGCGTCAATACACTGCGACCCAGAGGTCTACCACCTGATGGGATATAGCACCCGCGTGGATGCAGGTGACGATCTCTGGGCCAAAGCATGTGCATCCTTTGACGCGGACCGAGACTCTGACCGAACAACACTAATATTGGCGTCTTTCTTGAATCACTATTTCTTCGGGCGACCATCGGAGTATCGGGACTCTTTATGGTGGCTAGGCAATGCGATTCGCAGTGCACAATGTATGGGATACCACCGAAGCACCAAACACAGTAAGATGCTGCCACGACATAAAGCACAGTGGAAACGAGTTTGGTGGTGTCTCTATGTATGTCTATCCCTCTGTTGGCCATCCAGCCAGCTGACCAGCCAGATGCGAGATCGACAAGTCTGTGTCGCAACAGGCTCACCGATGGTCATAAATGACCTCGATTTCGACGTCGAAGAACCAACATTAGAGGACTTTCCCGAAGAAACGAAAGAAATCGCAACTTACATTATAGCACAATCTCAATTAAATCAGATATGTAATCTCACTATCCAGCCCTATGCCGCCGTTTCTCACTGATAGACCACTAGATTCGGCTTTGTACTTCAACCATTGCTCTCCGCGACGGCTGCCTCTAAGCCATGATCCTGTAGTCCGACATGCCGCAAGACGAGAAATACAAACCACTTTGGAGGAGTGGTATGCCACTGCCCCGATAATGACCACTCGCGGCAAAAAGTCCCACTTGACTTTGACTTTGCAAGTGTGCTATTTGTAAGTTCTCACTGTCCGGACGAATCATTGAGCTAATGGCATGATTGAGCTTTTATATCACGACCCTGCAGCAAAGATTGCAGAGACTATGCCCCAAGCCCTTTGCCGACTCCGAGGGGTCTAAGCTTATCCTAGAAGCTGCGAATCAAGTATCTATTCTCGTCGAAGAGTCACTCTTATACTACACACCACAGCATTTTCCCATGACATAGTCAGTATACCCGTCCTCTGGCACTTCCTTGGGGGCGCGTGGCTGACCTGGCTCGATAAAAGCGTAACGGTAATATTTACAGCAATGACGGCTCACGTCGCAGAATGTGGTATATCGAGTGCCAACCGTGATGTCCTCTCCCAAAAGCTTCGGCCCAACCTCCTAGCCCTGAAGCAATTCGAGACAACTTACATTCTGGCTCGATGGATTCGAAACCTGTTCATGGACATTATCAACAAGCCGGTCCGTCAAGTACTCGACCAGAGGAGCAATCATCAGCGTGAACGAAGTCAAAATGGTGATGGCCACGGCCGTCTCGAGCAAGACCCCTCCTCGATGACTCCTGAGACATTTCTCCGGTCTCACCACCAATCGACTGCGACCTCAGGGCCGACGGCGGGGTCGACCCAGCATCCCTATTCAACAGGTGAAGGCCCTCCAAATACTTCAGCCCCGGATGAGGGGGCATTCCTCTATGATTCGAACTCGTACGGCGACTCTACCTCTCCGTCCGTGATCATGGGCAATTTCGTCCCGAATTTCATCACCAACGAGTTCCTCCCCGGGCAACATGGCAACAACAGCGATATGTCGGGAATGAACATGATTGACTTCCCCAGTCCGAGCACCCTGGAGTATCAAAGTTTACACTTCCTCGCCGACATAGGTCTCTCTGGGTTCAATGTTTACCAATGAGCTCTGCCGCTTAGTCGGCGCGTTTTCGGCGCGCCTGAGCGATGGAATCACGTCTTACACCCAACCACGGAAGCCAACCTTAGCAACCGGAGATGCTTGGAAGTTATGTCAAGATCCGCTTGAGGATAACAGCGGGATGCGCCTGCAAGTACAATAGACTGGTGCAAAGGGGCGTAATACGACTCCGACCAATACGACTGCACGCGTCATGATAGAGGGATCAACCTTTTGGGCCAACCGATCAAGGAGGCCCAGCACAAACACGACCGCGTTCCACCACGAACTATTGGATTGGAGACAATCAAGATACACATGAGCTGCGATTGATCAAGATTCCATCCGTTAATGGTATTTCGAGCACATGTCTCGTGCAGGCTTGGCAACTGGCATCGTCCACCCGTTCAGGGAGTCGCATCCATCCCAGGGCTTCCGGCTCCTAAACCCTTCTTCACTGCCCATCGCAGTGTAAGCAAGATTCGACAGGAAAGGGTTGCGGTGATGTCTACTTCAATCAACAAAGCTGTCCAGAACAGACTAAGTAGCTGAATCGTGAATGGCATTCGAAGGCCAGCGTTTCCAGCGACTCTTGTGCCTACGTATTGTCCGAATATCCGAGAAGCACCGCATTCCAAACAGCTGGCCATCGTAGAGAAGACCCGTCTGTGCTATGTTTGTCTCTTAGAGTAGATTTAGGAGGAATAGCGCCTAAGTGGTGTGTGCGGTCCGTTGGGCCTTCTTCGAACTTCGGGTGGGGCATTTATATCTGCAGCTTCGCAACTGGTCGGCTGCAATACATCCATCAGACAGGTTGATTGAGCTGGCTGTGGAAGGCTGGGGACGAGGGGCGTATATGAAGTAGCTACCATGTAGTAAAGCTATGGATACAAAAGAACCTCGCACACACATTCGGCGCCCGTAAGTACCTAGTGCTCTGATAGGGCCGTCAAATTTGTCCGTCCGGAAAGGCTTGCTATCAACATCAACTAGTCAATGCTAATTGCTTTCAGGACGGACGGGACGGCCTGGACAAAGGCCAGGGTAATTAACACCCGATTTGTCCGTCGGTTACGGCTGATGGTCGGGTGTGGTTGCTGGGGTTGACCTCTGGGGTATGGATGCCAGTATTGATTATGGTTGGTTGGTTGGTTGGTCAGAGGTGGCTATGGACGCGGTGGACAGTATCTAATCTCGCACCCTCAGACATTCTGCTTCCCGTTCCATCTCCTTAGAGCATCAGGCAGGCTGTCGGCTGTTGATTTGCCTGGTGGTGGACCTCCAATTCTTGGATCGCCTGGATACGTTGCACGCTCTACCCCGTCCCTGTTCCAAGTTACTGCAGGGCTAGGACATACCAGTACTTCTACGTGCACTGGCGGGCGCCTCACGAGCGCTGTTTCAGTCCCCCATAGCCGGCAATCAAACCGTATCATGGAATTCGAGAGTTCACTGTTTCGTCATGAATATTTGGGATTCTTGTCTCACGGTGTACACAGGAGATGCTTTTGAGCCGACAGTCATCCTGAGCAGATCTGCCCAGTTGCGCACTACCTTGTAAGCAAGCCAGGGCTTCCGCGCTCATTCATCTAATGCACTATGTAGTTGGTGAGTTCACGCCACGTGGATTTCTCGGCAAAGACGGCGGTGGACTAGGGAGTGGATCCCGATATGTCCAAAAAACTTCATATTCATTTATCGATTGTGAGAACTTGGAAAGCCCGCCCAGGTTGTCTCATGAAAAGTTTCTGGTTCAAGGAAGACAACGTCTCCTGAGACCACAGAACCCCTTTGGAATCTTCAGATGGTATATCTGAATCCCTCAAGCCCCTCAATCATTCTCTTGCCCTCGTCTGCCTGCTTGTTCGCTCGTCTGAGCGCCAGCATCATGATTGATGCGATAATAACTGTCGACACACAAATTGCCATGACTGCGATAATGCCAGGGAGGTAATTTGGAGCGTCTTGCTGGCGGAAGACCAATGACGAGTAAATGCCTCCAATACCTGGGTAGTTGTCAGTGAGATCTGTTTCATTGCTGGGAGAACGGGTTTCGGCATACCGGAAACAGAGATCAAGATCGCTGTAGCGACGGCTCTTCTCGCATCCCCTCGAATATTGTTCGCTTGCCACGCTAGGACTGAAACTACAAGCCCGTTGACGCCTAACGGTCTGGTTAGCCTTTGCACATGATTTCTGCCGTGTTCAGGTTTGAATACGTACCAGCTTCACCCAGAAAAGTGCCAACGTATCGAGGAGTTGGTGCATCAAGGAAACCTGTCATGCACAGCCCAACGATCCCAACAATCCCTTGGAAAACGACAAAAGGGCCCCGCATTTTCGTCTTATCGGCAAGCCATGAGATAAAGAAAGCCTCGATCACCGAGAACAAGGCAGGAGGTGCTGACAGGACGAAGGACATCGAAAGCGAATACCCTAGACCACTTCGGAGAATAATTGGAAGGAAGAACAAGAATGCATAGACACCAACGGCACCGCTCATGTACATGAGAGAGAACGCCCAGACTTTCCAATCGGCTGCTGTTCTGAAAAGAATCGACCACGTAACCTTCTGTCGCTCTTCAGTGCCTCGATCGGCGGCTAGTCTCGACTTGACAAACTCCTTTTCCTTCGGCGAGAGAAACTTGTTCCGATTGGAGTCAGGGAAGTCGACAATGACGAACCATGCGGCAATCGCAGCAACGCAGGTGATGGCACCCTCGATGATGAAGATCCATCTCCATCCCTTATACTCGGTCGTCTGGGCAATCTGGATCAAACCGTATGCAAAGATATTGGCGAAGGCCGATAGCGCCGACGCTGTGAGAAAGAAGCCTGCTAGTCGCTTCTGCACCTCATATCGTCGATACCACGAACTGACCAGGTAGACGCAGCCTGGGAAAAACCCAGCCTCCAAGACACCAAGAATTGCTCGACAGATAGCAAGTCCAATCCAATTGTTGAGAAATCCGATGCCCAAGGAGACCAACCCCCAAGCAAACGCGATGAACGCCAACCAGTTTGCCGCGCCAATTTTGTGGATGACAATGTTCGAGGGTATCTCGAAGATGATGTAGCCGATGAAGAAGACGAGGAGTACTATCGATGCACGGTTTCCCTGCTTGAGGCCAACGTCCTCATCGAGACCTGAGATTCTGGCAACGGAGATATTGCTTCGATCCACCAATGCAATGGTATAGAGAGCGCCGAGAATCGGGAGGAGACGAAGGTCGATCTTCTTCAAGACTCGTTTTTCGAATTTGGTATCGTGGGCGTCTTCCACTGCCGGTGCTATTTCCACTTGGTCAAGCTTCTCATCCTTGGTAGACGACATGCTGTCCCTATGGGCCCCGTCAACGCGCTTCTCCGACAGATGATAAGACGAGGCTTGAAAGGGGCTTTTTATGTCAGCACCATTGAGGAGAAGGGGGATGAGAGAAGGAGAGTTGGAGACACTCGCCATGTGGGAGCCAGGATTATATGTCCATTTATCAGTTGTGCACGACCAAAAACGAGAAGCTGGACAAACTGGGGTTACCCATGGGGTGATCGGTGATCGGTGATCGGTGACGGTGAGATGGATACAATACCCCACGATAAGGTGGTAATGATAGTTAGTGCATACACCAAAGCCTACCAAAGCCCATGATGGAACCTGTATACCCATATTAGGATCTTGGACTATAGAATTGTTGTGGGTCGTACTCCATACAAGACTCTCGGGATCGGGTTTGGTATCTCCAAACCATACCCGGACCCAATCCCTCTCCAAGCGAGCTTGTCGGGAATGGAGGACGATCTCCCTAAACTTACTTTTCACGCGTTAGATACCAAGAGTCGCCTCATCCGAGCCGCTTTTACCAGCCCAAAAAGTCCTGGCAAGTAGTCGACCAGTTTGATGACAATCTGAAGCTCTTGGTGTGCAGCCTCGTCATTCCGAGTGGGAAAGCGGAATGATTCCTGCCGCTCGGCGGCTATGGACTTCGAACTGACAGCTAACTAAAATCCAACTCTGGGCAAAATAATAGTTTGGATGTCAGTGGTGTTACTGTGTCGAGTTTGGAGTGCCAGTCTCAACTGGATTTCTAATATTGAGTGAGAATGAAGGAAAACCTCCCATTTTCGCTTGTTCGGCGCTGTTTCCAGCGTCCGCCACGGCCTCAAACGTGCAAACCGCAATAGATCCGTCACGCATCAGGGAGGGCTCAATCTCAAAGACACATCTGTGCAAACACTCTCAAAAGTACTCTTTCAGGTAATATCAAGGGACATGCCAGCCAAATCGTCAGTAGGAGGCTGACATCTTCGCAGGAACCTCCCTGCTAGGTGTAGCGGGAGCAGGACTTGGAGCCGGGGCGGGCGCCGGGGCCGTTGGGTATTTCTTCTCGTCCACCCTCCCAATTTCGAATGTTCCAAAATCCAATCGTGATCCTTCTTCATCGAACAATTTTCATGCCTCGAATTTATGGCGAAAGGATTCCCACGACGCAGTTTTGCCTTCCTGCTCTTGTTGGAAGAGGGTGTCCGATGGTTCAGTAAAGCAGGTGTGACCATTATATGGTCGTTTTGTCAGTTCCCATGAGAACTATTCGACATTAGAGGGAACACAGCTTTGTATGCAACGTGGAGGTGGGGTTGAGGAGGCTGTTATCACTCTGGCTGTTTCAGTGCTGCCTTCCTAAGTCAGTGTCGTGAGTAGGAGAAGGCTGGCTTCCTCTCCGAAAGGCCATGGTGTCGTTCTGACACAAGCACCTTGGAAGTACAGTAGACGAGTCTTAACAGGCTGATCTGTAGTTGTTCCAAGGCAACGTCTTCTTCGCCCCCACGTACCTCATTGGGGGCAACCTCACATAAAATATCGTCCCCACGGGCTTCTCCCACTCTGCCTTGGGGGAGGGGCCCTGCTTCAACGTGGCATCAACCCCGCGTGGAGCAGACCCTCGCCGTGGTGGCCAGCTCGCTCTACGGAGTATGTTCGATCACTTCGTTTATTCTTGAGACGGGTCGAGATCCAACTCAACTCCGGCGACATCGGCGGCAGAACGGAGTAAACCGACCGATGGTCTCGACTTTTCATTTGGGCGGAGCCATCACGTCGGTATTGAAGCCCGATGGGCCGAGGATGTTGCACCAGAACAAACCCATTCCCACCAAGAGTGTAAGCGAAATATGTTTGATCTAGCTTTCGAAATGCATTTCCCAACGTCAGAGATTCAATGAAGCTCGCACTTTGCGACCAACCAAGCCGATCTCACAACCGTTGGTCACGTGCCGGGGCCCCGGGATTGCCAGAAACAGACAATCCGGCCAACAGACTATGAATTGCCAGTAGAGGGAACATCTGCGGTTGTGCAGCAAAACCCCAAATTCGGACTTCTCGACCGAAGTGCATCGAGAAGGCGCAAGAGAGACGAACCTATTCGTATCTCAGCTCATCACGCTTGAATCCAATGGGTTAATGGCCGAAAAGAATGGAACCCTCCAAGCACACGCCACGGATAAAATGAGTGTGGGGCTTGGGCAATAATGAGTTAATGACTGCACAGTTTGGCTTCCCATGTTCAGCATTCCCCGCATTTCACACGGTACTTGAATATGATTTTGCCCTCCCCTTCGCCCAGGTGATGGCCTGACTGTTTTCCTCCTCTCGCTTGTGTCCCTTTCGATTTGTATACCTTCAGTGTCCTCCTAGGACCCAAACAGGACCGAGCACGCTTTCAAGATGCAGACGAAACACTTCATCACCGACCCAGTCCACCTCGTGAGCACCGCCCTCAATTCCTTGACCATCACCAATCCTTCCCTGGCTTTCGATGCCCAGAACAAGATCGTGTATCGCCGGCCTTCCAAAGAAGTGACAGAGAACCCAAAGGTCTCTATTATTTCTGGTGGTGGCTCTGGCCATGAGCCCGGATTCGCAGGCTTCGTGGGCAAGGGCCTACTCACTGCCGGTGTTGCCGGTAGTATTTTCGCCTCGCCTTCTGCCGAACAGGTGCGACGAGCCATTCTGACACGAGTTCCCACCGAGAAGGGTGTCCTCGTCATCACTATGAACTACACTGGCGATGTCCTGAACTTTGGCATGGCCGCCGAGAAGGCGAAAGCTACAGGTATTGACACCGAGTTCTTCACCATTGGCGATGACGTAGGCGTGGGGCGGGAGAAGGGTGGGAAGGTTGGAAGAAGAGGTATTGGAGGTGGCATATTAGTGCTGAAGTCCATCGGCGCTTTGGCAGAAGCAGGTGGAAGTCTTCAAGAAGTATACAACCTTGCCAAACAAGTCGCAGGCAATATTGTGTCTGTTGGAGCTTCCCTAGAGCATGTCCACGTTCCCGGACGCGCCATACCCGATGCCAATTCTGACGAAAACATCCCAAGCGAAGAGATCGAGGTCGGGATGGGGATCCACAACGAACCTGGTAGCCATCGCGTCACTGCAACCCTGCCTGAACTCATTAAGATCATCCTTGGGCAAATGCTCGATCCCAACGATAAAGACAGGTATTTCGTCGACATCAAGAAGGGAGACAAATGTGTGCTGTTCATCAATAACCTCGGTGGCGTGTCATGTCTCGAAATCGCAGGTATTCTGAATGAGATTCACAAGCAGCTCAAGGAGGACTGGGACATTATACCTGTCCGTGTCATCTCAGGATCATTCCTTACATCACTGAATGGTATGGGTTTCTCCGCGTCTTTGCTTAGGCTCCAAGACACCGGACTCGGCAGTGGTAAGTCCATGCTTGACCTGCTAGACGCGCCCTCCGAGGCTGTTGGCTGGTCAGCTGCCATTTCGGCAGCGACCTGGGAGGCAGACAATACCGCTACTGCAGACAGTCATGCTGCAGCGTCGGGAGAAGCCAAAGCCAGCAATCTTACTCTCGACCCAAAGAAGGCACAAAGTGCGCTCGATGCCGGCTTCGAAAAGGTCATTGCTGCTGAGCCGGATGTCACTAAATATGACACCATTGTTGGAGACGGGGATTGCGGTATTGGGCTCAAGAGAGGAGCTGAAGCGGTCCGGAAGGAATTGGCGTCTGGAGACCAACCTACCGACGCAGTTGAGTTTGTCAACAAGATCGTTGACGTGGTTGAGAACACCATGGACGGCACATCTGGAGCCATTTACGCCATTTTCCTCAACGCGCTTGCCCACGGGCTGCGGGAGCAAGATACCGGGTCCTCGAAGGAAGTTGACGCCAAAGTTTGGGCTGCGGCACTGTCGTCCAGTTTGAAGGCCCTCGGCAAATATACGCCTGCCGCACCTGGCGACAGGACGTTAATGGATGCCCTGGTTCCCTTCGTCGAGACCCTAGGCAGCACTGGGGACGTTAAGAAAGCCGCCGATGCCGCCAGAGAAGGCGCAGAAAAGACAAAGCACCTCAAGGCCAGTCTGGGAAGATCGGTCTATGTCGGAGCGGAGCAGGAGTGGATTGGCAAAGTCCCAGATCCTGGCGCGTGGGGTTTGCAGGAGTTCCTGGTCGGACTGGCTTCAGGTGTGTAGAGTCGGATATAAGGATTGTGTAGAGTGGTTAGTAGGAAAGAAGAGAGATATACTCTGAAAGATCCGAATGTAGGCACCAGCCGTCATCAAATGGGGTATTTTCAACAAAAATTCGAATATTTTCATTGATCCTGGGTATCAGATTTGTGTGCCTTCTTCCTGCCTAATGAGCTCCATTTTTTAACCCTGAAGGCTGCGTGCGCCCGGACCTTTTTTGGTGTGATGCTGGTACGCCTCCTGCCTGACTTCTGCCTAGCCTGCGCTCGCACATTGAGATTTCTCGCCACGGATTCGAAGTCTTTGCTTCCTCCGTCGTTGAGGGCTCGCTATGACAAGGGCTTCCTTCCCATTGCGATCACGATATTCCATACCTGAATTTCATCATCTCCATCAACGGTGACAAAGATCAACTCAACAAGACCAGGATAACACTGTCACCCCGGAGGAACATCTTGCTGATGAATCTATCCTTGTTGACGCCCTTTGCATTGCCTTTGCCTTTCTCGGTCCACATTTCCTTGACATTCTCTAGCACCATGTTGCAGTGGCGGTCAAAGGCTTTTACTCTCGCTAGTAGCTTACGATTGTTCCGACATGAAATCAAGACTTGTGTGTGTGTGCGTGTGGCGGTCATAAGGATGGAGAGGGGCCCTGTCGATAGTTCATGCGCTTCGAGGAGTGAGACTTCATATTCGCTGCGGTGGGAAGCGTGTTAGTATTTTGTGATGGAATGTGTAAACAGTGATCGGGAGTGCTAAAAGAATGATGACTATTGATGCGCGCGCAATAGCGTTGCTGCATTAACCGTGACCACGAGGTTGGGTCGGTGAGAGGAATCCAAGGCGGAGCGGAAAGTGTGGATCGGGAATGGGGTGTATGGGTGGCGGCGGGGGACGGGGCAGGGTAGGAACATCAAAATATTGCAACCCCGAGGGGAGGGGGGTAATAACATACGTCAATTCGTTCCTCGGCTTGTTGAGTAGCTCCCTGTTACAGAGCCAAGTCAGCAGATTGTATCTCGTGTTTAGCGCGACCAGTAAAGCAGGAATGGAACGGAGATAAGCTTGACCAGGGGAGTGAGTCATAGCGCCGGGGTAGGGAGACGGGAGGGACACGTACTGGATCTTGGAGGCGTCTGCCATGTTTGCGAAAAGATACTTAAGTCGAGCAGGTTCCCAGAAGGGTTTGGAATTGTGAGAGAGGGATGACTGAATCTTTTCGATACCATGCGGCCAGAAGTCTGATGCGTTCGCCAAGCAAATATCCTCGGCAAACTTTCCTCGTCTCATTCGGTATCTGGGACGCCACGCAGACAGGGACTCGAACACAAGTTACAGTAATTATTCCGAGGTAACGGCTGGACACCGCCCGCCTAAAGCTTCCAGCCTCTTGGTCGCACCTGCGCCCTGGGCCAGCACCGAGCCCTTGCATCATCGCCGGACGATCCCCACTCATTGGCCATTGCAGGCGCGACCGAACGACCAAACCCACGCACCTACCGCCAACGCGCATTGGGAGGCTAATCGCCAACTGCAACGCGTTTCTCCAACTAGCTGGCCATTGTCCTTTGCTACCGTACCTTGTTCCTCCCACTCATTCTATTCTTTCTCTCAGCTCATCGGCTCTCACTTCTTCTGTCTCTGTGTAGCCCGTTCAACAAAAACCCTCGTGCTTTTTTGTTTGCAGGTGCATGAAAGGAGAATTCAAAAAGGCATTGCTCTGGAGTTTTCCTGCCTCAATCCAACCACCAACCTCGCCAAAGCACGCCGTCTGAGCAGCTCGTCCTCGAGACACGATTCGAATTCACCACTCTCCCTTCCCTCCACCCTCTTCGAGCCTTCACAGGTCCACACTAGTTATGAAATATTCCTTATGACCATCTAACAACTCGAGCTGTCAGACTTCTATTGTCTGAGCAATTCGCGTCTCAAAACACCGCTACCATGGCTACTTCTCCTGACGGAAGCGTCTTGATTCGAACAGTCCGGTTGAAGGTTCTTTACACATTTGATATTGAACAGAAAGATAATCATCTTGCTCGGTACCCACACCCACTAGAAGTTCAGACTGCCTTTATCGATGAAACCAGCCAGATCGGCGTCATTGATCTTCGAACATGCTTAGAAGCCGTCACAACCGCGAGCCCAGAGCTCACCACCCATCCTGATAACGATTACACCGTTTACGCATACGATTACTCCGAACCAGATACTCCCCTCGTTGGACAAGGCATGCTGTCGAAGGCACTCATCAGCCAGACCCAAGGTCAAGGAGGCGACAATGATACCATGGTGACCGGGAGAGTTACAAAAAACCTCCTGGGCCTCTTTTCGAAGAATGCTCAAGAGACACTTGAGGTAAAGCTTAGGTTCACGCCTGTGAATGCCTTTCCTCAACGATATCGGTCTGGGAGTATAAGTTCTCAGGATGGCGGTCGACCTCAGTGGCAGAACGGTATGGCTACCCAAACCCTGCCAAGGTCAGCTTCTCCTGTTGATACATCCGGCTTGGAGGCTATGCAGCGGATGCTCAGTGGAGACAACATGCAAATGGGAAATCCTGGTTCAGGTAGTAGGCCCGTTACGCCGACGGCCGCCCAGAACTTCAACGCACCACCCAGAGTACCCGGGAACGCCAACTCAAGACCAGCTTCAAGGTCCGGTATGCGGCAAACATCGCAGGCACGACGTGAGTCCTTCAATTCTGGCTATTACAGCGGGGACGAAAACGCCGATGACGGTCCGGCGAGAAAACGAGCAAAGACGTCGAAAGTGGATTGGCCGTCCAAGACCAACTTCAACATCGAGAGACAGCCTGACTCGCTCCGAGTAGCTGCAAGTACTGCCTCTAGTGTCCGACTCCACCGACCCATCGCCATCAATCCTGCCACTGTAGCTGCTATGCAACAAGGACAGCCCACAGAAGAGCCTGTCAGACCTCCAACTCCAGTTCCCGCTGCAAAATCAGGAAGACCTCGAGGTCGGCCCCGGAAGAATGCGCCCAGCAACCTCAACCATGGTTCGCAAATTAGGGACTCGTCGCCAATGGTTGAAATTAACCAACAACCTCAACTTCTCAATGTTGCTGTTACCTCCCCAGAAGATGCTCGTCTGAGAAGCGTGGATAGTACCCCCGCCAATATCCCGTCTTCACCACCTGTCATGCCTGATCCTCAACAACCGGCTGTTACCAGCCCAGCCCTTCCCCCGATGATGAACTCCAACCATGACTCTGGCTTTATGAGTGGCACGCTGGACGATATCTTTGGTGACGATGCAATGCTACAGTTCGACGATTTTGTTTTAGGCAAGCCCCACGAGATGAATGGACAACCTCAACTGCATCAGCTCAGGGACTCCTATCCACCAGTATTTGATGAAGGTAACGACACGCTGGATGCACTGACGCAGCAACCAAAACCACAAATGGAGCCTCCACCACTTCCCCTAAATCAACGACCGTTGGCGAGGGCGCAATCATACACCCCTGGGTTACCGAATTCTGTTTCCTCACCAAGATTAGCACCAGCGCCAATTCCGCGTGCCCGTCAGATCATGGAGGAACAGCAGCGCGCAAGATCCTCATTGCCCCCGCAAGTTCCAAAGAGTGATCCAGCTCCCAGAACACTTCAAAGAGCTCAGACTTGGGCACCAGATAGCGATGCTCTGATGTCCGAAGCACCATCCCTGGAAGAAGCTAGAGCAAAGGCAGCATCCAAGAAGAAGGTGGGAAAGGAGCAAACAAAAGCAAGACTTGAGAATGCAATTGCCAATGGAGAAATGCCACCCTTCTGTGATAACTGTGGCTCAATCGAAACTCCAGCATGGCGACGTGGGTACGCGAAGACATTTCACTGCCCTTGGGACGAGGTCGAAACATCTCTGGATCCTGGCCAGTGCTGTTTCAAAGAAGTCCTGACTCATAACGCCGATGGAAGTGTCAAATCATTTAGAGGCTACAAGGTTGAGAAGCTTACAGGGGACGACGACGAAAATTGGCTTGCAATCACGTTATGCAATCGTAAGTTCCTCAACTACATGACAAGTTCGAGATGGAGACTGACATTAGTTTGATTAGCTTGTGGTTTATGGCTTCATAAACAAAAATGCCCGCGCCCTCGGGAAAAGTGGCAGAAGAAAGAACCTCACTCCAAGGGCAAGCGAAGACGCAATCCCAACCCATCAAAGACTTCAAAGAAAGCTAATGGGAATGCTAACTTCAAGAGTGATGCTCAGACTCCAGTTAGCGATGACTCTTCACCAGCTGACACTTCGAACGAAGCCGCAGATGGCGACGAAAATGAAAATGAAAGCTCGAACAACGAGGAGTACATGCCAGACGATGGGGAACCACAATTGCCTCACATGCCACACTCCCACCGTGCCAGCAGTGCAGATCCTGGGCCACGAGGCTTGCAGGCGCGAACCAAACAGCGAGCAACTGAACGTCAGGTTCAATCCAGCCCAGGACAGGCACACGGGTCAGAAGCCCTCCCCATTCAGATAGGATTTACTCCTAAATCTGTGCGAAGACAACTCTTCCCATCTCCAGAAAAAACTCAGGTCAGATCTGACCCCGGCCCAACCGCAGCATCCTCGCAGGGAAACCCTATCCATCTGCCAGCCTTTGTACGCAGAAGCCCGAGACTTAACAAGACACGAGACTGTTTCGCACATCAAGGTGCCGCTGTGGAGGTTACTGTTGATGGAAAGGAAAATGCTGCTCCGGCTCTTCAGATTTTGGACGAGAGTATCGACCATTTGTTCGAGGAAGGTCCCGGCGATCTGGAACTACCACCCATGACACCCACTCCCAAAAGACGATCAGAAAGATTATTGTTGAAGACTCCTTCCCAAACACCATCTCGCCAATTCGGAGCAGACCTCTCACCCAATGCAGAATTATTACCAATATTCCGCACGCCGAAAGTGAAGCACACCAATCAACAAGCTGTTCTTAATGCATTGCTTGGTTCGTCACATAAGGACGTGCATCAGATGACGCCTTTCTCACGATCCATTCATGACGCCTTGACTAGTGATGTTCCTGTGTCAGTGACTTTACCGAGAGATGGTCAAGCTACATCAAAGAAAAACACGCCGAACAAAGCAATTAATTTCGATTTTCCAGATTTGCCATCGTTAAAGAACTCATCACCGATATCAAGCGATCAGCTCCTGAATTTCAACCTTTCCGAGATGACGACTGATCAGCTGAATAGCGAATTCAACGAACCTTTTCTGGCCAACTCAACGCTGCCTAGTTCGCCTCCTCCTGGATTGTTCACTTACTTTGATGTGGATGGAGAAGACATCTCTAGGATGTGGGATGAAATGATAGACACAAATGCGACAGATCAAGGCCAAGCATCAACTTTTCATGATTCAGAAGCGACATCGGCTTCCAAACCTACAGCTGTTCAACCTCGAAGGAGTCCTCGAAAGCAAGTGGCATGAGCAAGAAGCGAGGGTGTGCCATGAACAGCATTCAGTCTAATTCATGTAAAAACTCGGTGCATTTGAGCACCCTCACCACGACAACACAGAAGATCGGCATCAGAAGTTACGAAGAACGAACATAAAGGGCGTATAGTGCCTGTTTGTTGTATTAATATTGCACTAGGTTGAGCTTTTAGGCTAGCACAAGAGGCCACAGCCGTGTCTACACGTCCTGATAGAAGAAAGGCCTTTAGATCATAGGACAAACATTCTTGTGTTATTTCGAATGCCGTGCCCTTTGGCAGCAGTGAACGTGTACACAATCGTGTTTCTCTCCACTCGGAAAACTTAACATTGTCGGTGTGCCTTTTCACGGTTGGGGTGATCCTTCCTTCTGTGTGGTTTAATGGTTCACAGTTATGTCCGACAAGACACACTCTTACATAGCCAGTCCAGACGTGATGCTTCATGATATCGGTCTCGTCAATCTATCTGTACGATTCAATATCCTCCATCCCTACCACTTTCGCCGCCATCGCCCTCATAAAAGATGCTCTTGTGCCTATGTGTAGCATCAACTACGGCCTCGAATAACTTCATATCCGGAAGCTCATCCCTCTCGTTCCTCGGCCATTCAGTGCTGCTCAGAACACGCAGTCCCAAACCTTCGCCACCATCCAGGTTGACTACTTTCCCCACGATCTCGTATAGCGAGTGGACGGACAGGTGAGAATCTCTGGGGCAGACAGTGAGTATTCGAGGGCACCAAGAGGGGTGGAAAGCAACTCATCAGTCGTACCTGTTGAGTAACACAGTCACGGCATCCTCCCCACAGGTCAAAGTCGCCTGATCACCGCTAACGGTGGTGATCACACCTAGCATTCGGACTGTACCATGTGGTCTACCTGGAGCAAACGCATGAAGGTGCGCAGGCAGGACACGTGGCGTGGCCATGGAATTCATCTTGGGAATGCGGTTCGCTACCGATTTCTCGAGACTGAAGTTGTGTGGTACTTTGGTCGTGGTGCCTGCAAACACGGGTGGGAAAGAACGCGACTGACCGCGTTAAGTGGCCGCAGTCCACGTCTCAGGCGGCTTAAAACAGCGGGAGCTCTTTAAAAGTGGCAGGCCTGTGATGTCAACAAGACGCTTTTCCATATTGGAGAGACCCAGCAGTTTTCTGTCACAGTGGCATGCTTTCACATATCAACTCACATTTCGCAGTCTCAAGCCCAAGGCAGTTACGGCACCGACACAGATATCTCGTGGGACTATCTTGAACCACACGAAGTCACATGCTTCAAAGCAGCAGGCTTTTTGTACGAATATAGGTTGAAGGATATCTCCGCCTCTAATCGCCGGCGCTAAGGAACTACGTCGGTAATCGACTATTCAGTCGATTCGTCATATACCAGCCGCTCATCGAACCACTACCGCAGTTGGCCTTGTCTTTCATGGTCGGTCTTCTGGCGTTTGAGTTGTCCAGCCAATACCTTTTCTGTCAACTAACTAGAACTCTAGATGACTAAAGCACGCAAAGGGAAAACCCCAGACCCTGCAAACACGTCCAATTTGTCTGGAAAGCGAAAGCTGAGAGACAACGACTCGGAGCCCTCCACCGACTCGAAGAAGCCTCGTCCCTCCATCAAGGACTTGCTCTCCTCCGGTCAGTCAACTAATTCAGAGGACAGCCCTCTGTCAGGAAGAGGTGTAGCGAAGGAGAGGAAGTCTTCTAGCAGAATGGACACTCCCATCGCGCAGCCCACGGAGGCATCCTATGCCGACATGTACTCATTCACATCGAAGAAATCTACAGCTAATACAGTCATTGACCTGACGTCCTCTCTAGAGTCACAAAAGAGAAAAGCCTCCTTCTCTACGCCACGGGCATCGACCTTCAATCCGCATACAGGACCCAAGAAACTGGCTGTGAAGAATCTGAGAACGGTCCCTCGAATGGACCCTCACCACTACTTTGATTCAATATGGACCAAGGAGGATAAGGCCCTCAATGCTATCTTCGGAAACGCCAAGGAACAATACTCGCTGGAAGAATTGTACAAGGGTGCTGAGAACGTCTGTCGGCAGGGTAAAGCCACCGAGTTGTATCAGAAATTGAAGCAGAAATGCGAGGTGCACCTAGCGAACACGATTAGAGACGGAATCCATCGAGATGAGGCCAACTCGTCAGATGTCGAAGTCCTGAGCCAATTTGTCAAGGCATGGTCAGTCTGGCAGAAGCAGTTACTCACTGTTCGTCAAATTTTCTACTACCTCGATCAAACATATCTGTTACGATCCCAGGAGAACCCGAGCATTATCCAGACAGGGCTAATTTCGTTTCGATCCGTGGTTTTTGAAGATTCTATCATTAAGCCTAAGGTATTATCGGGAGTGGTGACGCTTATTGATTCTGATCGAAAGAGACAACTAAGCGAGAAGGACTCCGCCCTTCTCCGCCAATCGATCGATGTATTGCATCATCTGAGTATATATACCACTGATTTCGAACCTCTATTCCAAACATCCACTGATGGGTACTTCCGATTATGGCGGGACACGGAATCACACAAGCATAACCTTGGGGAATATGCCAACGCCTGCACTGAGCTTTTGGTCCGGGAGCTGACAAGATGTGACGTTTTGAGTCTGAATCGAAGTACGAGGGCCCAGATTTCCGATCTTTTTGATACCGTCCTAGTGGATGAGGAGCTCGAGACTCTCACAAGCCAAGATAGTATCCAGGATCTTCTCGAAGACGACAAATACGACGAACTGGAGCGGGTATACACTCTCCTTCAACGTAAGGACCATGGGGAGCGAGTGGGTCCCAGCTTCAGCAACTATGTCGAGACGGAGGGAAGTCTGATCGTATTCGACGAAAGGAAAGAGTCCGAAATGGTCATCAGACTGCTCGAGTTTAAGCGTCGACTTGATCGTTTTCTGCAGCATTCCTTCCACGGCAACGAGAAGATTGGAAATGGTTTGCACAAGTCATTCGAGTTGTTCATCAACAGAACGAAGAAGACTCAATCAAACTGGGATACAGACAATGCGAAGCCGGGTGAAATGATAGCCAAACACGTCGATCTCCTGCTCAAAGGAGGTGTCAAAGCGGTCCCACGACTTCAGACGCAACGAGGAGACCCATCCAAACCCGAAGAAGAGCATGATTTTGATGATGGGCCTGCAGATGAAGATGCTGAGATCAATCAGCACCTCTCAAATGCGTTGGACCTGTTCCGTTTTGTTCATGGCAAAGCTGTGTTCGAGGCATTTTACAAGAAAGACCTGGCCCGTCGCTTACTGATGGGCCGCAGTGCTTCATTTGACGCCGAACGAAACATGCTCACGCGCCTTAAGAATGAATGTGGGGCCTCTTTTACCCATAACCTGGAGTCCATGTTCAAAGACATGAATCTAGCACGTGAGGATATGATATCCTATAGTCAGCTCCTGGACGATCGAGGCACCAAGTCCATCCCAGATCTTTCAGTCAATGTCCTTTCAGCCTCTGCCTGGCCTACGTATCCGGACGTCATGGTCAATATCCCAGCCGCGATTGCTAAAGTGATGTCCGATTTTGAGAACCACTACAAGTCGAAACACAGCGGTCGGAAACTGACGTGGAAGCACAGTCTTGCACACTGCCAGCTCCGAGCCAAATTCCCCAGAGGCAACAAAGAGCTTGTAGTATCTGCGTTTCAAGCCATTGTGCTCCTTCTATTCAACGACATCCCAGCTGACAAGCACCTGACGTACACTGAGATCAAGGGCTCATCCGGTCTCGTGGATGCCGAGCTCAAGCGCACCCTCCAGTCCCTTGCATGTGCCAAGTACCAAGTCCTCCGTAAACATCCCAAGGGCCGCGAGGTCAACGAGACCGACACCTTCACATTCGCGACATCCTTCCACGACCCCAAGATGCGCATCAAAATCAATCAGATCCAGTTGAAGGAGACCAAGGAAGAGAACAAGGAAACGCATCAACGCGTGGCGGCCGACCGGCATTACGAAACCCAGGCGGCAATCGTGCGCATCATGAAGAGCAAGAAGACCATCGGCCACAACGACCTCATCGTTGAGGTCATCAAGGCCACGATGTCAAGGGGTGTACTTGATCAGGCCGATATCAAGCGAAACATCGAGAAGTAAGTACACACTACACCCTACACCCCCAAGTGTCTCATGTCGCGGTCCAAGCTCTCCTCCGAGTAAGTGCTGTTTTACTAACGCGTTCTCTCGACAGGTTGATCGAGAAAGACTACATGGAGCGGGACGAAGGGAACACGTACTCCTACGTCGCTTGATCACGTCTCTCACATTTGCTCCACGCAACAAGAGGCACAGCAGAGACAAGGCAGCAGCATTCCCATCTCCAGCGCCCGCCTCCGCCTCCGCCCCACGAACCCACCTCCCAATTCACAGGAGTAGCAGCAATTTACCCCTTATTCTTCCTTCCAGCCTTCTTTTCGGACCTTCTTTGCCGGTCAATGTTTGGATTTCCACAATAGCCCAGGTACCTACTTGGAGCCGCTCTGCTACCGGACACACTATTATGCTGTGATTGCGCCGCCCAGTGCCAAATGTGCAGAGAATATCTTCACGGCCGTCCCAGAGCGTTGAACCGGACACGCAGTTATTGGGGCGACGAGACCTGAATCCGTCCAAATGCCCAAAGCCGGCGTGAGGATGTGGAGAATAATTAGATCCCTTTACTGCTGACTGAGATAGGAAGGGCTCAGAGCAGAGGTATAGAGTGGGTAGAGTAGATTTGCAGCGCTCTCGGCACGCATACATGGATGGAAATTGTGACGAGTAAGAAGAATGCCGAGAAAACAAAGAAACCATCACTGGGCCTACAGTCGGGTTTTCAGGCAACGCTACCGATCGATATAGGGAAAATACATACGTATGTATTTCCTAAGGTTCATCCTTTCATTCGCTTCATAGAATTCTACCTACCAAGTAAATACTAGCTGGATATGTGTGATGGGATAGTGAACTAGATAAGTACCAGTGCATGCATTACAGGTGAGCCCCGTTGGAGCGGACCTGGCGGCATCATAAACGAGCATTAAAATCCAAACCAGAAGTGCACTGAGGGAACCCGTCGAATAAGCCAGAGAGCAGCCGCGTCTCTTTTTGTTCTATTGCAAGATCCAAAAGTCCGGTAGTGGGGAGGTACAAACGGAGGGTCGTAATCAACCTCGAACCCCGAATAGGTTGTCCCAGTTGATTCGCACGCAAAAGCTTCCTCCTAGTATCTCTCATCCGGGCGGCCAGATTGGCTCCTGCCATCGCTGCTGCCATAATGCTGTTGAGGTCGTTAGTAAGATGTTGTTGATAGGTCAATCGAAGGGGCACGGGGGGAGGGACTCACTCTCTTTCGTAGGGCTGCCAGCCTCTTCTTCTTGGTGTGAGTGTTGATGTAGGTGCCGATGGTGAAGGCAACAATGTTGAAGAAGGGAACCCAGGTTTGCTCTGGGAGGAATTTCTGTGCAAAGGCCAGAGCCAATGGGGAGGTGATCCAGCTGACTTTCATGACAGGCCAGAAGCCGGCCTTGACAGTGGCACGCACCTGGTGCCACGTGCGAGCACCAGCGATGACAGCCATGGATGTCAGATAGACCGAGTTTTGAATAGGTGCGATCTGAGATTGATTGATTAGTGGAGTGATTGGGGAGGAACGGGAAGTACATACCACCAAGTTACTGGCGATGATCTGAAGGATCTTGGCTTTGAGGCTAGTTCTTCCGGCAAAGACCCATTGTAGCATGCCAATGAGGGCATGGCCCATTGGGGCACTGATAAAAGCACCATAGATGGCCATCTTGGGTATCCTGGAGCTGAAGTAATGACCATGTTTGCTACGGTCATGGGCGAGCCAGGAAGCCAGGAGTTCCTGTAAGGCAGACAGGGAACCGGACGTCAACATCTTGGTCCGTAGTGGGTTTGACTGAAGCTGCTTGAGATATGCCTGTAGGGCGCGATTAGGATGGGTCGCTGTTTGTGGAGGGGTGTACTCAGGATTGACATACTGCAAGGTAGCCATTCTGTTGTTTTCCACCGGTCAGAGCCTCACCAATCTTGTGGGCGGTGGTTTCATCTCTCCCAACCACAGGCGCAGTGGTCCTGATCTGTTCCTTTTCGAACTTGACAGACATGGCGGGTGCGGCGCGTGCGAGGCGCGAGGAATAGAGCAGGCCAGCGGCGAAACTGAAGGCAGTTGAGAGTATGCAGCTAATGCAAAGAGTCAGTGTGAAGGCGTTGAGGTGATGATAACAGGACTGAGTGGAAGAATAATGCAGATTCTGGATCGTGCAGCTGCGGTTGTTGACAAAAGACCAAGTACCGAGGCTCGTTCCGATGTTCCAGTGCAAGTAAGACGGACAGGGACAAGGTCGAGGTGTGGGGAGATGGACTGTGGGTAGCGGACGATAACGTACCTCTAGAAGAGCTCTGCAGCGATCTGTAGAGTTGTGCGATGACCCAGGAGATGAGAACAGCCTTGAAACTTGTAAGTTGATGGATGGCGTGGGAGACGGTGGAAGAGAAGCGCAACACACATACGTGGTGTATGCACGTAGAAGCAATTCCGGCCCAGAGTGATGATTTGAGGCGTAGTTGCCGGTTGCTGGTGAGAGTTTCGGGGGGGGGTGGGAGGTCACTGGTCACCCATCAAGGGTGCATCGACGCCGACACTCCGACACGACACGGCCTGAGAAGTGTGGTGGACTGGTGGTTGGGCGGCCAGTCCACCTTTGCCAGATACGAGGCACGAGGCCATGTGGGAGCCAATCATGCCGCGTGGGGCTGCCAAGGAGTAAACAACACAAACACCTGGCTTGAGTCGCATCTGGACCTCCTTTTCATTTTCTGCACTTGGCTAAATGATATGGTATGCAGTACCTCTTCCTTGTGTGAGTAGCAGCCGCACCCAACCACCGAAAGGATTGGTGAATACCATGTGCGGGAAGAGTGCCCATGACCCCAAGATTCGCGTCTGCTGTTGGTTGCGGCAACGACGAAATGCTCAGGAGCAAAAACCACAAAATCCGACGCTGTTGTCTGTGTCTGTGTATCATGGCTGCTACAACTGCTGTCGACGATGCACTGGACGGCGAGGTCGAGAATGGCAATGCAACACCTGAGTGCTCGCAGTTGAGTCGATGAGAGGGTAGGTAGAAGAGAAGTGAGGTGAGGTGAGGTGAGGTGAAGTGAGGTGAAGTGGAATACCATGATCAGTCAACCCTGCTCCTGCTGCCTCCTTTGCTCTTTCTGTTGCGAACTGTCTTGCACGCTCTTGCACTGCACCTGCCTTTACCTTCTGATGGTCACCGCTCCTTCCCTTTGCCCTGACCCTCATCCTCCTCTGTTCCTCTATTCCTTGCACTCCACCGATTCCTGCACCACGCAGCCATTCATGCCCGACTCATCATCACCATCACCCACACCCCCAGTAATGCATTTCCGCAGGGCCCTCAATCCTGAGAGGCGAAATCTCTGCACTCATGTGACAGCCACTCGACTTTTTGATCAGTGGGGATCCCTCAAGTGCTGCCTCTGCCACAGACACGCCAATATTGGCTGGCTATACCGCTGTACTCAAGACTCGGACGGCTTTCTTCCTGCTACCGATTTTATCAATGGCTCCCATGCCCTTGCTGATAAATCGCCCTTCCAGGATGTTGCCTTGCACACTCTTTCTCCGCCCATCATCAAGGCCATTGCCGACGGTCAATACACCGATGAACAGATCAAGATCTTAATTCAACAGAAGGAAAAGGTTCGTGATATCATTCTCGCCCAAGAACCTAGACCTGCAACAGCTTCCACTGCCACCACCAACTCCTCAGCATCGTCTTCCACTTCCTCAAAATACGGCATTCCTTCCACCCTGCCCAAAAGTACCACCTTCTCCACCACCTCCACTGCCTCCCTCGATGAAGAGATCCGAAAGGCCTATGACTGGAATGAGCTGCAGAAGGTGTGGTTGTCCGAACCTACCATGCCACCTCCGGACCCTACCTCACCCTCTCTTACTCAATCTCACCTCGCCTTCCCCAACCCCGTTGCTGCGCCAAAGGCCTGCTCCTTCAAGATATGCCCGACCTGCCGACCTACTTGTCGTGATCGAACCTTCCAATCTCTCAACGCCGTTTTGAACAGCCCAGTCAAGGTACCTCCGAGCTGGGAGCTCGAGAATCGTCCCATATCCGACGCCAGTGTCCTGGCCAAGGTCCAGGTCCCGTCCCATATCCAACTTTCGGCCACCCTGGACCATTTCTACTCTCGTCTCAGCAAAAGTGCTGTACAGTCTGCCGCTACCCTCCGCACCCTAGACAACCTGGACGAAGAAATTTCAACTCTCAGAGCCGAAATAGCTGCAATAGACAAAAGTTCAATTAGGAAGCGAAGCGGCTTTCGCCAGACCGTCAGGAATGCTTTGGCCCGCGCTCGCAGCGAGGATTCTACCAAGGGAGAGAGCGCCAGAGAGAATGGGAATGAGAATGAGATGCTGGCTCAAGACAGTGCGGCAGGTTCACGTCATTCACACTCTCACATCTTTGGACGTCCAAGATCTCGTCTCACCCCATCTTTCATCGAAACCCATGGTCAACTTGTCGACACCAGCGCCTTACAAGATTCAGTTATGTTGATGCTCGCCTCCAACACTCCACTGCCTCATACACCAAGCGCCGTCTTTGATCCTATCGACGAAGTGGTCCATTCGCCCCTTCAAGATGCTCATGGTCGCATGGATTTAGAGATATGGGACATATATGCACGTCTTCATTCTATGACTTGATATCAACATGGTTGAACAATATATCAGACCATGGAGGCAGGGAGTAGGATGCGGGAGTTCTCACCAAGGTCGGGGTGCATCATGAATGGAAAGAATGCTGCCAACCGTAGCAAGAGTGATGTCAGATGCCAGAGAGCTAGACCTACACTTTTCGTCGATATTCACACTAGCAAGATCAAGTTACAGGAAGTCAGTGGCTGGTGGGATGGTCGTTAATTAATACCAATGAGCATGGTGTTGGAGCATGGGAAGTTACCAAAGTGAAACATCTAGTAGGTGAAGGATGGGTAGAGGGCCTCCTTCTGTATTTCGGATTCTGTCTGCAATCTGCCACAGAATCAAAAAAGAGTTGCAGCACAATCTTCCAGGCGTTCAATGACTGCCTCCAGTGCAAGGGGATTTGAGCCAGGATGTAATTGTAATTGTAATTGTTTCATCACAAGTCTAAGTCCAAGTCTACGTCCCAAGTCCAAACCTATAATTGCGTCCAGCTCGTCCCGCCCGCTCTCAGAATTCATAGTAGAGAATCCGATCAGAAGTCGGAGAGCCTTTCCTCTGCAGAAAAGGCTTCCAAGAAAGAAAGACTCTAGCGACTCCACCCTCCGGAAGCGGATGCCGTAGAAGAAAATATAATTACAAGCAGCCAGAAATTTGAAACGGATATTCCCCCTGCAGTATGTACCAGCTCATCATCAGCATGAGACCAAAACATCAGGTCTCCGCGTGGGGCCGGAAGTTACCGCAGCGCATGTCATCCATGCATCTACATATGATGCAAGAAGATATGGCCGGTATGGTAGTCTGCTATGACGAGCATTGTTGGTTCTTGATTCGGGAGAGGCAGCCAGCTGGGCGTCGGGTCTTGAACTTGTCCACCGGGACGGAGCCATACATGTGCCGACCTGGCTCTGATAGATATAAAGGGGGGGATGGAGCGGGCGAGGATGAGGGACCCAGCAGGTGCAACCGATATGGTGCATACTGCTCTCGGTGCGGTCGACCGCACCGAGAGCCAGACGCGGAAGCGCGTCTGCGTGATTTCTGGCAGCGGAAGAGGAAAATCATTTGATCGGCGCCGAGATCGTCGCTGCTGCGTGGACGCGGAGGCTCTGCGTTGAGTGGAACCTTCCTTACTTGCTAGCTAGCTAGCTAGTTAGCTAGCGTTCGCATAGATAGTAGTACATAGTACGAGTAGTTCGGTCGGAGGCTCGCAGACGTTCGGAGGTGGGAAGTCTGGTTAAGCTCATGATGCTCTATCTAGCATGGGGAGCCCCGTCGGCTGATGGGCCCCAGTACTCGTAACACAAGTCGATCTTCCAGAAACGTGAATTGGGTCAAGCGTGGTGGAGGGGGGCTCGGGGCTCGGGGCTCGGGGCTCGTTGGGTCATAGCCACCTACCTACTCGTACCTGAGAGATGGATGCTAGTTGGTGCACATTACTTCGAAACCCGGACGTTCTTGAAGGGTATGCATGTTGAAGCCAAGGATTGTACAGGTCTTGCTCGACTCCGTGGCCGGCGTTGATATGACGGCATGTGCCTGGCTCTGCGGGTGGGAAAAATGGGAGGCTGCCAGGAGGGGATGGATGGGTGAGCCGCCCACCCCATGTGTGCACTAGTATTACATGTACAAGGAGCAATGCGCTTTTCACGGTGAAACCTGTGCCGATCAGTCCAGACTTATGTAAGCCAGCTCTCTCTCTCTCTCTCTCTCTCTCTCTCTCTCGCTCGCTCGCTCTCTAGATGCAAAGTTGACCACCAGTCGTCCTAAAGCAACTGGATAGGTGTCCTCGAGAAGCCCGCCCACCGCCCTACCCCACCGCCCGTGGGAATGTCCGTGGTTGATTGACGTCAAGTCAAGTCAAGCCCAAGCTGTGGCTTGACGGTCTACTGTACGAGTTTTAGAACCTCCTCCTTCTTCAGGTGTGGCGAGTCCGTCGACTGGAAAGTTACACAGCCCGGGCGTGAGGCAGGTGTGGCTAACCAGCTATCTACGAGTACGTCATCCTTCGCAGGGGGAAGCTACTGGTACCTCTGTGAGGTGTGGAGTAACATGGCTGGACGCTGAATGGAACGGGGTTCAGGAAAGTACTTCCTCGACGCCACCCGGCACAGTATTGAAAAATGAATGAACGGGCAAATCTGAGAGTTGATTCAGCCGTAAGTAGTGCTCGTTATTTCGGCAGCTTGGGAGTGACTACGAGCTACGGGACCGCCAACTGGCCCTGCTCGTCTCTCCCCCCACGCTGGCTTAGACTCTACTCGGACACCTCGTTTCCTATTCGTGATGTACATGTACACGCAGGGGGAGGGGATCTGAGACACCGGCTGCTGCGTGTGCACGGACGGTAGACTTTACGAGTCTGTCGGTCTTATCTGCAGACCAAGTAACCTGCTACTGTATGTCGTGTTTTGTGCCGTTAGAACCATGGCAAACTCAAATCTACCGGAATCCCCCATTCGATCACGACTAGCAAGGTCACCCGAGGTCTGAACGAATGGCCCGCATTATCTGAGGATGGACAACCCAACATTCCCATTTGTGAGAACAGGTATCTCCGCTTTCGCCTGCAAATCCTGGTAGCGCTCTTGAGCCAATTCTACGACTAACGAGCCTCAGGCGTTCGGCCCAAGGACTCCTCGTTACAGAAGGAACCCGTATCATTTTCATTGATGTCAGTAGCAGCAACGTGAGCGAATGATAGGGATCAGCCACTGGAAGGAAATTACTTTTTGGAACAGCTACCTAGGTAGGAAACACCGTTAAAGTCATAACTCATAGCCGTCTGTGGTACAGGCTCCAGGAGATGCAGGACCAGTTGCTGTTCTGTCCTCCACGCATTAATTATACACAGCGGCCCACCATGATACCGCGCAAACAACTTTTGTCCTTCTCCCGTGATCTTCGCCCATTTGGTTGAGGGAGGAGACAGCCGAACGACCGGGACCAGTTTCCCGTCCAATAGTTCCCCGGTATGTAGGCTGTCAATTGACAAAGGGACGAGCGTGCAGCCATTCACAGGAGCAACTTCTCGTAATGATCTGTCTCGAAACCGATCGCTCTTGTCCTAGTCTGCTGCACTGTTGGATCCATGCGGCAAGGTCCACCCTGTTGTGCTCTATCCCTCGGCTGCGGAGAATTGTAGGGTGACAAATTCAGGTTGGTGTTGAACCGCACCGCCACACGTGAGGGGCAAACTCAACCAGCCCGCCAACCCCGCCTCAATACGAACATGGAACTTTGGCGATGGCCATTCGTTCTCTAATTGATTCAGGTCCTGCGGCCCCCTCAGCCGTTGGCAGGCAACAACCGCCTCAACCTGGTTAATGAGGTTCCAATCTTTGCAGTCGATGCATGTGGCGCGAAGTCCCAGAAATGCTCATGCTCGATACATCTGCAGATCATAATATTTGAATCTGAATTCAGGCCTCTTGCATTCAATCGCCGTGAGGGGTGTGCACCTCGAATTCTGCTCCTCGGTTGAATTCTGGTAGAGGAGGATTGACTATTGATCCGCTGGTGGTGCTGGGGAAGAAGCTGCCTTGTGCTGCAGCAAGCGGCGAATAGCCCATCTGAGAGTATTCGAGGAAGTTCGGGACTCCATTGTCCATATGCTGGTGGTTGAAGAAATCACTGCCCAGTTGACTGAGGTGGGCTTGGAGGCTCTCAGGGGACCTGCAGCCTTCACAGTTGGCATGTGCGAGGAGGACTGCATTCATCTGTTGAATCTCGTCCTTCATGCGCATGACTTGATCTTTTAGATAAGAGTTCTGTACTGCTTTGTCGTGAGAGTCACGCTGTAGCAGCTCCGTCTTCTCCTTTTTATTGATGCGACATTTTGCAGCAGCCAGTCGATTCTTCTCCAATGACTGTTTTCGTTTCGATCCCTCGAGTGGCTCAGAAGCGTCAGAAGCAACGGATGCTTTCCGTGTCGACTTCCTTTTCCGTCCAGGCTTTGCAGCACCTTCAGTAGGTTTGGCTTGAGCCTTGCTCTTTTTCCGCTCTGGCGCAGCCTTGGGGGGCATTGTTTTGCCTGGGGAGTGAGAGCTAACTGCCGAGTTTGAACGGGGAGGTGTCATTTGACCGAAACGTGCCACAGCTGTCTCGCTACTTGGAAGCGAAGAAGAGATGAACTTTTCGACATCAAAGGCATCCAAATCCATGGGAGGCTCCACGGTGTCTTTGATATCGCATTCGCGCTCGAACTCGGGCCAGCCAGACAGAGATAAGTCGTTTGGGGGACTGTACGTCTGATACACATTCATCGTCATTGGTTTATCTGAGGGCGGGTCAAAGCCAAAGTTGTCATCATTGCTAGGAGGATAGTTGGGAGGTGGAAACTGGTAGTCTCTAAAGGTGTATCCGTCAAGGTCACTGACGCTGGGAATACCAGACGATGGACCTGAACAAAAGGTCGTCATTGTGGAGAGCTGGCAATGAAGGTGTTCGAGGTCGCTGATGGACCTTGGTGAATGGGTATGAGACCACGTTTGTTGATGATGTTGGGATTGGACGAAGTTGAGTTATGGTTGTGGCAACCAGTGATGCAGGTGGTGTGAATCAATGTAAACAAAGAGTGGCTAGGTTGGAGGGTCAAGAAGATTTTGGCGTTAAGGAATAGAGAGGGAGCATCGACTACTAGTAGTTTCTGCGCACTAGGTCAGATGCTTGATTGCAGATCGCAGATCGCAGGAATTTTGTTCCTAGGAGCCTGTCAAGACGGAAAAGGTTTGAGCAAGAGAATTGTCACCCACAGGCACCAGGGACAGGGTGAACAGGATGCAGGCTTTTGAGGTGGAGAGAGCGGAGGTATCAGCCGGTAGGGTGAGCGAATGAGTGTGATGGCGGGCACCAGGGATGAGGGAAAAGACAGACGCGTGTTTGGAAAAGTTCAAGTCGATGGCGGTTTGGAGAAGGTGGGATAGCGTAGGCCATGGGCATTGAGGGAAGGCGCATGGGTGATGCAACAGCCGGAAATGGCGGTAGTTGGCAAAGAAGGAAGAGGAACCCGCGAAATGAGTTGGTTGGCTCCTTCCTGCAGAACAGAGTTGGAGAGGGGCTCTTGCCTACAAAGAGGAGCAAGGAGCTCTGTGCCTCAGCTGCACTTGCAGGAAGCTACGACCTCTACGAGTGCCTACGAGTACCTGCGAGTACCACCTGCGAGTACTACGAGTACTGCTATCTCGACGGAGCACATACCTTGTCCCCTGTACGAATTGGCATCCCTACCAATTTCTACCAACCTTGAACGGCTGCGGGGTGTCACCAGAAACACTGACCACAACCAAGGCACTGCCAAACGCCTTTGAGCCACACTAGCCCACTCTGCAAAAGCGAATGATGCCCAGGTACGTAGACTTACTGTGGTTCAAAGTGGTGATTGTATGTCACTGCCGGATCTGACTAGCAGCCACGATCGACGCAGACACGGCTCATTAGACAGCGGCACTACATCATCGGCGATCTCATGGTTGAGAATGCTGTGTTTTTCCATGGCATTCTAAGAGTACCATGTGCCCGCTACTTGCCCAGCGCCGCTCCGGACTTATTCGCCGGCGAATCATATGCTGGATGTGTGGCTCCTCTGGCTGTCTTTTCCGCCACAATGAAAAATGCACCCGCGTTCTTGGCTTGCATCATTCAGCTCGAGTTCTCAAGCACGACGACTGTCCCTGAGCGCCACAAAACACAAACAAGCTTGAATTAATTGTTGACTTCGCTTCTGAAAGCCTGAGCGCCGCTTCATTGGAAGTGATCGTGCTATCCCACCATTCCTGTCCTGGCTCAGTACGACTGATTGAGACAGAGGTGGTGGGTGCTATCGATTTCCATTAGGTATCCATTTGCGACCATTGGTATTTATTGCCTGGTCACCTCAACGTGTACGAGGTGGCCACTGTAATAGTCGATACTCCAAATGCTGGTGGCTGAAGTAGGTCCGTGTTAGCTACAGGTGCTATGTCATAGATATATCATTGTGCATATTACAATCCTCTGGATGAAAAATCCGAAAATATCTGTGCTATCCCTATTGCTGCTATGATGGTCTGAGAAGGATCCGCTATTCTTGGCGACCCGAAACTGAGACTGAGCCCCCCAGCTTCTTATCTCGACCGCAATTACTGAGAACACCTTGTCGGTCATAGCGGGGTTTCCCGTTCCAATCGCTCAATCTGATAGACATGCTTACAAAAGGAGAGCTGTCAATCCTAGTAGCCCTGCACCAAGAACCGAGAACACTAAGGGACGGCCATCCGTTCGGCTAGCACCGTTGCTGGTCCCCGTTCCAGTAGCAGCTGCTGTTCCACTTGATGTCGACGAGCCGCCTGTTTGCGATGCCGTGGATGATCCACTGCTTGTGCTTGTACCTGACCCTGTGCTTGAGGCCGTCGAAGCAGTGCCACTTGCACCAGTAGTCGCCGCAGCCGATGCGTCTATGGAGTCGACCAGGGTGATTCCAATGAAGGAAATCTCAGATTGCGCCAGTACTGTCGACGTTACACTTGTTGTGATGGCGGTGTTTGTTGTGGCATCCGATGCAGTAAGTACACTTATATCGGTCTCGAGGAAGGCTTGCGGTCCAATATAGGTCTGCGCGCAAGTTGCGGCAGTTGTCCCATCCATGGCACAGTCGAGAACGACGGTAATGTCATCGGAAGGCTCGTCAATGCTTACGTGAAACGTTTGTGGTCCGACCGTGACCGTGACCGGTTCGAACAGGCCACAGTCTGTATCGGAGGCGGATGACGGGCATGCAACTACCATTGTGGTTTGGGATGCATCCTATCACAGAAGTTGTATCAGTAGCTGTTCGTACTATGCTACAATATAGGTTGATTCTAGGCTTACCGAAGTGATCACAGATCCAACAAGCGCTTGATTATCGATGTCGGGGAAGAATACGCTGACAACCGACGATGTCGACTGAGCGCTCACAGCACCTGCGAGGGCCATGGCGACGGCTGATTTCTTCATGAGAGTCATGATGCGTACGGTGGAGCTATATCAAGGATCCCAAAAACAAAAGTAAACAATATCAAATGCAGGCCGAAAGAGGAGGAAGAAAGGCAGAAGAGCGAGAAATAGAGAGGGCAGCCAGCAAAACAGCGTGGTCCCAGCACTTTCTCTTGGAGACAGTCGGGTTTCGTGAAATTGCCCTTTCATCTGAAGATCTAGCGTCGACTTACTGGGTGGGGGCAAGGGCTTCGGGCCCCCTTTCGGTCAGTCTGGTGCCAGGCTGCTAGCAGCCGGTGGCAGCAAGTAATAAGAATGTGGTTATTTGAGGGGGTAGTTCTGGTAGCTGGCCGTTGACAAGTTTCACCCCCTTTGTCTCAGTCAGGAAAAAAGTGGTCTGCAACGGAGGCATGTCTCCCGCCTCGGGAGTTCGGGTGGAAACTGGCATCTGTTCGCCCAAGATTGGGGAGACGTGGAGCCGCGCATAGACGCGAAACCGTCTTGGCCTGGTTCTTAACTGGTTAATTGGGTCCGGGTGGTCGCACGATGAGTGGGTCTGATCTCGGCCAGTTATCGCGGTTGCCTCAGATGTTATTGAGCTTAATTGGAAAGCGCCCTCCTGAGGCATACCCTGGTTTGTTCGATGTTTGGCCGCCGCCAACAGATCTCTTATGAGTTATGGGTTGTAACTTACAGAGTATAACCACGGGCAATTCGGTGTGGAACAACGTTTAGGTAACTACTAGCTACGACTAGGAGTAGGAAGGAGTACTTCATCTTCGGTACCGAGTGCGAGTAGCTGAAGGGGGCCATCCTTCCACAGTACTAAGTCTCCGAGTAACACCAGGAAACATGAGCGGCGAAACCACCCTTAGCGACAGAGAGCCTGAGGCCTGGGGAACATCAAGGATAGGCTCGTGCCAAGCTGATTCCTCCTCCATACGGAATACCTAATTGCAAGGTAGCTACAGCAATCGCCCCCCCCCC